ATGCCTCATAAGTCAGATCAAACCTTTCTTCCTCTAAATTCATCGACCGTGCTGGTGAAAACATGGCTTCGAAAGTTTTCCGCAGTTGGGCGGCAAAGATCTTTACCAAGAGTTCAAGACTGAAAGGGCCAGGGGGACTACCGAAATTTGCGCCCGAAAGCCCAGGGTACTCCCCAGTCTGATGCTATCAACGATTTTGATCAGCCTCTTTAGCGGGACTATAGCAAGAGTTTCAGGCACTGAACTTCAAGCAGCCATACTTTAAAAAAAGGCCCCCGGCTAAGGAAGGAGATACTCTACTGTCGAGCATCGTCGTGGAACAGGGTTCAACCGCTTTTACAGGTCCACATCTTCAGAGCCCTTTGAGAGTTGAAACATAGAAAATGGGAGCCGGAGGATGAACCTCAAAAGAAGGTTGCTTCAACAGCACTCAACCCAACGATGTTGAAGCATTATTTACACACGATGGAAGACCAATAAGAATCTTACTCAAAGGGCTGAATGCCAACTTTGGCAGCGATAGTGCCCGAATAAAGAAAAGCTGGAGAAAAGCGCTGGGAATGGCTGGGTTTGGAATTGACGATATGTCACCAAATTGAGATTCATGCTGGGAAATTATGGTCAAGCATAGTTTGATTGCTTGTCAAAAGCTCGGTGGTCTCTTTCAGAGTGCACTATCTCGTTGTGCTCCTACATATCTTTCCCTAAGAGAGGAAGAATTCGAGATATACATAAAATTTGCTTCCGACTCTCGACCAGGACAAACCACGGATTCTCTGGCAGCGGCGCATACATACCATGCCGGTTTCTCAAATTTCTTGCTGTCAATCTATGTTCGACCTGATCAAGCAATAACGGATACTAGCCAAGGTCATATGCATCCGCGAATATCGGCTGTGGAGATCCGTTCTTTTATCGACATTTAATCATCGCCACTCCCGGAAGTGGGATTAAGATCAAGATACGCCTCTCCTATATTCAACCGCAACCCAGCGAATTACGGCTTTTACTTCCGCCTACTTACCAGCAACAGCAACGAAGATTAAGCATCTGTTACATGGCTTACGTTGTGTTTAGATCTCAAGGGCACACCTGTGAGCGATTTTTGAGCAAAACGCCCGTCGAGACTCTTGGTTTCGAACAACGGTTCTTTTCTCTGTCCTCTCACATTGTCATTTCATACAACGATGTCATTCTTGCAACGATGCACGAGACCAAACACGGCTTGCTGCTTTACTGGACAGGGAATTTGGCATCAAACTTTTACAAAAATGCCTTATATAGGGATGGGGACGGAAAGAAAATTTCTCGCTGAAACTCGAATGAAGAATTGCGCTCCTCAAAGGGACTGCAAAAATATCTGCTTTCGAGGTTTTGCAAGCGTATTCTGAGTACCACTCAGAGTTGTCTTGATAGAAGAGTTAGGACGCTACCCCCAAAGACGTATGCGGCTACCGACATGAGCAAGGGCCATTGGGAAATACTCGTGGAATCGTGGGATATGAGATGCATGTTGAAGTTTGGCGAATCTCTTCCGAGTAACGACACAAGAAGTTTCACTTATATTACTCGTCCAATTGCTGATCGACCTGGAATTCGGGCTCTGGTGTTTATTCCTAGGGTTAAGGTTAGGCTTGTCCGATCCAGACCTTTAGTCTTAATGTGCAAAACCATTTCGCCATATGGAATCAGGAGCGGTCAAAGCTATGAATAAAACAAAGGATCATAGCAAAAACTCAGTCAGTGATACGCGGTCAGATAGTCATGCAATTCATCAAATAAGCCTGATGCGAGGATTTCGGAAAAAGTCAAGCGTTAGGAATTTGAGATTTTGTCAGATCAAAAATCATCTGGTCCTGCCAACGCCATACCTTTTTTCTAAGCAGCATTTAATTGTCAGTATTTTTCCTTCTGTCTTAAGAATGTACATAACTCAGTCAAGAATCCGTAAGCATCGAAGAGCCAGAATCCCAAATATTAGTCTATAAGACGATATTGTAGTAAATTGGTAGTGGTGCAATTTCTAAAGAAATGAATATTTGTGTTTATAGCAATTAATATATTCTCTATCTGCAGTTAATTATCAGCTTATATAGGTATAGAATTCTAAAGTAAAATTAGGTTTGCTTCACTGGTATTATTCATCCCGCACGATATTGCCTGCAGCCTGCCCTAGGCAACAATATATTACTCGGCTTCTAGGTGAATCACCGAGTATCAAGAGATATAAAAAAGCCAGTTCCCTCCCTTCCCCCGCGGGCTATTCTACACCACTTCCCCGTAGAGCTCTGTTCTTACGTTAGGAAGTAAACTGTTTAAAGAATCTTATAATCTTTCATAATATTGATCATATTGTATCCAACGAAGAAGGATAAATTACAATATACAGCTGCTAGATGCTTCGTTGCAAAAACAGCTTAAAAAATATACCGCGCGTTTATATCCCTTCCTGACGGCGGTGGGGGAATTCCGGTCTTCAGTCGTCAATCACAGTCGGTATGAAGTACATCAAATTGGGGTGCGGTGTACAGTGCGCCATATTGCCTAAAAAGACCTCATGCGGCCAAGCCACATCTACATGCTTGCCCAAGGCCCCAAGCAGTTCCATATGCAGTTAATAGCAAAAGCAAAAGCAACCTGTGCAACAAACCCATTTGAAAAAGGGTTTGGGATATACGTTGAATCACGTTCTCTATTGTCAGCATCTGCAGCATCTGTCTCGACTCTCGACTCTCGGCCTCTACGCCATCTGGCGCGGTTGGAGTCTCTTCCGCAGCTGACATTCATCAAACTCGGCCCGTGGCCGTCAAATATAGGAAGAAAGCCAATTTCTTTTCATTGTTTTATTGGCTCGCCGTGGCTAGGTTTGCCTTGATATGCACTTGCAATATCTCTCCCGGGCCCCGGGGTTGAGCATCAGTAGATTCTTGGAGTTTTGGGCAACTTCACTGGCGAAGCAAGAAGCAGAAATTGCTGGAGTCCTGGACCCTACAAATGCTATAAAAGGCGACCCTTTTGAACATATGAAAGAGTTTACCATGATGACAAAAACACACTTTCAAATGTCCATCTGAGCTTACGTTATAGCACAATGGCTTGTCCTTGTATTTTTGATTACTACTAGATACTGTGTTGGTTGGTTTGGCGACTACAGAGCTAGTCCAGACTTCAGTATGGGCCGCGATACTCCAGAGTCCAGATATTGTCGTGATTGATTAAAAACAAGTTATCAGGAATAAACGCCGTCTGATGAGTCTTGCAGAGATTGATAATGTATCAGGAAGACAATGATTTCGACGCTGCCGCCGCGGAGAAAGTTCCGGGGACTCAGATTACTTCTCATACACCTATGATCTATCAATATATTGCATACCAAGACCGGATCATCTTTGTTTATAGTTCTCAAAAGAATATATACCATTATCATTTTCCGGCTGACCGTCCAGAATCATACAAGTCTTTTCCTTTTCATGCAAGTTTCTGACAGATAGTCAGGGACTCAGGGCAAGCAGCTGGGGGCCTTCATCTAGAGCAGAACTCTATTTCCCAAGGGAACAGGAGCTTTTCTGGAGCTCTCACTCTCCGCTTTCTCAACAGGACTCAATATCGAGCGTGGCATGTATATTTACACAGATTTGACTCGGCATTTGGGAACCCGGAACCGCCTTAGGCATGAACGCACGAAGGGTTTGTAAAGCTATTTGACTGGCTTTGAAAAAAAAAAAAAAGAATTTGAAGCTCAGCATAGGCATCAAATCAAATTCTAGTTTACTGTTTCCTGGGGCAGCCCAGCTATAGGGCACCAAAGTTATCTTGTCTCGGATCCCGAAATGGTGGATATAATTATGTGGATGAGGCATGAAACCTGGGCACCTCGGGAGCGGGAGTACAACAGTTCATTACTTTACTCCATAGCTCTGGATTACTTTCAGACCACTTTAAAGCTGAAGTCTGCAACGATGTCCGGGTGCCTGCTGCTACATAAAATGGCAGTGTAGGTCGAGATTAGCTTCTGACCAGGTCATACGCCCCTCTCCATCAACAGGCACGCTCATGTATGGCCAGCGGTGCCCTCACAGGATAGTAATATGCACCTCAATGTGCATATTCCCCCCTGTGAGCAGCTCTGCGCTTATTGTCCTGTAAGTGGTTTCAATATGGTCCTGAACTAGTTCTAACCCACTTTTAGAACGAGCGACGCACAACCTTTCAATCCGCTGCGGCCCTGAGGAAGCATGTGCGGCTTCACTTTGCTGTAAGTACTAGTCAGGTAATAACTAGTCCTGGACTACTTTCTGACTGCTTTAGAACCGGAGCGATGTGGTAGTGCCAGCTGCTGGCTTTAATGGGAGGGCCTTTAACTAGGTAGTTTATGACTACATACTGACCATCTACATAGCAACACAACTACCATCAGCCCAGGGTCAGCGTACATTATGTTGTCTCATCAAGTGCCCGAGAAACTCGACGACTACATACACCTCGTTCAGGAATAGACCTTGGCAATAAATCATCATTAATTGTTAACGATAGTTTAGTGGTCAATGGTCATTCATCCAACTATGATCAAATCTATTTTTCTCCTTTTCTTTTTCCTCCACCGAAAGCTCCCCGGTCCATCGGAGGTCCTCCGACAAAGAAGTGGGTTTGACCAGGTTCCTTGCAGCTCTTCAGGGAAACAAGATACTTCCATGCGATCTCAACGTGGATGGATGAAGAAATATGAAAATAAATCATCCGAGGTCCGAGGGTGCGTCGTCAAATGGTGAACTGTTGATTTAAGACGCGGCCCGCCTAAAACCCGGCCTCCGCTCCAGTTAACGCCACGCTTATCTTAGGCCCGATGCTGATGGACCTTTCTAATGCCCATCGAGTATTGTTACTCGCGCGAGCCCCATTGGTTACTCGTGGAGTCGTGGGGCCACGAGAATTCTATCCTGGAAAGCAACTAAGCGGTTAATTTTATGGAACATATCATAGACATAGTGAAGAGTGGACAAGAGATAGAAGTCTCACTGGTTTTTGAGCAAGCAGTCAAGACTCAAGGAATATGAGGAGTTGGGGTCCTGGGGATCTAATGAAAAGGATTTGATATGGTTGGAATTAATTTATCTGCGAGAATGGCAAATCTTTTTTCTTTTCCCATTGCGTGGCAAGTGGCCTTGATTGAAAGCATTCAGGATGGACTCGTTGCAACAGATAGTATTCTAGTGATTAACCAGACACGATGGAAGACTCTTATATGGAAATTACAATGTAATCTTGTATGCTCATCTCTTTCGGAAAAGTAGACAGTCTTAAAGTGAAAGAAGAATAGTACAGTAGAAGAAAGGAAGAACAGAAGAGAAAGTAAAAAGATATCTCTAAGATGCATTTCCAGTCAGGACGAACATGATGCATCAAGTCCATTGTAAAATGCAAATCCGTCAATCATAATCAATGCATCCATGATAATGATCCTGCTGTCCGAAGTTCTAATGAGCAAAATAAGACAAGAAGGGAAGAAAAAAAATCATCGAACACCTTCATTGCTTTGCGCTGCACCCTCCTCTTCTTCTTCGCCTTCTAATGAAATCTCATGACCGCTCCCCTCGTAGACTAACCCACTGACAACCCACCCGACAATCGCGACACCACTGAGTCCCCACCAGACTGCGCCAACGATTCCGTGTCTGAGTCCTAGACCGTAGAGCCAGCCTCCGATCGCAGGGCCAAGGGATCTTGCGCCCGAGGAGACGGACTGGCCGATACCGTGGATTGTGCCTAGCACAGAGGGATGCGGGGAGCAGTTGTTCACGAGAATGTTTGTCGCGGGTAAGGTAAATGTGCGTCCGAGGACTTGGATGAGGAGGACGACCGAGATGGCGAGCCAGACGAGGATGCCTTGGCGGTGGTGTTCGGCGTCGGCTTGGGGGTCGGTGGTGCGTGGTAAAGAGGGTGCTGGGAGTGAAGAGGACAGATTGCGGGAAAGAAGAGAAGAGGTGGATGATGTAGGGGTGCTGGGTGAAGGAACAAGCGCCAGAAATGGTGCAAGAGTATATGCAAAAGGGAAGAGAAGCAAAAAGATGCGATAGCAGAAAATTGTGCCAAATTTGTGAGTGATTGTTGGATAGACGCCCAATTGGAGGACTATACCCATAGCGCCGAGAATGGCCATGGCAAGGCCAACGCTGCGGGGAGGCATGCCGAGACCGCCGGTAAAGAAGAAGAACTTTTTCAAGGGGGAGGAAGAGCTGTGGTTGTGATGTGACGAATTGTCGGCGCGTGGGGTGGAGAGAAAGGTGTACCATAGGTTGTTGAATGTGCCCAAGTGCCAGCCCAGGATAAAGTGCGCGAGAAGGGTGAACAGGACGTTGCGTGTCCATATGCGTCGGAATGGAAGCTTGCGTTTGCGACGAGGTGGAGAACGCGGCGAGTTGTGTGGGTCAGCAGTAGATGTGCCGTCCATTTTAGGAGTCGTGGTCCATGATGCGGCTGGGGATCGTTCCAGGTCGATGGATTCACTAGGCCCGCGTGAGGAGACGTAGCTGAGTTGTCGTGCATGTCCGCCGGTATAGAACTCGCTGTGTTCGTCACGCGAGAGGGCAGAGTAGCCTTCTGTACTGGCAGGGCTGAGTGGAGCAGCGATGCGTCGTAAAGTCCGCGACAGGAATTTGCCTAAACGTAAACCATAGTCTGGTTTATGGAGGCGGCTTTCTAGTGTCTGTATTGTGTTGGCAACTATGCTCATGAATTTCACGTTGATGATAGATATATGCTAAGATACGTACCTCTTCGAGTCCAAGAAAGACTGCAAATGCTGAAATGAAGAGGAAGATTGCACTGATCAAATTTGGCAATGCATAAGGCCATTTCATCATCCATCGTACACCACTTTTGCCGCCAAGAATCGAATTGGGTCCGAAAATGTGCGGATATGCCTCAACCGGATCAGCAAGGCATCCGCCGATAATAGGACCAATGATTACGCCAATGTTGAAGCACATTGGCAAGAGGAGAAAAGCCCGCGACTGGTATCTAGAGAGTCGTTAGCTTTGTGGTCATTTTGATAGGAGGGGGAAAATAAAAAAAGAAAAGTAGAGCAGCCCATTCAAGGGTTGATAAGTGAGGGCAACAAGATCCGACATACTTCTTCTCTTTGATAATTTCCGATATCATCGTCCGCAGTACACCCACGTTACCGTTCAACACGCCCCCAAGGATGCGAAATGTAATAGCAGATGCAAACGATTTGGAAAACCCGAAACCGATTGAGGCAAGAGTGGTACCAAAAAGGCCTATGAGCAATACTCTCTTTCTTCCTCCCCAGTCGGCATCCGATACTCTGCCCCACAGGACTGCGGTAAGGAATTGCGCGGCAGCGAAACTACCCTGAAGAATGCCCGCTTGAGAAGAAATGGTAGAGTCCGGCAGAGAAGGATCAAAGGAACGCAATTGGTAAAAGACATATGCAGCCAACGAATTTTGAGCCAGTGGTTCAGACATTCGTGCCAGGACAAGCAGAAGCAGCTGTCCCTTTCTTGGCAGGGACGCCCAAGTGACGGGCCCTGGCTTTTCATTTTCGTTTACTTTCGCAGGTCTGTTGTTTATGGTGGGAAGTACATCATCCGGCTCTTCAGATGGGTCTGATTGCACGTCAAAAGAAACATGTCTTGCGTGTTTGCGACGTTCTGGCGCATCATGATCGTAACTTTCTAGCGATGGCTCGCGGTCGCGTGCCCATTTCGACTGATCTGCCAGTCTTATGGAACTGATTGTCGATGAAGACGCATCTCCAGAAGGACCCGAATCAACGCAACTTGTCTGTGATTCCTCCCCGAAATATTCTTCTCGTGGATTGCTGTCTTTTTGTTTGTTTGTTGTGCCCTTCATCTGCCAGTTCTTGGCGTCGTCATTTGGACCGGCCGGCGCCATGGGCTGTCAGTTGCGAAGTGACTCGCGTGAAACCCCACGAAATCCGACTTGGCAACGCCACTGCCGATAAGGAAAAAAAAATTTCCCAGTTAAGGATGCACTGTGTCTGTTTTCGGTTCCTTTTCCATCGGACTGGCGTAGAAGGCGGTTTGACAAGGCTATCTGGATTTTATGCAGTATCAATCGTCCAGATTTGGGGCCAGGGTACTGAGAAGTTGCATGAATATCGAGAAATTTGAGAGACTAGTGGGTGAAAGAAAAGGCTATTGCAACATTTGACACCATTGAGGGGATAAGATAGGCTCTGGCGGCCGATTTTCCGCCCCGGAATGGCCGAACATCAGCATACTAAGCCCCTTATGGGCCAGTCAACTCTCCACTATTATTGGTGAAGATTATCCTTTCGCCTCTCATTCTGCCGTCCGTACTGCTGCTTTCTTTCGTCTCTCCGCCCTCGATTCCTAACCATGGCGGGGTAAATTATCGTGCCCCTAAATGCTTCCCCTAAAACCCACGTCAATAACCTGTTTCAACGAAATGAATCAAGAGAACCGCGAATGAAATGGCCCAATGAGAATAATGAATTGCATCATGGCTGCTGACGTTTGACGTCCAAGCTCGGGGTCTAACTTGCGCTTACCTCAGATGAACAATTCGTAGCTTCACTCCGGTTCAACTTCAGGCGAAGGTCAGACCCCACAAATAAATGCCCCGCCTTGGACTCGTCCACGAAAATAATATAGAAGTCTTCCCTGTAAATTCTTTCTAGCGCTCAAAATCTCAAAAGCTCAAAGAAACGTAATTTAGCAATGGCCGACTCGTCTTCTCTGTCAGCCGTCCGCCCATCCTTTCAACCCGGGTCGGTGCCGAACGAGAGCCCAGCAACACAAAGAATAGTCGACGCGCTCAAGCTGCAGCAGCACATCGAAGGCGGATACTTTCTCGAGACCGACCGCGATTCGTTTCGTATTCCAAATCCATTTCTCAATCAGCCGCGAGCTGCTGGCGCTGTGACTGCCGCTCCTGCGGGAGAAGATAGCACGCGCGCCGCGAGCACGACAATCTTCTACTACCTCACCCCAAGGACTTCTTTGGGTGCGTTCCATCGTAATCGCGGACGAACGATTCACACGCTGCACCGTGGTAGAGGCAGATATCTCTTGATCCATGCAGACGAGGTCGCGGGACAGCCGGGCAAGAAGGCACGTGTAGAGACATTTGTGGTGGGCCATGATGTAGCCACGGGCGAGAAGCTACAATGGATTGTCGAGGGCGGAAAGTTCAAGGCCAGCTTCTTGCTTCCGGATCATGAAGGTGGTTCGGACAGTGAGGGGCTGTTAATTAGTGAGGTAAGTACATCGGTCAAGCTGTACATGCTGGGGATAGTTTGGCATCCTTCCGGCTTCTTCCAGGTGTAGAGGTCAATCATCAGCTGCGAAAATTTGCTGCTAACTACCGTACCTTCTAGACGGTCATTCCTGGTTTCGAATACTCCGACCACGACTTTATGGTGCCTGAACAATTATCGGAACTGGTGACACCGGAAGAAGCAGAGCAGTTGTCGTGGTTGTTGCGTAAAGGCCCACCACCCAAGGCGGAGGAATTGTAAAAGTATTGTGTTGAGAATTTACATGAAACACGCAATTAGACTTACAATGAATCACGACATCAGGTTATATCACAATTAATTATCTAGAAAATCAGAAAAGTTTTTCATTGAATTCACTTTTGTTAAAAGTCTCATTGTAACGCTATGCCTCCGAGCTGCAATAAAAAGTGAAAAGCCATTGTATTCCAGCTCCCCTGGACGGGCGCTGTATGCATGAAGTCAATTAAGCAAAATAAAGCTAAAATGCGCCTCTGCTATGCTCTTTGAATGTGCTAAGCCGTCAGGCGGCGGTTCAATCAACTCCGTAAAGCCAGATTAGCTCAAAGTTTCAAAGATGCTATTTCCCAGTCCAAAGCGCCAGTATTTTCCCGATTGTTCCTCGATTTCATAAAAAGAAATGCATTCAAAATAAAAGAAAAGAAAAATTGTGTGTTTGGATAGGCGAACTCGACTGCACCATGAAAGTGACGTTCTTGAAGCTGAGAAAAAACCGATTCGCTCAAAGCGCACATTGATGCAACTCTTCTTTTGTCCTTGTCACCCACGCTATCAGCGAATTTTGGGCCAAATATCCTGCCTTTAGTGTTGTGGAGTCCCTCGAGCAAGCCCCAGGCGGTTGCCAGGCAGAGGAGGAAACCCAAAACTTTTAATTCTCTTGGACTCGGCTGCCCGTTGAGGGGTATCAGGTGGGGGAGCACCGAATCTACTTGGTTTGGGAGTGCCAGTAGGAATATTCGGAAGAGCCCTGTTGGTGGCATTCAGGCGTGCACGCATCCGCTGGTTCATCTGAGCAGTGCTGCCATATGCACTTGCGTGAGCAGGATTGATTCCACCTCCTGAAGGCGTAGACGATCGAGCGCGGCTAGAAAGTCGGGCATATAATTGAGAAGTGGCATGGCTTTGGGCAGCAGGAATGACGGTATTGATAGACATACCGCCACCGTTCAAAAGTGTCGAGAGTGTCGCAGCGTGGTTATTTGCTTGAGGATTTGCACCAAAATGATGTCCGTTTGTGGCAACGGGAGGCTGCCTATGGGGGTCATGCGGTTCCGAATACCCATGATCGGTGCTGGGAGTGCTTTCTGTGGTTGGTGCATTCTGCTCAGCCATGAGCTGTTGGACGATGCGCTGAAGGGTGGCACTGATGTCACTGTCAGGTTGAGGGGTTGAATGATCATTATCATGCGCCGATAGCTCCGAGTGCGGGTCAATGATTGCGTTTTCGTCTGGATCGGCAGAGAGTGTGCCTCCATTTGCCAATGCAAGGAGGGCATCAATCTGTGACTGATCAAGCCCGTGGTCATTGCTGGCTGCTGGATTTGCAGTCGAGGCGGGCTGCTCGGGCTTCACGTCGTTGATGGCAGTAAATCCATTCGTCGGCATTGGATCCGGTGGCCGATTGGTGGGAGGATCTAGATGAGATTCGTTCATTTCATTCAGGATAGCTGTGGCGGCATTGAGTGCTTTAATGATCTCGCTCGAGTCGTCATCAAATTCTACAGGCTGCTGATCTGACAGATCAAGGGCTCGTTGCTCCGTGGAAGGCAGGATCGAGTCGCCATTCTCGTCACCACTATTAGTATCCCCCTCGTCATCCTGGTTCAACCCAAGCACGGCATTGATCCCATTCATGATCTCAGGATTCGAGGCCATGGTACGTAATGCTTCAGTGAATGGCCGCGGGTCAACAGATCCTCCTTCAAGGGCGGCCTTGAGCGCATTGGCAGCTTCGATGTTAGGACCAGCCCCATTCTTGCCAACACCAAGCAGGGCATTGGCCAACAAAAGACCGGCGGCGTTGGTGTCACCGTTAGGTCCAACACCAGGCGCAGGGAATAGAGTATTGCCAAAATTGGGTGAAAGAGAAAAGCCGGTGAACGAATCGCTACCATATGAACGAATCTGCTCTTTGGTCTCGCGTTTGGTGCGTCTCTTATTGAATTCCGATTCCATCCACGCAGCCTTCTCGGGGGACTGGCCAATGCCATAGAGTTTCTTTGCTCGTCTGTTGATGCGGCAGCGAAGGTCATTGTCCTTGTCTGTTTGACAGAGTCAGTATACAATTCTCCGGCCTATCTGCCTCCTAGAAGACCTACTTCTTTCATAATTACTTTTGCGCCAACGCTGCTTCCTTTCCCGATTCTCCTCCCTCACCCTCTCCCGTTCTGCGGCTCTGATCGGGTCATCATCGTCGTCAAATCGACGGTTGTAAGCAGCTGGAGGATGCGAGAGCATCTTCCGCCGCGTCGCATCATCGTCGAACCCCATTGAGTCTCTATCCTCGTTGCCGATATTGCTAATCTGCTTTGCAACCCAGAGCGCAAGTTCTGTTGGATCAGATGGAGCGCTAGAAAAATCAATCTCGGATGAAGGAGGCGGTCGAGTGATGTCGGTGTGGTATTTAAATTCATTATGAGAGTGATTTGTGTCGTGACTGTCGGCTTCACTGGCGGCCATTCCCAACTCCATTGCCTTTCCCAGATCTGCAATGGCCGACTCGGCAGCCTGATTGGCCAGTGCTGCAATATCCAGCTCGCCATTGCCTAACGGTGTTGTGTCCGCTTCTTCATTCACGTCCGGCGTGTGATGAGATTGCTCAAAGGAGGGAAAGTTGGTAGGGTCATTTGTCGAGTTCAAGGCTGGGGGGAGAGCAGAGACACCCTGGTCTTCAGTGCCTTCCTCGACTTTGATACGTTTAGATCGATGCTCATCATCGCTGAGGTGCTGAGGTTGAGGCGGTGAATGAGACTCAGGTAGTGGTGGAGGAGGAGGAGGAGAAGAAGGATTATGAGGTGATTGTGAAGCTTGTTCGGTGCTCATGATGGGCGCTGCAAAAGGCAGGGAGAGAAGGCTCGCAAACTCGGCGCTGTTCGTTGCTGTGCCAGGCTCACGAGCCTGAACTTCGGTCACTGCTCACATTGGCAAGCGTCAGTGTGATGAACTCCGAAAACAATAGCAATATTCGTGCCAGCGAATGTAAAGGTATAATAACAAGAGGGGAGTCAAGGGTTGAGTCAGGATCATCTCTGGTCGGAGATTTTTAGGGTCTGTCGCAAGATAATTGCCCCACCAGCCCAATGCGGACCGACAAAAAGAGTCAGGCTTGTCAAAGACAAAAATAACCTACTTTCAAAATAGCTAAATTGGAGCCCGCAACTGCAGGCGTGCAGTGGTTAATCGTACGACTCGTCCAGTCGTCAGATGTTGTTTGTCAGAGGGACAGGTCGGACTGCTTTTTCGTGACTGTGGCTAGCCTCGTCTCTCTCCTCGAGCGGAGGAACCTTATCACACTAGAACCCTTTGGTCGGTTGTTTCTCGGACAGGAAACCCCAGAGACCGAAGCATAGTATTTATACCGCCGAGACTGGCAAAAAAATAGTCGCAATTGGTCATGCATCACTTTAGCGTCCAACAAGAGTGAATATGACCTTTCTAGCGAGGTTATTTGGGGTACCATTTGTTTTGCATGGAAAGGGACATGCACAGGCTGGCATCATAGCCGCCTACACTTTTCTTCTACCGCGCGGAGGGCGTCTCGGGCGTTTGTCAGGCTCGGCAAGATCCGCTCCCATCTCCCGTCGCTAACGCTTACGTTTCCATATCCCCCATACTACCGTTACCTGCACTCATTATAACGTCGGAGCTGTGCAAATATCTAGGCTTGTTGTTTCAGTTGTCAAATACTCCAACAATGCGCTTCGTTACAGCTTTGCTTCCTTCATTACTTCTTGCCGGAGCTACCGGCGCGTTGGGAGCGTCATGGAGCTTTGACGAAGGTACCATAACAGTGCAGACCAAAGGAGCTGGTGTTGGCGGCGGATACAAGGACAAGTATGTCACAGCTATTCCCCTTCCCCTCCTTTGTCCGCGATTCATGGTCAATTCAATCATCTAGATGGAGCTCAATCTTCTATGATACTTACTTATACTAATTAATTGGCCCTTCCTTCAGACTTTCTCCATCTACCACCTTGTCCCAACCCATCAACCTTGGGCCCTCGGATAACCTCAAGATCCTTCTGACAGCCAAGGAAGGCTCATCCACGCAACGGCCTCACCAAGCTTTTCTACAAGTCGGAGATGCCGACAATGGCCTATCTATTTCCTACGCCCTTAACGTGCGCGATAGTGGCAAAGCCAAGCTCGAACTGGTACGTCCTGCACATTCCCACGCAGGTGCAAGCACCCGCAGTATCTGGTTTCCTTTATCATATTAAACAAAGCAAAATCTCCACAGAGCCAGAAGGACATTCCCGCGCAGCTCATTGCATCTTCGAAGCCTCTCCACGCCACTCTCCTTCTCGGCTCATGGGGCACGTCGACACCATACAGCAAACAGCTGTTCGACCTCAACGTTCTCAAGGATCCTAAGACGCCCATTGCCGGCGCGCAGAAGCCCCTCCGCTACGGAGCCCTCGAGGAGATTCACCACATTTTCCGCGGTGATCCGAAGAGCCCTCCAATCATTATCACTGCGGTTTTTACCTTGGTAGTTGCTGCCATCCTGCCAGTTTTGTTTGGCGCGGTACGTGATTCGGTTTTCCCTTCCTCACCCCATCCTTTCCTCTTCCTTTTCCCCACAGCCATCCCTGATTCCTGCGATGCCGATTCCAAAGCTAATGATTTAATGCATTGAATTAAATAGTGGATCTTCCTTGGCGCCAATCTCAACCACTTGTCCCGCGCCTTGTCCAACGCTCCGGTATCGCACTCGCTCTTTTACTCCTCTATCGTTGCCCTCGAAGGCATTTTCTTCCTGTACTATACCAGCTGGACACTGTTTCAGACTCTGCCTGCCGTTGTGGCCGTTGGATTCGTCACGTTTCTAAGCGGCAGCCGAGCCTTGTCTGAGGTGCAGGCGCGAAGACTTGATGGATTGCGGTAGATAGTCCAATTCATTACAAAAGATTATCGATGACGGTATATGACAGACATATATCACATCCGAAAATATATACAAATTAAAAAAGTTTCCCACTATGCTGGATTTCTTTTTCTCTTCTAAAAATTTATATGCATTACAGTGAGCGCGGTCCATCGCTTGAATCATAGAACAGTATAATACTGTCTAAGCAGCATGGTATCGAAACCTTATATAAATAGACGTGCTATCTACGACTGATCCAACTCTATTAGTCTACTACTATCCACGCAAGCGAACACAATAAATGCGTCGACGTAGTCTCTGGGATATATCAAATGCTCGATGCATACAAGATTACTTTTCAAACGGCGCACCGGTTGCCTTTTGAATTAATTCTAGCGCTTTGAGAACCTGCGAAAAAAAATTTGATCAAGTATTAGCAGTAGGCACAGATATTATCTTCGATGATCGTTGCTTTTTCCTTCCCTTCCGCCACCGGCTTTCCACCACCATGAATAAACAACAATCAAACAAGCCTTTACAAAACCGACAAAAACAATTGGACACAGTCGAACGTACCTTTTCGTCTTCATATCTCCGCGCAACTAGCTGCAAAGCTACGGGTGCATCGCGGTAGAGTTCTGGCTCGTCTGCAAAAGCAAGTGGAGTTAGTAAACTTTTCAAGAACACTTCCTTTCTAAACGAGAGTATGGACTATGCAAAAGGTGGACCTACAAAGCTTGTAATTATACTCGTCTTGATCATTCAAAGGCTTGTAGTCAGTCTCTGTGACATCGACATCCGGTTTGACTTTTGTAACGGGGAACACGACAGACGGATAGTCGAGCAGGTTCCACTGGCTGGTGTAGCCCCAGTACCTGGCGCAGTTGATTGGTGGTGCGGCGCCGGGTCTGCATTTGATTAATAGCGTTCAGCATATGTTCTCAAATGTACTAGATTGTAGGGCGACGGGAAAATGGTCATAGTCTGCAATGTAACGGCTGCGAAAGGGAGAAACGGGATAAGGAAATAACACATACCCGACAGGACAAAGGATAACATCTACGGCACCCTCGAGGACGCCTTTGCCGTGATCTTTGACAGCAGTGCTGTTCCACAACTTGGCGTAGTCTGTCCGGTACTCGTTACGTTGACGATGCCAAAACCAGATATCATCAATGGAGTGTGCTTTGACAAGTGGGTTGTCTTTGATGATAAATTCGGACAGGGGCCGCCATGGCTCGCCAGATGAGTCAATGGCAGCGGATTCTTTGGCACCGCCGTCCGGAAAGTATAAGCTAGCCTAGAGTTGAAGCGCATTGTGTTAATTTGGCACGACAGTTCCGCACGCGTTTCCTTGGCAAAGGCATAGCCTGTGTGGCTGGAGGACGATTGAGAAGGGAGAAAAGCTTACGATAATGTCCCATGCCAAATCATGCTTATATGGCTTCCATTCGACTATCTCGTAACCCTCTGTTTGCTTCAACTTTTCGACGACTTCCTTCAACGCTCGCAGCACCGGCGGATGCGGTTTGACCACCTCGTCGGTCCATAAAACGCCCACTTTTATCTTGAACTTGCCACTATGATCGGTAAACCAGTTTGGGTCAGGCTGCTTCCATGGCAAGGGCACGAGACTGGGTTCTTTGAGCCAAGGTTGTGCGTCAATAACAGTTTGCATGAATAGCTCGATTCCTTCGAGGGAGTTGCTGAGCGGCCCGACAACGCCAACGATGGAGTCGGCACCTGGCATGGCAGATGCGTAGCCGCCTGTAGGGAGGCGATATGTTGAGGGCCGAAATCCGTAGGCACCATTGTTTGCAGCAGGTGATCGAATGCCTGTTTTTCATAAAATGTTAAGGGGCTGGACTCGGATCTATACTGATTAGGGAGGGTGTGCAAAGTGCATACTGCCGCCAATATCAGATCCAATTCCCAGGATGCTTCCACCAATGCCTTGCAGTGCGCCTTCTCCACCAGAACTTCCTCCACATGTCAGAGCTCGATTGAAGGGGTTGACTGTGACACCGCAGAGATTCGATGACGTTTCGAGGTGCATCTGGAGACGAGTTAGAGCGAGTAGTTCCATTGGTGGTGTTATCTCTTACCAAAGTTTGAGGCTGTGTAGATCTAACGTAGAAGACGCATCCCGCTTCCCAGAGAATTTTCAGGAGATGCGCATCCTCATCTGGTACTTTTCCAACAAACGAGCAGAAACCGGCATTGAGGTCCAGCCCCTTCATGCCAAGATGCTCCTTGACACTGATTGGGATGCCATGCAGAGGTCCAATTGGTCTCTTGTGCTCTTCGAGATACTGGTCTAGTTCTTCTGCACGCTTGATCGCTCGCTCTGGAAGCAGTTCCGCTACGCAGTTGACCTGACCTTTCGTTTAGATGATACAATACTGAATAATACCCCGAACAGAGTCGGGTCCGCATGAGCGTACCAATTTCTGTCCCAGACCTGCTCGACGCAGAAAGGCCTTGATAACATCAACACATTTCCACTCCCCTGTAGATAGCTTCTGCTTCAGTTCCGGTACAGTCTGCTCGGTGATTTCAATTTCTCGGGCAGACAACAGCTGCTTCGGTAGGCCGGTGACATTGAGAGGAAGCTTGGCTGGTGCATCTGGGATGGCAGGATCTACACGGGCAACGGTCTCATCGCGATGTTTTTGGTAATCGTGGGCAATTTCTTGCCACGACCTTGTTCCATTGGAGACAGTCATGGTCGAGGTCTACTTAGAGCGGTAGAATGTAAAGACTGATTTTAATCTATGAATTCAGGATACGAAGGTATACTGGAGGGATGACCAGTATTAGATGTTGCTATTTGAGCAACGAAAAGCCCGAATGGTCGACAGGCTGACCACATGGAGACTTTATAGCAATTTGCATTTCCAATCATGGCGCTGATAGTGAGATGGCTGTCCTCTCTACTGGTGGGCCTGGAGAGGCGGGGGAAGAGGTTGATAAGGAAGATGTTTATCAGTTGATGCTGCCCATTGAGGCAAGTCCATGCTCTTGCCGCGCACTCCGGCCCCCAGGGGAAATCATTTGCGAGTGCCGAGCCGATAGAGATAACTGGCTCTTCATTGCTGAAGGAGGTCTGACCGATAACAATAATTGCATTGAACCATCTAACGTTAGCTATCGAAATGTGGTTGATGATAATTCGAATGGTAAGGTATAGGGAACTAGGAATGGCTTTACCCCACTATCTGTAGGCTTTAACCCCATAGCTTTATCAGTTTCTCTAAGTTACACAGTTTAGTTCCACCGTCGGCTATACGCGGAATGAGATAACAGCGTCATATTCCGCCCAACCCATAACCTAAGCAAACAATAAGACGGACAATTATCGTCTTTATCTTCTTCATGAAATTAGAGAGAAGAGACTTTTTCAACTTTCATTCACCCCCAAGTATATTAATACAGTAATGAAACACGCTTTCGGGCACAAAACGCTGTGTCCTAATAATCCGTCCATGCGGATCAAAATGCTTCAGATAGAAGTGCTCCTGTTTTGTTCCCCTGCGCCCGTAAACTCCCAAGCACCCATAATCATCCAAAAGCTACCTTATATACAGAATTCCGCTGAATGTGAAGCATTAATTGTGTTTTATTGGTATGGACTTTGAACCACATTTGGCCCTCCCAACTTCTCCGTGACGCCCTTTTGCAGACCCAGTCTTCGTTCAATCTCAGCGGGTTGAACTCCCTTTTGGTCTCGTAACGTCAAAATCTGTCGAATAGTCGTGACATCAAGAAATCGTCTCCCAGTGTGCCCTCTTCTACCGATGCTCAGAAATTCTTCCTCAGCAGCATGAGCAATCTCCTCTCGCTTTTTAAGCAGTGCTACGGCTGGATTTGCGACAGCGTCTGGAAAAAGGCTCGGCCCACCTGGACGTCCTGCGACGGGACCACGATTGAATGTGGATGACGGAGAGTATGTAGGCGTAGGTTGGACTGATCCAAGTGCGCGTAAGGACGAAGCAAAGTCTGGATCTCGTGCGTCCAGGTCAATGGCTGGTAGCAGTCAGCGAGAATTCCGATCTGATTTCAATCAATGTCAATACCTTGATCCTTCGTGCCGCTGGCCTGGGGTCGAGGGTGCACTATTGGGCCTGTGGGCCTCTCCTGTGATGGCACAGGGCGACCTTGGACATTCGACGGTATCGGAGCTGTTTTCCGCTGTGGATATTTTCGAGCTGTCGAAGCTGCCGTCGTCCGAGCAGCTTTGGAGCCTGAAGAGCCCATAGCTAGATTGCGTGGATCGTTGCCAATTATTTAGAATCTTCTCTTGGCCATGTTGCTCGCCGTAGCTTCATATAATGTGGGGGGATGGGGAGATCAGCGTCACTACGACCATTGAGGTATTGTATTGATTCAAGCTCCGGGTGGTTAAAAGTACTTCTACTTTCTGTGCCCAGTAATTTAAGAGAGTTAGAAAGTTGAACTACTTTGGCACCTTACCATCCGTTTCTCCTTGCCTGCTAGGCTTATACAGCGTAGAAGCTCATATCAATAATGCCATTAATTTCTCACGATGAGTTGTATTTGACAATTCATGTCTATTTCTTTCCCATCGCTCTTGGTCAATCAGCTTCGAATGAGGGCCTAACTGTGCTACTGGTGGGTAGGAGGAACGAGACACCGTCTTTCTCTTTATCCTCATCTTTCGCAAATGGCGCCTTCTTGCCTTTGGAGTAGAAAACGATTGCAGTCCTCATGTCACGGGATGTCCACCCCATGACCTTTGTGTGTGGTTATTGTGTTCTCAAGCACATGTGGCTGAGAATCATCAGACTGTCGTCTGCATGACGAAAGTCCTTACTTCGCATCTTATCCCTGTCTGATAACCATCATGGTCACCCGCATCAATATGGTATCAGTACAATTACTGTGCAATAGAGAGAGGAAAAGAGAAAGGCGTTGCATAACCCATGCATAGTATGATTACACTTTTGCTGCACGGGTTTGAGACGAAGAACCTACCGGAGTACTCGTATTCCATACAAGAACGCATCACTAAATCTTACTAACGAGTATAGTAATGCAACGGACGAGGGCTTCTCGGAAAGCGGGCGGACTACGCCAATAGCAGATGATGAAATAATGGAAAGACTGGGGTAGAACAGTTCAGGAGAAGGATGAACCGACCATCTCAACGTGGGCCAACGGGCAATTTCAGCATTTTTCCCCCTTTGAGCAGCCGGAAGATCCGAGTGCTCATCTCGACAGATAACCTTGCGATACCTTGATGAGGCATAAGCACTACTACAAAATCACATTTTTCAAGGTTCGAGGATCAAGCAATACGGCTTGATCTTCACGAATTTCTGCAACTATTCCTGCCTTTCTTTTAAAGCGTGGCTTAGATGCTTTGAGTCATCAACTTTCCTAAGTTAGTGAGTGAAAAAAGTACGAGGTTCTTCATCCTTAGTTGCTCGGCACGGCCTCTTTTCCGTCCTCCGATCGCGCCCTCGGACGTCATTGTCTTCCCCTCGCTCCCTTAGCCCTCCACTGGGTGCTTCTAATGGCTCATTTACAAATATCACAACGCTGAACTTCCTTATTAGCCGTCACCCCTCCGATGAGGACCATTGTCTGTGTCCACGGCGCCATTGTCACCTTTTGTGCATTGGCATTCTAAGTCTCCAGACCGTTGAGCTCCAAAATGATTTATTACGGGCTCTCTCTCCTTTTGACTTGGGTCTTCCTGGTCGTGGTCGCGCAGGGTATGTACCCGACGATCGCTTGTGCATGGTCCGCCAAAGGGCATGTGTCAGGCGTGTGTTGAAAAAAATTATGTCAAAAACCCTCTCAGATCTTCAAACTAACAAACCATGCTCTCTATCAAGCTTCTGCCATCATCCCAGATCGACAAGGTCTTGAGATTGACACCGCGTTCGCCATCGAGGCCGTCAAGCGAGCATTCCCGGATGCCCCGAACAATTATGTCCCCGCCGCGGTCAATTGCCCCTCCACTCGCCCGGCGGTCAGGGGCGCGAAAACACTATCGCCCGAGGAGCAATCGTGGCTCGAGAAGCGCCGGAACAATACCATCGACCCCATGAAGGATTTGCTTGGTCGTCTCAACATTACCGGTTTCGACATCAACTCTTGGTTCGCAGCTCACGGTACAAATGCCTCGACGCTACCAAACATTGGTTTGGCTTTTTCCGGAGGTGGATATCGTGCTTTGATGAATGGCGCTGGCGCTATTGCTGCCTTTGACAGCCGAACAAACAATTCTACCTCCTCTGGTCATTTGGGTGGACTGCTACAGGCTTCAACATACGTAGCTGGTCTTTCTGGTGGGAGCTGGCTAGTGGGATCTATCTTCACGAACAACTTTACCACGGTCACTGATATCACCAGCCAAAACACTGGTGACTTTTGGCAATTTGGAAACTCCATCTTTAAAGGTCCGCCAAAGAGTGGCATCCAACTCTTGAACACGGCCCAGTACTACAGCAACATTTACGATGAAGTCAGCAACAAGGAAGATGCCGGCTGGCATATATCCCTCACCGATTTCTGGTACGTATATATGTCTGCTTGATGATCAATTTCGGCCATGGGCGCTGACCATGATAAACCTTTAGGGGCCGTGCTCTTTCTTTCCAGTTGATCAATGCCACTGACGGTGGCCCTGCTTATACTTTCTCTTCGATTCAAGATGATCCCCAGTTCATTTCGGGTGACATTCCCATGCCAATTATTGTTGCAGACGTATGTATTCGGATTCAGTTGTGGTCAACGCCTGAAATTGTTACGCACTAACACGTCGAATAGGGGCGGGCTCCTAACCAAACTTTGATCTCGGGCAACTCGACAGTTTATGAATTCACTCCCTATGAATTTGGCACCTTTGATCCGACCGTGTTCGGATTCGTGCCCACTCGGTACCTCGGATCCAACTTCACAGCTGGACAGATTCCATCCAACGATAAGTGTATTCGCGGATTCGACAATGCGGGTTTCGTCATGGGCGTATCGTCGACCTTGTTCAACCAATTCCTTTTGCAAATCAATTCAACGAGCATTTCTCCATCCTTCAAAAAGGCATTGACTAAAATCCTTCAGGATGTCGGCGAAGATAACAACGACATTGCCGACATCTATCCCAATCCATTCTATCACTACAATAGCCTTTCTAACCCTGGTGCAAATGCAACCACTCTGACCTTGGTTGATGGCGGCGAGGATCTGCAAAACATACCCTTGCAGCCTCTTATCCAGCCAGAACGGAGCCTGGATGTCATCTTCGCAGTAGACAGCTCTGCTGACACTACCACGTATTGGCCAAACGGTACCTCGCTCGTTGCGACCTATCAGCGAAGCTTAAATGGTACTGGCATTGGCAATGGCACCGCATTCCCATATATTCCGGATCAGAACACATTTGTCAACCTTGGCCTCAACACGCGACCCACCTTTTTTGGCTGCAACACGAGCAACATGACTGGCCCTGGACCATTAATAGTGTACTTGGCCAATTACCCCTATGTTTTTAATTCGAACGTGTCGACCTTTCAGGACTCGACAAACAATACTGAGCGAAACGCTGTCATTGAGAACGGATACGACGTGGTGACCATGGGCAACGCGACCACAGATGCTCAGTGGCCTGTCTGTGTGGGCTGCGCCATTTTGAGCCGGAGCCTCGAGAGGACCAATACGACGTGGCCTAGTGTCTGCGAGCAGTGTTTTAGCAAATTCTGCTGGGACGGCACTGTTAATAGCACCCAACCGGAAGGTTATGCTCCACCTACGACTTTTTCTAGTTTAAAGGTCAACGGCTCCGCGAAACTGAAGCGTGTCGGTCCTTTGGCGCTGCTGGCGGCCCTTGTCACGGGTGCGTCAATGATGTGACACGAATTTGGATCAGAATGTATACCCTGACATGCAGTGCCTGATTGGTACGTGTCATGACATCCTCTTCTAATTCGTCTTCATTTCGTATATCTTTTTTTTTTGTCAGCTCAGGAATTTTGGAGCGGATTTGCATCCAATGTTTGGCAAATATAAGGTTTGGAGTTGGCGTCGGTGGCATATATACAGAATGGCTTGAGCAATCAAATGACCTGGGATAAGGATATTAACGTTTGCTCTCAACGTTTGCCTGTCAGCATCATAGTAGGTGATATGTTTTCAAACACCTGCCGTCATGGTGAATAGCTCTTTCAGTATAGCGACCCATATGTTTACATGTATTCATATTTTCATTCAGTTCCTAATTTTATATATATTGGCTGCCCAGCACTCATGAGGTTCTTTTCAAATAAAAATGTATTAAATGGTGAAGATATTTGGAAATGGAGTTTATATTGCAGTACGATTATATATTGCAGGTCTTACATGTAAGGCATATTTGCCAACACCACCTTCATAATTAAATTCACTTGTTATAACCAATTTCTGTAAGAATTTTACTCGGCTTCATTCAAGAGGTTTTTGGTTGAGAACCTCAGTCCACGATGAATGCCTTGGTGTGAATGGAAGACAACAGGATGATGAGATGTCAACATGCGGTGGTAGGAGTTTTCGGTTAGTGGCTTATCGATAGTTGCCTGGAGCGACAGCCGAGCACAGTTCGTCTCACCCACCACAACAGGCAGGAGCTTCTCCTCTCGCTTCCCAACTAGTCGCGGGAGCTGCCCATGGACATGCATACATGCAACGGCGCCATCACCACTCTCATGAAACATCAACACCCATACGATACATCATAATCAGGTAGGTTCAATACTTTTTCGGATTTCTGGTAAGTCTTTCCTTTATCTGAGGGCATCAGACATTGGGTTTATGCTAATATTAAAAACGAGAGTTTAGATTTTGAAGCGCAGAGGTCCCTCAGGAGCAAGCCTTGTTTGTTTACCTGACGCTGACGATCGCTCATCGTCAACGAACAGAGAAAATTAAATCAAACTTGACTTGAGAGCCTTAATATCATTTGAAATCATTACATAGCCAAGGGCAGCTCGATTCTTGGCTATGCACCGAAGATAATTGGTGGATTCGATCATAATTCTAACCAGCTTTGACAGTTGGGTTTGAAGATTTTGGCGAGTGGTCGAAGAAATTTTGCTTGATTTCCCCATTCCAGCAAGCATTTACTCTGTTCAAGTGACAGCCAATACCTTACAATCACAACAGTCATGGTCGTGTCTACGCGTGCTCGCGCGGCCGAAAACACTCGACCAGAAACGCGATCAACAAAAATCACAACTCCTGCAGCAAAGGCACGAAGGACCACAAAAAGAAAAGCTGTTGAAGAGGAACATGATGCAGCAGAAGATACAGCTCGAGGTACTAACCTTGAATCGTCAAAAGCCACTCGAGGGAGATCCAAACGGACTGCCGCAAATAATGGTTCAAAACATGAAGAAACCGATGCACATGCTGAGGCGACCGAAACGCCGGCACCAAAACCTGGACGAGGACGGCCACGAAAAGGTACAACGAGCTCTCAAAGTACAGACTTTCCAGAAGGATCCAAAAAGACTACAACTAGGAGAGGAAAGCTGAGCGATGAGCCAAAAAAGAACGTCACTCGAATTACCAAAAGCGCAGAAGGCTCTCGGCCTGCGGAAACAATTGAAGATGTGGGCGAACGGGACACTGTGAGGGTCAATGCAGGACGGATGATTACTTCGGCGATTAAAGGGGCTTCTGGGGCTCTCGCTGCAGCACCAAAGAAAAAGGTTACTTTCCAGACTGAGCCAATTGCTATTGGAGACAAGGAAAATCAAGCACCGCTACAAGCTCGTACCAAAGCAGCCTCATCATCTGGCGCTGAAGAAAAGTCTTCTGCAAAGGCCACAGGTCTCAAGGCTAAACCCATGCGCAGACCAGCCGCTAAGACGACTAAGAGCAACAACAAAAAGCATAATGCGACCACAGAAGAGCCGACTTCGACTAAAGAGAGGGAAGCGAAATCACCATTGTCACCGAAAAAGGCAAAGCAAATCGCTGTCGCAAAGCAGAACACTTCAGATGAGGAGGAACCAAAGGGCAAGCACGAGACTCCCGTGAAAGAGCTCAACAAGTCGCCGGTTAAAGGACTAGGAAATGCAGTTCCTTCCTCGACGAAGAAAGACATCTACACTCTAGAGGCACCAGTCCCTCAAAAGACCAATTTATCGGCCCCACAACTCTTAGGAAAGATGGACACCTCTTACTCAGCTCTGAACAGCCCGGCTCGTCGCCCGCCACCCTCACCTTACAAGGACGCCCTTAAGAATACGCCGGTGAAGTTTACCCTAGAGCAACCGGTATCGAAAGCCCACTTCAAGGCAGCGACTCCAAAGCCTGCAAAAGCATCATTGCTTCAATCGCCTGCCCGAAGACCCTCCCCTGTCAAAGGAGCTCCTGCTACTGCACCTACCAAAGGTTACATGGCGCGGCCTGCAATGGAACCTCCTCAGACCATATCCTCAATGAGGTTCCCTAACCGGTCACTCTACACTCCGTCGAGGTTGGGCAGAAGCCCCTTAAGACCTCCGCGGTCGCCAGTCCACGTAGACGAGACTGAAACGATGACGATGAATGAGAATGCAGCCACTGAAAACCGCCCCACAAAGGTTATCTCTTCCGAGCCTGTAATCGAACAGGTCGAATCACCCGACATTGTCATGGACGATTCGCCTACACGAGCTACATTTCAGAATGAGCTTCTTCAAACTCCTTCGAGATTGTCGACAGTGATTGAACTGCCGAGCATGATTGACGCCGCTGCATCTCCGGAGCAGCTTGCGGTCGAAGAGGAGAACCAGCACCAGTTCAAGAGGAGTACTACCCCGCCGGGGCCACCACCGAGATCTATCACGCAGAATTTTGGATCTCTGACGCCAGCGACGGTCTATCCCTCGGATGAATCCGAGTCGGAGGATGAATTGCAGTCTCATCGACGAGGCTATTCGCCAAAGCAGAAATTCGAGCCTATTGCAACACCTCTTGTGCATGCGCCTGCCAGTCCTTCCCCGTTTACCGCTGGCAAGACACCGAAAAGTGTGACTGCACGTGGCAAACAGAGAAAGCAAAAGCCAATATCTCACCAGGACCAGCTCCCCGGCATGACGCCACTGGTCCAGCAATTCAGCACCTGGCAGGGCGCTAGTCCAGACAAGAGGGCTTCGAAGCAGAAAGAGCGAAAGGGCCAAGGAATCTTTTCGGCGCCAATATTGGAGAAGCCCACACCTAAGCTACAAAAGGCGGTCTCTCCATTAGTACCTTCCCCGTCGACTATGAATCTGACTCCAATGCAACAATCTTTCTTTTCCGATGAGATGAATGCACGCGAGGAGGAAGATTTCTTGATGATGGATGCAGAAGCAAAGGAAAACGAAATGAATAATGACCTGCATCTTGCGCTCCCTTTGGACACTCCAGCCCACACATTTGCTGATGGACAACAAAGCCCAATCGATCCAATGATTCTGGAGAGCACCGACAGGCAAGCAGCTGGATTGGGCGATACGACCATTACCTGTACCCCTGCAAAGCTTGTAGCAGAGACGCCTCGCGTGGTCCATACAGTCACAAAAGTCCCACTGAAACCAGCTGCTGACGACGAGGAGTCACCCTCGCGACTTCCACTCCGACTGAACAACGGACCAAGACGGTCACCTAGGAAATCGCTCCAAAATCCATTCAGCTCGAAAGATGACACTCTGCGGTTGAATAAGCCTATGAATAATGACAATTTCACTTACGAGACTCCTACCAAACAAACTCCTTCAACACCGATGATTTCCACTGGAGGTGTGGACTGGCAGAAATTTGCAACCCCAGCGAAGACTCCTCGACCGGATCTCAACCCAACTGCGCTCAGGGGCGTGATTGCATACGTGGATGTGCACACAACAGAAGGTGCCGATGCAAGCGGTATTTTTATTGAGCTTTTGACTCAAATGGGGGCACGTTGTGTCAAGCAGTGGAACTGGAACCCTTTTGCAGGGTCTGGAGAGTTGAGCAGTAGCACCGGTAGCACCACCGACGAAGACCAACCCGTGGGTATGTCGAAGAGCAAGATTGGCATCACCCACCTCGTGTACAAGGACGGAGGCAAGCGGACGCTGGAGAAGGTCCGAGAAGCCAAGGGCCAGGTTCAGTGTGTTGGAGTCGGTTGGGTTCTTGAGTGAGTTTAATCTTCTTTTGGGGCCTTCAATGCAGGCTCCGTGACCCATGTTCTAGATATATACTAACAGTTGTTTAGCTGCGAGAGAGATAATAAATGGCTCGACGAGATTGACTACGCAGTCGACATTACCATGCTTCCTCGAGGCGGCCAGCGTCGTCGAAAGTCTATGGAACCAAGAGCTCTCTCCAACGTCAATGGCAACTTGGTTCTCACATCAACTTCTCACAGTGCCAAGCAGCAATCAAACACAGAAGCCATGTCTCCGACAAAGGAGTTTCTCAATCTCGACAGTCCTGTCTTGACATCCGGCGCAGGCGCAAATAACACTGCACCCTCACGCCGCGTCTCGTTTGCTGCACTTCCTACGCACCAGAACCGCAGAGATTCTCAAGTCTTTTCGCCCGCCATCTCTGACGACGACGAGGATGACGATGACGATGACGACTACTGCGAGACCCCCGTTGCATTCAATAAGCCGTCTTCTACGCCTCCTCAACCGCCAATGACTCCATCAGCCGCCGCGGAGACCAACAAGGAAAACATTAATCTCTCTGCTCCTGTTCCGGTTCCGGCTTCATCTCCAGAAACCCCGTATACCCCATTTACATATACCTTTGAAACCATGTCCGACATTGATGACGATGACGATGACGACAACGACGACAACGAGTCCAACAACCGAAGTGAAACCGCGTACGAATCGTCTCCAGACATGCATGGCACATCCCCTTACTATCTCAAAGCCTCGTCCCTTGTCCAACAAACGTGTCCGCCCAAGAAATCAGCCCGACCTTCGTTTTTCGCGCCCGTCTCCAAAGATGCAGGGCCCCAGAATGAATCGGTGCGGCAGAAGTTACTCATGGCGCGGAGAAAGAGCCTGCAGTGGGCGCCCAAAGTGGGCAGTCCGCTTGCGCGAGGCGTGGTTAATTATGCTGATTATTAGTTTCATCCCACCTCTTTTTTTTTGTTTTTCTCTCTCTTTCCAAATGGGACCGGGCGTTAAGGTTGTGGAATCCTTGAGTGGTGTTTCCATGATATGTCTGCGCTTTTCTTTTCTTTTCTTTTCTTTTCTTCTCTTCTCAATCGTTTTGTTTCTTCCCCCCTTTTTTTTCTTTTCTTACTCTCTTCTTTATTTCTTGTCTTCTTTCTTTTTTTTTCCTTCTTTTTTTTTTCTTTGTTGTTCGTCTTCTTCTTTTTAACAAGGGTTTCATGGTCCTCTTCCTCGAGTTTTTTGTCTCGTCTCGTGTTCTGATATATCGCAATTACCTCGATGGTATGTCCGCGAAAATGAGTCGGGTAGCAGTGCCAGTGCCAGTCCTCATGGAAAAACCCACGGGGCGTGAGGATTTTCTTTTTTTTTTTTTTTTTTTTTTCTTCTCTTTTTTCTTTTTATTTTGCTTTTTAAATTGCTTGTCATTGCTTGTCCCTTTTTTTCCTTGCCGAGGCCGAGATGGGCGTATGGATTGCTTTTTTTTTTGTTTTGTTTTCAGGTTCATATTTTTACTCAGCGCTAAACACACCATACTCAATACTGAATACTCGACGCTCATTACGCGACACTCAATACTCAGCATTAAACACTCGATACTCAATACTCAATACTCAATACTCAATACTCAGTGCTCAGTACTCAGTGCTCAATAGTCCGCAACACATGTCGCGCTTTGGAACTAGTCTAATACATGTTTCTTGAATCTTCTTGAGTCCCCTCCTGACTGTCCTGTGATTTTTTTTTTTTTTTTTTTTTTTTGAGTGGAGGAAGATTTTCCCTGACTTTTTCGATTTGTGTCGATGTAAGCGTGAGATGAAGGATCATGTCAGTGGTCACTGTGGAAGCACGCACGATATATAAACTTTAAAGTAATGATGGCATATTTGATACGGGATGTACAGGGATATGGAATATGGGAATTAGTTGTCTGCTGAATTCAAAATTTGTGTAAACTTTTGATTTTGTATTGACTTTTAATTTAGTGTCAACTTGGTGTTTTGATTGGGTAGTGAAGTATATGCAGATACAGAAGATGTGCTGAACAATATGATCAAGGAAATGAAAATAACTTTTAATCCATCGTCTTTTGTTCTCCGGCGCATATTGTGAAGTATTTGTCTCTGGTCGGACGTTTATATGATTGAATGGCGACACAAAAAAAAGTAGCTGGACTGGATGGGTTCGACAGAATGACAGGACTAAGACAGGACGACTAGCAGCCAGCTCAAGATCCAAAATCCTCGCCTCGGAAGAACCCAGCGACAAGGAACGCCAACTCGAGAGCTTGTTTCTCATTGAGTCGCGGGTCGCAGTACGTAGTATAGTTCAGGCTCAGGTCGTCGTCCGTCAGGCCCTCGCTGCCGCCGACACATTCGGTCACGGCGTCGCCGGTGAGTTCGAGATGCACGCCGCCCAGGACGGAGCCGTGTTGCTGGTGGATGCGCAGAGCGGAAGAGACTTCGGAGAGAATGGATGAGAAGTGCCGGGTCTTGATTCCCGTGGGGGTGCTGCGTGTGTTTCTGTGAGAAAAATGTTAGGAGCGGGACCAAGTTCCGTGGATGGGATAAATAGGCACACTCACCCATGCATAGGATCGCATTGCCAGACAACGACGTGGCCGCTTTGTCTGACGGCTTCGATATGTTTGCCCAATAAGCCCTCGACTTTGCCTTCTCCGTAGCGAGTAATCAGTGTGACTTTGCCGGTTTCTTTTTTCGGATCGACAATGTCAAGCAGCCGTACTAGCTCGTCTGCTTCCATGCTCGGCCCGACTTTGATGCCAATGGGGTTCTCCAGGCCGCGGAAGTACTCGACGTGTGCGCCGTCAAGCTGTCTCGTGCGGTCGCCGATCCAGAGGAAATGCGTCGAGGTATTGTACCATCCGTGCGTTTCGTCTTCGGTGGTAGTAGTAGTAGCGGTAATAGAGGTAGTGCTAGGATTGCTGCCGCTGGCACTGGTGGTGGGATGAGCAAAGGTTCCCTGATTCAAAGCATTTTTGCCGGCGGGATTTCGCAGCCGTCGAGTCAACGTCTGTTCGTATTCAAGCAGGAGACCCTCGTGGCTGGTGAAAAGGTCGACGGTCTCCAGTTGGCCCGCTGTGTCGGCGCCAACGGTGTGCATGAACCGCAAAGATTCGGTGATTGATGCTATGATGCGCGAGTATTTCGCTTTGATGCTCGGGTCTTGCACGTGCCCGAGGTTCCAGTCGAGTGGGTTGTGCAGGTCGGCAATGCCAGATGAGATTTGCGCCCGCATGTAGTTGAGCGTGGCGGCAGAGTGGAAGTAGGCGCTGACAAGCCGGGACGGGTCCGGCGTGCGCTCCTCAGGGTCGTATCCGTTGATGTTGTCGCCTCGGAAAGAGGGGATTTGGCGACCATTGTAGTCTTCTGTCGGGCTTGAGCGGGGTCTAGTCCACGTCAGTTAGATTACAGTGAGAGAGAGAGGTTTGGGTGAAGACGTACTTGGCGAATTGGCCTGCCATTCGGGCAATCCTCACAACGGGTTTGTTTGCACCTGGAGACGATTAGTGGGAATAGTACGATTGAAAACAGATTGCAAATTGAACAATACCCCAGATGAGTACCAGACTCATTTGCAGGAGAAGCTTGATTTTGGACGTAATGGCGTCATCTTCGCAGTAATCAAAGAGCTCAGCACAGTCACCTAAGGGTTTTTTTGGTCAATAATGGGTGGTTAAAGAATGCTTCACAAGTGTGTACAAACCTCCTTGCAACAAAAAGGCTTTGCCCAGAGCAGCGTCCCGTAGAGCTTTTCTCAATTTGACAATCTTTTCCAAATTAGTATCGCCGGTCGTTCTTCAAAAGGTTGATATGCTTACTTCTGTAGAAGTTACAAGTGGAGGTAGTCTCTCAAGCTTGCGCAGCGACTTTTCGAGTGCCTCTCTGTCGTCATAGATAACATCTTGTTTGATTGGTTTCGTGGTCCAGGCTATTGTGGAATGTCCATTAGTCTCTGAGAAACGCTCTACCGAGGGAGAAATTGGAATCTCCGGAATTCGCGTTTTGTAGTCATCAATGAAAATGGAAACAGAAACATACAAGAAGGTGACCAATCGCTCGTTGCACTTCCTTCAACGTGTCCGTTGCTCGATTTGAGAGCCGCCGCAGTCTTGCCGGCACTGCTCAATTGAGGTAGTTCCAGGGGACCTTGGACCATCTTGCTGATCTTTTTTGAAAATGGAAAGCCTTCAATTGATGCTTCAATTTTGTATATGTTCAACCTTATACTATATAAAAATCTAGGGGTTGTGTTAGCGCCGAGATATATTGCCCGAGGGTTCAGCCGCAGGTTGCGTAAAGTCAATGATGCGAAGTTGGCCGATTGACATCATCGCAACAAAACGCCAGAAGAGAAAGGACATACTCGAACGGAAAATGACTTTTCAATGTGAAATACAAAGGATTCTGCGCAAAGCGAAAAACAATAGTTGTTAACGAAAAGGAAAATCGAATTCAAAGTGAACATGTAGAGAATATAAAACGACGCATGACAGCATGAGTCAATTGCGCCCTGTGGGTCAATTTTGTGTCATTCGCCAAGAGAACTCACCAGACGTTATTTGATGCAGATGCCAGCCACTCTTAGTATCCAACCGGTGGTATCTGGAATCAATTAAGAAGATAGCAATATTGAATATGGTCTCTGGAAAAAAGAAGTGTCTGGATCATAGAAACGCAGAGTCAAATCAAGCCACGAGGCAAGTGTCGTCGCTTTCCAGAGGATATTAACGGTTAGTTTGAGTGGGTCCGGACTATTATCAGATGAATTGTATCAATCTAATCTAATCCAAAATAGCGGCAATCTCCGCCAACTGTACCCCGGACTTTCTGCTCCAGATATGACGCTATTCATGTGAAGGAGCTTTGAAAGCTTCAATAGTGAGATCAACAATTTTGGACACATTATCAAATATATCTTAACTTCGTGGTGCGAATAAGATTTCAAAGTCGTTTACTGTTGCCATGGCAGAACCACAGCCGTCTTCGGTGCACGAAGGCGCCACGACCGGCGCCGAAATCGACGAAAATGAAGCTACGTCGAATATTCCCAAATCCGCCGAAGACCGTGCAACCGCAGCGGCCATGTCGTCTCTGGACACACGGGGCGCGGAGGAAGAATCCGTTGCTCCCTCAAAGCAACTTGACTCAGAGGCGCTTGGCAAGGCCATGAAGAATTTAAATGTGTCTGGGGGTGCAGCCCCTGCAAAGGCAACGGGAGGCGCAGCTGCAACCGCCCCGCCGGCAGAGAAGAAGAAGGCTGTCAAGGTGGATCAGGCAGATGTGACATTATTGGTAAGTTTGAGAGTTTGATCCAGGGTGGAAAAATTAATTGCACAATCTTGTCTGATCGGACAAGTGCCGGCTTATCCCGCATTTTGTGCAATTGAGTACTTCTTCGCGATTCCAGAATCCATCTCCTCTTTGCCTTCTTTCCTTTTTTCAATGATAAATGTCTTTGTATTGCCATTGTTTGGCCCTATTCAAAGGTTTCATCTTGTTGCATTCATCTAACAAGGACGTTACGCCTTTCTAGACGGAACAACTCAGTCTCGCCAAGCCAAAGGCCACCGAACTTCTAAAAGCGCATGACGGAGATGCGGTCAGGGCTATGAGGGCTTTTGTTACTGCTGCATAATTCCGCGAAGATATTCTCATCATCACATAAGGCGTTTGGAGAGCTGCCGGTTCACATATTATTGATGAAATACGATACAGTTGCTATATCGATTGCGATAACAGACACAACTGGGCCTCCTGGTAATGAAGGCCTGGGGATATTCCAAGATAACAAAATATTGACAGTACTTGGTCTCGATTTGGATATTTTCTATACGAGAAGCTTGTTATGATCTATAGCTTAACGTGCAAAATGTTAATGATAACTGCTTTCAATATCCGCCAAGCACAACTATAGAGATCATGGTGGCTGTAACAATTATATATATGGTAACGCAAAAACCCTTCAATATAATGCTAGTAATACCCGTTTATCCCCGATAAAAGTCCAATCTTTCCGTCGTCCCCTTCGTAAAATAAATCGTGATGTGATAAATAGATAGCAATGCCCGAAACATTGTAAATCAGTGTCAAACCAATGATGCAAGAAGGAATCAGACAAAAAAGCCAGAGATAATCCTGAATAATACAGATAGCCTCCCAACAAACTAACCCCAACCAGCCCATGTCCCCAGACCATTACTCCGTCATTACAGATAAGATCGTCGGGTTCGTTTTTAGTTTTATTGATTCCGTCCTTGTTATCTTTATTTTACCCTCACATCATCCCTAATGCTCGTGATCGTCTCCACTCAACGCCTTCTCGTTGCAAGCAAGAGGTTTCGGGACGAAATTCTTGGCCATGATTCCTCTTATAGCAGAGCACCCATCCTACACTAAAGCGTGGATTTCATGGACTATGCTCTGGACAACGCCCAACCACCCACTTTTCCCAAAGCTTGCGTTGCAAATAATCCACTGTGATGCCATTGTCGCCCAAATCATCCGCGCTGTCTGGATACGGTCTCCTGCCACAGTTGCACCAGGGTACTGAGGACGGAGTGTCAGGGGACAAAGCGAGCTCATTTGCTTCGGGGCCATGTTCACTATCATCGTCATGGCTAAATTCTGAATCATAATCTTCGCTATCGGTCTCATCTTGGTCCACATCGTGGTTGAAGTGAGCCTGATGACCGAACCCTTCTCCTTCAATCTCATCTCCACCGTCATCCTCACTAAGATGTGCTGGGAACTCGTCTTCATCATCACTATCGCTGCCAGGCCCGTCGTCTCGAATTTCCATACTTCCGGCCCAAAGCTCGTCAAACGTCTTGGCATATCCAATCCTTCGTAGACTGACCCAGTCCAAGAGCTCCATCTCATTCCGAAGCATCCCCAGAACATCTTTCCAGTGGCTACCTTCTTTGAGAAGCACATCGCGAAGTCGTAGGCCGCGTAAGGTGCGTCGATGTCTTCGTGCGAGTGCGATAATTTCATCAGCATTTAAGCGCCATGCTTGTATGCCTACTGCGCGCAGCTTATCCCATCGCACTTCATGGAAGATCTCTTCTAGTCTCAGGCTCAGAGGCTGTCGCGACGGAAATCCAACATGAACGGCTTGCATCGCGGTTGCAGAGGTGAAGAAGACTTTGAAAAGAGGTGAGAGCTCCCGCATCTTGTGGTCAAGGTCAACGCCATCGTCAAAATGAAGCTCAAGACAGGTGAGACGCTCGGCCAGGGACGAAATCATGCCGATAGAGACCGTTTCGAGTGCGACCTCGGAAACCGAAGGTGGGCTGAGGGCTGGTACCGAAAATCGTGAAAATGGAGATGACCCTTTGAGGAGGGCGCGGCCTACTGTTCTCAAAGCCCGCAAACATGCCGGAGTCCATTGAAGATCCACTCGGATTGTCGCGACTTCGCGGTTATCACTGAGATACTCGAGGAGTCGCCGGTCTGCCTCATCCTGAAGCCTTAGGATTTGTACGTGCTGTAGGGCCGTAAAGGCCGCCATGGCACGATTGAGAGCTCGGATATCCTCCTTGGTGCGGATGATGTCTTTTTGATCATTGCATTTGCGCAGAAAATGATTGGCATCAAGCGCACCTAGGTCCCCTCGAGACTCTCGGAAAAGCTCTCGTAGTTGATCCCTGCCTGGTCCTTTAACTCAGCCCCCATACACTGAACTGGGCCAAGGGATGCGCGCAGACGCTTCTCACCTTCAACATAGAAATAAGGCACCATATAGCTGAATTTCTTCACATGGCGAGCAAGTGATGGCCGGCCGCAGATCTTCTCCAATCGTTGAAAACCTTGACGGCTGAATCTGGTTGTCACGCGGGTAAACTGGTATGGAATTCCGAGCGCGGAGAACCGTCGGCATACCAACCTGAAGTGGCCCACATCTTGCAGTTGAGCTCGCGGCGGTGGGCATGGCGGTCTGAAGCTTTCGACCGATAGATATGCTCGTCGGTCAATGTTGACCGATTTTTCTGGATCGGCCTCGATATGATCTAGAATGTCACGCAAAAGATCGTTGGGCAATTTCAGAATGCCCGGCGGCTTTGCCATTCTAGAAATTGCAATGAGAGGTGAACAACCTCTGCCAGCTGGCCCTCAAGTGCGCTAAATAATGTGGGTCGAGAAGATTGATGGTGTAAGAGCAATTGACCGGGTCTCATGGGCTCAAAAGCGGCAAAATACTTTCAATGTAGTTATTCCCCTTCTGAATTCTGCGACTTGCAGAGTAAACGGGATAGGGACGTTGAACCGCAAAGTGACAAGTGGTGCGTGTCCACGGCAAACTCGCAGGACACGATGTCATGCATCAGTCGAACAATATGCCCAAACAATGAGAAAGATCAGCGATAGCCGAGAGAATACTTTGAAATGAAACAGTAAGGTATCACAGGCGGATAAAACCAGTGGGTTTGGCAGAAGCCTCATGCAATCAATAGAAAGTGAAAGAAGCGCACGACTAGATGAGGAGGTGGAAGAGCAGCAGAACCACAACGGGCACCACCATCAGTTAGCAGAGAATCACAGACCACGATGGCCACACCCCGTTTGACGAAGCATCATCAGGAGCCTGGGCGAAGAACCAATTGACGGATTTCCTGGCCCACCCTCACAGATCACATGACTGAAATGGGACCCAGCGGACGGACGTAGTACGGGAGCTTCCTCCCGTACCACCAGGCGGGGCGTGCAGATGCATGCGGGTGATGGGACCAAGCAGAGGAGATAGACATGGGAGGGGAAGGGAGGAGGAGCCCGAGGAAAAGAAAGGGGGAAGGGGTCTGCGACGACCAGGCGGAGTGGAAGAGGATGAATCAGGCGAGAAGAAATGCAGGATGTGCCGTGGCGCATAATGCCACCAACTGTTGTCTAGAACACGAAACCTTCCCGGAACACTTCGTCATCCAAAGACGCGCTCTTCCCATTCTGATTGCATATTCTGTGCTTTCAATTCCCTGTTGAGCGTTTATATGCGGTGTTCAATCTTCTGCACTTGAGGGATACTCGGATTTGAGCTGTCATGGCTGCTGTTTTGGACAAGAAGTAACCTGGGCCAGTTGGCATGTCCCGTCAACGGGGGCGAGAAGCCGCTGCAGGGTCGATCATTTTGCCAGGCGCGATTTTTGTGAGGTATCGATTGTATTTTTATTATGTTGCGTGGCTTTCTAATCTCCTCGACGAAAAATGTATTTGATTGCATCATTGCACCGCGTCACGTCTTGTCAAGAGCCGAATCAATCTGAAGGGAGCTTCAATCAATCGAATCACAGTTTGATATGCTGTACAATTTTTCCTTGATTCTTTTGCATCCGAGTGGCTTCGTACAAGTTGATGTAATTATTGTTCATTTACCAATCTCGGGATCGGCTTTCTGCTGCGCCAGATCGACATAATTTCCGTTGCCCATTGTTTTGAGCCGGTGGCTGTTTTAAGTCGCTGTTGCTGCCGTCCCCATATTCCCCGTCCCGAATCCAATAAAGTTAGACAAGCGACTATGATCATACACGTATTGAGCGGCCATGTCTTTCCAGTCGTGTTGCATTGGTGCTCCATTAAATGCACAAGCTATCAGTAATAAGTTTTCGTACAATTCCTGACACATCGCATGCCTCATATTTTCCCTGGCGTTTCTTTACTCCGTGTCGTAATACAATCGAAAAGATGCAGCTCCAACGAAAGCACTTGGCAGGCCTTTGATCGTCTACGGAGTATCGGCGAGCTCGTCCCATGGGCAACTTTCGACCAGCCCAATAATGCGACACTTGACCCCTTTTCGTATAATAACCACAACCCCCCTGGTTAAAACTAACCTCGCCAACATGCAGCTTGCTCCAATTGTCTGGCCAAGTAAACGCCGTCCACGCCAATCATGCGGATATGTGCCAGCTCACCCATAATCTAAAATGAAACCTCTTGATCGCCTACCAGTCCCATGTAAGAAAAAAGTGAATCAATTTTGGAGAAGATCTGGCTGTCTGAGTCAAATTTTCCCGTCATCTCCCGTTGAATAAGCGTATGCTGCGGCGCATTCAGTGCATCGGATGGCGTCCCCTTGGCCAAATACGACGCACACCATATTGCCTCATACACTTCAAGCATGGCAATTAACTGGCCCGTCACGAAAGTCCTACGCACCGATACGTAGACATTTGTCTCCTTCATGAATAGACATCCCGGCCTCCCACCTTTTGCCCTATTGAACATTGCCCGTCGGGGAAGCAATCCTTTCGTCTGGTACAGACAACACCATTGCATGATGCGAGAGTCGGGTCAGCCCAGCGAAGCAATTTCATCCACTAAAGCAAAATTTAGCAACAATACATGACCATTGTTGGGCATGCTTGCTTCCGCTCCTGCACATCTCCAGGATTCGTTTTGACGTCACCTACTTGGTTAGTCCTTGCGAAGCAAGATCAGAAACATATGCAGCGTGTCACGTTGAGAGAGGCTGCATAATTCAGCTATTTGCCCTTCTCGATGTCTACTAGATCAAGCGTAAGAGTTTTTGAGAAATGAATTCTAGCTGTGCCGTGCCCTAGCAAAATCACCCAGCAGTTGCTTTTGCTGCGTTTGCTGCCTTTTGCTGACGAATGCCGGTGCTGCTAATCTTTGTTGCATATTCCTCTGACAATTTGGCATCCTTGCCAGAGTCAGAGGCGGTCCCAATTTCGGCGTCAAGGACATCAACTTCAAATACGGCTAGGTCTGGCCACCCCCTTTCAGCTCGTTTCGTATTAACTGCTTTGCCCCCCGAGCGCGTCTCCGCCGACACAACGAGTGCCGAAATGGACTCGTCCGTGATTGTAGGACCGAACGGATCCGAGATCTCCACACATTCAACGATAAAGTTTGGTCCCAAATGCTTTTTCACGACCTTTTCATTTGGCTCTGATCCGTCACAGCGGACTTCGCGAAACAGGGTCTGATCCGTGAATGGAAAGCCGAGGGTAGCCTGGAGAAAGGCTCCAACACGTTGTTGTCGCGTCTCCCAACCTTCAAGGAACTCTGCATATTTTTTATTCTTGAGTAGTTCCTCGCCAGTGATACCCACGATAAGACGTCGTGGCATAGAATGGGATTGGGCATCGGGTTCTAGCAAGAATGCTGTCATTGTCAAGAGAAGCTTGTGCCCTGCATGAAGATGATCAAATGTGCCGCCTACCGCAGCAGCAGAATATTCGCGGTGGGGTATATCAACAGCCCCAATGTCTGTCTGTAGGTTTGATCCAGGATGTATCAGTCCTATTCCTCCCGGTACTCTCTCGACAGGTAGGTTTCCTTTCGGGGCTCTTGGGTTGTGGGCCGCCAGTCGAGAGAATTGCTGGAGCAAGCCCTCTCCAGGCTCCCCTTCGGTTGAAAATAGCTTATGCCATCGTTCTGGGTGCAGAGCAAGTGTTGGAAGATCAATGACCGGGCCATAGGGTATCTGCGGCTCCGAAACTGAGCCGTCCTCACGATCAAGTGCAACGAGCAAAACTCTGAAATCAACCCCACCAGCTCCTTCCAGTTCTATGGAGTCCTGGGCACAAATGACACAAATGATTTTATAGACAGCTGCCAGCAGTTTTTGAGTCTGTGCATACGACTTGCTCCTCGGCCGAGCAACTCTATCAGCCAGGTGGGGGCAGGGAAGTGCAATGTCCAGAATAGCCGCGTCTGAAGAGCTGTTTGGCATCTTAGAGACTGCTCGCAAGCTAGATGATAAAGGCGGTCTATAAGATGCTTCCAGCCCAGAGTAGGCAGAGGGATGCGGAGGAGGTGGAAGAAGCAATAATGCCTTGGGCACCGAAGGTGAGGAATCAGCCATTTTGGATACTGAGGACACCGAGAAACCACACAGAGAACCCTCAACGAGCGATATGGAGAAAATGAAAGATTGGCGGCAAAATAGGGTGAGAGTCTTTATGTTCGCAAGAGATATATTTACTGATTTTTGTCTTGTCAAAAAGTGTCAAATCTAATTTATATACAACATCTAGTTATTGGGGAAGATGGAGCTTTCAGCGTGCACTGACATCGTATATCAAAGCTGACTAAGCCTCCCCCAAGGCACCGCATCCCGCATTTCCCCCCCAAACTTCCCTCCAAAGCTCCAACCCGTCCTAGTTGTGACTACATATCCCCAAAGGGCCTCACTTCCCTTTAAACCCCCCCGTCACTCTCGGCGCCTGAGCTTCTTTGCTCTTGGTGAAGATGCCTTTTCACGGGCACCATCACTCGGCTTCTTCGTCGTACCAGAATGGTCCAACGACTCAGCCGGGAGCGGCAACTGGCATCTATCAAGCTGCGCAAGCCTTAGGCTCCATTGGCGCTCCTTCTGGAAATCTTCGAGTTGCGACGTCCGGGACAACAGGGGCTGCTACGGATGCCTTCCTCCCATCGAACGGCAATACCACTGACTTAATTGTTGGGGGCCAAACCGCTCCGCCTACCATTCCAGGCTTTCCTGGCCCTGGCACGGATCATCCTACCGCGACCGCCATCCAACCTCATTCAGCTGACTTATCGCGACGAACACAAACATTGGGCCGTCAACCCGAAGAATTGCATATGCCACCTTCAAGTTTGACCATGGGTCAGCATTCGTCTCATCAGCCCTCGCAGAACACACTACCTCAACGCTACGTGCCTTCCCAGGACCAGCTTGCCAGCAATACGCCAGGGATCAACGTACAGCAAGCAACACCAAAAACCAGCCATTTTGCATCTGCCTCCACGGGAGCTGGACTCCCAGGCGCTCTGCAACCGGGCAATTCGGGACGGCCTGTGCCGTCTTCTGTGAACACCGCACCATCCTCGATACCTTTCGCTCAAACAACCACGCAACCGCCGCAACAATACAGTACTCCGTCACGTTCTGGAACAGTGAGTCAGGCTCACAGTTACTCTCGATCCAGCCCTTCTGGCTTCGAGCAATCGAAATACATACCTTATTCAAGCACACCCGAGAACAAGTATACCTCTCCTCCAGCGCAGAAATATGGGTATCCGCAAACGCCTTCCGGCGCACTCTCCAATTCGCCGTTGGGCCTTTCAGACATCCGTCCCAGAGCAGACTCTTCCTTGTCGGATGGTCCTCCAAGCGCAAACCCTTTTTTATTTGATATCGCAGCATCCCAGCCGCCCAATTGCAACTATGTGGCTCCATGGCCCGTGTATGCATTCGATTGGTGTAAATGGCCGGCGCAGCAACACAGCGGCGGGTCCTCTGCGGGAAAGATAGCATTGGGAAGCTACATTGAGGATGGCCATAATTTTGTAAGTAATGTCAATCACCTTCAAGGGCTATCAAGCAGCTCCCTAGTTTCGAGGAGGCCGCTAACTCTTGATAGATTCAAATCCTCGATTCTCAGATTACCTCACAATCGTCAACCGATTCTCCCTCGACATCCCCTGCCCATGGACTAGAATTTGTCAAGGTAGCAGAAGCTACCCATTCGTATCCTCTTACGCGGATTCTATGGGAACCTCCATCATCGCAGAAGCAGAGCACAGACCTTTTGGCCACATCCGGAGATCATCTCAGGTTGTGGTCTTTGCCATCAACTACAGCGACATCCACCAACAATTCCATCACTCGGTCATCCAAGGATCAGCTAGTCCAGAAGTTGACCCCGCTTGCCCTCCTCTCCAACTCCAAATCCCCTGAACACACTGCCCCGCTTACGTCTCTTGATTGGAATACGCTGTCGCCGAGTTTGATCATCACCGCCAGCATTGATACGACTTGCACAATATGGGACATCCCAACACTTACGGCCAAGACGCAGCTGATAGCTCATGATAAAGAAGTCTTTGACGTCCGCTTCTGTGCCAACAGCGTTGACGTATTTGTAAGCTGTGGCGCTGATGGTAGCGTGCGCATGTTTGACTTGAGAAGTCTTGAGCACAGCACAATCATCTATGAGCCCTCTGAGAAGGGTGAAAAAGGTATGGAAATGTCTGCTGTCAGCTATATTTCCACTAGAGTACTGACTCCAAGCCTACAGGTTCGAGCCCTGGAAATATGAGCCCCACGACTGCTCAACAAATGTTGGCCTCTGCTCCTCCACTTCTTCGCGTAGCTGGTAACTATTGTCCTGTTTTCTGCACTGATTCGCCTTTTACTGACAACGTATTGCTCAGCTTCTCCGCATGATTCGCATCTGCTTGCTACTTTTGCCCAGGATTCGAGTGTCATCCGAATCCTTGACGTCCGGCAACCAGGACAGGCTCTTCTGGAGCTTCGAGGACATGGTGCGGCTCTGAATTGTATGGAATGGTCACCATCGCGCCGAGGCACGCTTGCCTCAGGCGGTGACGACTCGCTCGTCCTGGTATGGGATCTTTTGAATCAGTCGAATGCTGCAGCTCTCCCAGCCGGGAGCAACGGAGCTCCATCTGGTAATCCGCCCAGTTCTACCGAGCATGGACGTGGTCCTGCAGCCTGCTGGCAGTGCGATTATGAAGTGAGCAATATTAGTTGGGCACCTCAAAGCGCCTTGACAAGCCACGGAAACGATTGGTTGGGAGTTAGCGGCGGACGAGGACTGTGGGGGGTCAAAACATGAACAGAACCTCGGTTGCACGCACATTTCCCTGCGATTTTATAGAGTTGGATCTCATGGTCATATCTGAATTGGGTCATTTATATTGCATCGCCGAATAGCGCGGCGTTTTCGGCAAGGCGGTGCCACTGCATCATTCTCTATGCCAGCCTCTTTTCTTTTTTCGTCTTTTCCTTTACATGTCGAGGCATGCCTTTGATGATTTACTATCGATATGATGACGACTGTAGCTCTAAATACCAGTCAGCAGACACGGCTCTCAGTGGTCACACAACCCATCATGATACCCAAAAATAAAAAAGAGTTGAATCAGAAGCTGCTTCTCTCGATGTAAGAAGCGAGGGCTGGGTCATGGGAGAACATGGCCCACATTTAAAATTGGTTTTGCAAGTATCAAAAACTCCGCGCACGTCTCTGAGGAATCCCACGGTTTACTGTCTTTCACATGCTTTCTGGTAACAAGTCTAATACTGGGAAGACAATCGCTTCTGCGGCAAGTGCCGTGTCTGGGGTAACAGGGGAGCGTTGGCAGGCGACACCCCAGCTCTACTGCAATGGGCCACCCGACTCCAGCCGGCTTGTTATCTGACACCAGTACGTGCGTTCTGGAGGGAAGCTGTGAGCCAGCTCGTGACTGTCCAGAACCGATTCTTTTGACCGTCTTTGGGGAAATAAACACATATAATTATGTTGAGGTAGCGGTTTCTCAATATCTGAACTATAGGTCAAGCTAAACTCTTATGATTGCTGCGTTCAGGTCATTCTTTGGGGATGCTCCTCGGAGCTCTTCGTCCGCGCTTCCTGGGTATGATGCAGGACCCTCAGCATGGACCGAGTCTGTTCCACTTAAAGTAAACTCGAGCTCGCATGGCTCTTCATCATCTCCATTCTCAGCTTCAAATTTCACGCCTCACAATGCTCATCCAGATCCGCTTCTCGCTCTCCGCCGGAGGGAGCATTATATCCAACAGGATCTTCAGACACTGCTTGATGCCCAGGCGGACGGCTTGATCGCCGGCCTTACCGGCGACGGTCAAGCCCATGATGTTTCGAGCTCGACTGGTAGCTCAACGCCGACATCGTCAAGAAACGCGCCTGAATTTACTAAAGCATCTGTGACAGCACAATCTTCGAGGCGGAGACCTGGGTTACGTGCAGCACGCCGCGGAATTCTAAGCAGTATGCATGAGTTGGCGCTGGTAAAGGATGAGGAATCTCACATTCTAGAGGTGCAGATGAGCGAAAGAGACCAGGTCTTGGAGAGAATCACCGCGTGGGCAAAAAAGAAGGACGGCCTGCGAAAAGAAATTGAGGATATCAAGAAAGGCCATGAAGCTCTACAATTGCATGATTTGAAGCTGCAATCAGGTGATCTCGAACGGGAAATATCGGTTCTCGAGGAAAGGCTGGGCGGCATGAAGGCCAGGCACCGCGCCTTGGCTGGAGAAATATCCAGGTTGGAGAATTCGGTACAAGCCAAGCTCTCTTCGTACACAACTTCTCTCTCCATGGTAGATTCCCAAGTTCAGGGATTCCTCGCGAAACCGCCTTTAAAAGTTCCCAGAGACTTCGACGAGCAGATGTCATTCCTGAGCTTACAGCCAGAACGCCGCACGCTAGATCTGGCCAAGGAACATTGGCAAGTAGAGCGTGACTTTTTCCACGAAAAATACACTTCTGCAGAGGCAGAAAGGGATGCTTTAGAAGACGGTGCAGTGATCTGGAATGACGTCATTACAGAGGCAATGGCATTTGAAAAGAGACTACGCAATGAAATGCGCAACATTGGTAGCTCACGCTCCCTGCCTAGCAATTCCCGCAAAGACGCGCGTGACCATGACGACGCGTCCAAAGGGATGAAAGAAATACTGCAACTGATGGATCAGACAATCCTCCAGATCGAAAGCAAGTTCAAGCTTGCTGAGACGCGTGGCTGGAAGTTATTAGTCTGCTGCATTGGAGCAGAGTTAGAGGCCTTCAAAGAAGGCAAAGAGATACTTGCAGAGGCATTGGATGCATTGACCACTACCTCAAACCAGGGTCTCCTGTCGAGCGTCGAAGAGCAGGATCAAACAGCATCAAATGCGTGGTTGGACAGCCCAGCAGGGTTGAGCCCCGTCCATAGTCATAGTCCGAAATCGGATTCTCGCCGAGAGACTGTGGCAGAACCTATTGATAGGTCCGAAGATGAAGATGACGAGCCGGACCCGGAGCTCTTGATTTCTCATCAAGATACGGACCTGTAGAATAATTCGATAGAAAGACCGGCTGGGTCTCATGGGAGGCATAATACCTTCTACCCCTAGAAGAGTTAATTTTAAAACTGATCTGCACTTGTATGCCTGGTGTGCTTTTGATGAGTATATTCGCCGTTCGAGACCAGACAGCCGTAAATGACGAAAGAAAATTTTAAATAAAATCACTACTTCCCAAATGTTACTAATATAAGGCATCTTATAAATATGCCAGTTTTAAAGCATTATGGATATTGCGGAGCATCTCGATCGGTGTATCGAGTATATATACGTGGAAGCTGGCGAGCTTCCAGCTCCAATTCTTCCCCACTCCTTCAATCGCACCACACCAAGCTTACATTATCTTATGGGCAACAATGAATTATTATTCTACAATGCTAGCTCTAGATAGAGTTCTCATCCAGCGAATTCGTCTCTGCGTGTACGGATGATTGAGCCCCAGCGATCTGCAAAACGCCTATAATTGATCTCCCAACTCTCGATGCTTAGTTCCCCCAGATCACCGGCTCCATTGAGCGTCGCGCGCCGCTTTCCTGGTTACCTCTGGGACTAGGCAGAATGGTCCTTTCAGCACCTACCTTCAGCTTCAAGATACCTTCGATCCACGATTCCACGCTGCTTGACTGCAGGATTTATCATCCCCAGAAGTCGTATCACACTATCAACCCGGAAAGTAGGAAGCCGGCCAGCTTCGGACATGGAGGTGACGATGAAAGTGCCACCGCCGACCGAGACGGGATCTTACGGAGAGTAAGGCTCGACGAAAACGATCAGAGTGGGAGTTCGCGATATGGTTCAGGTATTGGTATATGGGCGAAGAGGGGAGCCGTGATTGCGCATCCATACGCACCTCTGGGGGGCTCGTACGATGACCCCGCCGTACACCTACTTGCATCAGAGGCGTTACGGGCGGGATTTGTTGTAGGCACGTTCAATTTCCGGTTAGTCTGCGCCTCCAAGTTTGCAGTATTATATTAGCAGACCGGAATGCTGCTGCGTTTTTGAGCTTGCTAACACGCAATGCTGGTAGTGGTGCCGGTGCATCCGAGGGTAGTACGAGTTGGACCGCAAAGCCTGAGCTTGCCGACTATATCTCCTTTACCGGATTCTTGATGCAATATCTGCTGAATATTTGGCTGGCCGAGCCCTCAGGTTGGATCGGGCACGACAAGGTCGCGCCTGCAATTGAACCTTTTGGGCCATCTGAATTTACTACTACCGCAGCCGCTGACTGCTCGAATGCAATGATGTTGCTTCTGTCTGGCTATTCCTACGGCTCGATGATAACCTCGCGGCTCCCGGAAACGGATGAGATTTTTGCTCGGTTTGAGAGCGTACGCACTGGTTCGCCGGAGGCAGAGATAAAGCTGCGAGGACAAAGTCTTGCGAAAGAGTGGAACAAGGGAATATTACGGAGCTCTGTGCATGCTGCACCCGACAGATCTTCAGGGACAATGCCTCTCATGACTATGGGGTGGGATGAAAGTGAAAATCATGCCAGGAATCGAAAAACAAGTCATGAAGTCCGAAGGAGCTTGGACACGGTTCGGAAAAGTGTAGACCATATGAAAACAAAGTACAGTCATCGGCCGCATGCCTCAGTGCAACAAGCATTTCCTGTAGAGGATCCACATACTCAGGTTCCTTCTCAAACACCTCGCTTTTTGACATTTTACCTTCTCGTTTCGCCGCTTTTGTCCCCAGTTTCTCTGCTAGCTACATTATTTTCTCGACAAATGAACTGGGGAAGCCAGGAAGAGTCGGACGAACGTTTATCAAGGCATGACACCCTTGCAATATATGGTGACGAGGATATGTTCACTTCGGGCAAAAAGCTGAGAAGATGGGCTCAACGTTTGAGTGAAAGACCCCAGTCAAGGTTCCGTTTTCAAGAGATCGCCGGAGCAGGTCATTTCTGGCATGACCCGAGAGCAGCCAGAGAGCTTCGATTATCGGCCAAAAGCTGGTTCGACGAGATTTTGAGCTGAGGATAGTGTCGACGTACCCCAGTCATCATATCTTAACGCTGTGTGTCAGGATGTGTAATTTGCTGGCTTAAGGGTTCATTGGTTTATATCAGGATGCCATTTTAAAATCGTCTAATTATACAATGCAGCGCACTTGTGCCAAGTAAGTGTGAATGAGGAAGAGTTTAAATGGTTTCTAAGTTCAAACAAAATATAAATTGGAGGTCTGAAGGCTTGATGCAGTAAATCATGGTGACCACCGGCTGCCATTCGTACAGTGGTGGGCCTGACGTGCAAGATATCTTCATTACGGAGTGCGATGCATAAAAGCAAGCATATTCCGCCAAACCGCTTTATTTAAAGATACGACATCTCTAGCAAATATACGATCTCACATGCATGCACGTCAATTTGTCCGTCTGATAACTGCTTTTGACCAGCAATCGGCCTATGAAAGCTGAGGTCCTACACATACAAAACCACATATCCCACATATCCAACTCTAGCTAAGACAAATGTCAGAGTGGCACACCTACTTTCCCAGTCCAACCCTTATTTGCGAGAATATCGGGAGCAGATGAACGAGGGGTCGGAGGCTCTTTCGTCGGGAAAGTCGACTCATCGCATTTGTCGCGGAGTAACTGATGAAGGACATGTCCGAACAAGATTTTGCTTACCATCAGCTTGAGACAATTGCGTTGAAACAGGCGATGACAGCGCCGCACACCCACAGGGGAGGCCGACGACAGCCGGTCATACGACAACGATTTCCCATAGGATTAGTATCGAAATCATCAGGCCAACCCTTCCTGATATCATTTGCAGACTGAATAGTTTATTCGTCCAATCAAGTATCTTCGCCAGGGTTGTACGACTGGTCCTTACACGACACTATCATCACCAGTTCTCTTGATCGTCACACAGAGACTGGGATGCCCCCCTTCTTAGGGTGTCAAAGGAGCCCATTGTACCCGAGAACGCGGCACCTGCAGGGCTCGATATCTCCCCCTTTGACGAGGCAACAAAGAATACAAAGCTTGTGCTTTGAATGTCTTCGATCAGTCTCCCTTTTTGTCACTTCCTGCCTTGGCTGAGTGGCTGGCAGCGCTCTTACAAGAATGAGCCTCGAAAAGGACTTGAGGGACTTTGTGCAGACTCTCACATGCAGGTGAGCGATATCGGCAGGCAAGGATTAGGTGTTACCTTACAGCCGGGCTCTTAACTTATTTCTTCCCACTAAGATTACGGCAGATGATCCGGACAGCTGGGGTTCTTCAAAGGAATGGAATAATACCGATCGATGGCTTCTCTTTTAGGGCGGGCTGCAGAAGGACGGCAGTGAAACGCGGGTTGGGTTAGGGGAGGGATCGCTTTTCAGTAACCAATCTTCGTCATCAACAAGGATTTTGCAGAGGAATCTGTGGAATGATGAGAATTAGGGTATTGCTCTATGCTTTGTGGAGTATCGGGGTATGGGGCAGACTGCGGGAAACCCCACAAATTGAAAGTTCTCCTTCCCCACCACTGAGATCATCTTTGCGCCGGAGAACCTGAACTATGCTTTTCAAGTCGACGCTCCCGCGCCAACCTGAAAATTCAGCAGGGCGAACTATACTCGATTGCGGAATCGCCATGTGATTGTCGCTTGCTTGTTCACTGACGGACTGACTCGTGCTCCACGTTGTAGCCCGGCTTCGGACGTAATTCCGAACCTTACCTTAGGTTTACCACGGCGGTCCCGCAATGAGACAGGCCTTGATTGTTCTCAGCACCGCGTGACAACCCTCGTCATGGTTCTTCCTGACCTCCTACCAACCAACCCCCCACAGACGAACAAGCGTTTTCCTGCGCGATATTGATGATATTCTACGATCCGCGATGCGCTCTTCTCGTTAGTATCTAGGTCTTTGCTAGAGTTTCCGAGAACCGCGCTTGGTGTGTGCAACATCACTGTCCCTGCAAGCCTGCAAATGGGATCGCTTTGCCAGTGATATTTAGGCCCTATCTTCTACAAATTTAGATTTGCCGATGCAGGCAGGGTGCTGCATGGAGGCGACCCAGCGTCCATCATGGCTTTCTTGCAGCGCCCCAACGGTTGTCATCACCGCGAAGATGTTGAAGCGGTCGCACCCAAAAAGAATGCGAAAACGACATGCGCACAAGCCACTGGTCATGGATCCACTTTTCTTCCCCTCTTACGTCTCGTCCGAGATCCTGCCGGTGCTGTTGCGAGCGCAATAGATGCGCTGCGACCAGGATCCAATTCTGGGCTTTCTCCAGAGGAGCAAGCAGAGTTACTACGGGTGGAGCAAAGGAGGCAAATCCTTTATGCAAAGCTACGGAATGTAAGTTTCCTAGACCTTGTCGTTACCTTTTAGTCTCTCTCGTATAGTGATTGACAATGCTCCTCCCTAGGCTTCCAACTCGAGCGAATGGCATCTTACCGCATTAGAACTCGACATTCTAGAGCATAATGATGAATGGAAGGAGGAGTTCGAGTCGCCAGATTACGATGCGCTTCTTGTCGAACTTCGACTCAAAGAATTGGATGATGCACGAATCAGCTGTGATGTGGGCCGGATGCTGGCGATCATTCGGACATCACTAACAAGAGGTCTGGGCGATATGGGAAACATTCGGCTTTACATGCATTCTCACACCGGCACCAAGCGTCTGATTGAACGATATATCAGCTCCGCTCTGGCGACTTTGAAAGCGCTATTGGATATATCGGCAAATCAAAAGGACGAACGATTAGCACCGCGTTTCATGCTGGAACAAGTACTTTGCGCTAGACAAGCGTTTGGAAGAAGCGCCCTTCTGCTTTCTGGGGGAGGAACTTTTGGGATGAATCATATCGGCGTGCTAAAATCCCTCTGGGAAGCGCATTTGCTGCCGCGTATCATCTCTGGTGCCTCTGCGGGGAGTATCGTGTCCGCAGTTATCTGCACTCGCACCGATGAAGAAATTCCGGAGCTGCTGGATACGTTCTGTTATGGTGACCTGTCCGTATTTGAGCGGCCCGACGATGAGGACAGCGCGCTTCGACGCATCGGTAGATTCCTTAAAATCGGTGCCCTGTTCGATATCACGCATTTGACTCGCGTCATGCGTGACTTACTCGGCGATTTAACATTCCAAGAAGGTTACAATCGAACACGAAGAATACTGAACATATGTGTTTCGAGCGCTAGCCTCTACGAACTGCCACGATTGCTAAACTATGTCTCTGCTCCCAATGTTTTGATATGGTCAGCAGTGTGAGTAGCCAAACCCAAAATATAACGATTCCACATTTGCTAATCCATTATAGCGCGGCCTCGTGCTCGGTTCCTTTTGTCTTCTCTGCTGCTTCTCTGCTAGCCAAAGATCCCAAGACCGGAGAAGCTGTTCCCTGGAATCCTACACCGCAGCACTACATCGACGGCTCCGTTGACAATGATCTACCAATGACCAGACTTGCGGAGATGTTCAATGTCAACCACTTTATCGTCTCCCAAGTCAATCCGCACGTAGTTCCATTCCTTGTGCGCGAGGAGGAGCTTATTTCAGCCCAGGGCCCGTCCTCACATGCATCCTCTCAGCCTGGACCTGGCTGGCTTTATACCATGACCAATCTCGCCAAAACCGAGGCGTTGCATCGTCTGAACGTGCTCGCAGACCTCGGGTTCTTTCCCACTGCACTCAGCAAAGTACGATCTGTCCTCAATCAGAGATATTCCGGGGACATCACCATCCTTCCAGAAATTTCTTATGCCGACTTCCATCTAGCACTCACGAATCCAACCCCGGAATTTATGCTCAGTGCCATGCTTACAGGCGAGCGTGCCACGTGGCCGAAACTCAGCCGAATTCGAAATCATTGCGCCATTGAACTCGCTCTAGATGATGCGGTGCAAAAACTTCGAACAAGAGTTGTCTTTAGCCCAAGCCAGATGGACTTACGCTTGATGGTGGGTAATGAACGCCGCTTACGCAGAGAACGAAGTCGAGAAAAGGAACAGCAGCAGCAGAATGGGGCGAAACTACCGGAGCTCCGTCTTGCTACCACAGTCACGGGCGCTCCTGCTCAGCGAAAGCCGTTGTCATTACACCCCAAATCCCACAGCATAGACGTCGTCGAGGGATCTCCCACCCAACCCAAATCCTTGGCAAAAGTCCACCCAGGCCTTGCACTAAAACTTTTCTCCGGATTGGAAACAATACCTTCTGGGACTGAGGAGACTTCTAATGCAACAATGTCAGAACGAGATGATACCGAGGCAGCATCATTCTCATCCCCCTCGACGCCTTCGCCTTCATCCCCGAACTTTGAACCCTCAGTATCCCTTTCTCATCGACTTTTCCCTCACGCTTCCAATCCTGGCACACCAAGCTTATCCGGTCCTTCTAAATCTTCTCACTCCCCTTTCGCTCCACCTCCTCCCGCTCCTCCATCTCATCAGCCACAAACATCTCAGCCTGCAGCTGCGTCATACTTTTACCAAAACACAAATAGCTCAAAGTCTTCTCTTCTGATGACTACGCCAACGCAAGCCAACGCCTCTACAGCAAATAGCCCGGAAGCGACCTACAAGCGCCTTTTCATGCGCAGTACTCCCGATACACGAGCTTTCGATACGGCAGATAGCAACAACACCAGCCAAAGTAGTTATGCCGTTTTGCCATCAGTCGGAACTACGGGCTCGGCAACTTCGTCCCGTAGAGGAAGTGCTTTTGATCTCGACATTTCCGGGACTCGTGGCATGGTTCTAAGAAAGAAGAGCAGTCTTAATCTACAGAAGTTGGGAGCTTCTTAGATTTTTTTTCTTTGACTATTTCTTCCGTACTCTCATGCTAGGTGTTTTCATCTTCATGGTGACAGTGTCGTCTGTTACCTTTGTTACACTATTTTCCTTTTCTTTCTATCTTTCTTTTTGCTTTTCCTTTTTGGGTTGCATTTCTAGGATTCTAAGGTCCATATACAAGAGCATTTGAACGCGCGCGTGCGCCTTGTGCGGCATATTCTTTTTTGGCAAGGGAGGCGTTGGCAGACGATCAGACAGACAGACAGACAGACAGATTTCAAAGAAATGTCGATTAACTACCTACCTGAACCCTTTTAAAGACTAACGTCATCTCGTACCCTCGTTCCATCAATACACTCGCTTTTTATTTTCAATTGTACTTATACCTCTCTCCTGCAGGGTTGCTCCCTGTACCGTACATTCTTTGCGTCTGATCTTCTGAGCATTGAGTCTTATCGCCGTATTGTGTCTTATCCGTCGGTACGCGACTCGGTAGGATTTGCTCAGGAAAAGGTCCTCAAGCCTTCTTACCCTTCCTTCCTCCTTTCGTTAGTGTTTTCTTCAATGGATAATTATTCATTTTAGATAATTAAAGGTCATTCTCATAATGAACATAGGAGCGGCTGGTTGCTGTAGGTGTCACGGTGTTTTGAAAGGACTGCCATGAAACGTGATGATAAAGTGTATGTAAACAATGTTATTTTTTCATTACCCAGCGAAATTAAATCATTGCGACGCAGAGAATAAAATAGTTTCCCCAATTTTGGCTACCTTCTAATTTATTAATCTACCTAATCTATTGTTATACTTCGCATATATGTTGCCATCCAGTTCAAAATTTTTTAATTTGTTTAAGAGGAGTAAAATTGTGGATTGGTTGGTAAATAGTATCCGGCTGTTTGAACTGACAGCTGAGAAACAAGCGCCGCAAACAGGAGTGTTCAGTTATTGGGTGGAAGATTGGGATTGCAGTATATATACAATTGTTGCAGCTTGTCCTTCAACAAATAGTCGCGATGCCAGAGTGGTTATTGGGTATGACTAGAATTCGACTAGCTTCGATATCATATGGCTTCGGCCGCAGAGGTTCGAATCCTCTTCGCGACGATTTCTTTTTTGTTTTTTTGGGGCACCTCAGCACACACGGCGAAAAATGGTCTGCAGGGTTTTTAAGTACTTGTTTCTTTTACTTATTTAAATTTCTTTTTGATTCAGGAGTAGAGATGAGTTGGAATAAACATATGGCATATTGGAAAAACTTTACAGGACATTGTGCAAAGGTTCCTTAGTCCTTTGGTGTTGGCCAACGACGTTGTGAAAGTACTCCGTACCTGGAACCGAATTGTCGCCAGCCATCCCTCGCATGTTCTGACGACAGATACTCAAGCTGAATGCTAAGCGAATCAATGGTCTTCAGGTGAGCCCAATGACTAAGCAAATTGACGGAAACTTCCGCGTATCTCGATATGAGACTCAGTCCATGGAACTAAGACGTATGGCCATTCATTATTGAGTGAAGCAGCAGCTTCGACTGCGTGTTGTTCTGTCAATCAACGTCGATTATCACCCACCGAAGACATTAGGACCAACTTTCGAACCTGTCGGCTCATGGCAAAAGAGTCAGCTTGATATTGGACTTCTTCTCAATTAGGACTCTTCGACCTTCGCAAGCCTACGAGTTTGTGTACAGAAGGGATTATCAAGTCAAGGCAAAGTGAAGAAACGAAGAAAAGAGTAAACAGAATTGCAGCTGGACCGGACGAAGCGACAACCCTGCAAACGAATTTGAAAAGCTTTTTGAGAAGGGATTTTATACTTTATTTTGGGCGCTCAGCATTTCAGCATTTGAATTATCATACAGCACACCCTATTCGAGTATCCCAATCGTTTCAAGTACGGACACTCAAGACTTCCCCACCTACAATCAATCATGTCGACGGCGAATTTTCTTGACCAGGATTTTGGATCCGAATCTGAAGACGATACTTTCAACCCCGCACCTGCTGAGGAGTCCGACCACGAGGATGCCGCTGGTGAGAGTGACAATGAAGTAGCTCCGGGCAAGTCCCGCCGAGTGGAAACGGCGAGGGGCTCATCACCAACTGGCGATAATGGGGACGAGGACGATGAGCGAGCACGGCCTTCCGAACCCAGACAAAATGGAAGAAAGGAAGAAAATGGCAACGCCGAAGACGATGGTGAAGATGGGGGCGCCGGTGGCGATGCGGAAGAGGAAGAGGATGAAGAAGAACGCGACGAGGAGGATGAGGACGAAGAAGAGGAGGAAGAGGACGATGACGAGGAGGAAATCTCGGTGGGTGCCATTCAGAGGTCTAACGATCACTGGGCGAAAGAAAGAATCTAACGTTGTATCTGTAGGGACATCGCCGTAAGCGTGCTCGAAGAGACAGACGGAACCAGTTCCTCGATGTCGAAGCCGAAGTCGATGAAGACGAAGACGAGGAGGTTGAAGATGATGAAGAATTGGCACCAGACGGTTTCATCGCCGACACCCACCCTGATGATCTCGCCGACCTCCCAGCCGGCGCTGAGATTGATGACCGCCGACACAGAGAGCTCGACCGCAGACGAGAATTGGAGGCAGGCCTTGATGCTGAGAAGCAAGCTGCAGCCTACAAGGAACGTTATGGTCGTAGCCGGCCTGTGGCGACAGATTCGGTCGTTGTTCCGAAGCGTCTCCTCTTGCCTAGCGTTGACGATCCCAGCATTTGGGGTGTGCGCTGCAAGCCCGGCAAGGAAAGAGAGGTTATCTTTGGTATCATGAAGCGGGTTGAAGAAAGAGTAATGACGAAGGCGCCATTGATGGTTACTGCAGCCTTTGAGCGTGGAGGCACCATGACGGGTTACATTTACGTGGAGGCACGCAAACAGGCAGATGTCCTGACCGCCTTGGATGGCTTGAGCAATGTCTACCCCCGAACAAAGACGATTCTTGTGCCGATCAAGGAGATGCCAGATCTGCTACGCACCACCAAGAGCAAGACCCTGGAGCCTGGCATGTACGTGCGAATCAAGCGCGGCAAGTACCAGGGCGATCTTGCGCAGATTGACGAGGTCGAAACGAATGGACTGGAGGTGTCGTTGAGAATTGTACCTCGTCTGGATTATGGCATGAACGAGGACGCAAATGCTCCCATTGCAGACGCCGCGGCTAAGCGGAAACGGGCTGGATTTGGCGCGAACAACCTTGCCGGCCGCGCTCCTCAGCGTCTCTTCAGCGAGGCCGAGGCCAAGAAGAAGCATTTGAAGTACCTCCAGCAGGTATCGACGTTGGATCGGAAGCATTGGAGCTATCTTGGTGAGACATACATCAATGGCTTCCTGATCAAGGACATGAAGATTCAGCATCTACAAACCGAAGATGTGAATCCTACCTTGGAAGAAGTTACCAAGTTTACGGCCGGAGCAGAGGATGGTACGGAGAACCTTGACCTTGCCGCCCTTGCAGCTAGCTTGAAGGCCAGCACTGCCACTGCAAGCTACCTGCCAGGTGATATGATTGAGGTGTATGACGGCGAGCAGCGTGGTGTCTGCGGTAAAGCGGTTTCTGTCCACGGTGACATTGTCACCCTCAATGTCACGGAAGGAGAGCTTGTGGGTCAAACGATTGAAGCCCCGATCAAATGTCTCCGAAAACGCTTCAGAGAGGGAGATCACGTCAAGGTTGTTGGCGGCAGCCGCTTCCGCGATGAGGTTGGTATGGTTGTCCGCATCAGCGACGACCGGGTTACCTTGATTAGCGATGCTAGTATGCAGGAGATTACAGTCTTCAGCAAGGACCTAAGAGAGGCTGCCGATGCTGGTGGCACAGGAAAGGTTGGAAACTTTGAATTACACGACTTGGTCCAATTAGAGTAAGTTTTCATGTCCATTGGATTTCTCCTTTACAGCCACCAAACCGTTTCTGACTCGCAAAATCTAAACAATAGTTCTGCCACTGTTGCTTGTATCATCAAGGTCGACCGTGAGTCTCTCCGCGTCTTGGACCAGCATGGTTCCGTGCGGTTTGTCCTGCCGTCGCAGATTCCCACCAGGCTCGACAGACGCCGAAACGCTGTCGCCACGGATCGGAATGGATCAGAGATTCGAACCGACGATACCATTCGTGAAACTGGCGGAGAAGGAAGACAAGGCCAAATCATGCACATCTATCGCTCCTACATCTTTGCCCATAACCGTGAACAAGCTGAAAATGCTGGCATTTTCGTCGTTCGAACAACCAACGTCGCAACCGTAGCCGCCAAGGGCGGCAGAGTAACTGGAGCTGCAAGTCACGGCCCCGATTTGTCAAAGATGAACCCGGCAGTACAGCGCAACGGTGGTGTCAATGGCGGCGGCGGCGGTGCTATGCCTCCACCCAGGAATTTTGGACGAGACCGGCTTCTGGGCAAGACAGTGGCCGTTCGAAAGGGCCCTTACAAGGGTCTCCTGGGTATTGTCAAAGATACCACCGACACCGAAGCACGTATCGAGTTGCACTCGAAGAGCAAGGTTATCAGCGTGCCCAAGGAGAGTCTGAGCATCAAGGAGTATGTGTTTTCCAAGAACCCGCCAATTTTCCTTATAGCTAACCCGCAAATCTAGTCCCGTCACCGGTCAATCAATCGAGTTCAACAAATTCTCCGGCGGCCGTGGCCGCGGAGGGGGTGGACCTGGAGCAGGACCTGCTCGCGGCAGTTTCGGAGGTGCCACACCATCGAGAGTGCCTACCGACTGGCAGGGAAGCCGCACACCTATGGCTTCTGCTATTTCTGGGGGACGTACCCCCGCATGGGGTTCCGGTGGACGAAGTAAGTCAACATTACCCAATCAACTATTATAGGGGTTTTGGCAATCGAAACCAGGATCAAAGAAGAAGAAGCAGCTGACAAATCCCTCTCAGCACCCGCATGGTCCGGCGCCGGTGCAGGTGCAGGCGCAGGCGGTCGAACCCCTGCATGGAAACAGGACGCCTTTGGTGGTGGTGCTACTGGCGGACGCACTCCTGCCTGGGGCGCTGCCGACGGCAACCGTACCGTAAATCCATACGACGGAAGTCGCACAGCATACGGTAGTGGCGGGGTAAGTTTATCTCTTCTTCCCCCCATTTTCATCCTTTCCTTTTCCCTCCATATATATATCCTTCAAGCACTTTTCCACACACGACTAACACCTGTCCTCAATACAGCGAACACCAGCATGGAACCCCGGCGCTCGCACGCCTTACGGCGGCAGCGCCATGGACCGTGACCCATACGGCTCATCAGACTCCTTTGGATCCGGCGCCAAGACACCCGCATATGGCGGCCACGGCGGATTCAGCAGTGGATCCAAAACCCCCGCGTACGGCGGGCACGGCTTCTCCTCTTCCTCCTCTGCTGCAGCAGCTGCTTCTTCTTCTTCTTTCGGCGGCAGCAGCGGCGCCGGCGCCGGAGGGCACGACTCCTGGTCCTCTTCCCGCTACGACGCGCCCACTCCTGGCGGCGGCGCCCTGTCTGCCCCTACCCCCGGCGCCCTCAATGCTCCTACTCCCGGCGCATATTCTGCCCCGACACCTGGAGGATCAGGAGCCGGCCCGGCACATACCCCCGGCGCCTCTGCCTCAGGAGGAACAGGAGGATCAGGAGCAGATTACCATTCTGCACCTACACCTGCAGCGTCTGCCCCCACGCCCGGCGCGGCTCGCTCGTACGGTCATGCCGCTGCCACGCCTGGAAATTGGGGCGGAGATGACGACGACGACGATGACGATGCCGGACCGCGGTATGAAGAGGGCACGCCGAGTCCGTAGTTATAGTTGTACTTGTACTTGCTTTATTTTTATTTTTAATTTTTTTCAAAACTCAGTCACGTATGTCAAACCTAGGTTGTAACATGGTTCATTTTTTAAATATCGAGTCCGGTGCAACTTATTGAGCTTAAGGTCTTGTTGTTGTTATTGTTGTTGTCTTGTGAATTCTTCGCCGTCGTATCTCCTTTGTTTTTGCGTTTTCATATGCAAGTTCGTCAGTTCGTCAGTTCGTACTTACTCATAGGTGGGGGTGATGATGGATTAAGCAATTGGATCGATCACATTGCAGTAAAAAATGTACATTAGCCTTTTTCTTTTCCTTTTTCCTTTTTCATCCTTCTGTCTCACTCTCATTTCTCTTTTCTCTTTGAGGGTTCAATTAGCAGACACACAGGAAAAAAAAAATGGAGAGCACAGTTTTATATGGCTTGTGGATTATCCTGTTACACTGCTACACTGCTACACTGCTAACTGCTATCCTATACTATGTGAGCTGTACCTTTGCAACCATTGCAACCACTACCAAGTAATGCACCGCAATGTGATGCAATGTAATGTAATGCTACACTGCTACTACATGATAACAAACCAAAAAAAAAAAGGGCAAGAGGGGTAAAAGACGAAAGGACGATGAGATAATGAGACGATGAGACAAAAAACAATGGTATAAACGACAATGGTATATACTCGTAGACTATCTACATGAGATGAAATAAGAAAAATGGGAGGGAGGGAAAAAGAAAAAAGAAAAAAAATAAGAGGTTCTGAAAGGACATAAACATGGTGAATCTCGAGACCCCGAATGTATAACCTAAAAAAAGAAAAGACAAGTACGAATGTATAACCAAAAAAAAAAAAAAAAAAAGGACCGAGTATAAAGGCGGAAAGAAAAATATGAGCCTAATCTACTATACTATACTATGCCCAGTCCAATGCGCTCAGCAGATGACGAAGAGGGGTAATAATGCTGATGTTGGGAATTCTGTCCGGGAACATTGCCATTCGTGGCCGGCGCAGCCGTAGCGCTGGCACTAGGATGACCACCGACATGGCTGTGGGATTGCTGGTTGATACTACTGCTGGGGAAAACTTGGTAATGCGCTTGAGAAGGCGCTGCCTGCTGGGCGGGATGAGGGAAATATGATGATGATGATGATGCTGCGGTTGTGGCGCTCAGTCCACCACCAGGACTTATCCCATTACCTGTACTGGTACCAGTGCCAGTGCCAGTGCCCAAGTTTCCAAAGCCTACACTTACAGGTGCATTGCTACCACCGCCATAGGGAGCCTGTTGACCACCGGGAAGGACCATATTATTTGGCGCGCTTGCCTGACCTAAACTTCGTCCGCGCTCACGCATGCGGCGGCCTTCCATTAATCCACGCAGACCACGTTTATGCAGACCAATGACGGCGCTGGGTTCGCCTTGCCATATATATGGTTCGTCGTCGTCGGTACCGGCAGAAGGATGATTGGCGGTGCCGCCTAGTCGCCTGCGCCGCTCCCGGTCTCGGGCAAGCCGGCGTTCAGGGGTGCGTTGTTCGCTTGAAGACATGTCGTATTCGGAATCAGTGTTTGTGGCCGTGCTTGCGGCGCTGGCGAGACTGTCGTCGTTTGCGCCAGGGGTGGTATTGGCCACCCGTGTATCGATACGAAGGTCTTCAGCAAGTTTTTCTGCCAACAGGGCTTCGTGGTCTATAGCATTGCCGTTGATAGGAGGGGATGTGGTAGATTTGGCGCGGTCAATGTCCAAAAGGGGTAATGTGGAAGAACCGCCATTGGTTGACCAATCTGGAGCGGTAGAGTTTGCATTATTACCAAGGGAAGGAGTGCCACCTGCCGTGGTGGTGTTCGAGGTAGAGACGGGCGCTTCATTATTGTCGACATTGTTGTCACTGCGTCCGAGACCTACGCCACGTCCACTGCCGGCGGCAATGGCGGCGGCATTGAATACAGCGGCAGCGTTGCGCTGGTTGAGAATCTGATGAAGTCGCTCAACGGTCGCCTCCAGCAGGCCGTCGATTTGGTATGGACGGGCGAGTTGGAGAATAGAGCAGAGAATCTGCGGCGTGCAAAGTGAAGAGCTGGGCGGAGGTAAGGCAGATGTGTAGAGATAATGGACCAGCGCTTGGAGGGTGAGATGTGTGTGAGGGAGATAGAGTGTTCGAACTCGGATCCAGGGCGGGAGAGATTGAGGGTTAGGAGGGAAAACGCTCAATCGTGGGTTGAGACAAAACATTGAACCTGGCGGCTGTTCGTCACCACCGGCCAGTGTGGTCGCAGCAGAATACGACGAGACGCCGCCGATGCTTGGGGTAATGGTGATGCTAGAGTTCCGGGACGGGTGTGAAAGATGAGATTGAGGATGAAGGGTGTTGTTGTTATTCTCCATTATCGGCATCGTCTGAGCCACGGCGGCCTGGTACAGGAGATGATTAAAGTATGGACCCCAACGACGAGCAATGAGGCGAGAATTGACAGGCACGCGCTCGCCGCCAAGGGCGACAAGATCCATGTCTGCCATTTCCCGCAGGGACAGGGCCATCTGGCCAAGTTCGACTGCGGCTTTCGACTGTGGCCGACCATTATTCATCCAATCGGTCTTGCCGCCGCGCTCAGGAATCGTGGCAGGTATGCCGGGGGAGCTCGCCGAAATATACCTCGAGAGAGGGCCTGCCTTGCGCGGGTTATCGTAGAGTCCAAACGCTTCGAGCTCTACTAGACAAATATTCGAAAAGTTTATACGGCGGTGGTGATAATCATCTACAAGATTCCTTCTCCGGTTGCCCAAGATTACATATGTGTTTCGTCGACTCCACAGGACTCCACGGTTCCAACTGCCTTGATTGAAGATGCTGCTTCCAGCATCGATGCGGCTCCACGTTAACGTGGCCAAATCCAAAACCCAAAGTGCATACTCTTGCTTGGATGAAGTGAGAAAGGTTCCACTGACAATGAAATGATTATTGATGATGCCACCGTTGGGGAACCGCAAACCAGGTGGAGAAAATGATCCTTGCATCGGTTTCTCCACCAACGTGCCATCTGGCAAACGGACTTGTAGCTCGAGTTTGACGTCCAAAAAATTGTAGTTGGAGTAGACGAGCATTGGAGAGCCTTCTTGGACTGGATTCTCGATTTCCTCGCTCGATTGTGCGCCGGAGGCGTCTCCGGCACCAAGCTGTGCGGCGGACATGTTGGGAAGCGGAGCTACAACACTTCGATATGCACCACAGCTCCTCCCGAGCGGACTCGTTGCGGTCCACTTTAGACTTCGCAGATTGAACACGCTCACTTGCTCAATGTAATGGTTGGCATTGTCCTGACCGCCCACAACGACCATTTCAGCGCCCCCAGCACCATCGAGTGACACGCCCAGCGTGCCCGAGTGCGGCTGGTTTGATGACGGAACATTGTGATGCATTGACGAGAGAGGCGCGTCCGCCGAAGTGTATGTGCCAGAGGACGGCAGGATACAGGCGCAGTGCGCATATCGTCCTTGTGGGGCTCCGTCTGTTGCAATGGCAGACCACGTCCGTGTTGGTACATCGTAGATGTGAACATCCGACTTGACAATCACTTCTGGCTGCGGCTGCTCCTCTGGACCCGCAGCACCAGGCGATCTCTGCTGCTGTTGCTGCTGTATTGAGGGGGTTGACATGCCTCCATAACAGACCAGCTTCGTGTCTCCTAAGGCGCAGACACTGTGAAAATAGCGTGGCGATGGAATATCCCCAGAGGCCTCAATCTTAGTCCAGTGACGTTTGATAAGATCCAATTCGTAAAGGTCTGAAGTCATTTGTGCTCTCCTGCCAGATAACCGACGACCACCAAAGACGTAGAGCTTATCGCCAAGAATGGTTGTCGTGGCACCAACCAAAGAGTGAGGCTCATTGCCTGTTGTGCGATGGACGTTACAGACTAGGCCAGAGAGATTGGTCGAGGGCGTGCTGGTTGTAGCCACTTTCTCGGCTGCAAATGACTGAGCCATGTTGTTGAGATTTGCATTCGAATCAGAGGCGGGCAGCCTTGTTGCTGCCGCGTTGGTGGTGTTCGTAGTAGTGGTTGTAGTGCCAAAGGGGTCACGGTCAAAGGGCTGCTCTTGCACCGGCTGCCGGAAGAGGCCCGATTGGCTGGTCGTGAAATCGTCAGGATGGCTGCCCGAAGGTGACATGTAGCTGGTTGAATAAGATGGGGGCGACGCAAATGGTCGCGAGGCCATGGAATCCATGGTACTTGCTCTGACGCTGCGGCTGCAGTCTCTGCTTCTTTTTCTGCTGCTGCTGCTTCTTTGGGGATGATCGCTGCTACGGTCAGCGGAGCTTTGGTCGGCACCTCTCGTGCTCCTCGTACGCGAGGTGGTCGTACTCGTCAATGGCAAGAGGGCAGAGCGATCCAGTGGCGTCAGAGGTGTCTCAGCGCTGGCGTCTGTGCTGGAGAAACTGGTGGCCGAGTTGGGGACGGCGTCTAGGGGTTGCGCAAAGTCGGGGATTCTTATGGGAACATGTCTTGGACGCGGTTTACGGGAGCCAGTGGAAGCTTTGGAAGACGTCGCGCATGTAGAAGAGGACGAAGATAAAGACGAAGTCGCCGAGATGGTTGGCGCACCGTCTGTCCGATCAAGGGCCGCGGGAAAGGAGGTATCCGAAGCGCAACCGCCGGGTGATTGAATTGGTGACCAATCCGGAATTATGATGGGCACATGTCTCGGCGAGATTACAATGGGGACATGTCTCGGCCGATCGCGGGGGCCAGCACTCTTGTCGACGTGGGGGCCCGCAGTGGAGATTTGGAGAAGCAGCCGCCGTTTTGATGCAAGCCGAATAGCAGCGGAGGATAGTTCGTTCAAAGTTCCTACCCGAGAATTCCCTGTGCCGTTTGATAATGATGATGACCGCGGCGGTGCTGTTGCTATTGCTGCTGCTTCACTCCGAAGTGATGGTCTCCGTTCGCCAATGCTACCTCGAGGGGAGAGAGGGGAGCACGGTGAGCCTCGATGGCTCCGCGTGTCGGACTGGATCATGGTCAGTCCAAACAGACGCCAAACGTCAAATGCAATCCCTTGATAGGAAAGGGCAACAGCCCGTCCCTGAAGGTCGAGGACAAAAAATTGACCAGCAACAACAAACGGCAATGGCGGCGGCCGGAGAGTAAGCCAAAGGGAAAATAAAGATGAAACACCATAGGAGTCATTGAAAAGAGGGATAACAGAGTAAAAGAAAAAGAAAGGGAGAGACGGAAGGGGAAAAGAAAGAAACGTACGAGCAACCTTCAGATCCAGCGCAGAATCGACCTTTGGGTCCAGGTACGGCAAAGGGAAGAGCAAGACTTCCTCCCCTGCAGCTCTGGGCCTAACTGCTGTGTGGAATCGTCTTTCTCTCTCTCTTCCTCTTTCCCCAGTATGAAGAAATGACGACTTCTGTTGGCTTAGGGTTCGAGGCTACGGCTGGCGACGTCAAAGAGAGTTTCTAAACCGGTAAAGGTTAGCCATGGGCTGTCCGATGTATGAGGCAAAAGAGAGGCACAGAGAGGGAAAAAAAGAGGCAAAGCCAAAAAGCTAGATACAGCTTGGGGCGGGAAGGAAAAGTATGTGGTGCAACCAGGGGCGTACCGAACGGTGTTCAACGCTTCTGCAGGGAAGTTGCCTTTCCCGTGCGTCCGGACAACGTCGAGTGGTCGAATGATTGGCGGTGAAGCGGCGCGGATCAAGGGGATGCAGATGAGCTGCAGCAGTTTGACGGCGTCAGAAACCTGGATCCGTTGGAGATACGATCGATCATCCAGGGGTTTGACCGCCTGTGACTTATTTTGTCGGTTGGGGAAAGAGAGTTGAAAAGTGAGAGCGGCAAAGATGGAGACGACGAGCAGGGTAGGGGGGGAATAGTTGTGGGGAGGTATTTGGTAACAGCTTCTAAGCTGCAAGGCTGTGAATGATCGACGAGTGACAAAGGAGAGGGGGGGGAGAGCGCCCGGACTGCTCTCAGGCCTGTGGGTGACTCTATTCCTATGACTTACAATCACTAACTAATAACCAAAAAGTAATGAAATCAACCGCAATAATAAAAATCCATCATAATAATATTACTGTTAGAGAGTCTTACCAAGATGGCCCCATCACTATTGCCCCTGACACTCGACATTACCCGGCTATCATCAACAAGTTCCCAAATCAGAACAAAGAAAAACAAAACAGGGAAGAACAAAGGCAGAAAAGCAAGGGACCGTCATCCGGCATCTCTTTACCTTGACTACTGGGCTACGTGCATATTCATACAACTGAGTTATATGCTCTTCGTCGAAAGGAGAATTTACAGTGGTCCAAAAGGGAAATCGACAATACATTGATGAACGGATTCTAGCATGGGTCATATCATATAACATTTGTCCCTTTTTAGCGTCATGCACACCGCCTCACTTGCATCACTTGGAATCACATCCGGGCGCAGACACAATTAGCTGGTCTCGTTTCTTCTTTCCACTTTCCATGCACACAGAGAGAGAGAAAGATCATTGCTAAAAAAAAAAAGGTCGACATGGATCCAAAATCGAGATCCCATCACGTGGTGCATTTTCCCATTCTCTTTGATGTACCAAAGATTCATATTAAACACTCATAAGATCGTCATCATTATATTATAATCTGACACTGTTCTTCCTCCTTCTCTTCCCCGTCGCCCAGGTATCCTCCATTTCAACCGACGAGCTGTTCGTATGCTGCCAATTTGGGATATCATAGCGCACATGTTGCGAACCTGAGCCGTAATTACATGAAACAGATTAAATTCAAAAGGATATCTTTTTCCGCCGCAAATTTTGCCGACAATCAGTTGCGAGCCTTGCCTGAATGACCAATTTACTGGGCGCTGCTGTTCTCCTGAGGCAGAGGAGTGAAGCGCAAGTAGGGCTTGACCGAGCGGAACTTGGGGAACAGAGTCTTGGCCTCCTCGTCCTTGACGCTGGGGGCGACAATGACGTCCTCACCGGGCTGCCAGTTGATGGGGGTAGTGACACGGTGCTTGTCACCAGTCTGGAGCGAGTCGATGACACGGAGGACCTCGGCCGAGTTGCGGCCAGTGGAAGCGGGGTAGGACAGGATGAGACGGATGGTCTTCTTGGGGTCGATGATGAAGACCGAGCGGATGGTGAAGGCAATGCCCTTTTCATCGACGTTGGTGGTGTCCTGGTAGTCGAGCCTATAATCCACAGTCAATTCGTCATTCTCTCATCCATTTTCGTCCCCGGGAAAATGCAATAGATGATCACGCACATGTCGTAGAGATAGGCAACCTTGCGCTCCTTGTCACCAATGATGGGGAACTTGAGGTTGACGTCGGAGATCTCGTTGATGTCCTTGATCCAACCACTGTGGCTGTCGATGGTGTTGGCGGAGAGACCAATCAGCTTGACACCGCGCTTGGTGAACTCAGGCTCGAGCTTTGCAAAGGCGCCGAGCTCAGTGGTACAGACCTAACGCATCCAAAAATATTGGTTAATAGGTTTATTTTCAGACTCTGGCTGAATTTGGACTTACGGGAGTGTAGTCCTCGGGGTGCGAGAAGAGAACGACCCATTTGTCACCAATGAAGTCATGGAAGTTGATGCGACCGTGAGTGGTGTCGGCATCAAAGTTGGGGGCAGTGCTGCCCAGGCGGAGGGGAGCAGGACGCTGGTCGGCAGACATTTGGCTATCATGGGAGTCAGCATTGGGACGCCAAAGGGATACAGTACAAATGCTGGGCAAAACATACTGTATAGTCTAGGAATAAGAAGGTCAATAACTTGACAAATCTATGCACGGCGAAAAAGAAGACACAGAGAGAGACAGGCAAGATTGATGAAGAGGAAAGGAGAAACGAAAATGACAGTCTATGAGCGGGGCAACGATTGGTTATATAGTTGTTTGTACACGTCTATTGCTGATCTCCTCTACGAGTAGCAACTCTATTGATTATCTGTGGTGGATGGCTGTCCCATGCCTGTCCTGGTCTAATCCGGATCACGCAATTCCCCCCCATTATTCGCCCTCTGGCCGCGCCCCTTCTGTTTACCCCACACAGTAGAAGAGTCTGAATATCTTCATACGTGGGTCCCTGGATGGCCAATACCTTGACAGTTATCAGTATCGATTCGACGATAGTGATATTCTCTTCATGTAATAGTAATAATAATCATTGCTCGAATGATTCCAAGCTTGAATTGCATATCTTCCCGTCAGATCCATTCCCGTTAACGTCGCCCTGCCAATCCTCGGAGATGCTATATGCTTCTGCCTTTGACGGATCTACATGCATTGAAACCTCTATTATACGTACCTTAGTATCTGCAGATCAAGTTGCCCCTGCATGTCATGATACTCGGAGATTATTTGCAATGCCAATCTCCTTGTCAAAACATGCCATAATCGTGCTGTAGAGACTTGGTGCCCCTCCCCCTCCCCCTCCCGGCCCCTCCTTTGGTTGCCGTTCAGGGTCTTCGGCACGGAGAAATTATATTCCGCATCAACACCAAAACTCATTACACAATTCATGCAGTGTATCAACAATAACTAAGCAAACAAAAAAGCCCAAAGACAGACCCTCAATACACAGTATATTTCTCTACTGCTGCAATGGCAGAAGCACCCGACGCACACATTGACCGCACCGCCGGTCTGGCATACTGGAACTCCATCCCTGCCACCGTCAACGGCATGCTCGGCGGCTTTCCTCAAATCAGCCGCATCGACCTCGTCGGGTCCGCCAATTTTCTCACCAAACTACGACGCCAATTCCCTTCTACAGGACCTTCTACTTCTGCCTCTACATCAAGTATACCTTCATCACATCCTTCACCCAATCAACAACGTCTCCCGCCTCTTAGTCGCGCTGTTGATTGCGGCGCCGGCATTGGCCGCATCACGCACGGCTTCCTCAGCAACGTCGCGCAGACCGTCGACGTTGTCGAGCCTGTCGAGAAATTCACGACCGAAATCACGTCTGGCAAGTCATTTGCAGCACTACGCGAGGCAGGGAAGATAGGGAATGTATATAATGTGGGCCTAGAAGACTGGGATCCAACCGTGTGCCATCGGTCCTCGAGCTCTGAGACCGTTGCCCCAGAGTCGCAGGAACATGGCGATGGACCGCAAAAGAAGAAACAAAAAACTACAGACGCCCCCAAGTACGATCTCATTTGGAACCAGTGGTGCGTTGGACACCTGACGGACGAGCAACTGGTCGCGTACTTGAAACGATGCGCGCAAGCTCTAGCCCCAGGCGGGTGGATAATAGTGAAGGAGAACAACACGACGAGTACGAAGAAGGTGCCGAATGTGAAGCCTAAATGGATAGAAGATGAGGAAGAGGAGGATCTGTATGACGAAGAGGATAGTAGTGTGACAAGATCAGATGGTAAATTCCGTGCCATTTTCGAAAGGGCGGGGTTGAGACTCGTCAAGGCTGAGCTCCAGTCCGGGTTCCCGCGGGGCTTGTTTCCTGTAAGGTTTTATGCGCTGCAGCCGGTCGATGCGGGAGCTGTGTGATTCAGCATTGAACTTTGGGCTTTTCCTCATCTACCATTTTCTAGCTTGTTTGTATTGGAGTTCAATACCCAGCATGGGATTAGGCGGCAGCGGGTCACGGAATCACGGTTTTCTTTCCATCTAAAAGTATATGCGTATTAAATATAGAACGGTAGTTGTGGTAAAATGGGTATTTGTAAGATGTATCTTCGTCAATGAACAAATGAAGATGTTGGAAATAAAAAAAATAATATGGCAGTGATGCGTAGACGATCATGCCAATGCATAAAGGACCTCGATAGAGCTAAGCAGGGTATAGAAATCAAGCTCTGGTGATAGAAAACAATGGCAGAGGCGGCGAGGAGAAGTAATCGAAATGACGAACTCCCTCGAGAGAAAAACTCATCGCCGTACTCCTGCCATACCCAGTGGTCCGAATGGTTCTGCCCCAACTCCTCTCGGCTCCGCACCAGTGTGCATGAACCGGAAGACTTCTGTCATAGGGAGCGACGGTTTCTTCGCCATCATCGCTGCCCGATGTTCGCTTTCCCGTCTCAACTGGAACTCCAACCCGGCCGCTCCAGATTTTCTCCTCACACCAACAACCTCCATCTCATCATCGGGTATATTTCGCTCCTCGTCCTCATCACCAGCAATTGCTTCCTCATTATCCTCTTCATCACTGCTCTCCTCGTCTGGATCGCGCAGTTTGCGGCGCAATCCCGTGATTACATTTTGTATGCCACTTTCCTGTTCCTCACGCGTATAGTCTGCATCCCAGTCGCGAGCGCGAGCCTCTTCATTGGCAGCTACACGGGCCCAGTCCCATAGCGAGTCGAGCTCCTTTTCGGTGAGACGAGACGAAGACGCGCTGCTCGTGGGATCTGGAAGACCACCGACGGTGGCAGATGGTTGTGCATGGTCTCCACTTGTCTGCCCATTGGCGCTCTGATTGTTGCCATTTCCAAGCGCCTCTGTAGCGATTTCTCGACCGCGATCGACCCAATCTTCTACAGCCGGCTCAAGTTTCTTGCGTAGTAGCTGTCCGAGTAGTGACTCTTCCGTACGGCCCGGGAAAGTAGGCAGTGGGTAGACAATGGTCGAGGAAAGGAGATCATGGTGTGTAGTCAGATGAGCGGAAAGTGTTGCAAGATGCTGCGATATGATTGTTGCTAGGGATTGAAGAGAATTCCTGAAGATGTAAGAGTTGTGGTCAGTTGGGGTGTCGTAGAAACATCAACTTGTGATGGGGAAAGTCTGTAAAGGAACCGCTTCCAAATCACTTACCAAGGCGGCAGCGGATCGCTCATGTGAATGCTTTGTTGGAGCGACGCCAGTGAGCTTGTCAACTGGAAGAGTCGTTGGCGTGTTTGCTCCAAAGCTTTGAGGTCTGCCGCATCGAGAGACGTCATCTTGGGGTGAGTAAATCAGACTCCAGGGACGGAAAGGTCGAGCTCGGGAATTAGAGTAGGAAAGCTAAATATAAGAGTAATGACCAGAGAAGAAAGGTGACGTCAAAATGGTTGTGACCCTTCTGCGACCAAGGAATGGCGATTGTATTTCAATTTTGGAGCTGCGGAGCTTGGTGATAGTTTGTTATACAAGATCCGAGGTTTAGATGTGGACGGATGTCGGAAGGTCAACAAGCACACTCCGAACAGACCACCAAAATCATTCCATAAATGGAATTGCAGAATCTACTTGATATCACGACTTGTGTAATAGAAAAATGAACCTGATAACAGAGATTCTACAGGTAGTGAAGCATTGGGAATTGAAAAGTTGTAGACTCCGAGCAATAATTGCCTCGTGTGAGCGACTCAATATCGTCGGGTAAAAGGCTGATGAGATCCGAAATGGTCTGCAATGGTGTTCATGTTGATCTATGGGGTAAAGTGGCCCGACAAAGGGCCTGGAAAATGCTTATGAAACTTGCGAAGCTACAGGATTGCGACTGCGTGCACAAAAGAAGAGGCATTCCAATTCGAACTTCATGCGAGGCTTGTCTTCGTTCAGTTGTCATTGCACACAACAATTTTGGTTTAGATTAAGAGAATACGAAGACCAACATGATCAAAGATGATGAGTCAATGATTCGGACGCGCATGGCCCTAGACCCGGGGAGGAAAAGGTGGAGGAAAGATGAAGGCAAAACCAAAGCAAGAGAAGAGTCCAGTCATCAAAAAGATGAAACGCCTTCCCGGAAAAGCATGAGACGTGACATTCAATAACGCATCATCGTGCCATAATGGACGATTACGTCGTCGCGTGCCCAAAACGTTAACTACCAGACCATACCAAATTTCCGAAAACATTTGTATCCCAGTTCCAACTATTCTAATTGCGCGGTTCAATCACGCGCGCCAAAACGCGAACATTATCGACGAATCCACGAACCAGATCTTCGTATTGCGACTCCTTGCTGTCGCGCGCCAATTGTCCGTGCTTGCGGAGTTCAGCGGCAGAGACTTCCACTTCCAATTCATGCTCTTTATCTGTCTTCAGAGCAGCCTAGATTGAAAACAGGTTAGAAGAAAACTCGCGAATAGGTTAAGAAAGATGCTCACCTCGAATGGAGTGACCTGCGTCAAGTCAATTTGATATGCGAGATGCTTGTAACTGACGCGATCCTTGTTGCGATCCGTCCTGCGGCCGCCTTCTCGACACTCGACTAAGCTGTCGATATCTCCCTCATAATTCATTTCAAGATTGACGCTCACGCGCCAATCAAAGGCAGTACGCGGACTGTAGATGTTGAGATCGGCTACTCTCGCTTTGACAATCTTCGCCAAAACTTTGCCCGTCTTTTGATCAGTGGTGACCCGAACCTTAACCTTGTGGCGTGGGTTGAGCTGGGCTCGAATCGAAGGTGGAAGCGTCGAATGAGCAGAAGAGGACAATTCATAGAATGTATCACGTTCCCACGTATGAACATAGTTCATGGGAATCCGGGATTTGTCTTTGCCGGGCTGGGAATTGACGACAGCCTTATTGAGGTATTCATTAAGCGTGCGATGTTGTGACTATAAGACAATGTTAGGGAACAAGGCTTAGAGGATCGGAACACGCGACGGTTACTTGCCTCAGTCATAGAACTTCTAAAATTGAACCTTATGCTAGGGTCGTCATGTGCAATGATACATTCGGACATGACCGGAAGGTGCACTCTCTGATTTGTATGTTTGTCAATGAGCTGGCCCAGCTTAGCCTCGACTTCCAACTGTGCTCCTTGGCCAGGGGCAGCACCAGCACCGCTGGCTCCAACATCCTGTCTCACTACAACCTCGGCAAAAAGGAAGTTGGACACAACTCGTGTCACCTCTTCATAAGGGACAACACCCATGAAGCTGGGCTCCCAAGGGCCTAATAGGCCGTTCTCCGAGACCGATCTAGGCAAAGGAGGAACTGGTCCACTCTCTGGTGCAGCATGAGTTCCATTGGAATCAGGATGCGCACTAGGTGGGTTCGAGGCTGAGATCTGAGAAGGAGCTAGTGGGGGCGGTAGCGGCGGTTTTTGATCGCGAGATTCATGCTTAACAGATGCGGTCGGCTGTCGCCGATTCGGCATAAGGGGACTGCTGCTGGTACTTCTACTGGCTTTGCGCGCGAAGATGGGCGGCTCATCATATCGCGGTCGCTTTCGAACCGGCTGTGGAGGCGACGCAGCTGAGCTTGAAGTCTGGTCTTGCTCACGATGGGGCCCCGGAGGTGGGATACTCGCAGTGCCCATTGGCGCAGACAGACGTCCCGGCGAATCTTGCGAAGAAGGACTTTGTTGGTGAAGCGACGGAGGTGGACTTGTGGCCTTGTGGGCAGCAGGGGCAGAATTTCCAGATGCAGATTGGCCGAATGAATTCGGACGATCTGAGTGAAGCGGCGGGCCAGAAGTAGGCGAGGGCGAAAGTGTATTCATTCGTTGTCCATCTGACTTGGACGCAGATGTCTGTGAGACGCTCCTCGAGCCGTTGACATGGAGGGCTGAAGGAAAGGAATCACTAATTGACGGAGCAGGCCCAGGTGGCAGGACCGAACCATTGGGAGGAATGAGCTCTTTTCCATCCTGCGCAGAGCGCCTGTGAAAGCTTTCCTCGTGGCTGGGGTAGAGCGGATCGGTCTGTTTCCGCTTCGCTGGAGTCACTTGTCCATTCCACGCCTCTTGACTTCCATGCCTCATCTCCGTCGACACATGCCTGGATAAAGAAGGCACCGTTTTGGGGCTCACACTGATGCTGCGCTCCCGTTCACGATCAAGGTGGAAATCTCTGCTCGATCTGTCCGACTCACTCACGGGGACTTGCATAGGGCCATAGGTGTGGGGCGATCCATCTGGCCTGACTAAACCACCAGATTGAGGTGCCGGAGGGGAAGCAGCATGGTGCAAAGGCAGCCCGTAGGATCCGCCCGACCGGCTTCGCTGATCGTTGAACGGGCTATGCTGCTCCTGCACAGAGTTTGACGATAATCGTTGCGGATGACTGTTGGGATGGCCTAGGGGAGTGTTCGGCTGCGATGAATGCAACTGCGGCTGCGGCTGGTAAATCGGACCATTGTGAGGGCCAGGTGGTACTAAGGGAGATTCTCGAGAAATATTCAAGGGCGCATGGCCATGGGCGGAGCCCGGCGTAGAGGGTGAAGGATGGACGGCGCTTGGATGTGAGCCTCCAGGAGTATATGGCGCCGGAGAGGGATGGCCATAAAAGTATTGCGCAGGTTGGTGCGATGGAGTCGTCGCAGCCTGGCCCTCTCGCGGATGATGCGGTTGCGGCGGTGCGCCATGATTAGGACTCTGACCCGGGTGAGGAAATGGATAGCCAGCGCTGCTTGGGTGAGCGGACGAGGGTGTCTGATACGGAGAATAGACAGAAGGATGCGAAGAAGAAACAGGAGGAGAACGAAGGTCGCTTTGCGATGGCGGCTGGATGGGAGGTGGCTGCGGCGGTCTGTTCAGATAACGCTCCTGGTAGGGCGATGCGGACGGAGGATAGCTGACATGCGATTTGACGGGCGATGTCTGCGACGGTGCAGAAGGTTGTGATTTTGGCGCGTTGCCTGCATCCGGGTTGATGATGGAACGAAGATCCATTTTGAGCAACCAGTAATACGAGCAACGGGAATCGATTTCAAGGCAACTTCTCTTTGTGATGGTCAAAGGACTGCGGCGGTCGTAGACCGACGCAGGTGAAGAGAGTATTGACGTCTATCTGGAGGATTCAGGCACATTCGAAGTTGAAGAACTCGAAATAACCTCGGATTCAAAAATGCAACCCAGGTTCAATCAACGTTGCGATGGCTGAGAAGAAGTCCTCTACACGCGCAGCTGTCAGCGGTTCAGGAGGTTGACCCGCACTTTCCAACACACACGCATCTGGAGAGGCTCGCGTGGGCAAAAGTACTTTTTGTCCTTTGACGAGTGTCCTTAGCTGTAATATTTCGGTACCAGCACAAGCTCTTCTCGGTATAATCACATAAGCTCTGATAGTGGGACAATTCTGGCCCTCAACACCAAATGATTAGTGTACAGTTAAGTTATTCAAGAAAGCCATATTTTGAGAATGTGTTACCCTGAATATTTGCGAGACGATCATTCAGGGCCAAGGTTTATTTGGGGATCGTGAACCATAATCATAATGGGTATTCGAGCTGTATTGTGGAGCTCATCACCTTTCCTGCTGTCCGTATCAGACAAATTCCCCGAGACCACAGGTAGTCGCAACAACAGGCTGTCTCTCTTTCCACTCGCTGACTTCTTCTTTGAAGCGGCTCATTTCAAGGCATCTGGTGTTGCTTGGGTTGCAAAGACATGTATGATGTATCGAATGCTCATAAATTGAACACAGTACCAGCCGCTCACGTTAAAGAATCTCGAGATATGTCACCGCGGAATATTTTGCAAGTACAACACTAATTTAGCCTTTTCTTCTGCCTGAAATCAACCCTGTATTATACCTCAGGGAACACATTAATTCAGGTCATTTCTACGCTGAATGATGTTGTTGGCTTAGCTGCATGCTGATGCGTTTCTATACTTAACTCTTCTCGAGATCATTGAGATAGAAGAGGTAGAGGTACTTCAGACCATTTGCGATGATGACGCTCACGTGATCGGGCGTGTCGGCGGTTGACGCAGGCGAGAGCGAGAGCGAGAGAGACAACGAGAGACAGCAGTCGAAGCTGGTAAGCATCACAACTCGTTCAACCCTTCGTTCGTCGTCTTCCCTTTCCTCTTCTCCTTTTCATCTCATTTCATATCAACTCCATCTGCCGTCGTCTGGCTCAATCTATTCGACGGATTTCTTTTCGCTAATTTGCATCCGATTTGCGCATCCAAGACAAGCCCCATTCTCCCCCGTCCATTAGTATCCAGCAAGGTGGGAGCAAGATGGTTGGCCTGACATCTGCCGCCGGCCTGGTTGGCTTTCTCTCTGAGCCTGACCCGGAGTTGCGTGTCTTTGCGCTGAAGAAGCTTGACGAAGAGATCGACTTGCTGTGGACTGAGATAGCAGGTTCCGTGGGACAAATGTAAGTGTGATGATAACAACCCATCGTACATCTCAACACCTAGCCGGCATTCTTCATCCGAAATGCAAGCGCTTGGTGTCCGTACAAACTTCTTGGAGCTGGGCTTTGTGAGCAATGCGCAGACTAATAATTGTTATGCAACAGTGAAGCTCTATACGAGGATGAGTCCTTCCCCGAGCGCGAGTTGGCCGCCCTGGTGGCCGCCAAGGTGTATTATCATCTGCAGGAATACAATGAGAGCATGGTATTCGCTCTCGGTGCAGGGAAACTATTCAACCTGGACCGCGAGGGCGAATTCGAGGATACAATAGTCTGTACGTGATGTGTAGCTTACCACCAGACTTTTGGTCAGCTCCAAAGCCTTTTACTGACTCTGCAAATCAAGCAAAATGTGTCGATACCTACATTGCTCTCTCTGCAATGCACAACCCTGCAACGCCTGCGAGCACCGTCAATCAGCCACCGCTGCAACTGACCACGGCATTCCCCCAAAACACAGCTGGCGGAGCAAATGCTTCCGTCGCCTCGCCCACGATGCCGTTCTCGCAGTCCTCGCTCCCCTCAAAATCCCTCCTTTCTCGTCAAGCAGTTACACCAACATTTGATCCGTCGCTTCCCGGCGGTGGGAACGCTGGCGTCGCTGGCGCCCATCCTGCCCCGCTCGCCCTGCAAAGAACCATTCAGAAGAACTTGCAACATGTCATCGAGCAGCTTTTTGAACGCTGCTTCCAGGCCGGCCGCTATCGCCAGGTTGTTGGCATTGCCATTGAGGCCCGGAATCTGGACATCTTGCGCCGGACCATTCTGCGAGCGAGCGAGGACCAAAAAAAGGAAGAGAGCACGTCAATTAACGGGGTCGCTGGGAGAGGGGAGGAACTGATGGAGTACGTGCTCGACATCTGTATGGATGTCGTCCAGGAAAGAAACCTGCGAAATGAGGTGCGCACCCCTCCTTTTCAATTTCTACCCACACAATCTTGCGAGCTCGCTTTCGACTAATCTTTCCATGATAGATTCTCAAACTTATCTTGGAACTTCTCAACGACATTCCCAACCCGGACTACTTTTCTATTGCCAAATGTGTCGTCTACCTGAATGAGCATGCGATGGCATCACAAATTCTCCGACAGCTTGTTGAAAAGGGCGACGCTAGGTCACTCGCCGTGGCCTACCAGATCTCATTTGACCTTTACGACAACGGCACCCAAGAATTCCTCACCAGCGTTCGTGAGGAATTGCCAGGTGTTGAGGAAGAGTCGCAGGCGCCAGCAAGCGAGGACGCTGCCAACAATGGCGAGAATGCTCAGGAGACCGACCAGCTTCTCTCGGAGCTACAAGAGCGCGCAGATGCTCACGCGCCTACGGCTCAGAGCAAGGCCGATACGTCTCTCACAGAAGAGCAAAAGAAGGCCTACGCTTCAATACGCAAGATCATTCGAGGCACAGCCAGCATTGAACTCAACATGGAATTTTTATACCGCAGCAACCATACGGACAAGAATATCCTGAACAAAATCCGGGACAGCTTGGAAGCAAGGAACTCCATCTTTCACACCGCTGTTACTTTTGCCAATGCATTCATGAACGCTGGAACAACGAGCGACGCCTTCTTCCGCGAGAATTTGGAGTGGCTTGGCAAGGCGGTAAATTGGTCAAAGTTCACTGCTACTGCTGCTCTCGGTGTCATTCACAAGGGGAACCTTGGACAGGGCCAAAAGCTTCTGGAGCCTTATCTTCCGCGAGACACTGCGGTGACTGGGTCCGTTTATAGCCAGGGTGGTTCTCTCTTTGCCCTCGGTTTGATCTACGCGAACCATGGCACGCACGTCTTGGACTACCTCCGCCATCACTTTAAGCAAGCGAGCGAGGAGGTAGTCCAACACGGTGGTGCGCTTGGTCTTGGTGTGGCAGGTATGGCGACAGGTTCAGAGGAAATCTTCGAGGATCTTAAGGCGGTTTTGTATCAGGATTCGGCTTTGAATGGTGAGGCAGTCGGTCTCGCCATGGGTCTGGTCATGTTGGGAACCGGAAATATGACCGCTTTGGAAGGCATGATCCAGTATGCTCACGACACCCAGCACGAGAAGATTGTCCGTGGTCTCGCACTTGGAATGGCGCTCATCATGTACGGACGCCAAGAGGCTGCCGACGAGCTTATCAATGGCTTGCTAGATGACCCCGACCCCACCCTTCGCTATGGTGGTATTATGACCCTGGGCATGGCTTACTGCGGTACCAGTAGCAATAAGGCTATCCGCAAGCTGCTGCATGTCGCCGTTAGCGATGTTAGTGATGACGTCCGTCGAGCCGCTGTCATGACTCTTGGTTTCATTCTTTTCCGAAAGCCTACCAGCGTTCCCCGCATGGTGGAACTGCTTTCCGAGTCCTACAATCCACACGTGCGTTATGGTGCAGCGATGGCTCTCGGTATTTCTTGTGCCGGTACCGGCCTCGAAGAAGCCATCGACCTTCTTGAGCCTATGCTCAAGGATCCTGCCGACTTTGTTCGTCAGGGCGCACTTATCTCGCTCTCTCTGATCATGATTCAGCAAAACGAGGCCATGAACCCCAAGGTGGCCACCATCCGCAAAACCTTGTCAAAAGTCATCAGTGACCGACACGAAGACGCCATGGCCAAATTTGGCTGCGCTATTGCGTTGGGTATCATCGATGCCGGTGGCCGCAATTGCACCGTCAGCTTGCAGACTCAGACTGGCAATCTCAACATGGCTGCCATTGTCGGCATGGCGGTCTTCACGCAATATTGGTACTGGTTCCCGCTCACCCACTTCCTTTCTCTCAGCTTTACGCCGACTGCGATCATTGGCCTGGACCAGGAACTTGAAGTGCCCAGCTTCAAGCTGTACAGTGCTACTCGTCCCAGCATGTTCGACTACCCTCCTGAGCAAGAAGTTAAGACCGACGAGGCACCTGAAAAGGTGAAGACTGCGGTCTTGTCTACCACTGCTCAGGCCAAGCGGAGAGCGCAGAAAAAAGAGAAGCAGCAACGTCGCGAGAGTATGGACATTGATCAGACCCCCACAACACCTCGCACATCGCAGCTTCCTGGTGATGCGATGGACACAGACGAGGACAAGAAGAAGGAAGACAAGTCCGATGTCGAGAAGAAGGAGGGCGAGAAGGAGGGCACACCGGCCGCCGAAAGCAGCAAGAAGAAGACGGAAAAGGAAAAGGTGGGCTACGAGTTGGAGAACATGTCAAGGGTTCTTCCCGGTCAAGTCAAATTCATCAGCTTCCCTGAAAGCAGATATGAGCCCGTCAAGAAGGTAGGCTCTCACTCTTTTTGCTTCCCTTTGATGGCTTTTTATTGTTCCATTGCTAACGAACCTTTTTTTTAAAAGCCTACTGGCGGTGTTCTTCTTCTGGTTGATACGGAACCTTCTGAGCCAAAGTCGCTCATTGAGCTCAAATCGAAGAAGCAGGCTGCTCCTGCTCCGAGCGAGCCATCTCAGACTCTTGAGGAGCGCATCAATGCCGCTTACAGCGAGCGGAATCGACAGCTGGAAACCCCTGGCGGCGCTGCTCAAGCTGCTGGCGTACTCACGGCGGTGGACGAAGATGAAGAGGGCGGCGAAGAAGCTGAATGCCCTAGAGAATTCGACTACCACACTGACGAGGAAATGGAGTAGACATTGTATCATTTGATTTCATCTTTCCCCTTTTTTTTATCGTTCTTCTTCTACTTCAACTTCGTCACGAGCTACGTACAGAACTGTCTCGTGACTAGCTATGGCAGCAGTTGGTTGTGTTTCTGCGGCAGCGTCGCGAGCATAGATTCATTCGCACGGAACATTGTAGATTTCTCGGCACTGTATACTATCTAGGAAGAGATAATTTTCATCATCTATTACATTTTCAGACTTTTTGTATTAATTCCTCCCTCGGGAACTCGGAATTGTGCCCAGAATGAAAATTGGATTTAACTGGTGGATGATTGGAGGAGTCGGGATTGCAGGAGATGGAATCGAGGTCACGTAGTTGGTTCGCCTCGGCGTCCGTAAATGTATGGTTGCGTCGTCTTCCGTCCCGACGTCTCTTGATCGGCTTTCGCTCCAAAATACTGCCATCCAGTTTCCATTCAGCTCTGCGCTCTTTTGACTCTCCCATGGGCTGCCGAACTTGGTCGAGTTCGCAGGCAACCCAGGGCCCTCAAGGATAAGGATGATCCTTCGGCCGGCCAGGCATCACCAATTGGTGCTGAACTCTCTCAATTCCGGCTCTGTCTGCTCCAAATGCCTGTTCAACTTAAACACAACTCGTCCCTCTTCGCGATTAAGCACCCGCTCATTCTCCGCCCTACAACCTCGATATTCCAGCTTCTTCACTTCGCGTGCTATTTCGTTCAGGTCTGCTGAAGCCACCGCCCCTACGAGACCTTTGCGAAGAGGATATTTCTTGTCCAATGGCTTTCCCGACAAGATCGGAACCGCTACCGTTGGGGTTGCCGCGCAAGGTCAATTCCGCTCGAAGACGACAGAGGGCGGAGCATCTTCACCAATAATAAATAACCAACAAGCACAAGCATCTGCAGAGGCTGCAGCGGACGTCAACTCTAAAGCTCACAACACTTCGGAAGAGCTCCCTCACCGACGGCGCAAGCGGCAAAGGCAATCTGAAGCAGAAAAGAATGCGTCGACAGAGGACAGCGACACTGCCATGCCTCTCGATGCATCAGCACGCCTCTCGACTCTCTCATCAACACTCCCTGTCCATTCTTTTCGGCGTCGGTTCACAACGTACCTGGCACTTTCGAAACCCCGACTGTCTTTTATGATTGTTCTTACTACAGCGACCGCATACAGCCTCTACCCGGTACCGGCCTTGCTTTCACCAGCAACGACTTCATCCCCATCATTATCAACCCTTACTCTTCTCTTCTTGACGGCTGGCACTGCACTGTCCTGCGCAAGCGCCAATGCATTCAACATGCTCATGGAGCCCGAGCACGACGCCAAGATGAGCCGCACGCGAAATCGGCCGCTGGTCCGTAACCTGATTCGGCCCCGTGGAGCCTTAATTTTTGCTGTACTGAGTGGGGTTGTCGGTGTGGGCTCGTTATATTATGGTGTCAACCCTACCGTCGCGTTCCTTAGCGGCCTCAATATTTTCATCTACGCCGGCCTCTATACGCCGATGAAGCGGATCTCGGTAATAAATACCTGGGTAGGAGCCATTGTCGGCGGCATTCCCCCTTTGATGGGCTGGGTTGCTGCAGCGGGGGAGAGCGCCTCTGGCAACGGCGACTGGAAGGAGTTGCTCTTTGGCCAAGGTAGTGCAGGAGGTTGGCTCCTTGCGGCATTGCTCTTCACTTGGCAGTTCCCGCACTTCAACGCCCTCAGCTGGACGATCCGAGAGGAGTACAAATTTGCAGGATATCGTATGCTGGCGTTTGTAAACCCGCGCATGAACGGCCGAGTGGCGTTGCGGTACTCGCTGCTGTTTTTCCCCATTTGCTACGGGCTCTGGTATGTCGGTGTTACAGACAAGGGGTTCTTATTCACTAGCAGCTTAATCAACGCCTGGTTGGTACGCGAAGCATGGCGATTCTGGAGGCTCGAAGGGTACAAGGGCTCTGCACGGGCTCTCTTCTGGGCTAGCGTTTGGCATCTTCCCGTACTTATGGTCCTGGCCATGGCGCATAAGAAGGGACTTTGGGAACGGGTATGGAAGAGTGTCACAGGTACTCCGGATGAAGAGCTCGACGATGACTGGGACACGGACTCGACAGAAGCCGAGGAGATCGTCGCCAGCGTAGAATAATGAATTTTTGGAGGGCCGAGCAACTCAGCATTCTTGTTAATATTGTGGCAATAGCCGGCGCAGCGAATACAAAGCCATGCAACTCCACTCCAGCTTCCATTGCCACCGTCTTTTTCCAGCAAAACTCGTGGGATGGATTTGATATGCAACCCTCAACCCTAGACTAATGTCTCATTGGTCTGGATTCTGCTTGGATATAGCACGGGCATATACGTGGCAGACATATATCAATTGTATATAGCTATTTTCTTTTTCGGCTCCTTTTCGCCTTCTGTTTAATAGGTAAAATCATAAACCTGGAACTGGTTTCAACAGCTCAGATTCTGCTTTTGGTATACGTATCAATGATACAACAATGCTAATTTTCAGCCAGCATTGCTTTTATCAACTTTTTTTGATTATTAGCCAACGGCGTGAGATACAGTTTCTCAATAAGGATGACTTTACCATTGTTGCTTGCAGTGAAACTTCCCCACTGTAACTTGTGCTCACCGCCTTCACCTCGGCTAGAGCCCTGAGACAATTCTGCCACCCTCGTCCCTCTTTAGCTCTACTCTCCCCGCCATCGCCGCCTTATGTGAACGAGCGAATCTTATTCTTGCTCCCTCATTTTTTGCTATCCTCTTCCAACATTGACACGCAAGGTACGAAAAGCCCAAGGATTTTCTGTGGTTCAGCATTTTTACTCTATTAGTGTATTGTCTGCTAACGAAGTGACAGAAAACCCCCACTCTGTCCTTGACCAAACACCCGACACCATTTGAGCTCCTTCCACGAGTTGACCTAGTTATCGTCACTGTCGCATCAATACGCCCTTGGTTTCTTGATTCGAGAGAGCCACCTATCAAACTAGATATAAATCAGAATGTCTTCATCTCAAGATACGAATGACGCGGCTCAGAAAGCCAAGGAAGCTGCTGAGCAAGCGGCCCTGCCCTACAAATGGACGCAAAACATTGGCGATGTCGACGTGACTATTTCTGTGCCTGGGAACTTGAAGGGAAGAGACTTGAACGTCGTTATTACAAAGACGAGTATCAAGGCGGGCGTCAAAGGACAGGATCCTGTTTTGGAGGTAAGGTGAACTCGTGTTTTTGGATGGTAGTCATATTCTTGATACCCGATATTGGTTTGGGGCCATGCGAGATGATTATTCTTGGTTGCCTCTCATTGCATATCGCAAGTAACATAAAGTATGCACAAAATGTTCAGTTCAACTCCATACTCACCACATTAACTTACAGGGCGACTTCCCCAAACCAATTCACGTCGACGAATCAACCTGGACGCTCGAAACGCTTGGCGATGGCAGCAAGGAGCTCTCCATTCACCTCGACAAGGTCAACAAGATGGAATGGTGGGCACATGTCGTGACGTCTGCTCCCAAGATCGACGTGTCCAAGATTACCCCCGAGAACAGCAAGCTCGGCGATCTGGACTCAGAGACGCGCAGCATGGTTGAGAAGATGATGTTTGATCAGCGTCAAAAGGAAATGGGTCTGCCTACGAGTGACGAACAGAAGAAGATGGATATTTTGAAGCAGTTTCAAGCGCAACACCCTGGTGAGTCCTGCACGTATTATACACATTCTCGTTATCTATCCAATGGTTATTTCTGTAATGTTTTCATGTCCTTTGCGTTACTGTTTTGTATCCCTCCTCGGCCCTCTCTTTCTCTTACTGGCTGTTTTGGCTGGCCTTATACTTGCACTTTGCTGACGACCTGGCTTTATAACTTCAGAAATGGACTTCACCAATGCAAAGATCAGTTAAATTGAATATGAACCGAAAATTGAGGACGGCGGACTATTAGCAAGCATGCGTTATTATAAAAATTCAAACAGTATTTAAGCAAAGCCCACTCTGCGCTACAGGTGCTCTAAAAATGCAGTACGAAAAAAAGGAATTCAAAGAAGGCTAAAAAAAGGTTGCAACAAACAGATACCAATTTATGTATTCGAAAATGAAATTCAGCCAGAATGTGCAGGAACAGTATCACTATTCATGGCTCGATCAATCGTCTGATATTTTGGAATTGCCCGTCTCTTTCCTTCTTTAATCCGCGTCTTTCTGACTGTCTGAATCGTCCGACGGAGAAATCCAGTCGTCGTCATCATAGATTCGATCGCCCGGCCGGCCAGCCCAATCGGAGAGCGGCATGGTGTTTCAGCGCAGAAAAGTCACCAGATGCAATCTTCTTTGCGAGGAACAAAAAGCATTCGCGGACCGAGACCTTCTCCCGGTAGTCTCCTGGCACGGGGTCACCGATCTGTTGCGAAGGGGTGTGATGCCAAATTGTATTTGAGTGCCAGAGCACCCATCGGCCTCTTTTTCTCGGATCCGGCTCCTGCTTGAAAAATATTGTTTGATTGTAGGTGGTGAGAAAGCCGAATTTTATTTTTGCGATATACATGTACCGGGATATCTGGCCTAGAGACACGGTATTAGCCTCGCTTTTTTCCAGATTACGGACCGATCTGTATGATTCGACTCACCAAGATATCGCCTGAGTCTTTCTTGCGGTTGAAGCATAGTACTAGCAATATTGTGCCTCCAGGGAGTTTTTGCTTCGCCGACGAGCTTGAGGAGCCCGTCGCCATCCATCACGACGATATCTGGAGTATCGCCGCCCATACTGACGTCTGGGCTAGCCCTGTAATCGCCAAACCAAAGGCTGATATCCAAGGTCCGGAAGACGGAGCCCATCACCTGGCCGACATGTTGATTGAATCGACCCACAATACTGCTTTCGTCTCCGCATATGATTTGCTCGCGATCAAGGCTGCTCTGCCGGTTTTGTGCTGCATAACCTAAAATTTCCGCGCTCCATGGTGTTGAACGAAACGTGCTTCGGACTTCATTTTCGAAGGCCGTCCAGTGCACCAATGTGGCCTTGAATTCTAAGTCATGAGTGGAGAGAGAGGTCGTCTGGGACGAACCCGTAAGAAGGTCTGGAAGTCGGGAAGAAATAAAGTCCTGCGCTCTCAGTGGAGTCACCATGCTTTGATGATAGTTTTTCAGGGAAAAGGTGGGGGCGGGTTCTGCCACAAAATGGAATCCTGGCTCAACGTCTGTATGAGAGGCCAGGGATTTGTCCGAGACGGCGAAATGTTGGGCTGGGCTGACAATGAAAAATGTTGCAAACAGCAGGAACTTCTATCGTTCCTCCCCCAACATGAGTCTTTCTAATGTTGAGTTTATTCAGTATATCAACTCTTGGTGTCTTCTTTCAAGGTTCTGAAAGTTTAAAAAAGCAAAAAAATATACACAGTTAAGATGGATGTTTTAGCAACTACAAAGAAGTGTTTCAATTATCTTTTGGTAGGTACATGTGCTTAGCAGATAACTCTAGCAAAATACTAGGTATTCATGTTAGTATAGAGTACAGGCATAGGTCTAAGAATAGAGTAGAATATTCTTTTGGAAAGAAGCTGCTTTATTTTATACTCTAGTTCTAATTATTTATAGTTTATCAATAAGAAGGCATAGTAATAATAATAATAATAATTAAAATAGAATCTTATGAAAATGAACTATAGTAAATATATTGAATGAAGTAACAAGGACTATTATGTTGTTAACTTACTTGCTTGGAGATTATGTCATAGGTAGTACCTTCTGTTTATGGAAGTGTCACCCTCGCACGGCGGCTGGCTCTACGGATTAGACCAGAACCGACCGAACATGGCTTGTTCCAGACCCTTTAAGCGCCCAGCATGTATACGAGTAGACCCTTACAACAGGACAAGTACTTCCTACTACGTAGTGCCTTCACATAACTAGACGACACCAAAAGCCAAGCAAGTCGGTCCATTCATGTGACTGGATTGGCTATACTGCCAACACTTTACAAGGGCAAAGTGTCCACGGAATGATGAAAGGATGAAATTCTCTTCCTTTGGCTTTGCGAATTAAATTTATCTTTTTGATTTTTGGTGAAATACCTAGGCATATGAGGTAATGTATTGGGATTTTGGGGGGCCATGCATCAACTTCGCCCTCGCACAGCTATAAATCGGACTCTTCCTTTCATTCTCTCCGCATCGCAGCGACTCCCCAATCCTTCTTACACGTAAAAAACAAGTTGGAAAATCGCTTTTGCTTGGCTCCTCCAACATGCGTGTTCGCTCTTACATTACTTGGTTCGATGAGGTCGAGTTCATCGGACGAGAGATTACCTTTACTGAGCCGTTTCCCTCGACCTGGAGGCTTGAGCAGAAGCTGAGAGAGCATGAACGTTTTGCGTCTGAGGACGATGTTAAGTCGGGTCTAGACTGTGAAGCTCAGGCCGTCTTTGTCTGTTCAAGGGTGGCGGGGCAGGTTCCGCAAGAAGCCATTGTGAAAATCCGGTTGCAGTACGTACTACCTAATTATTATTATTATTATTATTGTTCCCTTCCCAATCAGTTCCTTTTTTTTCTTCTCTTTTTCCACGTTGAAAGCAGCTTCTGAACCATGACATTACATTAGGATCCCTTGGATCGGTACCGTAAACGAACCGCCTCACACACGAGCCAAACAAGCCAAGTCTGATTGGACCTTCTTTGCGAAAAGGGAACTTGAAGCGCTGTCGATTCTCAAACACAACAACTGTTCTTCATCGCCGGCCTTGCTGGGCTGGAAAAGGGAGGAGCAAGATGCCCACATGTGGGTTCCTGGCGGATACATGCTTTGTATCTTGATGGAACGGCTTCGGGGGGTAAATCCTGAACCTTATTATTGGGGATGCAAAATGGATCGTGAGGAGCGCGACGAGCTGCGAGCGGCGTTCAAAAAGGCCTATCTGTATGTAGCTCTCTTTGATTGACACACTCTTTTCCTAACACTTAAATTACAATCCAATCCGACATGGGTGGTTTGTCACCTTTCATTGCGAAAGAGAGAAACACCGCTGCTGACAAACAACCTGTCAATCTAGGGAATGCGTTGCCTGTGGGGTTGTGCACGGGGATTGCGCCATTCGGAACCTTGTTTGGGACCGCGAACTCCAGAAATGGTGAGGTTCCCTTTCTCATTCTCTTATCTCTGCAGAGCTGCGCAAGAAGAGTTTTTGTGATTCCGAAAACTAGCAGCTTTGGGCATTCTTGTAATTGTCCTATGTTGTCTGTCGCACTATCACTGACCTTATTTTTGGGGGTTCTGTACTAGCTACCTAGTGGACTTTGAGATATTTTACCGGCCATCGAAGAGACTGGGGAAATGGCAGGACATTGACTATATCGAGTGGAACCTGGCAGAGTGCTCAGATGGAGATCTTCATGATATGTCTACATGGAAACTATGAAACATCACGACTGATACTGGCGGATGGGACAAGGGAACAATTGGCAGGGAAAATGTTCACCACCGGACGGAGTCCACGGAGTTATTAACGAAACTTTATGCCATCAATCTATACATCCAGGAACACATGTCATCATTTGGAGCTGTGCTAGATTTTGGTTCTCTCTCTCTGTCTCTCTGTTCTTTCCTGTTTTTTTTTTCTTATCAATGTAATAGAAGGGACGGGTCGGACGACTATTCCGGGACCCCCCCAATTCTCTTCCCTTTCCTTTTTCTTTCTCACTCCGCAATCCCTCTTTCTCTATGCTTTTCGGTGCTCGGTGCTCGGTGTTCGACTAATATTATATCGCACGCACGACGGTATGAGATTCTAGGAAATTCATTTTTTTTCCCTCACCAGATATCATAGCGCTGTATATTCTTCATGGAAATGCAAATTAGACGAGAGTGGGAAATGGAATCTTAAACGAACCGATTTAATATTGATAAAAAAAAATAAAAAAAAAAAAAAAAAAGAAGAAAAAAGAGAAGAAAATGGAAAACTAAAGCCAAAAATGACCATGCATGACCACGCCGCCATGACATATATATTCTATAAGATATGCCTTTGTATAAACTGGCTTGATGCTCTTCTCTAGTAGAGCTGGAATTTTCAAATGTTCCAATGTTACAACGATCTTTTCCAAACTAGCTTCGCTTCATGTGGTATATGTATATAAAAAGAGAAACATAGTATAAAAGATAGAAACCGAGGGGGGGGAAGAAGAGAACTATGTACAGACGAATAAAATGGGGGAGATATCAGGAGGATATTTGAGCCCTACCTTCCTGTCAGAATTTTGTTGTAGGAGCGAGTGGGAGGGACGGAGAAAGGGGTGGGAGGTAGAAAACGAGAATGATTCAGAGAAAAAGGCAAGGGGGAAGAAAAGGAGAAAGCGAAAGAGAAGGAGAAGGAGAAAAAGGATAGAAAGAGAAAGTGAGAAAAAAAACTAATAGGTATATCTAAATGTAGGATTCTGCACATCAGTCAGATCCTGGACTTCAGTTTCTTGAACATGTGCGAGGTCGTCCTTTTGGGTTTCGGGGGAAGACCCAGCAGAAGCAGAAGCAGCGCGGTTCTTGACAGAGTTTTGGTAGACGCAAATGATCCTATCGGACATTGGTGTTAGTTAACTGCATTTCTTCAGAGCAAATACAGAGGGACGGCGGGCGGGCATACCAGTACAAAATACCCATGCCAGCCATGATGCAAAAGGCGCAGAGCATGGCACCAATGCCGAGCTGGTAATGGGGTTTCTGTGATGCACGGAAAAACTGGGGACCAATGATATTGCCAATGGCATAACAGACAGCGACCGAACCAGAGACGAAACTCTTCTTGGTCATGCCGGCCGTGTTTGACGACTGGAGACTGAGCATGAGGATCCAAGACGGATTATAGAAGCCCATCAAGTAGACGCCCGTAAGAGAAGCGTCTCGGTGCAGAGTTGGATCGAGAAGACGAATCATAATAGCACCCGCAAGGGCCGGGAGACAGGACAAGACCCACAAGAGGCAGCGGATATTAGGGACAAAAAAGGTGAGCACGGTGCACGACACCTGGGCGATAAAAGCGACTGCGGCCTGTGGGCTAGCCATGAGGGCAGTTTTCGACGTGGAGAAGCCGTATCCCGAGATGATGAGGGGGTTAAAGTTGGTCACACCGGCGTTGGTAAGGGCTTGCGCAATGGCAAATATCACCATGACCCAGTACTTGGGATCCGCAAGGGCTTCAAGGACCTGCGATAATTTGAACGATCGGTGCGTGTTGACTCCGGTCTGGTTGGCGGCGGTGCGCGAGAAGGCAACTTGCTTTTCTTCCGCGGTGAGGAACCAGGCGTTTTGCGCACTGTCAGGCAGAACGAAAAGCGTGACGATTCCGAGAAACATTGAGATGGCGCCGTAGATGATGAAAATGTACTGTTGGTATGGATAAGCCTCTGTCGCTCATGATAACAACCACTGGAAGATTTGTCACGTACTTTCCATGTTGACAGGGGACCGACAATATGGCCTATGGCGTAGCTTAGAATACCACCGAATATCTGGAATTTTAATAGTTAGAAGCTGTTATCCTTGTCTAGCTTCTTAGAAACGGAGATACGGGAGAAGCCTAAAAAAGGAGCGGGAGAGGTGGACACAAAACGCTTACCCCAGCAAAAGTATTCCACCAAATTGCAGTGCGCAAAGGTTGTTCCTCCCGGCGGTACCAGACCGAGTTGAGGATTATAAATGAGGGGAGCAAGCCTGCTTCGAACATGCCCAGGACAAACCGCGCTGCCGCAAGACCGGCAAAACTTTTGGCGCCTGTCATGCAGCAAAGAACCAATCCGAAGCCAATAATGCTCACGCCAATGTATTTGCCAATTGGGACCTTGGTGAGAAGCCACATGGTCGGAAACTCCATGGCAAGGTATCCAAAATAGAAGATAGAACCAAGCCAGCTGTACTCTTGCCCTACCAAGTGAGCATCTTTCTGCATTCCGTAAATCGCAGCGTACGCCAATCCATTCTAAACCGGTGAAGTTAGCCAATGCATCACTGAATTTCTTTTTCACTCTTCCTTTTCTTCTCGTTTGTCAAGAAATGAAGCAAAAAGATTCGTCCTCTCTTGCAAATGTAGTAAAGAAATAGAGTGGAAATACCTTGTCCAAGAACGAAAGAAATTGAGCGATAAAAAGTATTGGCAATATCACAAGATCAATCTTCAGAAGCACTTTTCGACGAAGTTTCCTCGAAATTTCATCCACATTTGCAGGTACTAGGCCAGGTGCTATTTCTGCCTCAGAAACCGGATCAGAAATAGGGCCTTTGTGGTCTTCAGACATATTTTTTTTTTCTTTTTCTCGGAGGCTAGTGCCCGCAACGGTCAATTGAGATGGATGATAATCAAGAACACTTTGAACAGTAACGAGTGAATGAAGGTATCATTTGAATCAGAAAGGTAACGCCGGTCGGTGATATTACTGGCAGCTCCGGTGCCCTATTGATGAAAATGATGGCGGTCTCCATGCTGCTAATTATTAAAAAAAAAAAAGACGGCGCAATGCGAATTTTCAATCTATGATGGTGACAATCTTTTGCATCACCATTGCGCATTCTCCATCGATCTTGCGTGATGAACCGATAGGGCAGGCGATAGGTGTAGTCCGAACTAGTGAGGGGTGATGTCGGAAACTATAACACTTATGGGTGGAATTCCCACATGGTCAGCCCCAAGAGTTTGGGTCACTTACTCTATAGGAACATGTGGTCGACCCTCGAAACTCAACTCGCGACTCGGCCTCGTCCGAGCTCCCCCACACGTCAGCTCGGAGTTTTGCTTCATCACACAGATAAACTCTTGGAGATAGGCGTAGCCTAAAAAAAAAGCAGTATCAGGGTCTCATGCACCCCTGTAGAATAAATAAGCCATGGACGTCTCCTTCCGCTTTGACCGATAACGTTCAATTTCCAAAAGTTTCCTTGCATTCTCCTTATCTTCTTTCTCCCAAAAAGTAAAAAATTCGCTCTGTGAAATATTAATATTTATCATGGTTGCATCTCAGTCCAATCACGACAATACTCCCCAGGCCAAAGAGCATGCGACTGGGAACAATCATGGCAATACACATGCCGTGGTACCTAATGAAAAGAACGCGAACATTCTGGTACTCCCTCTCCATTGGGACGGATGAACAATAAATCGCGTATCATTTGCTGACCATGTGTAGATTGGCATGCGGGACGGCGTCACAGGGGAATTTGCTCTTTTCCCCCGTCAAGAGGCAAAGATTTCCGTCTTCGACTCGAATTTTCTTGTCGGTGATGGCATATGGGTAAGATTGATTTTAGTATAATTTCCTATAGGGTTTTAAATTGACTCGTGCAACCTGCAGGAAGGAATCCGCTCCTACAACGGTCGCATTCAATTTGCACGGGAGCACATTAATCGCCTCTTTCAAAGCGCAAAAGCAATGTATATGGACCTTGGAATCTCCAAAGCCGGGCTGCTCGACCTCATCCATGACACCATCGATGCAAACGGCATGCAAGATAGTAAAGACGTTCATATTCGACTTGTCGTAAGTCGAGGCTTAAAATCCACTCCATACCAAAATCCTTCAGTAAACATCGGTCTTCCCCTGATCGTCATCATCCCCGAATACAAGAAAGCAGACCCGGCGTCAAAGGCCCGCGGCCTGCGGCTGATAACATCGCACATCCGGCGGGGCCCGCCTGATGTCAAAGATGAGATGTGGAACCACATTTCAAAGGCAACAGACATCCAAGCCTGTATTGGTGCAAACGTGGTGGGCGCAGACGAAGCATTGATGCTCGATCCTCATGGATTTGTCAAGACCTGCAACTCGGTCAATCTCTTCATTGTACGAGACGGAGAGGTGTGGTCGCCAACACGAGCGTATCAGATGCAAGGCATAACCAGAGCAAAGACCATATCCCTGTGTCGCGCGAACAATATCCCCATTGTCGAAACTGACTTTACTTTGACCGAGACTTATGGCGCTGATGAGGTATTCTGTACCGGTACCTTTCCAAGCCACATTCCTGCACTCGAGGTTGACGGACGCATAATAGGCGAAGGGAAACAAGGCCCTATCACAACCAAGTTGCAACAGCTCTATTCGGAGCTTGTCAAATGGGATGTCGGTCGTTCAAGAGAGGAAATTCGCAAAGAGCTACAATGAGCAATGTCATTGTTTCTGAGAATTCATGAACATGAGGAATTAGCCATTATCCTTGTAGACCATAAATATACGCATTGTGTCGCATTCCGAAACTATTGAGGTTGTCTTGAAATTTCTTGGTGCAACTTTTCAATATCCGATATGAAAGCGCTCATCCATGGATCCGTGGCCTCATTGTCTTGTCTGCCATAGCTCCAGTCAAGGTTGGAGAGTAATTGATCCAGGGACCCGTCCAGATCAACGTCCATGGGAACATTGCTTTCGGTCATTGATGACATGTTCGGAGCTTCTTGGCGTAGTTGGCGCGTAGCAATTGTTATCCGTGTCAGTTTGTCAAAGAGTCCAAGGTGCCGCCTCGAATACCCTGCCTCGTTGCATGTATGCTCTAGTATCCTTAGACAAGACCGAGCATTTGCAATTATGGTCTCGTCGTCCATACTGGTTGTTCTCCTAGCGAATTTGTTAGACCGTTCCTGTAACACAAAGCCTATAATGAAAGCAGCTTCAACTTGCCAACCACAGTAGAGCCAGCTGAGCCCACTAATAAAGACATCATGGAATAAATTCCACGTTATCTTCAGTTCCTTTTCATCTAAAAGCTCGGTCCAAAGTGTAATTGCAGTGCTTGAAGCTGACAAGCAGGCTTGCATATTCTCCTGAGCTGGCAATGGAAAAGAAGGAGATGGTCGGTTTAGTAACAAGGAAGCAAGGCTATGGCGAATTCGCAATTCCTTATTCTCCCGGGATCCGATTGGGGTGTAAAGGTCAATCTCCTGCTCCCAGCGCCTCAGTTCCGTTCGGATATCCTCGGAGACTTGGCGAGTTGCCTTTAAGCTGAGCGACGGTCTCACTCGGGGACGTGCTATATACACAGATTCCAAGGTATCGCCTAGAATCCGAGTCAAGCGGAAGAGGTGTACTGCAGGTATGATGCCCATGCTCTTGAAAGCTGAGGCATATTTGGCCTCTTCATCAGTCAACGCGTCATCTGCATTATTCCTGGGATATGGAGTATCAATTGCTTGATTTCGAAGTGACAATGTTCTCCCGAGAGCCACGGCGATTGTCCTAGTCGGCCTGTTAGTATGACACCACTCGTCACTATATGAAGCAACAGCAAACCTTTCTAGCGCATACGAGCACCACCAAATCCTGCTTCTCAGCTCTCGTTCCGAGGCGTCAATATCTCGTCGAGGATGGTTTCGATGGCAGCCCATAGCCTGCGCAGAAGAGATGGCGAACCGGCTTAGCTGCCAAAGATCTTCACTCGCACTCGCCGTAGGGGTCCTCATCAGCCACAAGCAAATAAGAAGAGTTGCCTGTAGCGCTTGCAGAGTTCTCCTCGATCTCATCTCTGCATAAAACCTCGAAGATGTTGCAAAGTAATCGGAGGGCGTAAATATGTCAGGTGGCATAGCACGATCCATTGTCTTCCTTCCTTCAAACGATCCCAGGGCCAAGGTAATAAAGACGACAAACTTTTGAAAGGCATCACATCGATTTGGTTCCGTGAAAATCTTATCATAGCCATTCCTTAACGAAGGAAGGTGGAGGATTGGCCACCACATGTGCACACGACCAATATAGTTCGATAGAATAAACTTGGCAGCCCTGCGAGATGGCAACGCTGCGAGCACTGGACGCGCCTCTGTGCAACGGATTTCCATCGGATGAACTGTCAGTGAAGCCATTGGATCGTCCAGATCTTTCAAGTCTAGCTGGGAAAAGAATATTTTTGCAAACGTAGAACCGGCAGCACTCCCAACTATGCAAAAACAGTCAACTCCGCATATGATGTCAAGGCTGGGCCCACAAACCATAAGTCGATGTCTCAAAGCCATGTTTTCCATCCAATGTGAGACAACCAACCTCTTCAGCAATTGCAGAAAATTTATCTCCTTGAGGAAGCCGGAATCGACGGTCTTCATCAAATCTTTCGCTCTCCTCTCCAACTGAATCAGATGTATGCAAATTTGGCACATGCTCAGATTGATACAATCGCAAATGTCTCTCTAGCACTGAGATCCGTTGGTGTAATGCCTGCACAGTTTCATAAGAGTATGATATGCAGGACGTGATATTGCAAACAGCATCCTGCTTCTGGCAACCTCCGCACTGGGGAATTTGCATATCACACTGCCATAGAATCAGCTCAGGCTCCAAATAAAGAAGGAGGAAGCATGAAGATTATTAATTTTTCATTTCATGCTCACATGACTCAGAAGAAAGGAAGCAATCTAACCTTCACCTTGCGGGCATGGCATCTATTGCATGCACGTGTAGCGGTAGGTTTAATCTCGTGTAAATTGGACATAGGATGCCCGTCGAAATCAGAGATGGGCTCATTCATACTTTGTAGAATCACAAGTCGGCAATCACTGAAAAACGAACAAGAGTTCAATCCATTGGCAATTCGATCGTCGTCGTTTCTTGTGGACGATTCCTATACGGCCTGATTCGCTGTGTTAATCTGCAAATCTAGCGATAAATAGATGACACGAGATATTTAGATACCTGGAGATTTGTATATCTTCACTATTGAATGATAAGAACAAGAATAATTGCAGTATTATTGAATCGAAAAGGAACAGCGCCGAAAAGAATGATAAAGTCTCCAGTGATGGTTGGACCTAAAACTGATGTGAGTCTTCGGTAAACGGGCAATAATAGTCTACAGTTTGGAGCGAGGGGGTAGTGAGTGCTCTGCCTTTGCGTAAGTTCGCTTGAGAACGGCGAGGCTTGCCTATTAGTTCGCTGTAAGATTCGTTAGTTTACACTCCCTCCAGTGAAACCAAAAAAAGTCCCTTACAGCTAAATACAGGTAAAACTGCTTTATCTAATACTTGTATTCCCACTATCATACCTATTGCTTATATATCGAATTCACCTATCTACAACAACAAATAAATATGCAAAAATGACAATAATTTCACCAATCAACTTAGTATAACTTCTATATGGCACAAGACAGAGTATAGCAAGTAGCCAAACCTGTAAAAATTGTTTGGCCAGTTTTAAAGAATTTTTCATATATAAAGGTGGAATCTAAAATAAAATAATCAAATAAAATCAAAACCATCCGACTAGTTCTGACCCGTAGTATTGCAGCAGCAGCAAGATAGATATTTCTCTATCAAAGTTTCTATTTAATGTTTATTTCAATTAATTCAAAAAGATGATTATTTGAACATATTCTAGATTGAGTTGAATACAATAAAGTTAGCTGTCCCTGATTGTAACACGCAGTATACTCTACACACACTACAATTTAGGAGCAATTACACCAATTCACTGTCCAGTGGGACTCAAGCTAACGAAGCACTATAACTACACTGTTCTTAACTAGGCCCAGTTCATGAGCCAGGATAAAACAGAAGCCATCTTTTCCCATCCACCCAGTACCGGACCGATTGTTCGTTAAACTTTTTGACACAGATTTAGACAAGCATAGTTTATAAAACCTGTACAAGCCCGTCGCCTGATCCCAGTCACCTAGTTCTATATTGAGTGTCACTGCTCTGGTGGAAGATACCGTACAAGCTGTGGAGCCGTATATCTGATCCCCTTTCTGATCTAATGATGATCTGTCCTTATCTACCTACGGTAGAGAGGTAAATCATTCATCTTACGGCACTCAAAGGGTACCAGGGAATTGAGTTAACTTTTAGTGATGCGACGATCCCACTTCCCTTTTGCACGAAAGTATCGCTTAACTAATTTCCAATTATAAATCCCGGTATACTATTATAAACAATATTATCCATACTTATTGAGTAAGCCGGAATGCGAAGAAATTTGATGATCAATTATACCTAACTATAAGGAGGACCCGTCAGTTTACCATGGGATCTACCTACCTACCAGGTAATGACACACCATTATGGTACTGCGCAAGTATACAGAGGCACAGTCTCCACTCTATCGTCAAGTTTACGGTACGTGTACCCACAATTAGCCGTCTCCCGTGGACATCTAAGATGCCAAAACATGCTCAGCAATAACACCAATACTGGTACCCACACTTGGCTCACATTAAATACTCTGTAATTGCCGATGAACGATGATCACTGCCATAAAAACAACATCTTACCCATGCCTAGTCTGTCCCAGTACCAAAGTTTGAAAAACACCGTCTCCACAGCCCATCCGTGTCCTAATGCTCCGCCTCGCTCCCGTCATTTCCACCACCGTCGAGATCATTTTGCATAGCTCGAGACTATTGTAGGCTTTGTGGCAGGATTGGTCACTATCAACGATCCGAAAAAAGACCTTCGTCGACCTCGGAAGGCACTCCAAACCTTCCATAATCATCATCATCATCATCATCATCATCATCATCATCATCGTAGAATAAATGGGGGGAAAGGACATTTTTTTTGAGTGATATCAGCTGATCAGTTTGTTGTGACTAAAATCATGGAAGTTTTGTTGATGATGGCCATTTTTCGTTGAGGATACCTCCGTGGTTAGATGATCGTCGGTTCGAATATCAAAGGGTCTTCTAATTGCCCTCCACTATGAGCCCCCTTGTTAGTAATCCCTCCCTGTCTAAATTCGATCGAACTTCCCAAGCAAAAGATTTGACATTTCTACCCTTCCAACCATCTTAGTCTTCGAGATATCTCCGACAGTCCTCCGGATCATACGCAAGCATCTCGTTTCCCAACGCCACTTTGTCGGTGACTGGGATTTAACGATCCAATCTGTTGGACCCTCGATGATGATGCCGATCAAGTACAAAGCAATCACGCTAAATCATCTATTAGCGCCAAAGGAAAAAAAAACATAGCTTTTCAGTCCGCTTGCAAGTATACTCGTAACCTCATGTTCGCGAGGTCTGTCTTTCATTCTCCTGTCCTTTTAGTTTCTGGTCTTTGTGGACCCCGGCAGTCAGAGTCCTGGGTTTTATACCTGGTCAATATAGGACTGTATCCACAATACTGTATCTGGTATTGGTCTTCTGTTCCCAGCGGTGACGCTTGGTCTTGACCCAAAGTAGGATCTTTTTAGTACCCGTACGGACACCTCATGCATTGCGCCAAGTGCTTCTTGTTGCTAATGCTCCGGAGACGGAGGCATGGATTCCGCAACTAAAGCAGCAATCCGGCACGGCATCGCACTGTTAGTTCGACCACATAAACCGGTTCAATCTTTGCGCCACCTGCATGACACCAAAGCTCCATCCGTCCGTAAAATTACCTAACCAGGGAAAATTGTTACTCCGTGTCTGTCATCACTGATTCCTTCCCGCGGGAATCAATGCTCCTTCCCGCGCCTATAAACACTTCTTGGAATTTTCTGTCTTCTTTTCCGAGTCTTAAAACAATCCCGTCTAGTGTTCCTGATTTGGACGGACAGATGAAGGCTGGGAAGGCTGCCGCAAGCACTCTTGTAATTTCGATAAAGCGGCGACTAACGTATGGTTGACGAGGAGTTAAATGGTTAGTTTGTAGCGTTGCTCCCTTTGTTCTGATCACCCGTCGGATTTTGCTTGCCTATGACGCTTCCGCTCTTGTATCGTCGCTCTTTTGCCTCATCCTGACTCAAGTTAACTATCCCCTGTCTGCTTGTTACTGCCATGTAACTAGCCGGTTCTCCCTTGACCCGGTTTCCCGGTTATGCTGTTGCACACGGCACTCTGAACGAACACGATCGCCAGCAACACACGCATACTGCAAATGTCTTCTTTTTGAATGTCATTGTCTTTTTGCTTCCTTCCGATTGACCCATTCTGAACCCTGCAGCTCTCCGACTGGATTGCCTTTTCTTGTCTGCAGATAAATAAGCAAGTCAAATAATCCCTGAGATTCACACACAGATTGATCTGCAGGTAAATTCCCGGACTATTTTAGTGGCACTTGGCCACACACAAGGGGAGGAAGACCTCCTCTCTAGACCCAAGCGATGCAAGTGGCTCGATGCTCTCCCAACTAATAGAGCAAAAGTTCTAAACGACAAAAATGAAACACGATTGTGTGCAAATTAGAAATAATATAGTAATACAAGGCTGAACTATTACTATAGTATTGTACGGAGTAGTCTGAACAGGTACCGATAGCACCCGGTAAATCAACCGATGAACCGGTGCCGGACCTGCGGACCAACCCACCAGCTTAGCGAGGAAATAAGAAGTAGCACTGGAAGGCGAAAGAAAATGATAGAGAGGCAGGAGGACAATCGCCGATGAGGCGGGGCACATGAAAAGGACCCAAAAAAAAGAAAGAAAAAAGAAAAAAGAAAGAGAAAAAAAAAAAAAGTTTTAAAAGAGGCGGTCAGCGAAACGGTCAAGCTAACATTTTTCGTCGCAGATATTATACTGCCAAAGACAAGCTAACAAGCGAATGGAAAGGGTTGACAGATGATTTCCATAGAACGTATCGAGTAGTATCTCTTGTATTTTGAAAATTGCCCCGTGTCACCCTATTTTGTTCAATTGATAGGTGTATGACGCGTGGCTCTTATACGACGAGAAATAGGAGAGTGACGCAATTTCAGTAATTGGTGGCAAATGGCCGAATCGACTTGCGGTTGTGATTGGAAGTAAATATGACAATGACAGTGTAAGATGTCGCAGAGAACGTAGAAGTCGCCGAGACACTATATCGAAACATCGGGCCTTCTATGACCCAAAAAGAATAACGCCCGCAGAGGGTATCTGGAAACTGAATGGAAGTGCTTGTGCAAGCGCAGCACATGTGGCAAAGGAGATACTAAAAGAAATATGAAGAAGAAATGGACACTAAAAATGAAGGGAAAGAAGTATAGACAGCAAGAGAACCAGCATCATACGAGTTTTGTTTCGATTCTCTGCGCCAGCCTGCTGCGAACTGTTTTGCTCCACTGCAGCAAACAGACATGGCGTACAACGCATTGATACATGAATAATTCTTGCGAAAGCAGAATGATCAGGAGGTCCCGCCCCGGCGTATGCAAGAGCAACGAGAACTGAGAATAAGGACAGATATAGGTAATAGTAGGCGCTATGAAAAATTCAAGCATGAAAGAAGTTATTGTTGTGTGGAAAAAAAAAAAGGGACTCGTAGAGCTGAACAATGAATATATGAGTTAGTCAAAAATGTACTCCATCGCGCCTTCAAACCGACGCAAATATTGTGAATCCATGATAATTATACAAAGATAGGAGGGCTGTATGTATATTAATACTCCTTTACTCTAGCGAGAGCTAGGCCCAGCTTGCCATGCCCGGTCGAATGGTTTGGGCGCGTATGTTTCGAAAGTATTGCTGCTTGGAGGTGCCGACATAGTCACCACAGGTCCGCGACCAGCGACAGAATGGGCATCACTTGGCTCCGGCGGAAGCACTGCTCGACCATATGTAGCAATCTGAGGTGGAGGCGCGGGGTGCGGCGGTGGAATCGATGGTGGAGGAACTGTGACTGCCAGATTGGCCGCAACTAGAGATGGAATCGGAGGCGATCCGGCGTAGCTCAATGATTGCAAGCTGGCACTTCGCCGGGCTCTTCGGTCAGAGTCCCCTTGCAATTGATCTGCTTGCCAAAGCATGCCTGGTGTCAGAGGACCAGAGGACTGGAGCATCCGTCGCTGACGAGGAGACGGTGGTCGTGGAACCATTTGGCCCTTTCCGCCAGCGTCGTAAGCAATCTTCCGAAAATGGTCTCGCTCTTGCCGATAAAAGTCTGCATCCTCCGCCAGGTCTCGTACTTGCTGCTCCAGTTTTGAAATCGTGTGAGACGCCTCTCGCTCTTTCTCTTTTCGCCTTTGCCTGAACCGTGCCGATGCGCCGGCGTTTCTTCTCCGCTTCTCGTCTGCCACCCTCGACGCTGCTTGCACGTCTACTGGCACTTGAATGGGTCCTTGGTCTGTCTCTAGTGTCATTAGTTGGTAGCCACTCTGTGCTGACGGCATCATTATGGGTCCATATCGACCGTCCGATGCTGGCGAAGGGTGAGATGCAGGGATCGGTCCACCGCTGCCAATGCCACCAGTGGCTATATTATATTGGGCAAAGGTCGATGGAGCAGAATGAAGCGAAGGTGACGTGTGAGGTGGTGCTTGGCCAAATGACGGGTATAGCGCTGGTGGACTCGCGCTTCGGGACGGGGCAATAGGGAATACTTCACCACTCCGTCCTCCTCTGGGTGACCGTAGCGCAGGAGCAGCTGGAAAGCTCAAAGATTGCTTAAGGCGACCAGGTGGAGAAACTGGTCGCGTGAGTTCCGGAACTGAGGTCGTCCGGTGCGTGTTGCTATGAGACGCTGCTCGCGGTGACAGGAAAGGTGACTGCTTGGCATCAATCGATGCCTCAGAGAGAGGCGTTGGCCGCAAGCTCACAGTTCTCCGCGCTGGGGAAGTGGGCGCGAAAGGGCCCTGCTCTGCTCCACCACGAGCGCGGTCAACTCGGCTTTGACGAACGTCCGACAACATGGTGGATTCTGCCTCAGGACCTGAATTGGTCGAGAGACGAGGTTTAAGGGCCGGCGGTGGCTCAGTCTCCAGATGCGCTGCACTTCTCCGTAAGTTGTTCCGCGGTGCTGAAGTTTCCGGTTGTGTGGGATTGAGCATAGAATGCACCCCTATGGAGCGTGGCGGTTTGTCCAAAGCGCTCCTTGTTCGAGGAACAACAATATCTGGTGGTGCCTGCACGAGTCCCGTTGAAGGAAGCTCAGCTGAGCGTTGCGAAACGGACCCCCGGCCGGTTCTTCGGTCTTCCTCATCTTGAGCGGCTAGACTTCCCGGCCGAAACAAAGGAGTCTTCGATGAAACTTCTAGGTTTCTAGAGCCCAAAGGCTTCTCCAGCGTATTTGGCGTGGCCGCCTTTCCCGACATCAAAACTCGGTCCTCGACGCGGTCCCAATCCTGAATTTCGTTACATTGACGCCGTCGTGTTGTATCGCGGTAGTTAATATTGTCGTGAAAACGAAACAGAGATGTATAGCCCTGTGAGAATCGGCGGTCGCCTGCAAGAGCTTCCAAAGAATATGGGCCAGGAAAAGGATGACGAAAAGGAAGAACGGGGGCTTGCGACAGGGCCACGTTGGGCGACAAGGGACGGCTCAGCACCGTCAATGAAGGATGATTTGATTTGACCTGTTTCGGCGATCAAAATTACAGAGTGATGGCAGTCGGTTGAAAAACCACAGTAGAAATGCTCTGCACAACTTCAACGGACGCCAATGTAATTATGCAGGCGAAATATAAACGGAATATAATACCCCGACAGCGTTGATGTCGAAATATGTCGTTCTGTCTTGTTTTTTCTGGGAACACGTGAATCTGAACGGTGCTTCCGAAGATTGAGAGTTCGAAACCCAAGAGAAAAACCTATTGAATGAGAAGAAAGATGACGGTTCAACCAGACGAACTTCGATCAAGGATCATTTCCCGTGTGTGACTTGGATGGAGGGCTAGTGATATACACGCAGGCGAAGCTCAAAGCAACATAGCTTGCTTGCCCTTGCGGTGAGTGGAGGATGACACAAGCGGTTTGAACGTTTCCACCACTCGACTTCGCAGCTCGATCGTCTACTTGAAGGTTCAAACGCAGGGCAATTGTAGTGGGTCCCGGTAGACGGGAGGAAACGGTCCTTCGCGGCGTGACTGGCCAGAGCAGGTCCTCTATGGTGTGACAGGATCCTCGAGGTAGGAGAATAATAATGAGAGGAAGAGAAGAGCAAGCCCACTTCCTATTGGGGACTTCTGCACGAGGCACGAGGGCGGAAACAAGGAAAGTTAAAGCAGGTCCACTTCCGCGATGCCGTGTTAGGAAGAGGGCGTGTAAGTCAGTCGAGACACTTTTCTCCAGCGAAGAGGCGCGGTAGCACTATTGTACCTTAGGCCCCGTACGAGGACCAGGGATAGTACCATGTACGTGATGTATACAATCACCTGGGCCAGCGAGTGTGTAGACAGTAATGGCATCTTGGTTCAGGGACGATCTGTAAAGCAGAGGCCGGTAACCTAATTGACATGGTTCAGGATGAGCACAATTCGGTAGCGCAGGTAGCGCAAGTATAGCATCGACCGTCATGTCCTAAGAAGGCACCGTCCGCGGTTACCAAGATTCCAGGACATCCCCTGCTGCTGTAGCCTCGTCCCTATATGCTGGTACGGGGCGACTTAGGAAGCAACTCGCCGGTCATAGAGGCACCAAGAGGAGCACCCCTGTGCCTGGATGGAATATGGCCCTTGCTCGTTGGCCTCAACATCCCCGTCTCCAGTCACCAACCTGGACTGATTACGCTTAGCCAAGGGCACAGAGAGTGCGCTGGAAGCCGACGTGGACGAGCCAGAAAGCAGAGCCGAGGCTAGTGTCCATCATTCTTGCCACAAATGGCTCTCATGGGCTGCGATCAGAACGACGATGCGACACTACACAGCCTGCCAGAATTAGGTGGGTCCGCTTTTAGACTTTGGGTCCTTGACGGTTGCCCTGCCCAAAAACCGGTCGACATTGGTGACGATGATCCCCGCAGCCTTTCGGATAAACCCGACCCTCCATACGTGCAGTATTCGTACGCTCTTGTCTGGGAAGTTCGCGGCTGTCTTGTGCCCCAAGTAGAGTACTAGGCGAAAGAAAAAGGAGCTCTGACGAGAATGAAGGTCGAGATGAACTCCAGAGTAGGTTTTAAAAAAGTAAGAAAAACTCAGAGCTGCGCCCCACATTCAAAACAGCTTCCCACCTGTCTTGGCTCATGTCCTTGTCGGATCCTTAATAAAAGTCGAAACCTTGCTGACCGAATAGGGCAGCTGCTGCAAGGATGGAGAAAGACGCCGTAAGAGCCTTGACAACGGCCTGAACGAGGATATGAAACGTGGTTTGCTTATGATCCGCGCCATATACACGAGTTATCTCTGACCAAAAGTCGCCGGTATCCCGGACAAAGCTTGGGTCAGCGGACCTGCACAATGCCGTATCAAATAATTTACGTCAGAATAGATACGTGCCAACAGACCAGGTACAGTGATAATAATGAAGGGACTGTGATTCAAGCAGGCAGCGAGGAACGGCACGAAATGAGCGGAAACTGGGAAAACCAATCAGGGAATTCAGGTTCTAGTCCGGTTGGTACTAGCCTGGGGTCGTCATTGATCGCTGGATAAAAAGGGATGGATGGCCCCCCCGAGAGAACAAGGGTCCCGGCCGTGTCATGAACCAGGCCAAACGGCTCAACGGAAAAGCGACCGCGGGATACACTGGTATACGGATACGCTGGTAGGATCGTGCGTGATTGCGAACCAGCGGGTCCGCCAGACCTAAAGCTATGTTTGTCACGCCGCCATTTTTGCCCATGGCGGAAGGGTTCCATATTCAGGTCGCTGCTGCGAAATTGCCTTGTACCGAAAGGGAACTTCCCTGGACCACATGTTGGTAGTCTTCTTGCATCGCCCTGATGGGCGGATTGACAATGCAAGATTTGCTCGTCACCAGCAGCGTAACTAGGGTGCAGGTTCAGGGGTGTGTGCGTGAGCCGAAAATGCGCGTGTGCATATTGCATCACACGCACATTTGTTTGGGCTTGTGCCAGAGGACATGCGCAGACCGTGGGGTTGGGTAGGCTCTCCAGTATCGGTGGAGGCCCTAAACGAGTGAAAAATAAGAGAAGCATCCAGGCACGAGGGTCCTTGGTTCACGTATTTTTTTTTGTACTGATAGCCAGTCTTCCCGGTCTTGTTGCGTCTTAGTATTACCAAGTGTATGGGCTGTGGGTCGTTGGTAACCCATTGGTGCTTGGACCGTTGCTTGACCAAATGGCCAAGAGAGTGAGCGCGGGTCCAGGTCCGAGGCCTCCGCCGGGCGGCGTCATTTACCATTGCAATTTGAATCGCGCCTTTCGACATGCGCCCAGGCCTGAGCAGCAGATGCCATGTGGCTTGGCATTTAGCAAAATGCCATGGACTTTGGGCGTGAGCGCGTCTGCCAGCGGACGGCTGTTGATTGGGTCCTTCGGGGCAGTTCCCGCGGGTGCATCTCGGCGGTGGGGTTCATTGACCCCTGTCCATGCCTCATGCATACTCGATCATGTGCTTTCTGCACGTTGTTCTAACTGATGGTGCCAGCAAATCCCACATATATCGCTTAATAGGGCGTCGCGCGACGTAATATAATTGCGGTATATATCATGACTTAATTTGTCGTTGCCTCTGTTTATTCTCTTTTTTTTTTTTTTTTTTTTTCCTTTTCTTTCCTTTTTTTTGATCTTCATCTCAGTCCGTTTTCTAGCCACCAATTGGATAGATACTCTGAAAATCTGATACGTTGGCTGGCTCGCCAAATACTTAGTGGGCTGAGTCGATATAGTGAACCAAGTGGTAGGGATGACGGCCTCTGATAGTTAAACTCAAAAATGATGAAGTTCGTCAAAGCAGGCCTTGTTCTTGGCCGTAAGCAAGCTGTTTGGCGTTTAGTCCGCTTGGGAGCCTGTCTCGGTGAATTAGGAATTCTAGGAGTTGGATGGGGATCATAGTAGTGGTGAGGCGGTTCGCAGAACGATAGAGTAGCCTAGGAAGCCGGTCGGCTATAGCCACATCGAAGCGGGTCGTTGGGCACAAAACGGGGCAATGGACCAGCCGTGTGTGTCGGGCATTCCGTCCAACCCAAACGACCCACTCTTGACGCCGCCTGAGAACCGACATTTGTCCTGGTGAAAGAGAAATTGAAACCTGAACTTCGGAGCTTTAACTGACTTGAGCTGGATTTTCATCTACTCTATCACAGTAGTCGTTAATGGTCCGCCTTGGATTTGGTCGATACCTTTCCCGCCCGCACTATGTACGTGGAGGCGACCGGCAAGTGCGTTAGCGACGTAGGCCCGCCTCGCACTGTTCGGTAGACATCCGGACAACAACCAACTCACGATCCTGCTTCTGGCTTGAGTTACTTATGGCGGAGCAGTAGGGCAAGGGATAGGCTAGATGACCACCGCAGGGCGAGTACTGCTGTCGCGCGTCAATAGATCAAGTTTTAAAAAGGAATAGGTTTGTACTGTTACTAGTACCTTCGAAATAGTTTAGTCTAGAATCACCCATATTCTAGCCCGCTGCTCTTGCTTGTCCCGATTCCGCCAGTATCTGCTGTTCTTGGGCGATTGAGGTCGGAATGATTTCCCTGGCGGGTGAGCTTTCTCTAATGATTAGTTTCTGTTTCGTCTTGATTAAATAATCTGGTTACTCTCGCCTCCCCCCCCCGAATCCAGCTACCTGATGCAAAGAATTGTAAGGTCGCCATGGCACGGAATGCAGACCAAACCGCTTTAGGTTGAGTATATCTATTATCCGATCTGCGTATAAGATGTTAGACAGCTAGATTTGATATGTGCAAGACATTGGAGTTGTTGAAATTCGGTTTTCCCAACGTCGCAATAAGCTTTCGGGGAAAGCAGAACGCGACGCGTGTGATTTCCTTACTGGGGAAAAGCGAATCTATCGTAGCAACCGCACCAAGTTGCTCCATTTTTCAGCCCGCAGCGCGAGAGCCGCTCAAGGTAGTCAGTATGAATGATTTGCGTTTTTCCTTTTTCTTGTTTCTCAGCTGACTGAACCCTACTCTATCGTGGGACTAGAAAATGCAATGGAGAGCAACGAAACTAACCTGGTTAAACTTTTCTGGGGCCATGCTAGTATGACTTGAGATGAGCCGATATGGGCAGCCCAGAGCATCATTCTCTAATGGTACCAAGGCCGGTGGGGAAGAGTAGAGAATATTGTGGGGTTATCTTCGCTATTGTCGGTCACTGACATTGGTCATAAACGTACGAAGTCAACTATCGGGGGGGGCGCCCTCTTCCGGCATCCCCCAGCGCTAAATGAGGACGCGGGGCGAAGGAACTTGTTTGTGGGGGGAAGGCAGTCCCATCTTTTGCTATTGCGAGTTTGATTCGGTAATAATACCAAGCTCGCAAGACGTGCTGATGAGCAGACGCATTGATTTTCCTTGTCCTTTCAGACTCAAAACTGCTTACGCCGTAGATAACCCAAAAGGTGATTACAACTGAAGAACTTGTTGAAAGGTGAACGGAGGGCGACGGGCCAACAGCTCATGACGCGGCCTCTATCTAAGGGCATTCCATGATCATCGCAGCACCTCATTAATTTCTTACGCATTCGACCCCACATTATACGGCCGAAGTATTGCTCAGATTGGCCAGACGCATCCATCGCTTGCCCTGGAGCAGCGGAAATGCTGCTAAGATCCACGGCCTGACGGAACCCAAGGTGACGCGAGGGTACACAGTGACGAGTCTATGAAAAGACTCAAACAGAAAGTTGATGAGCCATTGGTGCTCGAAAGCGCTCGCCAGACTTTTAGAAACAATATCCCCGTCCTATTTTGTATGAACTGGTAAACGAACCACTTCGTGCGCCAGGTTCAGAGCTCATCGCTGACCAATGTCGTCTGAATAAGATCCGTTTCCAAAGAGTGTTTCTCCTTAAATCCAAAATAGCTTCCAGTGCGACATGTATAGGTTGATTTGCTAACCTCTATCGAATACGCGAAGATTTGTCTATGAATTGATTCTCTATGTGCCGGGATTTGGTGAGGTCTATAGTACTTCTAACAATTGTCCATGGCGTTGCTCATCTGCTTGCTTGATACTTGAACGAGTGAGGTTTCTGACCTTTGACGCCGACCTTGACACGGAACAGGCTACCTGCATAGCGCACGCTGTTAGGATATTTGTCAGGCTCCTCCTCGGCAGCGCTGGTGATGAACAGCTCGTCTCCTACAAAGCCTGGGCAGGTTGGACACCGAGTCGGGACATTGACCTGACCGACAACTTTGCCATCCGGTGAAACGCGGAGAACTTTACCCCCGCCGAATTGCGCTGTCCAGATATAGCCGTGCTCATCAATGGCAAAACCGTCGGGCTCAATTCCATCTTCGGCATGGAAGAAGACCCGTCGATTGGAGATGCTTCCGGACTCGGCGTCGAAGTCATATGCGTATATGTTTCCACTGGGCGAATCCGTAAAGTACATGGTTTTGTCATCCGCAGACCAACCGATGCCGTTAGGGATTGACACCTTTTTGATCATTCGATGTAACGTGAGATCAGGATCAAGACGGAAAAGGACTCCTGGAGGTGAGAGATTAGCAAGGCATCACAAATCCAACGATTTTCTGAAGGGTGGGCAAGCACCTACCCTCGTCGGTGGGCTTCTTTACTTTGGGGTCGTTCATTTGACCTGCCCAGTATCGGCCCCTGCTGTCTACAGCACCGTCATTGAACCGCATACGCTCTTCCTTGCTGGCGACGTCACCATCACGCTCATCCCAGACGCGCTTGATATAGCGAAAACCGCCAGACTTGCGGTTGTAGATTCCAAATCCATGCTTGGCGCCAGCAATAAACTCATCGTTGGAGCCTTCAATGTCGGCAGTGGTGCCAATGGCATGTTCGAGATCTGCCAATACCTTATGCGATTGTGGGCCCTTGTTGAGGTCAACGAAGTGAAGCTTCTGCTTCACGATATCGACAAAGCGTAATGTGTGCGTAGCACTCTCGTAGAAGGGAGCCTCTCCAAGCCCGCAGTCCAGCTGCAAATATGGCTATCCTCCAAGTCGCACGTCAGCCCAGCACACGTAATAGAGGGTTTTGCTTCTAGATACGAGTGGCGTACCTCGTTTATAGTCCACTGTTTCAAATCCGCCATGATTTCCGTGATCGACACCAATGAATTCGAAAAATGAGTTCGGCCAGTTGTGGTCAATTGTTTCTCTGTTGGAAGCTTGTGTTCTTTTTCAATTGAGGTTCGTTTTGGGAAGGGCATAGAGTTCGCCCCCGCTTGATCACTCCTTCAACTGTTTGTTGAAGCAGCAACGGACGAATCGCATGAGGTCATTCCGACGCAGCCAACCAGCCCGCTTCCCCTCGCCCCAACCACGGCCGAGCTGCCCCTGACAAACGGTTGGTATCTGCAGGTATACTATTATGCTCTTGAGGTAAGAAGGTACCCCATAATACACTTCAGGAACACTCACCTCCGGTCTTTACCTTAGCTCCCTGCAGATTCATAATCGTTCTGGGCACCATACTACTCCGTATGATCTTCTCCAATACCTGGTTTTGCCAATAATGTCCAGATTACCACTAACAATGTACCATATGAGCCAAAAAAAAAAAAAAAAAAAAAAAAAACTTACAAAAGGATACCATTTAGAACATCACACTTTTTTATTGTTTTAATAAAATTGAAGCCCTTTGACTTTTCTCCTTATGATTTGAGCTACTTCAAGAAATATCACCATTGTTATACATGTCATATCAGTATGGGCTCAAGCTGTCGGGTATTGCAATGTTGGAAATCCTCAAAGCTTTCCAAAAAAGATTTTGGCCTGGTGCTCGAGCAGCGACCGCTTACGATGAACAGATGAGAAGTGAAGACCCTTGGACGGGGTTGACAATCCCAGGGACGTGGAATAACGTGTTATTTACCTACCTTAGCCTCACCAGATGAGAATAGGTGCGAAGTTCCTATGGGAGGGTCTACCGATGCACATTCTCAAATGGCAATTTGATGTAGGGCCGCAATCCCCTTCTCATCTCCGGTCCACCAAGCGTCAAGCTTCGCGTACTATTCCTCATCACGTACCTGTATCTAGGTACAGACTGCTAGCGACGTTCCTTATTGTACTGACCAGACCGCTCCTTCTAACATGCTTTTAGGGATTTTGGTTAACTTAGTGGGCTTGTCGTTTAGGGCCCAGTCCAGTTAAGCACTTGTGTCAGGCCAAGGCGCAAATCACAGTACAATAGTACGGTTTACTGTGCCGTATGGGACATTTATTGATTGACAGCCACTTTCGCACGAATTAGCAAAATAACGCTTGTCGATCCACACCTTTGAACCTACTGTATGTCTACTGTAGGTACACAAAACCTAGCTACCTTGGTCGAAGGAATTACTGTACTAATTAAGTTACTGCTGAGCCCAGGAAAGCCGCGCCAGAGCGACAAAGTTTGAACCCCTTAGTGCCCATGACGGATGAGGGGAACCGCGCCGACCCGACCACCCGGCCGCAGCCCCATGACATGCGGGGCCGAAAGCAAGAGATCCTGCAGCAAGGGCGACAAGGTGCCGAGGTTCTTTGCATGTCAATTATTACAGTGACGACTATATCAATTGCAAGCACACTTGCAGAGAAGCTGGGCCAGTGATGAATTCGCTGGCGTCCACTAATAATCGGAGTCACATTTGCTCAGCCAGATATGGACAGTTCAAGTCAATCACTGATTCCGTCTCTACATTAATGTACGCTAATGGAAATTCTTTCCATGGGCATGGTATTTGGCCCCCATCTGGCTGATTTGTTCAGCTACCAGGGGAGGGATTTTTCTAGGAAATCCTAATCTACAACCTTTATAGTTTCAACTACCCATTGAGTTTGATGATCCAACCAATTTCAAATAATCTGCTCTGACAGGAGGATATCTACTCAATGGGGAAATATCATCCCCATGTTTTATGCAGCTACCGTCAGGACAACTCTTGTACAGTGTACATCTAGTCTCTCCATGTTGGAACGGGGCCTGATCAATAATGGAGTCATGATCGCTCTCGGCATCAGAGACTTGAAAAAGAGCGAGAAGCGGGGGCGCACGCTCTAGCGAGCTAGTTTCTTGAAACCCACACCCGGCTTTGTTGTCAATACTGTGGATTCTTCGCCTGTCCCTCGTGCACTCGAAACTTACAATGCATGGTGAGTTGGCTAGGGGTCATCTTCATGTACTGCGGCATATCGGATCCCGGCCTGCAAACATGGCTTATTTGCAGCATATCAGTCATTTTGCTGCATAATGCATAGCATAATATGTGCAGAGAACATTTCCCACTCCAATCCATGCTTCGGAAATTCAAGGATATGATCCTTGTGGGAGGCGATACGAAAGATGCAGCTAGTGACGCTAAAACAACCTGCAAGATGAGGGGCCACCCATGAGATTTTAGCCCTGCGTCCAGCATGAGCTGCAACATTCAATAAATCAGAAACGTTCTTTCCGGCCGGCACCTCTGCCTCCTGACACGTCGGTAAGACGTTCATGTCGACTGAGCACGTACAATGACAGCACAGCAGTTTTCTGGATCGCGGACCCAGCTCCGCATTGAAATGGAACAAGGTCACTTTATTACTGAATAAGGGAAATTGTTTTGAGGGTCTTCTATCGATGCAACGTACGATTACATCTGTCAACTGCCTTATGGTCGTATCGACATCTACACCAGCAACCCTCCCATAAATTTGGGTATTAATTGATGAGACCGAAATTGCTCCAATTGACTGTGATATCTGAAAAGGTTGTATGGAGCATATACACATATAGAAAGGAAAAATATGATTCAAAGAAGAATGCGGGAAATTCAGACGCGGCTCGAGAAGGCAGAAAGGTCTCGTCTTTGAGACACTTACAATTTCATACCTAGGTTCACATGGATGGACTTCGCGTTGGTGTATGCCGCCAAGCCAGCTTCGCCCAACTCACGACCAATACCGCTCTGCTTGACTCCACCAAAGGGGATTCGGAAGTCCTCGTCATTGCTTGAGTTGATCCAAACCATACCCGCCTCAATTTGGCGGGCTACCCGATGAGCCCGTGACAGATCCTGGGTGAAGACGGCACTGCCGAGACCGTACGTAGTGTCATTGGCTCGCTCAATAGCCTCTTCCTCGGTCTTGAAGCTGGAGATGACGAGGAAAGGACCAAAGATTTCTTCACGGTAAATCTTCATGTGATCCTTGACATTGGAGAAGACGGTGGGCTCGACGAAAAATCCCTTGCCGTTGGCATTCTTGTAAGGCGAACCACCAGTGACCAAAGTGGCGCCCTCCGACTTGCCCGATTCAATGTATCCCAGGACACGCTCATACTGGGCTTTTGTGACTTGAGGACCTTGGAAAGTGGAGTCATCAAAAGGATTGCCCACCGTCGAAGTCTTCTTCAGGTAGTCGGTAAAGAGGGGAATGAACTTCTCATAGACACTCTCGTGGACGAGCACGCGCGACGTGGCAGAACAAATCTGACCCATATTGGACATGATTCCAAAGTGTGCCCACTTGACTGCCTGCTCGAGATCGGCGTCGTCAAAGATGAGCATAGGTGACTTTCCACCTGTCTCAAGTGTAATGTTCTTCATGTTGATCGCAGCCATCTTCATAATCTCTCGTCCCGTGGCTGTGGAACCGGTAAAGGCAATCTTGTCAATCTTCGGGTGCGTGGCAATGGGAGCACCACAGTCCCGTCCGTATCCGTTAAGGAAGTTGACAACTCCGGGTGGAAAGCCCGCCTCTTTGATGAGCTGACCAAGGTACAGGATAGACAACGGGGTTTGCTCTGCCGCCTTGAGAACTACAGTGTTTCCGCATGCCAGGGCCGGACCGAGTTTCCATGCAGCCATAGCCAGGGGATAGTTCCATCTGTACAACCAAACAAACCCAGTTAGAGCTGAAATTGCAGTCCCAATGAGAGGGCACAAGTGTCCCGAGTGGGTCAGGATGCGACTTACGGAATAATCTGTCCACAGACACCGACTGGTTCTCTAATTGTGTATGACAACTTCTTGGGATTGGTCTCAATGACTTGTCCGTGCAATTTGTCTGCGTAACCGGCATAATATCTGATGGTGCCTGCCGTTGCAAGGAGGACGTCGACTTCGAGAGCGACCGAGTAAGGCTTGCCTAGCATAAGGTATCAGCAACGAGACGTCTGAGTTCAAACATTTCAGTTCTTTCTCAAACTCACCATTATCCCACGCGTCAATAGTCGCCAATGTCTCGGCATGCTGCTCTATAAGCGTAGCCAGCTTCAACATTAGGTTGCCACGGTCCGTGGTGTCAAGGTCCCGCCACTCAGGGCTCTTGAGCGCCTTGCGGGCGGCCTCGACCGCGATGTCAACATCATCGGCATCAGCGGCGTACACGGACGTGATATCAGTCTCGTCTCTGCAGAATGAAAGAAAAAACTTCATTAGCACCACACGTTGGTTGTCGCCTGTACACGGCACTCCATTGGTCGCCAGGGTCTAGGGATGCAGAAATGACCTACGTGGGATTGATCGTAGTCAACTTCTTGCCCGATTTGGACTTTACAAATTCATTGTTGATGAACAAGCCAATTGGCTGAGTGTATTTGCGGCCATTGGGGGCCGTCAATTCGACAAAGAGGTCCGACGACATATTGGAAGATGAGCGGGAAGTGCTAAAACAACGATGAATGGGTACAGAGCGGACGTGGCTGCAAGTCAAGAAATGCTGAGATATCTCTCTACAATGCCTCTTGCGACAACGAGAAAGAGGAGAACTTTTAGGAAGCAAGAGGGAAGAAGTGGAAAAGGAAAGATGGGGTGGAAAGAATGCAGGTGACGGAGGTGATGTTGATGCGGAGTTGACGGCGACAGATAACATGTATTTGGGGCGGTGGAGGGCGATGCCCTTGGTCGGGACCTTCATCATCACCATTAGATTATTCTATGATTACCAAACGCTATTTTCTTGGAGCAAAACGAGCTTATTGGCAGAGTCGTGGTGACATTTCTCAAGGGATCAATTGAAGCTCTTGCATTGGGTGAAAGTGGGGAAGAAGAGGGGCAGCTGTCCGACGGGAACAAGGTAGCTGTTTATCTATCGCGGATGCAGTTGCCTATCACGGGTTTAGTCCCTAGATGCACCGCAGCTGTGATCGCCAAATGTTCCGAAAAAGTTGATAACTTACTCGATTCCGCCAAGTTGATGGACCCGACAGCGCCGAAAGACTTTTTCAATTCGTGATATCTACGCGGGTAGACGTGATGATGGTGGGTTCCATTACGTTTTCCAAATTTCTGATAGCCCATAGGTTTTGATGACCTGCTGATCTCAAAATGGGGAAGAAAAATGTCTGCCTTTTTCTCCATGTGAATATTTTGTTTGACATTCTCTTTTTATCCACAAAAAATATAAATTTGTGTCTCAAACAATGTGTGCGACGTATAGCTTTGAGCTTGATCATCATATTTCAACGCAAAACTGCATTTTCAGCGTATGAATATCATTCATGTGGCGTCGGAGGTTCATTGCCAGAAGAGAAATACTTTAAATCTACTGCTACGATCCATTGACCAATTGTCGATTATATTCCCATTGCAAGTACGTACGAATACAAGAAGTCATAAAAATATTCTTATCACTTCTTCTTCTTCTTCTGCAAGTCATTTGTGATGTTGTGCGTCGCTGTTGATCTAGACCTTATTTGGGAGGTAAATTTGGTGTGATCTCATCGCAACTCTCGCGACGCGTGCTCCATGTCGATTCACCTTACCACAGTCATTCAGCTCCAATTGACTTTGTAATTATTTTTCTCTTCCCCCATTTACAATTCCTCACCACTGAAGCATCTACGACTGTCGCAATGCCTCCGCGAAAGCGAACCGCGAGTCAAGTCGAGCCTACGACATCTAGTAGTCCCCAGAAGAGAGCTCGTCGCGGCGCCGTGAGTGTTCCTGCTCCTACTGCGGCATCATCGCGACCTCGACGTCTGGCCACGGGCACTCAGGACCAGACTACCAGAGCAATGCGAACAAGGGCGCCGAAGATCGCGGATGAGTCTACCAAACAAACAGCACGACAATTACCAAAATCTACGACCACGACCACGTCCAAAGGTCGCCCAACCGCCGCTCGTTCAACCCGAGAGAGTAAGAAGGCAGTAACTGTGCCGAGCAAAGGTCGTCCAGGCCGTCGAGGCAAGACCATTAAAAAGGATGTCGAGGAAGATGCGGGAGTCGAAATTGCTTCGCGCACCGGCAAGCGATCTACCTCCAAGCGGCCGACGAACAATGACGTTGAGGATTCGAATTTCACTGTGATAATCAAAAAGGACGACAACCGTCCGAAGAGAGCGAAGCAGCTTGCGGATGAAGAGATTGCAGATGAAAGTGGGCACTGCTTCTGGCTCATGAAGGCAGAGCCCGAGTCACGCTTGGAAAAGGGCATTGATGTCAGGTTCTCAATTGACGATCTGGCCGCCGCCACGGAACCTGAACCTTGGGATGGTGAGTCCACACGTGGAAGCTCTTGCATATTAGAGATACACCGCTGACATTAAAATACAATAGGGGTCCGTAACTATGTTGGTATGTTCAGCACCAACTTCCTTTCTGCAGCAAGCTTTCATGCTAACGCGTGGGAAATGCGATAGCTCGAAATAACCTCCGCGCAATGGCAGAGGGAGACAAAGCATTCTTTTACCATTCCAATTGCAAAGTCCCAGGAATTGCGGGCATCCTGGAGATTGTGCGCGAAAACTCTGTCGATGGTATGCCTTTTTTTCTATCCAACCTACACCTCAACAAGGAAACATTCTTTTACTTGGCATTTTCTATCGTATTTCTATATCGCATAGACTGACAGCCCTTAGCAAGCGCTCTGGACCCTAAACACCCATACTACGACCCCAAGGCGACTCCAGAAAATCCCCGCTGGTCCGTCGTTCACGTCGAGTTCCGTCGCAAATTCAAACAACTCATTAGCCTTACCGAGCTCAAGACGTTTGCCCGACCAGGAGGCATCCTTGAAGACATGGAGCTGTTGCGCCAATCCCGTCTCAGCGTATCAAAAGTGACCAAGAAGCAGTGGGACTTTATCATGAAGCTCGCCAACGACGCAGGCGAGGTGGAAGAGAATGAGGGACGCAATGAGGATGCCGAGACTGTGACCAAGCCCGCACCGGATAATAAAGAGAATGTCAACGGCGAGGAATCTGAGCCGCACGGGGCCACATCTGCAGAAGAACCTCCAATCGAGGAATCTGAGCCGCACGGGGCCACATCTGCAGAAGAACCTCCAATCAATAACCAAACCGAACAACTCCAAAAACCTTCTGAGGAAACTAGTCTGACACCCAACGAGCTCGAGGCCAAGGTCGAGGCCAAGGCAACGGAGCAAAAGCCCGACCAACCTATTTTGCCTTCGCAGGACTTTGCCGCCGCTGCACAGCTGCAGCAAAACGGGGGAACTTTGTCTACCAACGGTATCGATCACAAGACTGAAGGTGCCACTGTGCACAACGACTCCAAGGATACAGTCAACCCTTCAATCAATACCGATAATCACGCACCCGGCCTCGATGCGGCACAGCCCCCTCGCGACACTCCGCAGCAGCAGCAGCAGACAGTCAATGGAAACAGCCCAGATGTTCTTCCCGTACTTAGTGGCTATGGACCGCCCGAGCTAGACGTGGCTGCACCACCCCCGGACCTTGACCCTGATGAATATGGGCTCTAGGTTTTTTTTTTTTTTCCTCTTTTTTCTTGTTTTTTTCCCCCCCCAACATGCTGCCACCAAATTGAGGTTGAGTTTCTACTCCAGCCGCCCCGCGAGACCCCGCCGCAGCTGCACCTCTTCTTCTTCCTAATCTGCTACGCCTCATTCAACTATCCTATCATCCTGTCCGCCAACCGAGCCTTCTTTCGCTGCTCCTCCTGCTCCTGCTTTTCCTCCAGAGAATGCTCGCACTCCATACGGCCACTCTTCTTTTCCTCTTCTTCTTTTTTTCTTCCCCTCCCTTTTTTTTTTCTTTTTTCTTCCTCTTTTTTTCCCCTTCCGGTATACTCTCTAGCTGGTTTTCTAGGTGTTTTTTCCTACTGCTGAGCGCAACCAGACGCATGTATCATTCCTTCCCATTTCCAAACAAAATATGGAATTTCGAGACTTTTCCCTCTGCTTTACCCTTTATGCTTCCCTCCCCCTTTTCCCGTCCCTTTTCATTTTTTTTGCTTTTCTTATCAGACACGGAGAGTCTGAATTTCTGGCCCTGTCCTTGTCTTCGTAGCTCTTTTTTTTTTTTTTTTTTTTTTTTTTTTTTTTTTTTTTTTTTTCGTTCGACAAATTACTAGATCTTCTCAATTGCAATGTATCAGTCACGGACTTTAATATGGGCGTTAGTTTAATGCACTGAATTGCGTACGGCTGGATTAGTTTGGCTTGGGCTTGAGTTTAAATTAGAGTATGCTGAGTTGAGTTCACTTTCAGTTCAATTCAGTTCAATTCAGTTCACTTCAGTCTGGAGTGGGTTCAGTTGAATTTAAGTCGGGTTTGATGTGCATGCTTGATTCGGGACTTGAGACTTGAGACTTGAGATTTGATTTGACTTGGCTACAGCGTGCGCGTCCATTGCGTCTCCATTGCTTGTTCAATTTGTCCTGGATTGCTCGACTGCTCGACCGCTTGGCTCGAGGCCGCTTGGCTGGAACTCGTGGCTTTGTTTTGCGGCAGGCCTTTTTATTTCTACCTTCTACATTGCTAAGTTAAACTATTACTTCTCGTTGCATCTCCCATTGCCCTCTGCTTCAATCGCTATTGGTAGGTAATCTAGCTTAGTTGAGGGTACGTTAAGGCAGCTACCTATCCTTACTTTTTTTCGTTAAATTTGCATAAATTACATGAGGTCTGTAGGGGCACTACTCTGTATGAGGTGAAGGATGAGGGTTTGATAGAACACTACCCTGTATGAGATGAAGGAAGACATGAAGAAGAAGGGAGAGAAGGAGAGGAAGAAGAGGAAAAAAGGAGTAAAAGGGAACAGCGTCTTTTTGCCTTCACTTGCTCTTATATTAGAATTAATCCTACAGCCTAGATACTAAAAAGCAATAATCTTACAGACTCAATACCAAAAAGTAACAAACAGAAAGTGGAAACAGCTTGATCAATTAGGTATAACGGGGCGGAGCTAAATCCAACGAGCCAACATTCCCTTCTGCCAAGATTAATTTTGATATTCTCTCCGCCCTGGAGGAAAGAGAAGAAAAGGAGGAAAGATTAATAATGAAGAAAGCCAAAAAAGAAATAAAAATCAGAGTAGGGCTCAATTTTCACCCCTGTCTCCGAGTGGCAGGCTTTCTCGACTTTGTCCCCGCGGCGGGACTCGAGGTGGTCTTTTCCGCCTTTCCTTTGGCTTTTCCTGCCGACTTCTTCTGGCCTGCCGCGGGCGACTTGTTCCAGTAGAGCACCATCTGGGCCGCTAGAACCGCATTGAGGACAAAGCCGGCGACGAAACCATACAAGATGAGTTTGTCATCAACTTCCTGCAGGGTCGTAAAGATCCGGGACAAGCTTCCACCGAGATAATTAAACACTGCAAACGCAGACAACTGGCCCGTGCTACCCTCTTTCCAGATTGTATAGATCTGGGGCACTTTGCTCGCGACGCTGAGCAGTCCCGCTGCGGCCTGGAGATAGGCCAGCAGCTCAGCATTGACGGCGCGCTCTTGGAACAACGCGCCCGCCACTACGGCGAGAAGGGCAATGAATATTCCTGCGCCGACCGTCCGGCCCGAATATGAAAGTACCAAGGCGGCAATAACGATATCTTGCACAGAGAGCAAGGCGGTCTCGCCATAGGTGCTAAAGGGAAACCCGTGCCGCACGTTGTACGCGAGCGAAATCAGGTAGGATGCAGTTTCGAGAAGAATAGATGGGAGTGATAGACCGGCGGCGGATTCAGATGCGACGAGTTTGATGATTTGAGGGACTTTGACGATCGAGGATACGAGCACAATTCCAATGCCAAGTGCTTTCGAGATCGCAAGCTTGATGCACTCGGGGGAAGAGAATGGGTCAATGTCCAAGACGAGTGTCTGGTAGCATACTGGCCCGAGAAGAGTGCTGGCTGCTTCTGCGATTGGAGCTGGCAGGTTGTGCGTAATGGGCTGGAGAATTGAGCGGAGGATGTCCATGTTTTTCTTCTCGCTTTTCCTCTTTTGAGTGCTGTGTTGGTGGTGTAGAGGAGGTGTTGCGGTTGGAGAGTCCTGGGGTTTAAGCGGTGTGCTTTGGATTCGAGGTGCGCGATGATAGCTAGCTAAGCTAGCTAGCTGGGTAAAGGAGGTAGTTTATAGTAAATATCTGGAAGCAGAGACACAGTCTGTGCTGCGTGGTAAATGCTTTCTAGCCACGGGAGGCCAGGTGATGATCGGTGTTATTGTAGAGTTTGTTCTATCCCCGTTGTGGTTTGCGGAAAAGGACAAATGTCAACAAAGTTGAATTCGTGGTGAGAGGGTTGACGACGGTTGAAGAAGTGGGACGTGCACAGGAAAAGTACCGTTACCAATTTTACCCGCTTCGGCTGTGCCTCAATTTTCGTACCGAGTACACCTTTCCTCTGTTTACCGACTAACGTCACTCGGACCCTGAATATGTGTTTAGGGCTTGATGTTCTGGGATCCCAAACTCGAAACCTACGTCGCGCTGTACAAGTAAAATTTAAAATCCTAATCTTCAGTTGTGTATTTTATCATTCCGGCGTTGCGTAATCATACTTCTTGCACATTTTGACGCTGCGAAGAGACATTTTGCCCGAGTGTAATCAACATACTCGTCATGACATCTATTCTTGGAGAAGAGACTGTGAATAAGGTATAGTACAAGTCTATGATGCAATCACAAGTTCCTCTATTCGGAGAATTCGAGATGGTACGTCTCTAGCTCTCCCTCGCGAATCTGGCCGGGAGATTTGACAAGTAGGTCCTCGCCCTTGCCGCTCTTTGGGAAGGCAATAACGTCCCGGACGGAATCACGGCCAAGCAAAACAGCAATCAGTCTATCGAATCCCAATGCAATGCCTGCGTGAGGAGGACAGCCGGCGCGAAGGACGTCGAGGAGATGCGAAAAGGAAGAAAGACGGGCTGAAGGGACCTAAATACGAAGATGAAATAGCTCAGCCAGGGTGGTCTTCGATATTTGCTGGGGTATAACAGCCATGACAACTTGGTAAATGCAACAAATGCCCTTTCGCAAACCGTATTATACATTTGCGAGGAGATCCCAACTCACCTTCAAAACTTCCTTCAATATATATTCCTGCACCCTAGCGTCATGAATACGGCGACTGCCGCCGCCCAGCTCTACTCCATTGACCACGATATCGTAATGGTCCGCAGTAACTCTCATAGGATCGCTCACTAGCAAATCAACATCTTCGGCATTCTTTGGCGATGTAAATGGATGATGGGTCGATGCAAGGCCTGCAGTGCCGCCCTGACCGGGCTCGGATTCGTTGGTAGGTGAAAATAAGGGGAAATCGACTATCCAGAGAAACTCGAATCCGGTCGCCGCCGGAACCAACCCTTGCGCTACGGCGGCTTTATGAAGCGCCAATCTAAGGTTACCAAGCGCGGTAGATCCGCCAGAGTGAGGGGCATTTTTGCGAGCCTGTAGCACAACAAGATCGCCATGTTCCAGTTGGAGTTCCTCCTCCATGTACTCGGCTGCTTCAAAGCCGAAAGGAGACAATCCAGAAAGAGGCTTTCGAGAGTCGACAACAAAGATGCCAGGAGCACCATCAGGATTCTCGTTGAATGTGGCTGCTCCTGGACCGTCAAGGAAGGAAGTAACAAACTCGCGAGTGTCACGAGGGTCGTCCGAGACGTGGAATTTCATGACTTCGACAGTAGGTAACGTGAGGGGTGTGATTTTGCTGATGAGATCAACAGGCAAGAGGTGGCCAACGGAGGAAATCTAGACATGATTTAGCGGCGGATCAAGAAGGACAGGATACAAAACATAAGATAATATAGATTGGCAGAAATGACATTTGAACTTACCTCCATCCCAAGACGGATATCTGGTTTGTCGGAGCCATATTTGGACATGGCTTCGTGATACGGCATTCTTGGAAACTTTTCAGGGACATTTGTGTCGCCCAAAAGATCTACCCAGAGGCGCCTTAACAGCTGCTCAATGCAACCCATAACATCTTCGCCAGTGGCAAAGGCCATTTCAAGGTCAAGCTATTATGGTTAGCATGTTTCGACTACCTTTAACCCACAATGCCAATACATACCTGAGTAAACTCCGGCTGTCTATCGGCTCGTAGATCCTCGTCTCGAAAACATTTTGCAATCTGATAGTACCGCGGGATTCCACTGGCCATTAGAATCTGCTTGTACTGCTGTGGGCTTTGCGGTAGAGCGTATGCAAATCCCTTTCGACGAGTAGGCACAAGAAATTCCCGAGCACCCTCAGGCGTGGACTTGAAGAGCAATGGGGTTTCAATCTCAAGAAAGCCTTGTTTTGACCCCAGCTCGTCTCGGCAAATGGCTGCCGTCCTTGAGCGGAAAGCAAGCGCATCACGAATGCTCTTCTCTGTACGTAGCTGAAGGTGCCTCTGCTCGGCAGGAAATTTGGTCTCCTCAGTAAGAATAATATCTTTCGGAAATTCATTTAGTGGATAGACGTCAATGAGTTCAATCTCGAGGTTTTTGATCTTTTCAACGTCTCCAAGATCTGATTTGGTCGGAGCTCGCGCTTTTAAGCGGCCCTTGATTGCCACTGGCGAGTACGCTTCCACGTCTTTGATCTTTGCATGAAACGACTTTTCTCCACCATTTGGCTGCTTTGCTGAGGAGATGATTTGCACGCTATAATCGAGTTCCTTGCTGAGCAGCGGCACAAAAGAAAGCTTCTTAGAAAGGTCTGAGCGAGATCCGAGATAGCCATGAAGCACCACTTCCTCACCGGATGTAGGGTCCAGATGAGCAAGTTCACTGATCTGGCGCGTTGCTCCCGGGAAATGAACTGCGGTTATTGGTCAATTGCTGTATAAAAAATCATCAAGGGGTCTCAACGCCTCAAAGTCAGATTTACTTACATGAGTGTTTATAGCTACTCAGAAAGTCGACTGACGATGAGGCCCCAGACACATTTTGATTCTTAATTTCCTGTTGCAGCTTGCAAGTTGTTTGATGCAAACTACGTCTCGTGATGCCTGACAAGCTCGAATTTCGTAGACTCGTGACTCTCCAGGAGCTCAGAATCCTTGATATCTCGACATAACTTTTCCACGGCAGTGGACGAGCTTGCAATACCCGCCCACCCAATTTGCAAAAGGACATGCCTCCTTTCAAACCTTTCGATTTCCAATTCAATCCCTTTTATCGACCAATTTCTGAGATGAAATGAATGGACTGACTGATGAAAAGGGTCCGCGGGTTCCCAAAGCGGTTAGTCCCGCGGTGAAGCCGGTGGTCGGCGCCAAGCTTTGGTGGGGACACTCGAATATGCACACCTATAAGAATTTCTTCCAACTCGTGGCCTCGCCCTTTTTTTCTTCTTCATCCTTCCAAGTTTTGAACTTGTGAGTATTTCAACTTGCTGCCCACACAAATGAATTATAAAAAGCTAACAGTCTGTTAGATGATGAAAGCCTAGCGTGTACCCTATGATTTAACCAACGATTCTTTTGGCTTTCGAGCTCTCCCTCACGGGCTTAAGTGGCACGATTGCTGGGGGATCGGGGGGCATGAAATCTGCGTCCAGACACACCCAACCTTGTATAATACTGGACGTGATGAAGGCATCTCTGAACATAATTCTTGGAAGGTGTCTCTCGTCGCAAGATTTTGCGACACTGATCAAGAGCTCTGAATTCGGAGCCCTGTTACATGTACATAGACAATGCAGATACCCTTCAGGTCTCTTTTTCTCATTTGGAAAAACGAATTGGTTCAGGAATATGTGAGACTATGTTAGGCAGCTTGCGTGTGGTTTTGATTTAATTCGCAGAGCACATTTCGAGAGTTTCTTTTCATTTGATTCTCTCTTAGCTGCTCAGCGGCAGATGAAGCTTCTAAGAAGCAGTGTCAACAGTCCCACTAGTTGCTCCATTGGAGCACTTCCACTCTATCGGGACGTAACAACACTGCAACATAGATTAAGCCAGTCACCTCTGTATAGGTGAACTGCTGTTTTTGACTCACTGATGCCAGAGAACATCAGCCATCAGTGTACAGTGACGATGGCCCCACTACATGGGGAGATTTGAAGTTGTCGCAGCAAAGTCTCCATCTAGCGTAGTAGGAACTTTCCTTCGCCACCACTTACCATGATTGTCAGAGGTACTCGGTACCTCTATCCCTTCGTGTCCCTCACCTCCGTCATTGTCCGGCAAATCCCCCGGCAAGCCATTCCCGCCGCCGCAACCTCCCCCAGGTCGACAACGACGTTGACGATACTAGATCAGCTCCACTGCGGCTGCCTTATACCATAGCCTTATGATGTGCCAGTCTCTCCGATGAATCGCCATCATTGTTGTTATTGACTACAAAAGTAATCTCATCTATTTATTCTTTCTGAGCTTATGGAATTTATACGAGTACCTGCGCAACATTTCCTAGCATAGCTCCGTCTGTGTAGTTTCGGACATTAGCTCTCACGCCCACTCTTTCGACCGTCAAGGCAATGTCAAGTTCTTTTGAGAAGTCTGTCAAGGGCGGCACCAAGATAAAGGTACGGGCTCATGGTCCACCTGAATATCAGTGGGTTTCACAGTATGATTGACGTGGCTAACCCGGTTCCTCCGTGTGTAGCTTGCTGCGCCCAAGTCCAAATATGTCGAGCATATCCTCATAGCCACACACGCTGGCGAGAGCGGTGTCGCAGAGATTTTTCGTGCCCTCCAAAATCGATTGCGAGACTCTACATGGACCATCGTCTTTAAGGGTCTGATCATAGTGCATCTCATGATCCGAGAGGGTGAACCGGATGTCACCCTTCAATATCTTGCGCATTCCCCGCGCAAGCTGGCTATAAGTAATTTCACAGATGGTGCGTAATGGCTCATAGCTTCGGAGGTTACTCAAGATAATACCTGGTTCCCTCAGTGGTGGGGTGAAGCTTAGTAGTGTGACTGACGGAATGGCTACAGTCCAGGTTCAGGGTCGCAGTATACGATGCTATGTGCAATATCTGCTGGAGCGCTCAAAAGGATTTCGAGAGACCAAAATTGACTATGTGCGGAGCGGTGAGGGTCGACTCAAGCGACTCACCATCGAGAAGGGTTTGCTGCGGGAAACTGAGCAGGTCCAATTGCAAATCGGGGCTCTTGTCAAATGTGTTGATGTATGAGCGATTATATTTCTCGTTCAATGAATGAACCCGCTGACATGGGCTCTCACAGATGCTGACAGAAGAGCCCGAGAATGAAATTACACTGACAGCATTCCGGCTCTTGACCATGGATTTGCTGGCCTTGTTCCACGTCATGAATGAGGCAACAATCAGTGTGCTGGGTGGGTCGATGATTTCATTCTAAAGTTGTGAGGCTATGCATACTAACGTGCTTGCAGAGCATTTCTTTGAACTGTCGAAATTTGATGCTGAGAGAGCGCTGGGAATCTATAGGACTTTCACCAAACAGACCGAAGAAGTTGTTACTTTTCTCGGCGTGGCAAGGCATTTTGAGACCGCAACAAGGCTAGAAGTTCCTAAAATAAAACATGCACCAACTGGTCTGACCAACTCTCTTGAAGAATATCTCAACGACACAGACTTTGACCTGAACCGGCGGCAATACCTTGCTCAACAAGATGCGAGGAAGCGCGGAGGCGCAAGCAAACCATTTGGGGACTCAAAGCCTGCACCCTCCAAATTTACGATTGGCGAGGGCTTCCCTTCCCCCAGCGCCGCTCAATCTGTACCCTCCAAGCCCGCTGCCAAGGGTCCTGCTCCAGATCTCATTGACTTTTTTGACTCTATTGAGCAGAATCAACAGCCCATGTTTGCACCAACTCCGCAACAGCAGCAGATGCCACAATTCCAGCAAGTCCCGCAAATAATGCAACAGCCACAACCGTCTGGCTTTATATCTCCTCAGCAGCAGCAGCAACAGCAACAGCAGCCTTTTACTGCGCCCCAGCAGACAGGATTTCCTACTGGGCAATCAGCTATGCAACAGGCGCCGTTCGGCACTGCCTCTGCTGGGTCCTATGGCCAGGCGCCTCAAATTCAAACACAATATGCGTCGCAACAACCACCACCGCTGCAGACAACCAACCTGGGATCTGGAGGCTTCAACAATTATCAGTCCCCCATTACTCAGCCATTTAGTCCCCAGCAGTCCTCGCTGGCTTCAATCCCGCAAAACGGCGTTCCAAATTTCCAGCCGCAATCACAGCAAGCTGCGCAGCCATTCTCTCCTCAAAGTCCTATTCAGCAGCAATCGACAAATCCATTCCGGCAGTCTATGGCTCAAGATATGACTGGTGCCAGCGCATCGTCATACTCTACATTCTCTCCCTCAACAACCACGACCACCTCGCTCCAGAGACAGCCAACAAATCCGTTTGCAAAACGCATCTCTCCGCAAGGCACACCTGCCGCAGCTCCTCAATTGCAGCCAGCTCCCACAGGCACAAATCCTTTTGCCCGTGACCAGTTTGCAGGCCCTTCATCCCCGGCTATCCCCCAACAGCCTGTCTCTACCAACCAGACGGGAAGCACCAATCCGTTCCGGCAGAGCATGTTTCACAATGCACAGACCGGTCAAGGCTGGCAGGCTGGCCAAGGAACCATGGGTGGATTTGAGCAATTGCCCACTGTACCAGTCTTCCCTCGACCTGGACAACCCAGTCAACAAAGCCCTAATATTCCTCAACAAGGCTGGATGTGAGGGTATACCTTGTCGCCCGCAGCAACTTTGTTGCACTTTTCTGTAATTTCTAGCATGCCACGTCATTCTATACGCGACGCCGTTTTGTGTCCTTCTAGGCGCAGTCGCATAATTTCTGATACCAACATTGCGAGTAAGGCAGACGTTCACTAGGGACAGCACTTACCTCCACAAAAACAGTGGTATTACAAGGGATGTGTACCTTATATATCCCTTGATATGCCTTGTCATATACACTTCTTCCCTTCGAGACATGACAGGAATGGCCCATTATTTTCCCGCTTAACTTTTACGCGCACCTTCAGATTCTTTCCCTCCTGTCCTTTCGCGCCCCATAAATGGGATACTCTCGTCTCCTTTTTTCAACTTTATCACGCTACGTCGCACCTTGCTCGCACATTGCGCTTAGGCTCTACCTCAGGCCCTCAGATTTTATCGTTTTTTTTTTTTTTCTTCCGCGAATATCCTGCCACGAGATGACGGAGATCTGCCTCCACGTCCCCTATTTTATCATATCTCTGCTGTCTCACTATCCTGCCTACTTGCCTAACTGTGTGCCAACAAACAGTAGTTAGTAGTCGCTAATATAATATATACCGAGCAATTCCCAATCTCCATGCCGTCACTTTCCGTACATATTGTGGATATACATTGCTCCTTACCCGCTTTCTCATTCGGAGCCGGCTCAGTACTCCGTTTGTGTTAAATGAAACTAAATTCTCGAAGATTAGCGAATTCGTCAGTATTTAACATCTTAGGTTTCACTAGCGGAAAGAATACTCGTACGAACAAGCTATGGTAAAATGTGTAGGATAATCAACATGCAGATGAATCAATGATATGGGATATAACACTCAAAAATGGAAAGAGACAGTATATTAACGGCAACGTTGTGGGATATATGATGAGAAAGTGAGCCAGCACCTCAACAAAGGCCGGATGGTGTAGTTGGTCATCACGTATCGTTAACATGAGCTTCTACTAAGAAGCCTTGGTACCGATAAGGTCCCCGGTTCGAACCCGGGTCTGGTCATTTTTTTGCGCGAATATTTTTTATTGATCACGATTTCTTTTTAGAACCCAGTTCTTTTGGACCAGTCAAAGTGTTGAAAGTCTTTAGTTACGGATTATTTCTTTTTGCTTTACTACGGGAAAAATCAAAAATTAAAACAAATAAAATAGAAAATAGTAAAAAAGAGTTTTGACATGATTATGATGAGAGTCATATTTCATTGTCTTGTCTATTCTACGCATAAAACGTATCTGAGCTGTACATGCAAGTTCGAATTCTACTGCGATTCATGTAGAAGATGTAGATGGGATTGAAAGAATATGATGACAGACTACCATCCAAAGAACCAACTAATTTTATCGCCGAACGTGTCGGTGCCGGTGCGGCGTCTCTCTGCACGAGCTTTCTCCCGCTCTTCGACGCGATCGGCGACATCTTGTACCAGTTTCTCGCCCAGAACGGTTTCCGCTGCGATTGAACGTAATTCAATCTCGCGCTCGAGTTCGGGGAGCTTTTCAATTTTGCGACGCAGTTGGGCTTGTACGTCGGGAGCGAGTCGGGAGATTGCTTCGCGCACGTCGACGTCTTCAATGGATCCGAGTGAGTTGCGGACGGGTTGGTCTTTGGGGTCTTGATGTTGCTGCTGTTGATCTGCAGGTGCGTTGCGGGGAACAGGAGGAGATGTAGATGATATTGATGATGCGGCGGCGGCTTGGAACGGGTTGAATGTGGGCCAGGACCACATTGATGATTTGGGGGCATTCGGGTCTGGAGGGAGTTCAAAGGGAATTGGTGTGCGCGTTGTTGGATTTGTTGTTGGTGCTGGTGACGAAGGAGAGGTAGATGCTGAGGATGATGGTGCGGGACCTTCTGTTGGAGGACCGGTTGTGCTGAAAGAGCTATTGGGAAACAGTTTTGACCATAATGAGCTTTGATCTCGAACATGTCCTGCAGCGACGGCGGCGGGGTCCGTCGTCGATGCGTATGTCTCTGTATTCCCCGACCCGGGCGCGGTGGAAGCAGGAGAAGTTGTCGCTGTTGGTTGAAAACTAGAAGGAGACGGAGGGGGTGGCCGTTTCTTCTCCCGTAAAGCAGGCGTATAATATCCGGTCAATCGATCGACCCAATTCATGTGGCTTTCGTCCGGCATACTGGAGACCACTTCTGCGGTATTGTTATCCTGAGATGCCGTTGCGCCCTTTCCAGGCATCAGCGGGGGAAATTTGGGAATAGGTTTCCCTGCGGCTTTTGCCTCATCCATCTGCCGTTGCTGATCAAGCATTCGATGGTAGAGCGTGTCGGCATGCATTTGAATTTGTTCTTCGACTTCGGCTGGGCGGTCCCAGCTTGAGACATAGCCAAGGGCTTTGAGGAATCGCTGTTCGTTGGATAGTGATTAGCTAGAGCGCAGTAAATTGACAAGAAAAATGTAGCCAAGGACTGGATAGGCAAATAGAAAGAGTGAGGAAAGGAGATATGACATACTGCTTGCGTGGTATAACATCTTGAAAAGGTACGATTTTCTGTCCCGCACATGTCTACTCGACTCTTCCAAGACCCGTTGCGCCAGCAATCGTTCAGAGCCCATTGTTCTTCAGCGCAATTCTCCACTGCTGCTATTCCAATCTGCGCTCTCCGCTGTTTGAAAGCATCCACCACGTCCATGAGCTTGTCCTGTTCTGACTTTTGTTCTTCTTCATGCTGCGAGAGCGACTTATACCCTTTCCAAATATGAGCATATCTGCCATCTTGGAAGAGTGACTCGGGTGGGACTTTATGCTGATCGTCCTCGGCAGATTGATCGTCCGCTTTGGTTTCTGTCTTTGGTGAGGATGATGGAAAAACAATGTCGGCGTATTTGCCTCCTTGGTGGCCTGTGAGCGGCGCGTCGTCAGAAGTCGAAGCAGTGGTGCCGCTACTCTGAGTGTCGTATTTTATTGGCGATTCCTTCCTCAAAAAAGCTCGTAAACTTGGGTCAAGCTGTGCGAAGGGATCCTCTTGTTTGTTATTGTCCTTTGAGCCCCAGAACCAACCCATTGTTGCTTTTCTGTCGTGATTGTGCGGGGTGTTTAGATTGTTGGGTGACCCGGAGGATTATGGGGAAGTGGAGCTCTAGTATATATAGTGTGCTCGGCAGCTCCCGTCCAATGCGGAGAAATCAGTCGAGGTCCCAACTGGGGAGCTTTCTCGGAATTACCCTGCACTGCGTACTGTTCTCTGACTCTGCCGTAAATTTTGGAAAATATCAAACAATTCTTCTTTTTCATAGACATATTTCTAGTGTAATTATAATTATTGGGAATTTTTCTTCAGAACGTGTATCTTTTAGTGTCTCCAGATTACTTTTCTAATCTAGAAGACCTTGCCCTTGGTTTGCTCGATATTTTTAACGTTGATATTTTTCCACACCAACACACTAATAAATGCCAGCGGCATAAAGCACGAGCCAGCAATCATCAGCTTCCGCATGACTTCACCGTAAGCTTGGACAATTGCGTGACGGATGGGGCTTCCCCAAGGATAAGACAGTTGTACAGGTAAAGAGGCATAGATATCTGCCAACTGATCCTGAGCGTCTGCAGGGAGATATTTGGCAAGCTCCCTAGGCATGAGATTGGTCCAGATAGCACCAGAAATTGACTGGCCAATTGCACCGCCAATCGAAGAGAACAGGCCTAGAAGGGCACTGACAACGGCAATTTCATTATGGGGGACCGCCGCCATTACTGCGATTTGCATGCACATGACTAAAGTGCCTCCAGCAAAGGCATTGAATATCTGGCACATCACAATGTAACCAACGTTTACGCCCGGGTGGCGGAAATATATCAAGAGAGCGGTTCCTAGAGTTTCAACCGGGATCGCGGCAATGGCAAGCCACTTGAAACGACCACTCCATCGGATCAATCTGTTTTTCATCAGCAGATGGCATACAGAACATCACAAAATACAGAACTTACAAGCCAACAATTGGCGCCCAGAAACAGGACCCAATACTGTAAATGTTCAAGATGTATCCAGAGTCCCGTATGTTCATCTGGAACACGACCTGGATATATGAATAAAAGTAAATATCCCAGCAGCTATCTCTTGTCAGTAAGAGATACCAATACAGGTTGGAAATTGGATGGTTTGCATACTAGAATGCCACAAACAAGGTACCGGCCAAGAGACACGCGCCCATAATCGTCCTATCAACCAAGTATTTGAATGGCAAAAATGACACTGGTGCAAAGAATTTCTCCCACGCCACAAATGCAATGAGGAAAAGACCACCGAGAATTATCATTGCGATAATGGATCCAGTTCGCCATTTTTCAGCTTGAGAGGACGCCAAGCTGAAAGGAAGGAGCAATAGGGCCCAGCCAGCAATGATAAGGAGCATCCCGACAGCTTTTCAGATTCATTAGCGAAGGAAAACAGATGCAAAAATACACCTTGCTTACCATCAAATTCTCTGGCATAGTGCCAAGTTGACTGCAGCCAAGTCCTTCCCGACGCTCCCCTCGGAGAGACCAATCCCATCCTCTTTGCCTTTCTATAACCAAGGACGAAGGAGAGGATAAGCGGCATGGAGATCACAGGAGTTATGATGCTAAAGGCCCCAAACGCCCACCTAAAATTACTATGCTCATAGAACAGCTGAGCAATTTGCGGGCCGGCAAACGTGTTTGCAATATAAGGTGTAGAGTTTAGACCATAAATAATCATTCGGTTCGTGAGAGAGGTGGTGTCTGCCAGAAAGATACTGATTACATAGTCCATATTGTTGTAGCCAACCCAGTAAAAGACCTGCAAAATGTGAGCTTCCACTCTCGGAATCCAAGATTGGAAATGCTTTTTCCGAAAGAAAATTGCAGATTTATTGACATACCTGCGCTGCAGCGTAAGTTTCGACATTCTGGCAAGCCGCCATCAACACGAGACCTAAGGACTGGATCAGCGATTTGGAAAATTGCAAATGCATGAGAAGGGTCCCAAATCCATACCAATTGTGCAGAGGAAAACAGATAGAGCAAATCCTTCAACCCGGCCCCAAATATCAACCATCTTAGCCATGGGGAGCTTCGACACGCCTCCAATGATTCCAGATAATACTTGAGTAGTTGCGGTTAATGAGTGCTGTTGGAAGGAAGAGGTCACATAAGAAGAAAGATTATTGGTGATTTGCTGCTGGAGAGTATTGATAAAAGAGACCATGTAGACACTAGCCATGATCAGTACAATGTGGTGCATTCGCAAATATCCAAATTTGGCTCACAGTAGATAGGTGATCACCAATGCTTTGATCGTCCAAGCAGCTGTGATGGATTCCATCCGTTTCACTCCATCTTGAACATGCTCGTCGCCCGAGGCCATTGACTCTTCGTCGCCTGCAGCAAGGACATTTTGGTGGGAGACCGTTTTCTCACCAAGCCCGCCGTTTGGCTGCGGTGTTTCTGGTTCAACAGCCATTGCCCTGAGCAAGATATCTTCTTTCTTGTCGTTCAGAAAAAGAAATTAGAAGAATCTCGTGCCACGAGGGGTGCCATCGGGCTATAAAGAGTACCATTCCTTCGACAAGAACGAAAGAAAAAAGTTATCTGATCCGCTTAGTCCACGGTTCGGAGGAAGCGGGTGAGTGGATCCATGCACACGGCAGTTCGGAGACATGATCTCCATAATTCTTGCTCGAGAGTTATTGGATAATCCTGGTTCTCACAAAACAACATTCTTGATAGAAGTTTGGTTCGAGTCCGAAACTCGGACCTTGGCGGTTGGGCTAGAAAAGAGTAAAATTACAGGAACTCTTGGCCTCGCCAGAGGTGTGTCAATTGCTGTCGAATTGCTTGTCGTCTCTCAACACGGATTTCCCTGATTGAATGAAGATAATATCTTTTAGGCCGTGAAGAGTTTACCAAAATCGCTCTAGACTCCTGTCAGAACGAAAATCCATCCTAAAAAGGCAATAGAAACAATCTGTTCGGACCGGGAATTGGACTCGGCATCCAGGTTCGTACATAGGCTCTTTATTACACGAGGAGAGCGCCCCGTAGCAGTGGATGATGTTGTTGCCATTGTTCTTGGCGCGCAAGGAACAACTGACCCACAGCTCTGAAGAAAGTTATCTGATGGGACTTGCCAAGACGCTCCTTCCGATTATGACAGAATCTAGCAATCTGCCAAGGACGTCCAAGCAGTGCCATGCCGCACTTGCAGAAAAATCCTCGCTGAAATTGTCAACGATTGGTTGCGTATGCGCCACCAGGCGTGCAAATTATCGCTGAAATGCCCGAAAAAAAGGAGAAAGGGCTCGCCTAATAGCTGATGAATTGCGCACATTATTCTACTCCATATACTCCTGGACCAACCTGATGTGTTCGCTGCCATTGTGGATAAGTCTGTCCATCTCTGCCTTCTGTCTTCAAGACTTCATTAATTGTTTTGCTTAGATTTAAGTGAGAAAACACCGAGAGCATAGATACGAAAACATATAGACGTGAGAAGATGTAAAGGTAGAGCTGTTTTTTGATAATGGACAGAACAAGTACGATAATACCCATTTGCCCATTTAGTTATTCCTCGGGCAATTCACCGATCTTTCAAAGGATTTCATCAGGAAGCTAGTTAAATAACCTAGCGACTCGTGCAGCGAATAACAGGCCACTTGGGTGAACTGCGCTTTTTCGGGTTCAAATGCAGGCGAAGAGAAGAGAGTGACGCGGAGAATTCAGGGTCCTCGCTAAGCGTTATTACAGTGAGTTGGAACTGCCGCCCCGCTAAAAGACGACCTCAATTAAGCTTGGTCGCTTCGCGTGCTGTCAGTTTATGGCGGCAGCGCGTTCGTCACGTACTCGGAGTACAGTTAAGCCCGCTGAGACGCTCTACTCTCGATCAACACAATGGCGTCAAGTAGGTTAATGAAATGAACCTTTGCTATTTTCTACGGGACATTTGCTGATCAATCCAAAATAGATCGCGAAGAGCGCTTCTTGATGCGCCAGCGAGGTGCTGGGTATGTCCAAATCGCTGAACGCGACACCCAAATGCGACAGGTATGAGGAAGAGAGCTAATTTACGAGATAACAGAACCCATAAAGTCAGAAACGTCGACTTTGGCTTATCATTTCCCATTGGTGGAAGGGCTCCCGCACCTGCTCCGGCGCCACTCCCCGCACAACGATCGTCACGACGACAAAAAACTCCACAAGCTCTGCCGCCCCAGAGGTCAAGCAGGAGGACTCCAAGTGCAAACCCTACGCCATCAGCGTCTGCACGTTCGCGAACACAAAGCGCACCCGAGAATACTACTGCAGCGACACACAGGAATCCTCAAACCTCGACACGAAGGACGTTGCCCCAGGTTGAAGGAGACGCGCAGGGCTCTTCTCAACGCTCTGCGCAAGAGAGTGTCCAAGTGCCTAACAGCCAGCCATTGTCATCACAAAGGTCTTCAAGTCGAGCTCCAGCGCCAGCGGAGCATCAAACTCTCTCAGCTAAAAAGGGAGCGACGCCTATCGAGCCGTCCGCCGTGAAGAAACATCATACAGCGTCAACAACAAGGAGGAGAGATCCTGGTGAGATCCCACGGCCTACATCATAGATTTCTCCGCTTACAATAGTCTGTTTAGATCGAGTGCTAAATGACGTACCGGAGCAAACAGAAGAAGCTGAACCGACCTCATCCAGACAGGACATCCGCTCATCCAGTCGCCTGACCGGCTCCTCACCTACAACTACCCTTCGTGCGCAAGAGCTCCTGGCTGCAGCAACTCCAACATATACTGGGAAGAGAAAGAGAGGACAGTCGGTCTCACAGCAGGCAGAGCCTGAAACACAGGAACAACCGCCTTCCACAAAGTCTGTTAAACCAATTACGGTACCCAAACCTGGAAGACGGGACGTGTCAATCAAAGTTTCTCCGCCGCACCCTCCCGAGGAGCAACCAAGGACAACGAGAACTCCTAATCCACCAGTGGGTGGACAGAGGCGTGAGCGACGACGGCGGAGCATCGTGCAAAGTATTAAGAATAAACAAGCTTCAGAGGATACAGAACATGGTGACGAGGAGGAAGCTGAGAACAACGAAGGCGAGGAGCCCAATGAGCAAAGCCAGGATGCCGCCGGACCAAAGTCAGCTATCAAACACCTTGGTTCTAAACAGGAGAACCAGCGGCCAAAGCGAACATCAGCGGGATCCGCAGCTGAGCCCACCGCCTTACAGCCTTCACAGCGAGAGCCTAGTGAAATAACAGAGCCTCAGGCCGATCGAACAGTCCAACAATCAAGACAACAGGGTATAAGAAAACGCAAACCCCAGACTCGCTCTCCTCAAGGCCGCCTACGAGAAAGGAATTCAGCCGGGCCTCAACGACCTGCGGAAACCGAAGCAGCGAGTACGTCTCGTCCTCCAAAAAAGCAACGACGGCGGCAATCTCCTGCAGGCGCTTCAGAGGATCAGATAACCCGACGCGGGCGTCGGAAGATCGACTCCGTTCCAATCACTGTGCACCGTCTCGCCCGTCCTCGCGCTGCTGATCAACACGAGGTCGACAGTATCGAGACCCACATTCCTCCTGGCAAGCACGGTAGTGTCAATGCAGTTGATGTCTTGAGCCAGATATGCAAAGAACTGGTCGACCGGAGCTTAGATCGGATCCAAACTGGCTTAGAGAACGCATCTGAGGACGCAATACGAACCGACCTTAAACGGAGAAAAAAGGCAGTCGAAGCATTTGGAGAAGAACTTAACGCCCGATTCCTTGAAATGGTGCGACTTTTATGTCATAAGTGGACCTATGTGTATTGACTAGACTCACTCACTGACCACAAATGAATGATCAGACCGAAGCACTAGACAATAATCTCGGTCTCACTACTCGTCTCAAACAAGCCAACAAGGAGAAAATTGCTCTCCGCGAAGAGCTGCTTTCGATTCGGCGCGAGAGAGAACGTATCGCTCTCAGAATGGATTCCATTCGAACCAAACACGAGCAACAAAGTAAAATCGCACAAGTGAGTCACACTATACCTTGGACGGACCTCTGTACAATAGACATGTAATGACAAATGCTATTCTCCAGGGCCGCGAGGATCTCAACGCCGCTCTTCACGATATTGAGCTCGCCGTCGAGCGTGGCCAATCCGCTCAGTCTGCGCAGACCAAGGACACAGCCACGTCGAAAGATGGGGCAAAACCTGGTCGTAGCATTGAGCTTGATCTCGTTCATCTTGCGCAAGATGTAAGCTCTTCAAGTCCAGGCGGCGGACTGCTACATCAGGTCAAGAGCTTTAATGCATTTCTCGAGAATGCAGCGATGGTACTAGAGGGGCGGTAATGGCCATGCCTGAGATGTGCATTTAAAAAATATGGCCTAGTTACTTCCTAGTATTTCTTTTCACTTCTCACTGGCAGTATTTGCCGTTCACTCACCGTTCATGCAAGCCCTTATATGCGGACCGCCATTACTTGCGAGCTCTAAAGCAGATGAAAATAGATGAATAATGTCATTTTGGTTTGGCGAACTCTGAACAGCTTTCAATGCAGATACCTGTATCTGAAGCATGAGGATGCATTACACTATGTGGTATGCAAATTCCATTTGAAGATCTCCGCAGGTCGCCGAAAAGTCATGTTCAAAAAAAAAATGATTCGTCCAATCTTGAATGAGAATACTAATGATGCATACTAATCCTTTTCAAGCAATTTGTTTTCCAAGATCATTTTCCAATTTTTACTCCAAAGCTCCAACTCGCTCATTTTACAAATTGCACCCAAAATCCCAACAAGAAACTCCGAGCACCCGTCTCGGGATTTTGCCTTCTCACGATAAGCAATCATCCATAAAGCGTCAGACGAGACAACAGCCGCCGAAAAGTGAGATGAAGTAACAATGAACGGAAAGTAAGCCATAACCACCTTCGTACAATCTCGCCCTAACTAGCAATAACCACACCCGCATCTCCCTCCATACCAGTCTTTACTGACCCCCTTGTTCCTCTAGGGTCCACTCCTCCCTCTGTATCATCTCCAGAACCGGCTCCGCCTCCTTCACTCTCGGCTCGGACTTCCATCACCACCTTATGAGCGACTCGGAATGCCTCCATGCCCGCAGGTATACCGCTATACGCCGCTGTGTGGAGCAACGTCTCGCTGATTTCCGTCTCGGAGACGCCATTGTGCAGCGCGCCACGCACATTGACTGCCAATTCCACAGGATGATTCTGCGCGGCAAGCAACGCGATGGTCAAAAGCGAGCGTTCTTTGCGCGTCAGTCCGGGCCGAGACCATACGCTGCCCCAGCAGGTCGACACGGCGAGGTCATGCATGGGCTGGGAGAACGAAGCTTCATCAGGTGATGAAGCGGAAGAGGATAAAGGAACAGGATGGTTGATGACTTCATCGACGTATTTTGGCCCCGCGACTTCAGCGAGAATCTCTAGACCTTGGTTGTAGATTGTTTGATGGGCTTTGGCTTGGGCTTTGGTTTGAGGGGCAAAGCCGCTGCCGCTGCCGCTGCCGCCGCTGGAGGGACCAGAGGAAGGGAAGGAAGTGGGTGGTTTGATGGGAATAGAGGCAGCAGGTCTTGCGGAAGGCGGAGGAGTAGAGGTGTGTAGAGCGGCGTGGAGCATGGTTGTGTATGTTTTGTTTGCTTTTGAGCTTGATATGGAGATGGAGAGCCTTAGAGCTTTAATTAGGTAGGTAGAGGGAATAGATATACAGATGTAAGGTAATATTGGATATGGAGAAAAAAATAATAGGTAGTACAAGAAAAATAGCAGAAGGGTCAAAGAGAATTGGAAAGGTAGTCTGGAAGTAAAAGCAAGCAATCGAGTGTAGCAACGGATGGCCCGGCCCCGCCTGAAGAAAGCATTGTAGGATTATCCTCGGGTATAGCAATTGAGTTTGGGGTTTTACATGCTCATGTGGCGTTGGGATGAGGAGCTACTGTGTATCATAATAGCTAGCAGCAGTGCAGTATAGTTCATTAGGAGTAAGCTGGGATAGCTCTACTGGATCCTTAAATCGATGCATTTACCTGTTTGCGGGGGATCAGCGCGAAAAAAGGGCCCTAACCCCACTCAATGATAGTCTCGCCTTCGTTTAGTCAAGCGAACAAGCCACAAGGGACCCATTGTGAGCCACATGTCTCAACTCAAATTCCAGGGTTGCAAGACTCAAATTCTTGCTTGCAGTAGCGTTTTGTTTCAGTTCTCTTTTCAGAGAATCAAATTTTCTTGCTCATTATATCAATAATGTCGTGATGCAAAATGGACTGATCTTATCTTTAAAGCTCATTTGTTGCAGAATGTGGATTGACTCTCAGGCCATCATTTCTAACGGCGTTGACGCCGTTTGAATAACTGGAACATAAAAAGTCACTTGGAAAAAGCATTTGGAAAAAGGTATCAACGTCCTTTTGACCGTGGAATTGATCTACACTAGGTGACAAAAATTCAACTTCTTGCGCAGTCATTACAGGACTAATACATATGCACAGACCAGAGTGATCATCCATCTCAACACGCGAAATCCACAAGGCAAATCTGATCTCAATGACCCACTGCAGTAATGGGGTCCACGCGAGCTGAACATGGTCCACTGGTTCCGCGAGCGGAACATGCATGATCCGGCGCAGGCCGGCCATAGGTCCGGCCAACTGCTACAATAGCTGGCCCCGTCGTCAATTTGTTCAATTTTTCCCTGCAAATTTTTACATTCTTGCTCGTCCGGTTCGCAGGACCATTGGATTTCTCCGATACAAACGGCGGTGTCGATGCGAGATCGGGCAAACCCCGACGATCCCACTTTTGAATTTAATCGATTTGCACATAGCATTACAAGATGAAAATAATAATTTGACTTTCGGCATGGATGATACTTTGCCGAGCTGTTCAAGGATGAGAACTGTCATCTCGAGGTCGTTGCTTAACCGGGAGCATGCAAGTCATTTGAATTTCTCAAGGAAAATCCTGGCTTGCATTCTTCTTTTCTAGGTGAGACATCCTGACTCCTGCCCAGCCACAATGGTTGAAGAAACACACTGAGATATTGCTCAAGGCGAGAGAGTACAGACCCGCAAGGCTGAGCCCGATTTCAAAAACAGTTTTGTAAAGAGATATGGATGTGATTATCGGACTCGGGAGCTCCCGCAGTGGGACTTTACATGACGTCATGGTGTTGCCCAAGAGAAATTCAAGAGCTGATTACCAAATGTGGTAAGGCCAGTTAAGTAATCGCTATGCAATCGATCGGTGGCCAGCTTCAGCCGTACATGTTCACAACAAAGAGTCCGGGGCCCATGGAACATGATAATTTCAGCTTGTAAATTCAGAAATCGTCGAATCAAATCAAAGAGAATGCTTCTTTCCAAATAATCATCGCGAGGTAAGAATTGTAGCAGAAATAGGAGTTGGAGACTTGAAGGCAGAAAGTTGGAACGAAAAGAAGGGTCTCTTTCGCAATGGAGCCAGGGCCCATTTTGTTATGAATGCAGCTTTTAGCGGGTTTGGTCGGATGATGGCCGATGGGCCGTTCGGGCCAACCGACGTCATCAACCGGGCAACCGCATCAAATGGCAAGCATTGCATTTGGTTACGTAGCGAAAGCCCCCCCAAGGCCTAAAAGGCAAAAAAAGGGCCAAGGCAAGAAAGTCCAGCCACAGCGAAACCCTCAATAAGTTCCCAGACCTCCCAGTGATCTTCCTCCACTTTCCCTCGTATCTCACTCATCTTTCTCCGCACTCTCACCCTCTCCCACGCACGCGATACTCTTCTCTTCTTCGCTCGTGCCCCTCCCGCAGATCATTGTCAAATCATCCCCTTGAATTCATCAATTTTTTCTGATTTAGATTTCGCTCTCCATCGCCAACCATGCATCGTACCTATTCTATGCGCCAGTCGCGCGCTCCTACTGCTTCTCAGCTGGAGAACCCTCCGCCGCCCGTTTCTTCCACCAAGTCTGGCCGCTTCTTCGGTCGTGGAAACATCGGTGAGTGTGTTTGAACTCCCATGGGCACAAAGAAGCGATGCGATACGGGTGTTTTGAAGTCTTGCCATCTGTTCTGTTTGCAGCGCGTTCTTGAAGCTCTGTTTCCTGGTTGTAGCTTTGTCTACCCAATTTTTATGTGTTACGCGCTTGTTTTCAGACACCATGCAGACTTGACATCCAATCTCGCCTTGCATACTTATTACAATCGCCCATGGAGTGATTCTTTTTGGGCCGCTCTTACTTCCTGTTTCAGTCTATTCTATGCTTCGAAGCTTGCATGCTTGCTTGTTTCATGGCTTTTGAAATCATCGAGCAGACCACAGCAAGCTCTCATCCGTCGCTTTTGATGTGTGCATGTGTCACGAGACTGATTATGCGGGCTAACATTGTTCCCTGTCGTTGAGGTGGTGCAGGCCATGCCTTCCGCAAGTCTGCGGCCGGTGCCTTTGGGCCCGACCTGGCAAAGAAGCTTGCTCAGCTTGTCAAGATGGAGAAGAACGTCATGCGCAGCATGGAGATGGTCAGCCGCGAGCGTATGGAAGTCGCTGTAAGTGAACCCGTCCCAAAACACAGTCGTTCAAGACTAGTTACTAATTTATATATAGCAACAACTCTCAATTTGGGGAGAGGCTTGCGACGATGATGTTTCGGACGTTACCGATAAGCTTGGTGTCCTAATCTACGAGATTGGTGAGCTCGAGGACCAATTTGTCGACCGCTACGACCAATACCGTGTCACCATTAAGAGCATTCGCAACATTGAGGCTTCCGTGCAGCCCAGCCGAGACCGTACGTCCAAATTTTCCCCCATAAATGTAGAAGTACCACCTGAAAGCTAACACCCTCTCAGGCAAGCAAAAGATCACCGACCAGATTGCCCAGCTCAAGTACAAGGAGCCCAACTCCCCCAAGATTGTTGTGCTCGAGCAGGAGCTTGTCCGTGCCGAGGCCGAGTCTCTCGTCGCTGAGGCTCAGCTGTCCAACATTACTCGCGAGAAGCTCAAGGCAGCCTTCACCTACCAATTTGACGCTCTCCGTGAACACTGCGAGAAGCTTGCCATTATTGCTGGTTACGGCAAGCATCTCCTCGAGCTGATTGATGACACTCCAGTCACCCCTGGCGAGACTCGCGATGCCTATGACGGCTATGAGGCCAGCAAGGCGTACGTCACCTCCATGTTCCTTTTTTATTTTTGGTTCATTATTTGCTAACTTACTGTAAACAGAATTATCCAAGATTGTGAGAATGCCCTGACCAATTGGGTTACCGCCAACGCTGCTGTCAAGCCGAAGCTCTCCACTCGCGCCCGTACTCTTTCTCAACGCCGCCACCAGCGCCGTGAGGGTGAGGGAGTCGATCTTGCTTCTCAGGACCAACCCCTCAAGGACCGTGAAAGCGGCCTCTGGGTCCCCGCTGAACAGCACCAGGCTGGAGGTTACGGCGAAGAAGAAGAGGAGGAAGAGCCTGAGGCGGCTGGCAGCGTTACAGGCGCCGCCAATGGCGAGACCCGCGGCCGCGAAGAAGAGCGCACCCTGGCGGCATGAATGCCAAGCCCTTGAATGCAGAATCCACGGCTTGGATTGACTACCGCGCCATTTTTCCCAATGATACCTGGCCTCGCAAACATTTAATACCCACCAACTCGAACCAGACATGGAACCGTTCTCCAAGCCGTCTTTTTGATTTTACTTTTTCGTTTTTTGTCTCATACCAGAAAGCCAAGAATGTACGCCAACCATGGGAGGCTACTAATATGCTAATCACGACTGGCGGTAGGGGACACAAGGCGGCATTGCATGGTGATCTCTACTGTTTGAAGGAAGCGGTGTGATTTATTTCTGGACGCGGTTCAAGCACCTTTATTCCCCCTTTTCCCCTTTGCCCTTTCGTTACACCTTGTGTCACCCCTTTTGTTGTACTCTGTTTTCGCCTCCCCTTTGTAATGTTTGCAGGCGCTTTACACGATTGTTGTGCCAACTATCGCCCGGTGGAAAGCAGCTTTAATACTCCCCTCGGATTTTACGAAACACGAAGCACTGTCTTTTCCGCACCCAGGGCTTTACGGCTTCTAATCCTCTTTGTCAACGATTTTATGCAAGATAGTAATACAACGATACCTGTTTGCTTCTCTTTGAAACACTTGAGCACTGAATCATGACCTTGTCATCCTTTCGTGAGCATATTTGACAACCTGATGATATAGAGCCGGTACTGCTACATGGTGTATAAGTTGTATGAGTCTTACAGGCATCGGAGAACAAATCCTTTCTGATATTCACCAAGAGCGCAAGATATTGGTGTTAACAATGGATATCTTCCCTGGGTCACGGGACGACGTGGAACAGTATGAAATCAGATATAATCACGTCGCGTCTCCCAGACACGTCTCTCCCAGCGGACTCGAAAATTTCGACATCTTAGACGTTTGACGAACCTTGATGATTTCCGAATCGGGTGGTTGGGGGTTAGGGGGGTAGGGAGAGAAGGGCATTTGTGCTTTTTCCTTTAAGCTGATTGGATCTACCTACTTAGCTAGGTTGTATGTATAGGAAGTGAATATGAAAAATGGCTATAAACCTAGGGATGCTTGTAATAAATATAATTTCCTAGATAAAAAGCGTTACTACATGTTGCCCTAGACAATACAGGATAAATGAAAGGAAAAAAAAAAAAAAGCAGCGCAGTCGCGCGCCCGTTGCGCCCACACAAAAGTTAAAAGAAATAAAAAAAAAAGAAAAATAAGATAAAAGCGACCAAAAGGGAAGCCACAGTATCAGAAGATAGAAGAAGAAATAGAAGAGATGCCGAAAAAAAGGTAAATAACAGGATATTATTCCAAGGATAAAAAGATTTGTTCATATGGAATCTCCTTTCTTTTTCTCTTCGTCCGTCAATTCAAACTGAAATCATATAGCGGGAAAAAAAGGGTTTTGACGCGGATATTTTGCTTGACATGTCGAATAAAAATATAAATCCATAACGGTGGTACCAGACGCCGAAAAGTAAAAGTAAAAGGCTCATAGCATATAAACGTTACATGCGCGTGGTAAATGGGTCCGTTGGTGACCGGGGGAGAAATAGAGGGGTGGCAGATGGATGAGAAGAAGAAAATGGCTTCGTTATTTCGGAGCATCTCCGTTGTCCTCGACGCTGACCAAGGTGGGAGCGATCCTGCGCTTCTTGGGCTCCTTGCCCTCGTCTTTGTGGCCCTCGGTAGGAGGAGGGGCTGAATCTCTTTTGCCAAGAATACTTGCGGCATTGGTCGAGAGAGCTGCACCGCTGGGACCTGGAAGCGGAGTTTGTGGAGGTGTTGTCAAAGGCACTACTCCGACAGCACTCGAGTGTGTTGCTGCAACGCTCGGTACACTGCTGAGCACGGGCGTCGGATTGCTAATGACCGTGCCTGACTGAGTAGCGACAGACGAGGTGGATGATGACCGTGTCGGACTGACAGGGCGGGTAGATGGAATTTGCGAAGGCGAAGGAAGCGGTTGAGCAGCTGCCGGTTGTTTGGGTATGGCAGGGGCGGTGGTAGAGGTTGGAGTAGGAGTAGGCGTCGATTGCACCGAAGAAGCAGTGGCAGCAGCGATGTTGATGGTTGGATGGTGAGCAGTTGGCACAGATCCAGTGTATACTTGTCCGAGCTCGCCAGCAGCAAATGTCAGCGCCGAGCAAAAGCCATCCGAGGAAGACATGAGCAGTGTCAGCCCATCGTTGGACCTGAAAGATTTTTGTCAGTCAAGTTTTTTTTGGATCAAGAGTGGAAAAAGCTCTACTTGTTGACGGTTCGAACTTACCAGGTGAGGTCGGTGAAAGTGGCAAAATGCAAGTTGCTCACTATGCAGAGAGGAGTTTGCTGCTGAGTATCATACACCAAGACCGCATCCTGCGTTGCTACCGCATAGACCATACGGTATGGCAGAGCAAATGCTGGCGGTGGCGCAGAAGTTGAGTTCGCCTCTCCATCCAAAGGCTTAGATGTATCTGCAGCAGGGACGTCATTCGTGCTCGGTGTGGATGTTGGAGGAGGAGGCTCCATGACAGCTTGTGCCTGGGAAGCTTTGGCTGGAACAGCAGGTTCTGGAAGGGACGGCATTTCTTCCTCTGCAGACGAAGTATCCACCACAATATGCCGAGTCGGTTTCGAGTTCTGACGGTGTGTGTAGTATACTGGAGAGCACTTGACAGCGATAGAAGGTTTCTTGTGCCCAGGAAGGTGAGCAATTGGCGGCTTATTGAAGCCAGCTCGGGTATATATGTACACAGTGTTGATAACATCGTCCGCTGTCTTTCCTGGATCGGTCGAAGAAGGATGAGAGGTCTTGTATTGCCCAGCAGGAGTGAAAAGTAAGCTTCCGTCTGGTGCGAATGTAAGCCGTCTAAAGAATGAGGTGAAGGTCTCGTTGGCGTAGATGTTAGTATTGCGAACGCTAAGTGCTCCATGAAGGCCAGGAGAATTTTCCATGGGTCGAACAGCTGGCAATGGTAGCGTGGGCGCCGGGGAGGCAGATCGTCGGATGGATGGTGAGGAGCCAAAGGATGATCGACGACTGTGAGTAACGGCAGGAGGATTCATCGGCAACGGGCCAGTATTTGGAGTTCCAGGAGCTGAGGGAGCTGGTGATGCTATGGTAACAGACGAGCCCTCAGTTGGCACCGATGGTCTATTCCCCAAATCCGGAGGTGCTGGGCTGCTGGAGGATATTCTCCGAGCCGGCAGATCCATTTTGGTGACCTTTCCATGCTGTGCAAGAGTAAATTGGCCGTCTTTAGTCTTTAATGTATAGATATGAACCGATCGATCAGATGATTGTGTCGCAACAAATTCATTCAGGGGGTCCCACGCCACGCCTTGTACATAATGGTTGTGCTCTGCAATCTGTCGGACCATTTGGCCTGCTCGGGCATTAGCTTCCTTTCTCCATTTCCAATAGGAAAATCCAATTCAATGTACCAGTCTGTGCATTATAGATCCTCGCGACATTATCCATGCTACCCGTGATGAAGAAAACTCCATCTGGGGACCACGCAAGGTCGTATATCTCCGATCCAAATGAGCGGCACATATGCTTTACCCGCCATGTCTCCTTATCTTCAGCCGTGTCCTCGCCAAAGGCAGTGTGTGTCTGGGATTCTGAAGGGACCCAAAGAAGAGCGTTTCCGTCGTCGCCGGCACTGCACAGTAGATCACCTGAAGAAGTGTTAGAAGGGTAATGCTGTGTCAAGCAGCCCAAGCTTCAGCTTACCTCTGGGACACCAGCGAACAACATTGACAGCCTGCGTGTGTTTGACTAGAGTACTCAAATATACTACTTTCCGATCGTCGCCATCTGGTTCGAGCTTCCAAAGCTGCACACGGGCATGAGATTATGATTCCCGGCTCGATTTCAAGGATTCAGCTTACCCGAATATTGTTGTCTCCCCCACAGGTCGCGAGCCGCCCAGATCCAGTGGGCTGGAAATGCGCAGAATATATGGGAGCATTCTCGTTATGCCAGGCGACAAGAAGAGGAGCAGCCTTCATCTTTGCTCAGCGAGCCCGCGAAGACGTCGAGTTGTGACTAGTTGCTTCTTATGGGAGGTTGGTCAGGTCGGCTACCCTGGCGTCGACGGGCCGGGTATGCAAATGGGGATTGAAGTCGTCAATTCGAATTTTAAGCTTATAATCATCGAAGCCAAAGCTGAAAGGTGAAATGGCGCTGTGAATTAGAGTGTTTCTCAGCATGAGGTGATGAAATGACGATGGGGCCGGTTTGTGCGTGTTCGTCGCAGCTCCTTTGTGCTGGTTGCCGGCACTAACAAGGCGAGAGAGATCAACATGTTTTGTCAATGAGCTTGACCGGTGCTCAGCTCGACCAACCTTGAACCCCACTATTTACTTTGGCAATGAATGCTCTGACATGATAAAATATATTTATAATTTTTCTACCGCATAAATAGCATATGAATTAACTGAAATCAATTATTCTTTGTCCTGATCCAGATCTCTTCCTGGAATGTTGTGAATTGGTGAAACCTCATAAATCACGAGTCTGCAATGGCATGGTCAGCGTTTGAGCCATGTTAGCCCATACCAATAAGGGCCACCAAGGATTTGATTCGAGACTGCACTGGTTCAAACGAGATTCACATGATCAGAGCGTGAGAGGTCCCAAAATCTTCTTCTGTCCGCTCTTGCTTTCAATTCATAATTATAAGATATCTGCGGTTCAATTGGTCATGGAATAAATCTCAGTTTCGAATTTGTTTTGATATTCTGCATCTTCGCTATCATGTTTGTATTGCTTCTGATTCTGCGTAGAGACACACGGCGGTCGTGCATGTGGGGGCTGAAAAGAATCGGTGAACAGATTAAATGAGCGTTTGAAGCATCCTCGCTCTTGTCCCGATTGATCGTTATATAGCCGCGCCGTACGGAGGTATCGGAGTACGTAGACTTAATTAATATAACGATGAGCCATGATGTGGGGAATTCATCTCATTCTCAGATAGGTGGGATCCCTCGGATCGCCCTTTGGGCCGATACTTATCTGGGAAGGTTCTCCTCCAGTTGACTCACAGACAAGGAGTCATATCGCCAGCCACGGACGTGCTTGAGCGGGTGGAAATCTCGCTAGGGCCACTGCAATGCCGTCCGTGAATCGAGAATGGCTGCCTAGAGCGGTGTTTTGTACGTACTCGTGCGTACAGAGAACGGTGGGCACCCGCTCTCCAACACCAGCTTATCTCCATCTCCAACCACGGGAATGAGCTTCAAGCATTCGACACGCCCTGCGTTCGTGGAGTGTCAACGAACGGAGACACCCTGTATTCTCTACAGCGTAGGGCGTGGATTTCTTGGCGTTCAAATAAGAAGCTTCTTTTTTTAAAGCATGTACGGAGTACTATCAATATGCACGAGTTAGTATATTCATCTTGCCCTGATAGCGATTGGAAGTCTTTGTATGATATTGGTAAGCACGACAACGGGAGGATGCCGCAGTACAGCAATCCCTCCGTAATGCTGTGCCCTTGGTGAGCTCGCGTGATGCGAAACTAAGATGCATACGGGATTGCCTGCCTTCTGCAGCATAGAACCACGGCCACTAAAAGCCTCCGTTGCATGGATGGCACCCGTCCATAGCCAAGCGGCAGTTTAGTTGGTGCTAATGCGAGGTAGATGATTCACCCTCGCGCCCATCAATCATCTTTTGATATCCGGCACGATTAAGGGCCGCTTATCCCTGCAGCGTTATCAATTTGCAATGTTTCTAATGTAGTGTCAGGACGGACCCTGAGATGTTGATATAAGCATTGTCCCGCCAGGCAGTCATGTAATCTATACCTGAATTTCAAACGTTTCGCGGTCGTCAGAATGGGCCATCTAGCTGTGGTCGAGCTCGTGGTTGGTGCGGTCGGGACTGGAGCGGTCGCCGCAATGACATTGCCTGGCGTCGTAAACCTCCGTAAGAGTGCTTGGAGTCTGCGCAAGGACTATGAGCAGGTGGATGCTCTCTATGAAGATCAGGATGGTGTCGCAACCGAGAAATCGCAGGCCGCCTTTTCCGACAAAATCCCCAAATTGTTCGTATATTTGTCCTCCGTGCTTGGTAGCTCGGTCACATTAGCCTCCGCCTTATGGGCAACTCTTAACCCCGAGAAATCGCTCCTCATATGGAATTGGTTGCAGTTTGGAGCCTGGGTTAGTGCTCCGAATAAATCTTGTCGAATAGCCCAAGTTGACTCTCGTAGATGCTCCTGATCTTGCAGGCAGCCAGCTTTGCTTTAGAAAAGGATTCGGTCAAAAGATTTCGTGTCAGCTGTTACGGCGCCGTATCTAGTTTCGTCTTGTTTCTGGCCATTGCTGTTGTCAATTTGCTTCATTTCTCGAAAACTGGATCGACAGCAAAGGAGAGCGCAGTCCACATCGGCCTGCAAATTGGTAGCGCCTTTGCTACTCTGGTTCTGCTCTTTGCTTATCTCTTCATCCCCCGCCGTGCCGATGTTTACTATAATGGCCGGATCGTCGACCGTCAATATTCTGCTACGGCAATCGAGCGACTCACCTACGGATGGGCTCAACATGTGCTCGATTATGCGGGAAAGAATAAGGACATGAAAATTGAGGAGATACCTAACGTGGATTACCTAACAAGATCAGAAAATCTCCAGCAATTTTTCTTTGCTGTGCAAAAAGGCGGTCGACTTGGATACCGCCTTCTATACGCTCATGCCAATGCCTTTTTGTGGCAGACAGCCTACACTATCATTCAGTGCTTCCTTCAATTCGGCCCTCAAGTAGCCATGTATCGTATTCTGAAGTACCTGGAAGCTCGAGCTGAAGGGCCTGTATCCGCTGTGGAAGGTTGGGCTTATGTACTGGGTCTGTTCCTAACAATGGCCCTCAGTGGATGGTTCGATCAGCGCATGTTTTGGGTTAGCTGGAGTCGACTGGCCATTCCACTTCGTATGCAACTATCTGCATTGGTCTTCTTAAAGGCCATGAAACGGAAAGATGCTAAAGGAGTGGAGAAAGCGTCGATAAAGGGTGATAAGTCAGTTGATGGCGCATCTGACGCGGGTGACTCGAAAAAAGAATCCCCCGAAGAGGATGATCTCCTACAGAAGACACAGCAAAGTACCATCAATCTCATCGGTATTGATGCGTAGGTCTTTGTCCTTTTGTTTTTCCATCAACGTCGCTAACTTCTCGACAGGAAGCGCGTAGGGGAGTTCTGCGCCTGGAATAATTATATTTTTGGAAGTGTCTTGAGATTGGCCATTGCCTTGACTTTTCTTCAACGCCTTATCGGGTATGGATGCATCACTTGTTATCAGTAGATACCAAGCTGACTTCAATAGGTGGCCAAGTCTTCTGGCAGGTCTCGCTTTCAACATTCTCACATTGCCTTTCAATATATGGGCTTCAAAGAGATATGGAGTGGCTCAGGTAAATTCCCTCCTAATTCCTAGACACAGTAGGATATTTTGCAAAATTTTCTGTTCAGATACATCAAAGACTTTTTCTTTTCTTCTTGTCTTATCGCATAAGGCTGATAACTTTGTTTTCCAGGATGTCCTCATGAAGAGCAGAGATCGTAAAATGGGAGTAATTACGGAAGCCTTACGTGGTATCAGGCAGATCAAGTTTTCGGCACTTGAACGACAATGGCAGGATAAGATTGGTGAAGTTCGAGAACAAGAACTAAAAAGTCAATGGGCTTGCTTCATGGCAGATTCGGTTGTGATGGCTTGTTGGATCGTTACGCCCATTATGCTGTCTGCTGTATCTCTTTCGACCTACGCATTGCTTCATGGTGGCTTGGCGCCTTCGAAAGCATTTACCACACTCGCCGTGTTTGCAAATCTAGAGGTTACGCTCTCTGTGATTCCTCCGCTGATCGCAGAATCCTTCGACGCTTGGATCAGTCTATGCCGAATCGAGAAGTTTCTCAATTCACCCGAAAAGGAGGATAGGACTGTGGACGCAGAAGAGATTGCATTTGAAGGCGCATCAGTGGCTTGGCCAGCAGATGAGGATGTCTCCGGTGACGAAAGATTCACACTGCCCAATCTCAACCTTCGCTTCCCTAGCAAGGAACTCAGCGTGATCTGTGGAGCTACGGGATCGGGAAAGAGTCTACTCCTCGCTTCAGTCCTAGGTGAAGTGGACATTCTCGCTGGCGTTGTCAAGATCCCAAAGGCACATCCGGCAGAGAAGCGTTTCGACCACAAAGCCAATTCGGACAATTGGATCATCGATTCATGCGTTGCCTATGTGGCGCAAACTCCGTGGATTGAGAATGCCTCTGTGAAGAACAATATCCTATTCGGCTTACCATATGATTCGAAGCGTTACAAAAAGGTTCTGCATGCATGCGCGTTGGTCAAAGATTTGGAGATGCTCGAAGACGGCGAAAACACCGAAATTGGCGCTAATGGTATCAACTTGAGCGGTGGTCAACGCTGGCGTTTATCCTTTGCAAGAGCATTGTATTCTCGCGCAGGCATCCTCGTTCTTGACGACATTTTTAGTGCGGTCGATGCTCATGTTGGCCGACATATTTTTGAGCTCGGGTTGACCGGCGAACTTGGAAATGGTAGGACCCGACTTCTAGTCACTCATCACGTTGGGCTTTGTTTGCCCAAAGCAGTTTATTTGGTAGCTTTGAATCAAGAAGGTACTGTGCAGCATGCTGGTCTAGTCGAGGAACTACGCCGAAGCGGTAGCCTGTCTAGTATCATGGAACGAAAGGACAATGTTTCCGAGGAAGAGGACAAGGACTCCGTTATTGAAGACGCTGATGTCAAGGATAAGATTGCCCCGCAACCGGACGTTCCTGTACAATTTGATGATACCAACCCGGAAGACGCCGCAGACGCCAACATTGCTGCCAAGGCGGCGGCGAAAAAATTTGTTCAAGATGAGGCAAAGGAAAGCGGACGTGTCAAATGGAAGGTCTACGGGGGCTATCTGAAGTATACAGGCGGAGTATTGTTCTGGGTCATGGCCCTCTTACTATTTATGATCTATCAAGCAACCCTACTTGCAAAAGTAAGTCATTTCCCAAGCGGTCTCATATTTTCCAATATGCTCACTTCCCAATAGTCATGGTGGATCAAAATCTGGAGCAGTACATATGAAACCGAGGCGATTAGCTTCCAGCATGTTGCCATGCGAATCCAGACAGTCCCAATATCGTTAAAGAAGGCGGCGTCTCCATCGACTGACAACGATTTGGTCTACTACATGGGCGTATATGTCGGTATATCGATCTTTGTTTGCATATTAGGTACTGTCCGTTATATTTGGCTATACTGGGGTTCCATCAGAGGGTCTCGCATTCTGTCAGATCGAATGACACATATGGTGCTCAGAGCACCATTGAGATGGTATGTCTTTTTTTTTTGGAGGGCGCTCGGAGCCTCTTCCGTGTTTATCTAGCAAGCCGCATCAGATGTTATGGTCATAAGCACCTTCTCTACATATGATATATCTGCTAACAATAATTGCATAGGCTGGACACCGTACCAGTTGGCCGTATTCTGAACCGATTCACTGCCGACTTTACCGTTATTGATTCAAACATGTCAATGGAGCTTGGCAACTTTCTCTACAATGCGCTCATGGTTGTCGGCAGCCTTGTTGCTGGGTAGGTGTCCTTTTTTAATTGGATGGCTTCGAATGGGGCACTAATCATTCTTAGTTTGTTTGTATCTCCATATATGATAATCTTTGCAGTCATCTTGCAGTTCACTTGCTGGAGAGTTGCCTCCATGTTCTTAGGAGGCGCACGAGAGATCAAGCGCCTTGAATCAAATGCAAAAAGCCCCATTTTCGAACATTTTGGAGCTGCTCTAGGTGGTCTCTCCACAATTCGAGCATTTGACAAGACCCATGACTATATAAGTACTATGTTTGAGAGAATTGACAACCATGGTGCCGCTTTCTGGTACATCTTCATGCTCAACCGGTGGCTTTCTCGTAAGTAAACCAAGTTTTCACCATCCCATTCTTTGAAACTGACATGATATAGTCCGCTTGTCATTCATTGGAGCCATATTCTGTGCCATAGTCTCCGGTATCATTGTCGGATCAAAGTCAATCGATGCGGCACTTGCTGGGTTCGCCCTGCAATTCGGGTTAGAATATTCTGAGTGCATTTCCTGGGCCTTGCGCATGTATGCGAATGTTGAGCTTGGAATGAATGCGGCGGAGCGTATTCTCGAGTACACCGAGATCAAAACCGAGAATCAAGGTGGAGAGTCCGCTCCTGCTGCATGGCCATCCGAGGGTCGACTGGTTGTCAAAAACCTTGTGGCAGGCTACGCAGAGGATCTTCCTCCCGTGCTTAAGGGCCTTTCCTTTGAAGTTGAGGCGAACAAACGCATCGGGGTCGTCGGGCGAACTGGCGCTGGAAAATCATCACTCACGCTTGCGTTGTTCCGTTTCTTGGAGGCCCGCAAGGGAAGCATTACCATTGACGGCATTGACATTTACACGCTCAAGCTGCACGAACTTCGAAGTCGACTTGCTATCATTCCGCAGGACCCTGTACTTTTCTCCGGTACCGTCCGGTCCAACCTCGATCCATTTGACCAGTACGAGGATTATCAACTCCGGGATGCACTCGAACGAGCCCATCTTATCAAGGCCGAGCGCAGTGGACAAGTCACCCCTGGCTTGAGTCAAGAACCTGCCAATGCCAATATCTTTGAAGACCTAAGCTCTGCCATTTCCGAGGGTGGGCACAGTTTGTCTCAGGGTCAAAGACAGCTCCTCTGCCTTGCTCGTGCCATCGTTTCTCGGCCCAAGATTATGGTCTTGGACGAAGCCACCTCTGCAGTCGACATGGATACCGATGCGCTGATTCAGCAATCCATTCGAGAAGAATTCAACGACAGTACGCTCATCGTTATTGCTCATCGACTCAGCACCATCGCTGATTTTGACAAGATCCTTGTCATGAGCGATGGCCGTGTAGAAGAGTATGACGAGCCGCACAAATTGATGGAACAGAAAGGCGACTTTTACAGAATGGTCAATGAGAGTGGCGAAAAGGAAAAATTAGAAGCTATCATTGCTAATAAGGCAAAGGCTTCGTCGTAAGGGTCATTGCAAGGGCTGATGACTCAGACTTTCTGTTCAGAAAAATTCATGTTACTCATATTTGATCTTGAAACTGTCTAGGAGCTTTCGATATTCTGATTCCTTCTTCTGTTGGCGATGAGCGACAAAAATAGCGTTGATTTTATTTCTTTCCTCTTCTTTTCAATTTCCTTTTCTCCTTTTTTCTGGATGTAGATGTTTGTTTTAGATTGCGTTATCTCTTGTTTTTCTTATCCTCTACTGTGGTTTTCACTTCCTTTTTCTTTATACGCTTCCAAACCTTGGATATTCAGACGAATATCTCTCTCAAGGTAGTCACTCATTAGATCTGCACATATAGCGTGTACGCTGTCTACAATTTTTAAAACAATATAACGAAGAAGTTTTGATAGAACTGCCAGTAAATATGTGGACCCGTGTAAATTTTATATGAAGTTTTGTCTCCGGCACAGCTTCTGCGTTGATACGAGTTGATGATAAACACCCTGATGCTCTAGACGTCCGAGGTCGATGCTCGGTTGGCAATTTGCCGACCAAAGCCAGTGAGCAATCCCGACGGAAGCTTGGGCCACACAATTCCAGATCCAGATCCAGACCCAAAGTCAACCAGCTGAGCGCCGTTGTGCATTTCAACAGCCTTTATCGTCTTTTGTCCCGACCATAATTTGTACTTCTCAGATATACTCTTTTACGCTTCTCCTTACCTTTCGTCTCGTCTCGTATCCTCTGCCCTGTCCATCACCTTCACGCTTCGCTCTCGTAGCGTAGTGAATATCAATCGCAACTTGGAATAAGAATAAGCTTTCGACGGTCAACGGTCAACGGTCAACGATTCGCGCTGCCCGAAATACTACACTATCACTACCATGCCTAAAGCTGTCAAAGGTAAGATCTTACATGTTACCTTTCTTATAATACCGGAAGTCGCGCGCGCCGATACGGTTCGTTGCTGCATGCAAGGATAGATGGCTGGAGGATTAAAAGGAATAGGAGAAACGGGCACAAGGGATAATGGAAGCTGGACACGCAGCAGGACGGAGCATAACAGAGGAATTAGACATGCAATCAGGAAGACCGGATGAATGAAAGGATGGGTGTATGGATAAATGAATGAATGAACGAGTGGCTAACCAGAAACACCAAATACAGGTGTGCTTGTCCAGTGCGATCCGTCGATTAAAGCCATCATCCTTAAAATCGACGCGCTTGACCACGACTTTATTGTGGAGGATCTGGATGATCAGACACTTGTGGTGAAGGAGAGTAAGTTGGTGGAATTGAAGCAGAGATTGGAAGATGTGAGTGGTGCTCTCTTTGGTTTTCTTGCGAGGGCTTTAATGGACAGATGAACGAGGCGTATGGCAAGGGACATAATAACATCTGGACATTGAAGGGAACTACTTGCATACTGGGCAAGATGCTAATGACTGGCTTAATTACAGGAACTTTCGAATACGCAGCAGATGCCGGAGGAATCTGGGTCCGAATAGACGTTGCTATCTCTCTCAAGGGCTTTCATTTCGAGGCCCTTGTGCATGAAAGCTCGTGTTGCTCCTAATGGGCACTTAAACAGCTACGGCGGGAAAAGTGATAAAACAATAATGACAGAGTGGAGCATGGGCCTAAACGACGGATACTAGAATATTCCCGGAATCAACCTCCATGTCCGCCGACTATACTCCTCCCACTCTTTTCCAAATTCCCAATGCATCATTTGCTCTTCATCACGCAGTCTCATGGGGAGAAACACGATGAGACCGAGCAGCGATACAGCCGAAAGCACGGCGGTAATTACTCCGCGCGCACCTGCCCCCGGTTCAAGCCAACAGGCCGACACACCATCGCTTCTAAATACAAGCCCAACACAAGTCACGCTCAATAAGATGGCCCCTGTGTAAGACGGGTGGCGGATATACCGGTACACGCCACTCGTGATTAGGCCCTTTTTTGGCTTGGCAAGCTCAAATGTGAAGCTTTCTCCTAGCTGCGCATACGCGAGCAGTCGGATTGCACCGCCGATAAAGTGGATGGCTAAGCAAATGCTCGTGAAAGTCGACCAGGTGAAGAGCGCAGAGTTGAGCCATTCAGGGTGCGGACAGATGCTTTTCGGTGGCGAGGGATATGTGAGCGCTATAAAGGCGTGATAGATGCAAACCGAGCATGCGATCCATGGTGCCATGAGAGTGGTTTGCCTCACTGCTGTATTCGCCATGATTCGGTCGTCATGCTGTTCTTTTGTGTCTGACTGTTTTTCTGGTGGAGGGTTTGGCCGTGTCAAACATCGCTTGGTCAGATATCCACTGGCAAGGAAGAGCGTGGAGAGGAGGAGTGCTTTGGGATCAAATGTAATAACGGCCATGGCCGGTGATTAAGCAATAGCTTCTGGATTTATTGAATGGATTATGTTGTAATTGCGTTTATAAGTTTCTCCGTGGACACATAGAGTGAACTTCCCGTTTGGAAAAGAATGGAAGAAACGGCAGAGAAATATGATGCAGTACTGCCGTATTTTTCACAGTTTCAGCTATGGCTCGTGCTGTAACGTGTGCCACACGGGTAAACAAATATAGTAAATGATCTTTGAGCGGGACTTGGGCTCTCGGACGTAAAGCGACAGAGCGCAGTCCCAAATGGAAAGATACTGGATGGAAGATGACTCTTGAAACGTTCTAGGAAATGCCCAGAACCGCAATTCAACTGAGCACCAAGTTGAAGAAAAGAAAGTTGGACAGTGTCTTGCTCAGTAGAAGTTGAATGGATCAACTCACTATTTCTCGGTTCAGTGGCTTAACTAGAAACAAGTCAAACCTAGCGGGGAATCTTGGCGGTCGGCTGGCTTAGTTCCCGTTCCCCGACGATGATGACGATGACATGCATATCCTTCCCGTCCACTGTATGTTCTACTACCTTCAAGCCCTAAACATATATCTACAACTCCTTCACAAGACATGCAAATAACATGAGCAGTCCAGACTCATATTTAAATCAGCATAAATCCAAGCGAAAAGCGTCTCCGAGATTGATCGACAATCCATTCATCAAACGCCACAATAAAAGCTGGGAAATATCTCCTCCGCCATTATCCAGAAAACGAGCTGAATCAAGGGCGGAAACGCAGTCACGGATTGTCCAGGAATCCTTCACTTCACTAATCACCGCAAGTGAAGGTCATCAAAAGGAGGAACCCCAGCAGCCCTTCAGTACATTTCAGCAGAATTCAAAAGAAGATAACCTAAAGCCAGAGACAGCAGAACCGGTAATCGATACTGCTGCCGTAGAGGCTGGTCAGGTTCAGATCCGGGACCATTTAAAGTTCTTTTCTGAGCACTTGGCTCAGGCCTGTCGACCAGTAGTTGCAGAGAAACCTGTTCCAAGACTGTCTATTGCAGACTTCAAAGACTTGTATTTAAGGAACCAGCACGAACATGGTTGCCATTTTGTCATTCATCAGCATGATCATCCCGTGGCGGGAGTCCATTATGATTTGCGATTACAAGTGTCGGAAACAAGTTCCATCAGTTTTGCCATCATGTGAGTATTATTTATGTTTTCCCAAGTGGTTTAAAACTCCTTTTTCTTCTCTCTTAAACACGAGAACGCACGTCAAATGTAATATTGAAAATGGGCTATGCAAGATATAGTACGAGGTTCTAAACATGATGCTGACGAGTTAAGGTATGGACTCCCCGGAAATCCAAATTCAAAGAGGCTGAATCGCAATGCTACAGAGACGAGGGTCCATAATCTGTGGGTACGCAGCATAGCTCTTTCTTTCATTTCTCTTTATCCTACTCTCTCTCGCTCCGCTATCTCCACTCATGCTAAGTTAAAGTGTACAGAACCATCTCATTGAGACGGCAAGTCCTCTGACCGGCTCAATGCTGATATGGGACACGGGCGAATACCAAGTCCTGCCCTATCGCACAGAATCAGCTGCCGTCGAGACTGATCACTCTGCATCCGACGGGTCTCTGGGAAGCTTGTACGAGAATCATCACTGGGCAGATAAAGCCCCGGAGAATGTGAAACTTGCAGAAGCTTTTAAAAACGTACGTTAACGTTTAGCTTTAGACCCTGGTAAAGCCCATTGCATCCATATCTCAACATCACATGTCACATACTGGTCCAAATCATTGTCAACTGATCTGAATGTTTCCTACAGAGCAAAATCCGCCTACGTCTCCACGGGACCAAGCTTCCTAGGAATTACACCCTTTCTCTCAGGTTGCTATCGGCATTTAACCGTACAGACCAGCACGGGAAACCTACACGACGACGTAGCAGGAGAGTACCAGGACAACGACCAGGAGGCCAAGCCACGCCCAGAGGCACGACGAAAGTCCAAGCGGCACCAACGACGCCTACACCGTCTCCGCCGCCCATCTTGCCATCTTCTGCAGCTCAAACAGGGGCAGAACCGCCACCATCATTTCTTGCTGTAGGCGGCCGCGGTCATCTTCCAATTACAGAAAACGCACCTTTAGAGAAGAATACTTTTCCAGCACCATCATCGTCGGCCGGAAAGGGGAGCGAAGCAGCTGCAAGACAAGGAGAAGAAAGAGGCAAGAGTAACGGTGATGACAAGGCCCGCGCCGCAGACCGAGACGAGGCTGAAATCGCTGAAATGGCCGAACTCGAAGACGAGCAAGTCCGCGCAACAAACGCATACCCTGGTGCCACCAACTCCATCGGCTCTGTTCATCAGCGACGATGGTTTCTCTCGCTCGATCGCGTCTCGTCGGGTCTTGTCCGGCGGGGTAAAGCGTGGGTGCACTGCCCTTCTTCTTCTTCTTCTCCTCCTCCTCCTCCTCCTCCTCCTCCATCTTCTTTTTCTCGTGTCTCGCCAACGTCTCTTTCTCGTCCTGCTATGCCAGAGGACAAATGCAGCACTACGTTCCCTTCGTATGATCATCCCGCCACTGACACCGCTACTGATACTCCCGATATCGATCCCGATCCCGTTGTTCGTTCTCATCAAGCCCAAGGCTACCCTCATGACCAAAATCAAGAAGGGCAACAAGGCCATGTACGAGGCCATGCACGAGCACAACGCGTAAGAACGGGAGCGGGAGCATCAACCACCGCCACCATCCTCACCAGCAGTGGCAGTGGTAGTGGTAGTGGTAGTGGTAGTGCAAATACAAGACTAACGTACCCCTTCTACATCCTCGGCCGCGACCACGAAACCAGCATTGTCACAGGCCGGACAGCCGAGCAGGTCATGGCCGACGAGGGCGTGACTGGCTTCGTCTCGCGCAAGGGATGGCGCGCTGTTTTGGAATAGCGTCACATTATGTTCGTCATTGTCACATTATATACTGGCACCTGTAATTAAGTCACAGTATTAAACTATCACTGTATCAAATATAACTCTGGGCATCTGAGCACCTTGAACACTTTGAGTATATGAGTATATGAGTATCCGAGTATCTGGGTATCCATGCGTCTGAGCAGCTTCAGCAGCTTAAACTAAAACCATGTAGAACGGGAAATAAAAGTCAAGGGAGAAATAAGATATAAGTTGGTGGGTAGATATACGACTCGAATAATAATATTAATAATAATCATAATGACAATAATAACGACAATAATGGTAAAAACGTACAAGTAACATCTATGCGTCTCACATATCGCACCACTTCAATACCACGTACATGGCGCTCTCAAGAGAAGAGGAGAAAAAAATGAGCAAAGGGATAAAAATGGAATAGAGCGCATAAGTGTGTATATATATGTATATAGTATATAAAATATCTCCGTGAGACGGAAATAAAAGATGTGACAGAAGAAGAAGAAGAAAAAAAAAAAGTTAAAGAAAAGGAAAACCCATCCACCATCCACCCCCCCCCCCCCCCCCCCCCCCCCCCCCCCCCCCCCCCCCCCCCCCTTCCCCCCCGTCCCCCCCCCCACCGCCCCCCCGCCCCTCCCCCCCCGACCCCGCCATCAAATGTCGTGTCGTCATTACGATTAGACAAACAAAGGTAGTAACGGGGAAGAGAATTTGTGGGGGAAAAGGATGAGAAAGGAATTTATAGGGACGGAAAGGGACGGAAAGGGACGAAAAGGGACGAAAAGGGGCGAAAAGGGAAAAGAAAAATGGAAGAGAGTAAAAAACAACTACCTCCGCTCGACCAAGAGCAAATGCATGGCGGCATAAGCCAGAAGAATAAAAGCGCCAGAAAAGACGGCGAGGCCGATAACGTCGGACCACAGCGCGAGCACGTCGAAGCCAAAGGAGCTGAGGATAGATGCGCCGGGGACTTCAATGTCGAGGCCGTACCTAGAGAAAGTGAGTTATTAGTATTAAAGGGATTGAGATTATGATTGGAGCAGGCGTGGAGAAGCAACCAGGCGGGTGGGGAGGGAGCGGAGAATATAGGTAGATAGGAAACCAAAGTGCAACATACTTGTGGTCGACTAGCGTGAGATACTTGACTTCGTTGACAATGAGGGCTTCGAAACCGTAGTGGAAGATGGAAAGCTATTGGATACAAGTTAGCATGCGGTCGTTATTCTGATAGTGATTGAGTCCGAAGAAGGGCCCGTAAGGATGAAAAATGCGAGTTGAACATGAAATTACTTACAGACTGCAACCAGAGGGCCGCCTTGGGAATGGCATCGTGGTTGAGCAAGAGACCGGCAAAAAGCAGGCTGAAAAGCATGACCAAGCTGCCAATCAGATTGGCAACGCCGCCATCTTTGAAAACAATGCCGATGAACAAACAAATTGCAGCGGCAGCGAGGTTGAACAGGACCAGAATGAGAATAAACTTGAAAAACTCTGGCCACGCGGGGATGAGTCCGACCATCGGATACACAATTGTTCCAAGAATAATGGGCGGGATGAGTCGGAGCGGGACAATGTCGAAAATGACTTTTGCGGCAAAATACGTCACGGGCGAGTAGTACCCGTTTGCTCTCTCTCGGACAAACAAGAGTCGCTCGGACGCAAACACGGTCAAGCTGGTCAGGGTACTAAAGCCGAACAAAGCAAGCAGAAAGAAGAAGAGACCAAGGCGGTTCTGGAAGCCCTTGATATCATCCGTGAGACCATAGAAGAGGAAACCAGAGAGCACGGCAAGAAGTATGGCAATGGCGTAATGGGCAATCATGAGCATCGGGTTGCGGTAGAGATTCTGCCATGTACGTTTCGCGAGAATCGCGAATTGTCCCAGCCAGCCTACCCGTCTGTAGCCCTTGATGCTCCCGCGGTATGAGGAAGAGACTGAGCCGTTGGCGTGGGATGGATCGCCGTCGTGGCTGTTGCCATTCGCGGCAGTAGCGCTCAACACGGTGGTCCGAATGTCCTCATGCACAGAGCCTGCAACATCAGACGCCTTGTAGCTCTGGATGAGATTATCCAGATCAGTCCCAAACCCATGAGCAGCCGGAGGAAGCTCGTGAGGATCGTCCAGAATCTGCGGCGGAACTGAGCCCTGCTGGCGGGACAGCTTAAGCCATTGCTGAGTGCTGCTGTCAATTTCGCTACCGGGTATCGCGGGTTCTTCTTCGGTTCGTGACGTGCTAGGAGTATCTGCACCGCCACTGCCACTCTTCTTCCTGGTATACAATTGGCGATCCTGCTTCTGCTTGAGAGACTGCCGTCGTCGATTTTTGGGACGAAGGAAAGAGTCGCTCGCACTTCCTGGGCTTCCATTGTCCATGCTGTTGTTTGATGCGCTAGCTATTGACTTGATAGCGCGTACACTGCTAGAGGCCGTCTGTATGCCGTCAGAAGGCTCATCGAGGAAAGAAGTCTCTGCTGCCGGCGCCGATACGGTATTGCTGGCGTGCATAGTCAGATCCACGAGATAGTCGGCAATGTTGAATCCAGGAGGACAGGGGTAGCCAAGTTGATCAAAGTAAGACTGGCAGTTGGAGAAAGGGCCCGAGTAGACTGTTTTGCCGCTGGCGAGGAGCACAAGCTGGTCAAAAAGTGCAACAATGTTCGATCGTGGTTGGTGGATGGTGATGACGACGGTGCGATTATAATTCTTGGCAAGAGTAACCAGACATTCAACAACATTAAACGCATTGAATGCGTCCAACCCGCTCGTTGGCTCATCCAGGAAGAGAATGCTAGGGCTAGTCACCAGTTCACAGGCGATGCCAACTCGTCTCTTTTCACCGCCAGAGATGCCCCGTCCTTTACCCTCTTCGGATCCAATCAGCTGGTCGCGAATGTTGTAGATTCCTAGTTGCTTCTCGATTTCGTATACTCTTTGCTCCTTTGCAGCGGCGCTCATATCGCGCGGCAAACGAAGGAATGCGCTGTTACTGATGGTTTCGTGAACGGTCAAAGTCGGCAGCATCGTGTCTTCTTGGTCCACAAAGCCGATGACACTGCGATATTCGTTATCTCCAACTTTTTCGCCATTGACATAAAAGTCTCCTTCAACCACACCCCGCTTATTTTTCCGGGCGAGGATGTCGAGGAACGTGGTCTTTCCGGCGCCAGATGCGCCCATGATGGCCATGATCTGACCTGGATGCACAGCGCCTTGAATGCTGGACAGTAACTTTCTCCCATTCAGATGGTAGCCCACGTTTTCAAAGTGCAAGGCTGCTGGTTTATGGCTCGCTAGTAGTTTCGCAGTCTCGTCGTCCTCGTCATCGGAGAGGTGAATTGCGCCCCACTTGCTGCGGGCTGAACGTCGAGCGAGGTACCATATCAGCAAGATGACCGCCACCACAAAGAGTGCGCAACCAGCAATGACACCCGCGATCAAGGGGGTATTAATCTTCTTGACAGGGCGTTGGTAACCAGGTACATCCGTCTGATATAGACACTCGCCCGAGTAACAGTTGAGGGTGATGCTCTCGTCGCCGAAAACGCTCTTGATGAGGTCATTCATTGCCGGCTCCTGAAACTTGCTTCCATCGGCGCTACTGCCTCCTTCAGTCGAGACCGAGCTGAACGAGGCCGGGCCTTTGATCTCCTCTACAAGAAAGTCTCCAATATCGATTGAACCTTCCTCGCCGCAGAGCATTCGTCCAGGAATGCATTTACAGTGAATGTTTTTACAATTATAGAGAGTCTCGTTGCGATTATATTCGGTTTTTAGGTCCCAAGAACATTCATCGAGGCTGCAGTAGAAGGATTCGCGCTGGTCGACCCAAACTGAGACACCAATTGTCAGGTCTTTTTCTTGCAAAAGAAAGCAAATGCACTGGGAAGCTTACATTGAAAGTTGCAATCATTCCTATCGGCATTGCAAGAAAAGGTGACTTGCGGCTTCTGCTCCTTGAGCTGGTCAAGAATCTTACGGTTGGTGACATCGCACATTTGATAGTTTTCGTTGACTGTAACTCCCTGGCTGTAACAGACGCCATCTTTACCTTCTGGCATTAGGGCGTTACATGCGTCATTCGTCTTGCACACATTGCAGTTGATGCCGTCCCAGCCTTCTTTGCAGTTGCAGTACTTTTCTGTTCGAGGCAGACGTTCCTTGCCATCAGCCAAGGATCCGCAGACCGGCTCGGAACAATCTTCGCCTCCGAATCCTGGCGGACAAGCGCACTTGCCATTGTACTTGTTGCAGGTGGCGAATTGGGTACATTGGAAAGCGGGTAAAAGACAGTTGAAGCATGGCGGACAGTCTGCAGGCCGGTCGTTCTGCAAAGCTAAGCTAGCTTGTAAAAGATCATATTGGCTGTAGTTTTGGTAGGCCGCTGCTATTGACAAGCAGCTCAGCGCAACCAAGGCGCGACTCCAGGAAAACACAGAGCGCATAGTTGAGATGAGAGATTGCGAATGACCGGGATACCGCCCTCTATCGGGTGACGAAGAGGGCGAAGCGGAGCAGACAGGTGATGCGTCAAGCTTGCGCAGTAAACGACAGCTGGGGAAGCTCTCTCACGACGGCCAAAGAGTGGACGGTCGCATTCGCAAACAGAAAAGTAATGTCTAGCAGTAGGCGACAATGATTCTTAACCGCGGTATCATGTCTGGTAGTCCTTTTGTCAAACTCGTTGGAGAAGGATGAGACCGATGAGGCGGGAAGAAAGCGGGAAAGAGGTCGGCAGGTACAGCCAAGATGTCGTCGTTTGTAGTATATATGATAGCTGGAGAGCGGAGACTGGGGTATATATCATCGGGAGCTATCGGTGATGGTGCAACAAGCTAATCAGCGTACCAGTACCTGCTGACGTTCTATCAGGTCTGCCTAACGTAACATCAATAGTCGACGTATCGGAGGAAATAAGCAAGGGAAATCACTGAATGAATTAGGTAAATATGATCATGATGCTCATTATGTTCTCTTGGAACCTGTCTGACAGAAAATGTATCACATGGTATGCAGTTCTGGGGGGGATTAAAGGGTACAATACAAGGCAAGGTGGAATTGATACTAACCACCATTCAGTCATGTATAGTCCACCGTAGTACTTCCATTTCACCGTGAAAGATGCTTGAAATGATGTAGCATTTGGCTCAGCTCCCCAGGATACTTTGCAAAGATTGGCACAAGTGGAGTCACTTTTGAAGGGAAGTCCTTTGCAGCTGAAGGGTCCTTATCAAGTGTAGCTGCTAGTAAGAGCACATATATGTCTAGAAGGCTGTCGACTTTTTGATAACGTGGTTATGTGGATGACGCAACGCAAGGCGTAAGGCTTTACGGGTGCTTTTGCCCGAAAGATGGAAAGGGGGATACCTGAGTACTCACTGATAAACAAGGGAAGACCACCAGATTTAAGGAAGATCGCCCATCATGGCCTAACCAATGTGTAGCGAGCTTTCCAAGCAAGGTACAACCAAATCTTAGCGGGAGCAAATGTGTTATGCTTGAGGCCTCGGAGCTACCAGACGTACAATTGTATGTTTATATTCACTTTACACACCATCTGTCCATTGAGAAAAGAAATTTAATCTAAATGCATAGAACTATTTTGAGGAAATTCAGATACATAGTATAAGCTATGCTTTATTGAAAAAAGGTAAAGCACTATTTCTAGCGGGACTTATTTGCCCTGGATTCAGGTGCTCTGCCCGCACTAACCTCCGAGCAACAAAACAGTAAGTTCGTAGCGACACTAAGGTAGCCACTTTTAGTACTTTAGAGGCTCAGGGATCTCTCCCACGCCCTGGCAATGTCATTAGTGCTTCACACTACTTTGTATTTCATGTCTAGATATTCTTCGACTTATATAAGAGCATAGTAAAATCCTCTGATTCGAAACAATTCAAGAAAAATATTTCAAAGTTCTCCCTGAAGACTCAGAACACTCTCTTTTAATTTTTTTCTTTTGCTAAATTCTATCATTATCCCCATTTTGCCTTTTTACAAAATGGTTCAGCTCGAACCCTTCGCTGTGGAGCATGTAAATTCAAATATTCCCTAACCATGCCCTCTCCGGTAAACTCAATAAGCTGATAAAAATAAGTGGATGGATGCCCATGAGACGACAGCCAAGTACAACATTGCCGAAACGTGCAGTTCTTCAGTGTCCATTCAAGATCTGAGAGCCATTTCCGGAGATACAACTACCGACTTGGCTGAAGTTCTCTTCCAACGGAAACTCACATACGGACCCATTCCTGGCTCTGAAGAGCTACGTTCCAATGTTGCGAACCTCTATGCGGATGCCCAGTCTTCAGCATTACATCTGGATCAAGTGCTGATCTCTTCTGGTGCCATTTCTGCTAATTTTCTCGTCTTGTATTCGCTCGTGGGCAAGGGAGACCACGTTATTTGTCACTGTAAGCCAAATCCGGCAAAGAATGAAAGAAAGATACTAATGAGGTATATTTAGATCCTACATATCAACAGCTGTACTCGATTCCTGCCAGCTCTGGCGCAGAGGTCTCTCTCTGGAAAGCAAACCCAGAAAAAGGATGGGCGGTGGACATTGAGGAGCTCAAGCGCCTTATTAAGCCGAATACAAAGCTTATTATTATCAAGTACGCCCTCTGATTTCCGTGTTCTGTCTCTTGAGCTCATGCTGATTTCTCCGGATAGCAATCCCCAAAACCCAACTGGTGCTGTGCTCTCTCGGTCACAGCTTGCTGATATTGTCGAAGTTGCTAGCAAGCAAAATATCACCGTCTTTGCGGATGAGGTCTATCGACCCCTATTTCACTCACTTTCCCCAGCCGGCTCGGAAATCCCGCCCTCGATTCTTTCCATGGGCTACCCTAACACAGTCGCCACCGGATCTCTCTCGAAAGCTTACTCACTTGCCGGTGTCCGGGTCGGCTGGATTGCTTCCCGTAATCCCGACATCATAAAAGCCTGCGCAACGGCGAGGGGTTACACGACTATTTCTGTCAGTCAACTTGATGACAGAATTGCGACTTGGACTTTGAGCAAGCCAGTCGTAGAGAAACTATTGGAACGAAACCTTCGCCTTGCACGAACAAATCTTGCCATTCTCGAAGAATTCATGAACAGACACACAGACTGCTGCGAGTGGGTCAAACCTGTTGCCGGCACTACCGGGTTTGTTCGGTTCCATAAGAACGGAAAGCCCGTCAATGGTGTCCAATTCTGCGAGACACTGCAAGATCGCAAGGGTGTCATGCTTTGCCCAGGAGCCCACTGCTTTGGTGAGGAATTTCAGGGATATGTTCGAATCGGATATGTGAGTGAGACGGAGGTATTACAAGAGGGATTGAAGGAGCTGGATGCTTTTCTCAAAGACGACTTTCAAACTTTGTTCTAATTTAGAAAGTCGATGCCGCTCAAGCATATTTTGAAATATTGGTTTGTATTCATGCATTATTTATATAGATAGATCCTGTCAAACTGTGACATTATCTCGAGAGAATTAATTTCCCCTTTATTTTCAATGCTATAAATTACCTCTTGTAGTGTTTCGAGGAAGATTGTGAGATTATCTGTCGGTGACAGGAAACGCCATTTGCGGGGCACCTGTCGGAACGGAGCGACAAATAGTTCCCGCCTGGGCAACACAATCAAAAATTGATAAGCCAAGCGCTTTGATAGCGAACTTCTGCCAGTCAGACCGAGTGGGATCTGAGAATTACTCCTCCCAGCCACTGCTTGACTCACTTTTTGACATTATCTGTATTTCGTGGTCATTATTCACGTTCACTATTGGACTGTATATATCACACGTTTGTGCTAAAGTGATTCAATGTCATCGTGATGCCCTCCAGCGAAGATATCCCCCCGACGGAGACGTCGCCTCTCCTTGCTAAATCCGACGACGGTATTCCCAAACCCTCTCACGCTTCCAATGGTGTCATTCCCAATGCCGCCATTTCGGCGCCAGCAGGCGCTTCTGATTCCATCAGTGGCCACGGCGAAGACGTTGAGCAACAGGGTGGAGAGGACGAAGACAATGGAAGTAAAGCAAAGGCTGAGGGGATGCCCGAGGTGAAAAAGCGGATGAAATATATTTTACCTGCAATCGCCATTGGCGTAAGTACAGTCATTGAAACCAATGATAGGGAGGTTCAGTTGAAAACTAAGGGTTATCGTAGATATTCTTATCTGCTGGAGATCAGACAATCATTGTCAGCTCTTATGGTCGAATTGGCAGTGATCTGAAGGCGTTGAATAAGACATCGTGGATCGCTACAGCGTGAGTTGCTTTTGACCGCACATGCTCAACTGGTATGCTGACACATGTTTCATTCGCGCAGATATTTCCTCACGGTCACGTCTTTCCAGCCTCTGTATGGTAAACTGAGCGACATATTTGGGCGAAAGCCGTGCTTGTTATTTGGTTATGCTGTCTTTGGGCTTGGATGCTTGTTTTGCGGGCTTGCGCGTACAATGGATGAACTTATCGCGGCTCGAGTAAGTGAGAGCGCAGAATTGGGCGAATTAGATTGGCTTGCTGAAATTGGAAATTGAATAGGCATTTGCTGGTGTTGGAGGTTCAGCCATGACTGTTGTGGTTTCCATTCTCCTCTCCGACGTGGTTCCTCTGCGAGAACGTGGAAAGTGGCAGGGCTATGTTAATATCATTTATGCTAGTGGAGCTGGTTTTGGTGCTCCATTAGGTATGTTGACTCGGAATCTCTGCGAGAATCAAGCTTCTGACGATCAATCACCAGGTGGTATTTTGGCCGATTATATTGGTTGGAGATGGTAAGAAAATCTTGGGTTTACTTTGGTGATCTGTATGGTAACCAAACTAGGTCTTTCATCGGACAAGCTCCTCTCACACTTCTAGCCTTTATAGCCGTCTACTTTGCTCTGCAGCTCCCAAAGCGCGATGACTCGCATTGGAAGGATAAGCTCCGTCGGGTTGATTTCCTTGGTGCCTTTATCTTAGTCGCCGCGGTTTTTACCCTCTTGCTTGGCCTTGATCGCGGAAGCAATGTCGCCTGGAGCGCCACTATTACTATCGCATCGCTGTCCATATCCTTTCCACTGTTTATCATCTTCGTCATTGTTGAGATGAAGGTTGCATCTGAGCCTTTTGCTCCAGGACACATTATCTTTGAGAGGTCACTATTTGCCAGCTACCTGTGCAACTTCTTCTCTTTTTCTGGATGGCTAGCCGCACTGTTCTACATTCCTCTGTATTTCCAGGCCGTGGATGGTGTGAGTGCTACGCAAGCAGGTCTCCGGCTCCTCCCCTCCATTCTGTGTGGCGTGTCGGGATCCTTGTTTGCAGGCTATCTCATGCAGCATACCGGAACATACTATTGGCTCACTGTTGCGGCGTATACATTTTTGGCCGTTGGAATGGTACCAGTCATCCTCTTCTCCGGACTGGTGATGAACGCGACAGTCGGAATTATCATCGGCATGATGATTTGCGCCTTCTCCAATGGAATCGGCGTTACTAGTGCATTAATTGCTTTGAGTATGTGCCAATCCCTCCCATATTCAGCAGTCTTGAGTCTTAACATTTTTCAGTTTCAAATTCAAATAGAGAGGATCAGGCAATAGCCACCGCATGCTCCTATCTCTTCCGTGCACTTGGTTCCGTTGTTGGAGTCTCACTTTCGTCTACAGTCGTGCAGCAGTCTTTGCGACAGCATCTTCAGAGTTCTTTGACTGGCAAAGAAGCGGAAAAGATTATGTTGAGGGTCCGTGAAAGTCTCGAATATATCAAGACTCTGGATCCGGACGTCCGCGAAGTTGTTAGAGACAGTTATGCTCGCTCTACCCGAGCTGGTTTTGTCCTCATGCTCGTTATTTTGCTCGGTGCAACCTTTTCGAGCTTCTTCATTCGCGAAAAGAAACTTGGAAGTTGAGTACGTTGCTTGGATAGATGTCATGATATATATACCCAGGATAGATGAGCCAATAAGATTTGTAAGCTGCCGATATACTGTCAAATAACAGCACATTAGACAGATATATTTCTCGGATGCATTGAATTAAAGAGATTTCATATTTATTGGCATCGTTTCTATGCTTAAATATCCCACTATTAGCACACAGTGGGTGGTTTGCGCAAGGTTGAAAGTTTGTGGCTTGCTTCACATTGTCGTGGCGAAGGATCTCGGCTGCAGAGCACTTGAACCTTTTGAAAACATCCCGAACGCTGCAAAGAGGAACAACATCTTCAGCCCAACCCGAACTGCTTCCCTCACTCACCTTCTCCATGGATATTAAAGGCGGTAAATCATTTCTTTAACAGCATATTCCTTGACGGGCCGTCGTCGCTGCTGGCAGTGACTTTTGAGCTCGTCCACTCTGAGGCTGCCACTATTTAATATCTGTGCGGCCCACTGTCCATGGCTTCAAGCTCAGCTTCAGCGTCGGCGAATGCCACTATCTCCCTTTCTCGATATAGACCAGCTGTTCTGTTTATCACGGGCCTCGCTGCAGCATACGGTATCTATTATATTCACAACTACGTCTACACCGACACAACATCACAGCTGAATGCGCCGTCGCGTTCTCTCCGTCGACGAAATGCCATCCGCCGTCGGTCAGCAACAGCTCGTCGCCATGCAGGTGAACAACCCCGCGATTTTGCTGTGCCCTCGGCTGCGGATCCTGACGGCGAAAGTGGTGCCTCTGGAACGGTTACAGGACGTCGCTACGAACAGCCGTCATACGGGATCGCACGGGTCGAAAATAGTCAAGGTGGACACGTAGAGTTCCATCTGGCTCCTCAAGTAATTCCAACAGCAGAAGCGATGGAGAATTTCCATGGATTTACTCATGATGATGCTCTGAATGCGCGGGACTATCTTGAAAGACTCTTCCTCAATGCCATGTTGGCTGCCGAAATCCCCCGTCAACACACCATAGGCCTGAATGGACCTGGAGCTCAGATGCTGCGCGCGGAACTTATCCCGCGGGGGTTTAGCCAGCGAAATATTGACGAGGCAATACAAAGGTTCGACGAGGGTGTGGGCCAAGATATGGATGGAGGACTTGTGGACGGTGTCTCACAATTACAACCCTCTGATGGGCGTGAGACCGTTGTGGATGGCGACAGCGAATTTTCGTGGCGTGGAGAAGAGCAAAATCCGACGGCACGGCAGGGTCAGAGCCTGCTAAATCTACTCTACCATATTGCAGAGGACCAGGCTCGGAGAGAAGGCTACGTGCATCGAGGAGTAACATGCAACTCATGCGGAAGTATGCCAATTCGCGGCATCCGGTATCGCTGCACCAACTGCATTGATTTTGACCTTTGCGAAACCTGTGAGGCAATGCAGGTCCACCCAAAAACACATCTCTTTTACAAAGTTCGAATACCCGCGCCCTTTCTTGGAAACCCAAGACAAGCGCAGCCCGTCTGGTATCCTGGGAAACCCAATTCAATGCCGCAAAACCTGCCCAATGGTCTAGGAAAACGACTAGTAAAGGAGACGGGTTTTGAGAATTCAGAGATTGATGCTCTCTGGGATCAATTCAAATGCCTTGCAAGCAGCGAGTGGCAGGAGGACTCGAACAGGATCCACATGGCTATTGATCGACGGACGTTTGACAAGTGCTTCGTTCCAAACACGGCGCTTCGTCCTCCTCCCCCTAATCTCATATACGACCGAATGTTTGCCTTCTACGATACCAACGGAGATGGTCTGATAGGTTTTGAAGAGTTCATACGCGGACTAGCGAGTCTGAATAATAAAAACAAGGATGAAAGACTGCGGCGAGTCTTCCAAGGTTATGATATCGACGGTGATGGTTTTGTAGACAGGAAAGATTTCCTTCGAATGTTTAGGGCTTTCTACGCTCTGAACAAGGAATTGACGAGGGACATGGTTGCAGGAATGGAGGATGATGTAACAGAAGGGGGCGGAGCAAAAGAAGTCATCCTTAGCAGTCAACCTATCAGCTCGGCCTTCTCTGGTGCGATCCCACCCGGCGAACAATCGCGAACAGGAGAGAGCAAACGCAGAGGTCAGCATGGGGATATGGAGCTCATTGACAGCAGCGATGAAGTTGTCAGAGAGAGTGGAAATGACAGAGCCGATCGAAGCCGTGTCATTGCGGATGCGGCTGAACGCTCCGTATTTGGATCTGTTGACGCCTCTTCCCCGAGGCAGACATGGGCAGCAATGTTCGACTCTGAGGAAACCACGAATGAAGCTTTGGAGGAAGCTCTGGAAGAGGCCCTTGCTCAAGCCACAAGACATTCAACTGGAAATCGAAATGGAGTTGGCACTGGCGCTGCAGGTGAGGACGAAGGCAGCGCGGACACTGATGACGGCAATGATGATGAAGATGACGATGAGTGGCCGCCTCCTTATGTCACCATTGAGGATGTGGAGGCTGCTCTTGGGGCCTATCTGGCGATCCAGGACATCGAGTCTAGGGCGGACCGCAAAAAGATTCGGGAGGCAGCACAGAAGAGAATGCGTGATGAGCGTCAGAAGCGACGAGAAGCTGCTCGAGCTGAAGGAGTCCGCGAAAGATGGCGTCGTCGACAATTTTACCTAGATGAAGAAGATGGTTCTACGGCTCCAGAAGGGATTTTCGAGGATGTAGATAGCGAGGAGGAAGAATTCAAGGAAAAGAGAAAAGGAGTCAAGGAGACCGATGCACACGAGCACGGTTCGTCCCGAGGACCCTCGCCTCGGTCTCGTTCATCTTCCAAAGTGCGCTTCCAAGACGACGTATTAGACGATAACGACTACGAAACTCGCTCCAACCCGTCTACATCCTCTCGCAGCATGATCGTTGGAGAGCGGTGGGGTGGATATGAGATCCCCGAGGCGGAGAAAGATGTTGGTAAAGAGGTGCTCTACGAAGTCACGCAGCAGGGCTTCAACGAACTACTTGATCCGCTTTTCAAGAAGCGTGAAGACGTCATCATGGAAGCCATGGCATCTCGGTCGGAGCGCAAGAAATGGCGAGAACAGTTGAAGCAATTTGAGATGGAGCAAAAGCGAGAGAAGGGCCTACACCGACGAAGACCAAACTTGTCAACAAGCGTCTCCCAAAGCTACAGTAATGGACACAATACCGATGTGCACGCTTCTCCCTATGTGCAAGCCTCTACCCCTTCGATTGAACCTTTTCCCACAGTTGACGCAAGCTCGGCTTTGCGGACCGCAATCGAGAGCGAAGGGGACTCGGCAATCATCTTGGGAGACTTCCTTCCGCAAGATACTTCAACGCCGCCTCTCTCTACCGCCGAAGCAACAGTATCGCCGGCGGATATACCTGCAGATTCAAGCTCACGTCTTCCAACACCACCTCCTCCGCCACCTTCCGTCCTTGACCCCACTATTCTCTCCCTTCCACTTGAAGAATTGCTTGCCTCATCCGGATATGGCACAACCGCCGGTACCCCAGAAGCATCTACCACCAGCCCTAATCCTGGGGCATCCGCTCCCCGTACGCCGTCTCTCGAAGAATCCGCTCAGGAATACCGCCCGAGTACGCCCGAGGGACAGACGACGCTTGATGTCGAGGACGCAGTTAGTCAGAGCATAGATGACGCTCCTGATCCGACTCTTCCACAGCATCGACCCAACTCAATGCCCTCAGGTCCTGCAGCGCGCTTGGCATTCCTTTCCTCCTCGCCAGCATTCGCAGAGCCCGGTCCGAGCCCTTCGAGAATGAAGAAGCTCTTGTATTATGACGCTGTGGAGCAGGAAGCCAAAGCACGCGGCGGACCTGCACGATTGAACTTTAAGGAGTTTGAGGCAATTATGAAAGGGGACAAAGGGAGAAAACTAGGTTTCCTCGGCGCTTGGATTGAAATGGCGAGCTTTTAGAAGATATCTTTTTATGGGCATTCAGACGTGATGCCATAATTCAAAGAAAATAATTGGCAAAGAGCTAGAATGTGCGGCACCAGTAGCTTGACCATGAGGAGCGGGCTATTTCCGCCGTCTCTCATGATCTCATGCCTGTCGAGGAGAAGCTTCTTGTACACTATCTAGGCAGTGAAATCTAGCTATCAATTTCTGCTCTTCATACAAAGATGGAGAACAAATTCAGAGAAATAATCTATAATCATAGTAAAGCTGACTTAACATATTCTACATGTGGTTTGCTGGGTGATATGACTTGTAGCGTATCAATGTAACACAGTCGTTATGCTCATAGTCCAACGAGCCAAAGACTCTCGGGACCTGACGGACTCGGGAATACATATTGCCGGATGACAAGTACCGAGTACTATCCATTTTGTATCGATCTGGGAGCTGAAAAAGTTTTGAGTACTTAGCGGATGGGTTAGCATGAAACACGGAAACGCGAGACAGGAAACGTCCGATGGAAGCCGGTGGTTGACAGGTCTCTGGGAACTTTGATTCTTGGCCAAACGTCAGGTTACGCTGTGTTTCTTTAGGACTTCCCCACCAACCGCGCTCTCTGTCTATTGCAACTACAACTCTCTTTGCGAACGCGAAACGCGTTGCAGTGGCCAATTATGGCGGAAGAATCAAAGCAGGTCGATCCCAAAATCAATAACGAAGTCGTCAAAGAAGTGGTCGAGTCGAAGAATGCTCCCGAGCAGGATGCCTCTGACGATGATCCCGCCAACCGCGCCGCTGGCAATTCCGACGCCGTCGCCGCAGAAGCCAGCTCTAAAAAGAAAAAGTCCAAGAAGAAGAAGCTCAAGTCTATCTTGACCGGTTCCAAAGACAATAAAGAAAATACTGCCGAAGCCGGCCCCTCTTCTTCCTCCGAACCACCCAAGCTTAATATCAAGGGCAACATGGTGGAGCAGCTCCTGCAAGCTAACCCGTCCCTGAAGCCTGAGGTTGCAGGTTTGAGCAAGTCGCAGGCGGAAGATATGCTTTCGAAACTGAAGCTCGAGGATCTTCTGACTGGCATGGTGAGTTCTGCGATTGCTACAGGGGCTTGGCTAGTGGTTGCGCAATGCGAAGATGATACAACTAACAGGCGATGTGATATTTCTAGTCAATTGGCGGAAAGAACCAAAAGGACATGGCTTCATATAAGTTTTGGTCAACTCAGCCCGTGGCGCGATTCGGTATGGAAATAAGTGGTGCTTTGTCGATGCGAGCGGCGCGCTGATGCAAAGGCAGATGACAAACCTGATGTGGAAGAAGGCCCGATCAAGATAATCGACCCCGAGAAGGTGCCCAGCGACCCTGCGCCTCTGATTGAGGGCTTTGAGTGGGTGACAATGGATTTGAACGACGAAAAGGAGGTAGGTGAAGAAGTACGCTGGCCTGGGATAACTTGGAAGGCTGATGGGAAAAACAGCTCGAGGAAGTCTATGACTTGTTGACCTATCACTACGTGGAGGATGATGAGGCCATGTTCAGATTTAATTATTCGGCATCTTTCTTCGGCTGGTAAGCCAACCCAATACTCAGGCGATGTGCGAAAGGATTTGGCTAAGGTTCGAATAGGGCGCTCAAATCTCCCGGATGGACCAAGGACTGGCACGTTGGCGTGCGCGCAACTCAGTCTCGCAAGCTCGTCGCATTTATCTCTGGTGTTCCCGTCGATATTCGCGTTCGCGACAAGGTTGTTAAATGCTCCGAGATCAACTTCCTCTGCATTCACAAGAAGCTCCGTTCAAAGCGTCTTGCACCCGTTCTTATCAAGGAAATCACCCGCCGTTGCTACCGCGTCGGCGTTCAGCAAGCCGTGTATACTGGCGGCGTTGTCTTGCCCAAGCCCGTCAGCTCTTGCCGGTACTTTCACCGTAGCCTCGACTGGCTGAAGCTCTACGAAGTTGGCTTCTCTCCCATGCCAGCCAAATCGACGAAGGCCAGGCAAATTACAAAGTACCACCTCCCGGGAAGCACTTCCACCAATGGTCTGCGACAGATGCAGGAGAAGGACGTTGATGCGGTCTGCGATCTGCTGAACCGCTACCTGAAACGTTTCGAATTCGCACCTAATTTTACCAAGGAGGAGGTCTATCACTGGCTGCTGCACAAAGAGGGAACCACACCGGAGCAGGTCGTCTGGAGCTATGTTGTCGAGGAGCCTGGCACGGGCAAGATTATTGACTTCTTCTCCTTCTACCTGCTTGAGTCTTCGGTTATTGGTAACAAGAAACACGACTGTGTTCGCGCTGCCTACCTCTTCTACTATGCTACCGAGACGGCATTCCAGCCGAATGCTCTAGAGTCTGGCGCTCTGAAGGTCCGCTTGAATGCCCTCATGCACGATGCTTTGATTCTTGCAAAGAGGGTAAGTGTCCAGTTACAAAGTTTCACGTGTTTGGTCAATTGCTAATAGTGATCCATCTCTAGTATAATTTCGACGTATTCAATGCGCTCACCCTTCTAGACAACCCGCTTTTCCTACAGGACCAAAAGTTTGGCGCAGGAGATGGCCAGCTGCATTACTACCTTTATAACTACCGCGTTGCTCCCATCTCTGGTGGCGTGGATCAGAACAATGACCCTGACCCAACGAAAATGGGTGGTGTCGGTCTCGTCATGCTGTAGATATATACATGTATACTTATGCCACGATGTGTCTTTATATTTAAAGAAGAAAAACAATTATGAATCATGGAATCTTATGTGTCGCAGCTCGCCCTTGATCACATTTATGCTTTGATTCCCTTGAAAAGTCGCTCTGTATTAAACATGGTTTGTGGTAATTTGAACCGAGTTAGGGGTCCCCAGACAAAAAGGGCATAGCGAAGTGTCGGCATGAAATGAAAGTTTAGCCGAGATCCAGAAGAATCGTTGGCGACACGGAAAGTTTGAGAGAGACGGTTGTCGAGACCGTAGGAGAAGCGTCTTAGTCTCTCTGCTCCTTGAGTGCGTGCAATTGTCGGAAGTCAGTCCGCATCGCACGACATGAGGGCACAAGGAGCTTTGCGGCAGCAGCTCAGAGCCTTTGGCTCTTTGCTCAATGGCTCGCGATGCGTCCGTCCAATGGCCGCCGAGATGCAGAAGTGCTCTGCCTGGCAACCATTCGGCGCGGCCATCAAAGCATCACGCAATGTGGAATCACGCCGTCATCAATCCGGAACGGCATCTGCAATGTATGAGATTTCCTGTCGATATGAAAAAATATTGTCAATACTCTATAACTGCTTTTACTGACTGACTTTCCATAGGCTTGAAGCCGCTGCGGCGGAGCCTCAAGCTCTGGCTCAGGAGACAATTATCAAGAACCTGAGCTCTGAGGAGGCTCAGCGTTTGTCAAAAGTGCGAAACATTGGTATCGCTGTATGTGGAATAATAGCTTTGGATTCAATTGCTTTGCGGCTGACCTCACAATCCAGGCTCACATTGACAGCGGCAAAACTACGGCTACCGAACGTGTTCTCTTCTACACTGGCAGAATCAAGTCGATACATGAAGTCCGCGGCAAAGATGCCGTTGGCGCTAAAATGGATTCCATGGAACTCGAACGTGAAAAGGGTATTACTATCCAATCGGCTGCTACATTTTGCGACTGGGTCAAGAATGAAGACGGCAAGGACGAAACGTACCACATCAACTTAATTGACACTCCTGGTCACATTGATTTCACCATTGAGGTCGAGCGAGCTCTCCGTGTTCTTGACGGTGCAGTCATGATTCTCTGCGCTGTTTCCGGTGTCCAATCTCAGACGATGACTGTCGATCGGCAAATGCGTCGGTACAATGTTCCCAGAATCTCTTTTATCAACAAGATGGACCGTATGGGCGCGAACCCGTTCAAGGCTGTCGAGCAGATCAACCAGAAGCTCAAGATTCCCGCGGCTGCTCTCCAGGTTCCCATTGGTACTGAGGATGACTTTAGAGGTGTCGTGGACCTGATTCACATGAAGGCCATCTACAATGAGGGTTCCAAGGGGTTAGTCCACCCATGGTCAGATTGAGTTTATATTTTGAAGTAAGATGCTGATATGCAGAACTGTAGTGAGACTATCGTGGTCAAGGATGAGATCCCCGAAGAAGTCCGCGCCCTGGCCGAAGAAAAGCGCCGTGTCATGATCGAAACTGTTGCCGATGTCGATGAGGAAATCGCCGAGCTTTTCTTGGACGAGCAGATGCCTACGCCCGAACAGCTCAAGGCTGCCATTCGCCGTGCCACCATCTCGCTCAAGTTCACTCCCGTGCTCATGGGTTCCGCTCTGGCCGACACCGCGGTGCAGCCCATGCTCGATGCCGTCTGCGACTACTTGCCCAACCCGTCCGAGGTCGAGAATCTTGCTCTGGACGCCCGCCGTCAGGAGGCCCAGGTCAAACTCGTCCCGTACAACGAGCTTCCCTTTGTTGGTCTGGCTTTCAAGCTCGAAGAGAGCAACTACGGCCAGCTCACCTACATGCGTGTCTACCAAGGTACTCTGCGCAAGGGTATGAACGTGTTCAACGCTCGTACGGACAAGAAGGTCAAGGTTCCCCGTATTGTTCGCATGCACTCCAACGAAATGGAAGAAATCCCCGAGATTGGCGCTGGTGAAATCTGCGCCGTATTCGGTGTCGACTGCGCCTCGGGCGATACCTTCACCGATGGCACCCTCGGATACACCATGTCGTCCATGTTCGTTCCCGAAGCCGTCATTTCGCTCTCCATCAAGCCCAAGCACAGCAAGGACACGGCCAACTTTTCCAAGGCCATGAACCGATTCCAGCGCGAGGACCCGACTTTCCGTGTGCACGTCGACCCCGAGTCTCAGGAGACCATCATCTCCGGTATGGGCGAGCTCCACTTGGATATTTACGTCGAACGTATGCGCCGTGAGTACCGGGTCGACTGCGAGACTGGCCAGCCTCAAGTCGCATACCGTGAGACCATGACGGCGCGCGTGCCCTTTGACCATACGTTGAAGAAGCAAACCGGTGGTGCGGGAGACTATGCCCGCGTCATGGGTTGGATGGAGCCTACTGGCGCGCTCGAGGCCAACCAATTCGAGCAGCAAGTCGTTGGTGGCTCGATTTCCGAGAAATTCTTGTTTGCTTGCGAAAAAGGATTCATGGCCTCCTGCGAGAAGGGTCCCTTGCTCGGCCACCGCGTCTTGGGCACCAGCATGGTCATCAACGATGGTGCTACCCACATGACTGACTCGTCCGAAATGGCATTCAAGATTGCCACGCAGCAGGCTTTCCGCAAGGCCTTTAACGAGGGCCGGCCCCAGATCCTCGAGCCCCTGATGAAGACTACCATTACTGCTCCAAACGAGTTCCAGGGTAACATTGTTGGTATCTTGAACAAGCGCAATGCTGTGATTAACGACACCGAGATTGGCGTCGACGACTTTACCCTCTACGCCGATTGCAGTTTGAACAGCATGTTTGGCTTCTCATCCATGCTCAGAGCCGCTACCCAGGGCAAGGGAGAGTTTACCATGGAATTCAGTCACTATGCTCCCGCCCCGCCCCAGCTGCAGTAAGTCCAGGTCTTTTTTTTTTTTTTTTTTTTCCCTTTTCTTTGCAAAGACAGTCTCTTCTTTTGTTCCAAGAATGCGTCGAGAAACACTAGCTAACTCTTCGCCCGAACCAACAGAAAGGAGCTCATTGCCAAGCACCAAAAGGCCCAAGCCGACCGCCACAAGAAATAAATGAGCATACATCCTCTATGAGCGGTTCGTGTCTTCCTTTCCAAATTGCACCGACTCGGTGTGCTCAGGGATGATATTCGCTGCACAACGGTCAAACATTCGACGTCCATGATATACGACCAATGCTTTTAAAGCACACTATTCCGAGATTTATCCAAAAGCGGGTTATATTTGATATCCATGCTAATTTAACTTTTGTGGAAACGGCATGGCGGCAGGGAAAATGCAAAGAAAATCTAAAGTGTTTTTAATATCATCACATACAACCCTAACCCACTCCGCTTCTTCTTGTACTTTTTTTTTCTTACCTTCTTCAGTCTCTGTACTGGACATGGATTATTAGCCTTTGTCTCGGGTTGACTAGATTAAGATTGCATTGATTGTTTTTTCCTTTTTGTTCTGGTCAAACTTGGGGTCTAGATTTATAGATTTGTACATTACTTATGCAATATTGTCTGTCCTTTTGTGGAATATACATTACATGGTTCTTGTACAATACAACACACACGTTATGTTGATCTTTGGAGTGTATGTTCTTCTGTAGGTTAGTATAGATGTTGTCATGTAAATATTTCATGGTTTCATTGTTCTGAGGCTTTTTAATAATCCTGAGGATTCAATTATCCTGAGAATCTTCATGACATGACATTAGGCACTAAGGCCGACAAGATGCCAGGATGCAGTCCGCATGTTGTACTCAATAGGAGACAGTCACCTTCGCACCCAGACAGGGGCGAGGTAACCATAGACCTTTGCGCCATTAGTTAAGCGCACATGGCGCACATCACCCTGCGCCACACCCGTTGACTCCCAGCTTCTTCCGTCATACCTCTCGCTCCAACGCTCCAACGCTGCTCTCTCCGGCTATTCCCCCTCCGAGACAGTCCCACCAACGTTTGACAACAACTGACGGCGAACGACGGTTTATTCTCCTCGATATATCGTGTACTCTACTCTATCCCGTCTTATCGCTTCCACGACTTTATTCTTCGCTCTTCGCAGCTCACTCCTCGATCGACTGGTATTCGATGAGCCCGGCCCTGGCTTCGACAGTGATTTTGATTGCGTCTTTGGAAGCTGTGCGATAAGCAATTAATCTCCTATTAATCTCCTGGCTTTTTCGACCGAATAGTCTATACAGCGTACATTGTAGAGTGTACAAGCTTCAACGGGGTATAGCTCTTTGGTCATTTCTTAGTACCTGCGGTCTACCTGCGGTTTACCAATTTGGACAGATAATTCGGACAGTCAATTCGCACAGACAATTGCACAGATCTTGTCCTGTCGAGGGAAGAAAAACGTACAATATACAGCAAAATGCCCTCCTACTTCATCTTCACCACCACCAACCTTACCCAATGGATAGTCTACGTCGTGAGCGCCATCGACTGGGGCATCGCAAACGATCAACTCTTCACGCCCAAGCTCTTAAAATACTCCAAACGCATCGTATCCGAGGACCTGGCATCTCAGGCATCTCAAACTCACCAAAGTTCTCAGTCCCAAAGTGGTGGTGCCGTTCGCCCACGCATCGCCCGGCGCACACGATGCAAAGTCCTCGCCGCAGCGACACTTTCGCTCCTCCTGGATATCAACCGCATGATCGGCGTCATACTGGCCGTCTGCGAGCTCCTGTACCTCGTAATGTACGCGGATAAAGCGTGGATCGCTCTGCTCGAGCTCGCAATTGGCGCCATCCACTCGGTCTACATTGGCGTGGCCGTAGCCCAGACGCAGGTTTTGTGGAACAAGTGGACAGACGTGTTTGCCTTGCCGGCGGAGTATTTGCCCGTGTCTGTGACGGAATCGCCAGCGCCGGGTTATTTCCAGGACAATGACAGTTGTGGAGAGTACTATTACCCGGAAGAGAAGACTGCAGCGGCGACGCCGACGACCGAGACTGCGTTGGTCCCAGTGCTGGTGCCGCTGCAGGCGGATACGCCCGCCGTGACGGAACACAGTGCGGATATGCCGCCCCCGTATGTAGCGCATGTTGAACATATTGAGCGCGAGACGACGGCCCTTGCGGAGACGCGTGCACAGGGCACAGAGGTTTATGGGTACTGTGATGATGGTGTTACGGAGGTTTAACAGACGGTGGATGCCAAGTAGGTCGTAGAGCATGGGTTGATGGATGGATTGGATTGAACTGGATCAGGAGAGAGGTATAGAATCATTGGGATTGGGTGCGTAGCATTGCGTTGCGTGTTGCGCGTTGCATTTAGATTCTTTCTTTTATTTAATTTCCTTCTTTTCATATCCTTTTTTTTTTTCCTTTTTCATATCTTTCTGTTTTCTTCTTTCTTTTTTCTCATGCATCTTTCTTTAGCATTTCAATCACCGTCTCTGAGATTGCATTACAATCGTCTTGAGAGAGTACTCGCAGCATATGCTAGACTATATACTCTACATGTCATATACACATGTCATACACATATCTTTCGCATCATGGACATTGTCTTAGAACAACCCTTTACATTATTCTCTTTTCCTTTTATTTTATATCAATACAGAATTTTCTCTTAATGTGTATGCCCATACCCAGACTCTACATATACATACACACCAAGAACCCCGTCAATATATACGAATGATATAACTTATAAAACTTAAAAAATATATATACATTAAACCCTCCCCCTCCCCTTTTAATTGGGGGGGGGGGGAAATAAAAAATAAAAAATAAAAAAATAATAATAATTAAAAAAAAAACACATCATCTCCTCAACGACCCAATCTTCTCCCTCAACATCCTCACCAACGTAGTTACCCACTCCCTCCCTCCTCCTACTACACGTCGTCCTCCTCTCATCGCAATCATCCGGAGCAGCACCACCCCCAGCACCGACGAGCCCAGCAGCGCACTCGCCACCAGCCCGCCCGCCAGGATCCGCCCCTGCCGCGCAACTGCGTGCTGCACGTCCGAGTAGCGCTCGTTCCCGAAACACACGCGCGCGTACTGCGTCGCCCACCCCGTCGAGGGGAAGCGGCTGCTGATGAACTCCTCGATGGTCTTGCGCAGGAGGTACACGGGGGACCGCACCGACGCGCGCATCTCGATGTAGTTACTCAGTGCGAGGTCGTTGATCGCGTGCGCGTCGGGTGTGCGGAGGCGGGTGTATGCTGATAGTGCTGCGCCCATGTTGTCGGAAGAGTATTTGTCCAAAGAAGAGGATCCGGGAGAGTAAGAGTCCAAAACATCAAACAATACCCGAACATCCTCAAGCCCGGCATTCATGCCCTGGCCGTAAAACGGCACCATGGCGTGCGCGGCGTCGCCGACAATGACGACCTTGGACGAGTAGTGGTACGGCGTGCATTTGATGCTGATGAGTGGCAGGTGCGGGTTGTTGGAGAATTGCCAGCGCAGGGCGTCGGGGGATATCAGGTCCGGTACGACGCCGGGGAAGTGCGTGTTGAAGAAGGTGAGGAGGTCTGAGCCGGACGGACCGGAGGGATCAGAAGGATGGGAGGGAGTAGAAGAGGAAGAAAAGGCAGATGGGTCGGAAGGATCGGAGGATAAGGATGAGGACAGACGGGCAAAGACGTCCTGAGGAGCGAATAAAGTGCAGGTGAATGAGCGATCGAGCGATGGGATGGCAATGAACATGAAGTCGCGGCCGGGCCAGATGTGGAGGTGGTTAGGTGAGATGCGGAACCCGGACGCGGACGCGGAAGGGGACGATGATGAGGTGGATGAGGAAGAGGAGGAGGAGGATGGTAAGGATGGCTGGGAAAGAGGCGGGATTTGAAACTCGCACCATAGTGCGTCAATGTATTCTTGCTGGTAGTTGACTCGTGTGTATTTCATGAGGTGGTATCGCGTGGCAGAGTGTGCGCCGTCGGCGCCAATGAGAAAGTCAAATTCGACTTGGATTTCCTCGGGGCCGGGAGGAGCAGGCGGAACCGGGTTCGAGGAAGACGTGGTGGCGGGAGTTTCTGAGGAAGATTCGGTTTCGGTTTCGGTTTCGGATTCAGAGGGTTTGGTGGGTGAAGAGGAAGGAATGCGGCGCTCAAACCAGGCTTTGTTGGCGTCAAAGTCTGCGCCGGTGAGTTTGTGGTTGAAGAAGAGCTTGACGTTGGGTAGGTGGTCCAGTTCGTCGAGCAGACTTTTGTTGAGAGACCCGCGATCCACGGCTCGTTGGAACTGCATGTGTTAGATGATGTGGTTTCGTGTATTTGAAAAGGGGTAAGGGAGCATGTGGATTTGTGGAGGAGTGGAAGAAAAGGGGGAGGAGTGGGCAAGGAGGGAGGGGTATATGAATCAATGAATCAAAGATAAAAGGAATGCTTACTCGTCCGTGAACATCGTAGAGTTGGGACTGCTCAAAGAGATCTCCCGTCTTGGTACGGCCGTGGATCATCCGGCCGTGCATGGGGATAGTTTCGGAGAGTACGCCGTCAAGTAGGCTGGTTGATCCGGCATTTCTCATGGCGTTGATGCCGCGCTCCGAGAGCGCAAGGTTGATGGACCGGGTGAAGTTTAATGGGATGGTGTCAGGGTCTCGGAGATCTTTACACTGTTAGTTGAAGTTATGGAATTTAGCAGAAGAGTATAATATGACGCGCAGATTCACAGTCGAGTAATAAGAATTATTCGGTATATGAAAATGAACCAAAACAATTACAATAAAACGCATATATGATATAGGTATAAGAACGTCAAAGAAGATGAAATCAATGATTGTAATAAACATATAATGTAGCAGTAAAACAAATTTGAACAGTAATACATCTCTTCAATTAAGAGACTGACAGTAAAGATATAAGATTGTCAGACTTACCACCCCGCAATTCGTACACTTCTACTTCGTGACCCCGCCGTGCGGCATACAGGGCAGCGAGAGCGCCGACAGGGCCCGCCCCGACAACGACAGTCTTTTGTGTTTTCGTCTCAGCCGCCATTATTATTATATGCAAGATGGAAACAGAAAGGAAACTTTCAATATAATACAAGAATGATGAAGAAAACGTGGAATGTCAGATGTGACGGTGAGATAAACTTGAAGTGATATGATAAGGGTTCGATCTTACCCCGGGTAACCCACGCGATGAGACAGGTATTAAACAGTTTGAATTTGATAGACATTTATATCAGAAAGGGACTTGAATTAGAGAGATATATGTATCCTTATATATGTATATATATATATATATATGTGTTGATGAGTAGAAACCTAAGATATCAATCAATATAAAAAAATACGAATTTTCTGGGCTGTTTGTCCCTTACAAGTGCCTTATATAGAAGATTTGTGCATGAATCGGAATAAAGATTAGCCAGCATTGTAAGTATTTGAAAAATCCCCATCTAATATATGAGATATTCAAAGTGCAGAATGATATAGCTAATCTACAGTGGTAATCTTTCTCCTGATTCCCGGAATGAATCATATCTGCTGTTGATACTCTGTAGTGACGACATTTTACCAGAGTGGTGATAGAGACCCCTTGATTGAGCATATGCAAGCAAATACACCTTAATGAACAACTACTTCAAAAATTATCAATATAAATTCTGCTGTGATTGTATGATATTGCACTGCAAATACTATTTTGGGTGAGTGGAGTGAGTCCAGACTTTGGGTCTCGATCCGTCCCGTTGTAGGGAGGATGGTCTACTCGTATAGAGGACGTATAAACTTGGGCTCTCGCCTGTTTCCGTCATTCGCACCAACAACATCGGCCACTTGGACCTAATCTTCCACCCCATCTCTCCTCATCTCTGACCCTCAAACTCCCCTATTCTTTTTCGCCTTATTCTTCCCTTCTCCAACACAAATTATAGACTGCTGAGGATCCCAGCGAGGGACCCAATTCATTAAAAATGTCTGGCGAAGCGTGGCTGTACCTGTTGGCGGTGCTCATCAATGCCGTCAACCTCTTCCTCCAGGTCTTTTTCACCATCATGTACAGCGATCTCGAATGGTGAGTCATCCACTCGGTCGATCTACTCTCTAAGAAGCTCCGGCACCGTATTTTGGGACTCGCTGGAAGATTTGCGCATCGATCTGAGCCCATATTGTGCTGCTCATGAGCTTCATTTTGCTGCTTCCATGTGATCGTGTGCTGACATGTGCCCTGTTTTGCTCGATAGCGATTACATCAACCCGATCGACCTTTGCAACCGCCTCAACACCTACATTATTCCCGAGGCTGCTGTCCACGCGTTCCTGACTTTCCTCTTCCTCATCAATGGCTACTGGCTGGCTCTGATCCTGAACTTGCCTCTGCTGGCCTGGAATGCAAAGAAGTACGTGCTTCAATTGTCCCGCAACACAGGGTGAATGTGGGAAATAGCATTGGATATGTCCGCTGACGCGACGCATTAGGATTATCGACAACCAGCACTTGCTTGACGCGACCGAAATCTTCCGAAAATTGAACGTTCACAAGAATGTAAGGCTCCCGAGTCAACTCAATCGGCATGGCATTCCTGGACAAAACGGGAGGGCTTGAGCTGCAATTGGATCAATGTATTGACCGCTTCTATAGGAATCATTTGTCAAGCTTGGTTTCCACCTGATCATGTTCTTCTTCTACCTCTACAGCATGATTGTCGCCCTCATTCGCGAGGAGTCGAACTGACTACGATCGGAAACTGCGAGAAGCATGCGTGTCGGCGGTGTCTTTTAGAGCTGTGACGACGAGTAAAGGAGCATGCACGAGCGTGTATCGGCTATCTGAAGCAAACCGGGCGTCTGAGGCGACCAATTTTATTTCGCTACGCATGTGGTGGGAAATAGAAGGTAGAAAGACGAAGGCATTCAGGAGGGAAGACAATGTGGGGAGGAAGGTTGTATGTTGAGTGCGGAGGCCTCCTGCTGGCTGCTAGGGCATGGCCATGAGCATCTGGTCAGGAGCGGAGACATTTGTAATTTTTTTCTTGTATACAGCAAGCTATGAATCACGAATAATTTGATCAAATATAAACTCGTCATCTGATGAGTATGCCAATAATAGAGAGCATGCACCGTACCTAGATTTCAAGTGAATCGCATTGCATACTCCATATACTGTGTTAGGCCATCTAGGGGAGCTTAGTGGGATGAGATCAGTGGAAACGAAAGACAGGTGAAAGTCTTGGCATGCGAGACCCTGTCAACTTCAACATCCACTTCCATCATATCGAAAAAGCCAATTGAAGACGCAACAACCATCTCTTGCGACCAGGTGCCGCCTCTGCCAACAGATCAGACTTGACCACGTCAAGGTCGTCTGCCTCATTTTCAAACCGAAAATGGCTTCTTTACTTGGGGCGCATTACGATTCGAGCGACGACGATGCAACTGCACCGGCTTCCAAGCCCACCAACTCTACTCCCGCCACCACTGTCGTAGCTGCTCCAGATGTCTCGGTGGAGGTTTGGTCCCGTATCTCTTTTACTTCATGAGGAGGCAGTATAACTAATACTGAGTATAGGATCCGATGCGACAGCAACTGGCCCTGACGAAGCCTACTGACACCGCTCTTAGCTACAACATCACCTACGACGATCTCACTCGACCAACAGAAGGCCCGGCAAACCCGTTCAAGAACCCAAATGGCAACGCTTTAAAACGGAAAAACATCATCACTGGCTATGCCGAAGAAGCCGCCGTCAGTGAATCCACCTTCAATACTCAGCACCGGACGTTCCAATCCCTAGGCTATACGCGAGGCGCCGACGGCGAGATACTCGGCGACCTCACGCGAGCAGATCAGTTCGGCGGACGAGATGTCGTGCAGATGCGACATCTGGACAAAGAACAGAGCGAGGCTCTTCGTCGCAAGCGCCAAAGAAAGGGCGACCCATCCATTGTCGACGGCCCAGGCGCGTATAAAGGACCATGGGCAAAGTACAGGGACGACGACATTGCGCTGGAAGAAGAAGCCGCGCAGGCCGGCGAAGGGCTGGCGAGTGACGAAGAGTACGAAGAAGACGCCATTGCAACCATTGACAACACGCCGCTTCCCAAACTTGCGACCGACTACGCCGACGAGGGCGCCGACGGCAACGGTGCTGGCACCGAATCGACCGAGTTCCACGGCAGCCAGCAGTTCGACTACCAAGGCCGCACCTATATGCACGTACCGCAAGATCTGGACGTGGATCTGCGCAAAGAACCCGGCAGTTGGCGCAGTTACGTGCCCAAGAAACACGTTCACACGTGGAAATCGCACACGAAACCCATTACCGCCTTGCGCTTCTTCCCTTCTTCTGGCCATCTCCTCTTATCCTCCTCTGCCGACACCAAGATCAAGATCTGGGACGTCTACCACGAGCGCGAGCTGCTGCGCACTTATTCTGGCCACAACAAGGCCGTCACAGACATCACTTTCAACCCCGACGGCACGCGCTTCCTCTCTGCCAGCTACGACCGGCAAATGAAGCTCTGGGACACGGAATACGGCAAATGCATCGGGCGCTTCTCGACCGGCAAGATCCCACACGTGATCAAATTCAACCCGTCCGTCGACCACTCGCACGAGTTCGTCGCAGGCATGTCGGACAAGAAGATTATCCAGTTCGACACGCGCTCCGGCGAAATGGTCCAAGAATACGACCACCACCTGGGCCCCGTCAACACCATCACTTTCGTCGACGAGGACCGCCGCTTCATCACCACGTCCGACGACAAATCCCTTCGCGCCTGGGAATACAATATCCCCGTGCCCATCAAATTCATCGCCGAACCGTACATGTACTCCATGGTCCGCGCCGCCCCACATCCCTCTGGCAAATACGTCGCCTTCCAGTCCGGCGATAACCAGATTGTCGTCTACGCCTCCACAGACCGGTTCCGCCAGAACCGCAAAAAGAGCTACCGCGGCCACAACACCGCCGGTTATGCCGTCGACGTGGCCATCTCCCCCGACGGCCAGTTCGTCTCGTCTGGTGACACGGGCGGCTTCGTCTGCTTCTGGGACTGGAAGACGTGTAAAATGTATCACAAGATTAAAGCCAGCGATGGGCCCGTCGTTGCGACCCAGTGGCATCCCCAGGAGACCAGCAAGGTCGTTACCGGCGCCCTCGATGGCTTGATCAAATACTGGGATTAGACTTTTCCCCTTCCCTTTCCTTTCCTTTTCTTTTTCCATTTCCATTTCTATTTTCTTTTTCCCTTTCCATTTCCATTTCCCTTTTTCTTGTTCTTTTTCTTTCCCCACTTGAAGGCATTGGGGACTCTTCTTATTCTTCCTTTTCATTTTCCCGGGATGTTCAATAACTTACCTACCTACATTACATCCAGCATTTCACCCGCCTTTACTTGCACTTTGTTGACGATTTGGTTTGGTTGGATCTTGCTACTTGCGACTGTACATGTTTCACACTATTCTTTGAAAAGTTATTTGAGTTAGACATATTCGCACAAGGATCTGGAGGGTAGCTTTGTTTGAGTTATGTAAATATGCGGGTATTGGACGATAGTTTTATAGATTAAATCAAATTGATCCGGATGGACAGATGGATTCAGTACAGCTCGGGTTAATTAGTACTACTCTATTGTTCTATATATTTATATTGTTTCCCCGTAAAACGAAGTAGTTATTCCCTCCTTGAGTAGGCAAAGTATATGGGATACGTTCCCAACTTCCTCTCGTGTGAACGGAGTAAGGTGTATGTATATGAAGAGGAATCCAGGTTTGCTGGCAACAACTTGTACCTCTCGTGTGAACGGAGTAAGGCATGTATATGAAGAGGAATGCTAGTTTTGCTGGCAAGATTGCTTGCAAGAAAGCGAGGATATTTATGATGAGTAGGCCAGAGGCGAGACTACATGGAAGAGGACGGGAGGAGGAGAATGAAGAATAGGGGAGGTTATGAGGAAGAAGAGTTGGACGAAGAGGACGAGGAAGAGGACGAAGAATTGAATGCCTGCATGACTGCCAGCGCGACGGGCGAGTAGGACGTTACGCGGTTATGTCCTGCCGGAGGGAGGAAAAGGAGTTAGTATTCGTTGGGTTCTGAATGGGATATGGAACTGCCGTGCTCCATGGGTGAATGAAACAAAAAATGAAAAGAGAGAGATGTGGGGGAGGGGAGAGGGGAATAAAAAAAGATAAGGATGAAAAAAATGAATGGAATAATATGAATATAAAAAAGAACGTAATGGGAGATAAACTTACCACCGCGTCTCAAGATCGTCACACGAACAGACTTCTCCCCGACCTCCAACCTATCTATATACCCACCATTCCCCAGATCCGTCGTGACCGTCTTCTTCACGACCTCTTCCCCGGGCACACCATACGCCTCTTCCTCTGCGCCTCTTGCATCCGCCTCAACCATTGCATTCGCCGCCGTGGCAAAGAGCATCTGGCTCTGGATCCAAGGGATATGCATATCGTCTTTTGCATGCACGAGGTGGAGTCGAAGACGATTGCTCTTGGCCACGAGGTTCGCCAGGCGGCTCGACGTGCGCCACGTATCCACGAGCTTGTCGATGAAGAACTTTTGCAGGCGCGGGTACGGCCGCAGCGGGGACAACATGGGGATGATCCCGCCATACGAGTACGTGCGCATGAGGGTAGCAAGGTCCGAGAAGCCAGCCACGAGGACAACGCCAGCAAAGCTAACCTGCGGACTCGTCTGCGTGGCAAAGTGCTCGGCGACGGCGGTAGACACGGCGGTGCCCAGGGACTGGCCCAGGATGACGATCCGTTCGGGAGGGATCTCGGCGACGGTCATGGCCCAGGTCACGACGGAGATGCCGTCCCGGATGAGCCCGGCTTCGGAGGGCACCCCGCTGGATTGCCCGAAGCCGCGGTAGTCGAATGCCAGAACGTGCGTTTTGGGGGTCGATCCGCCGGTGAGAGAGTGGTAGGTCGAGGGACGCCAGCCTTGGGCGACGTGGCCTGCGTTCTAAGGAGGGGGGTTGGTTAGGTTACGAAAAGGGGAATTGGTTAAAGTTGAGGAGGGAGGGAAAGAGGGGCGAGGGGAGCGTACACCGTGGACTGGAAAGGATGGTAGTGTTAGCACAAGTGGGAAGAAGAAGGAGGAGGAGGACATAATTGGAGACAGAAGAAGGGAAGAGGGAAGAAGGGAAGAGGGAAGAAGGGAAGAAGGAAGAAGGGAAGAGGGAAAAAGGACGTACAGTTTATGACAAGTCGACTCTCTGGATCTTTGGAGAGTAGATCAAAGGGTAAAGATGAGGTGATGTTTTCGATTGGTCCTTCGGGTTGCTCGAGCAGTGCTGCTTCATGCTCAGCGTAAGTCCCGAGGGGAAGCACGTGCCATGCGTAGAGTGATTCCCCGTCAGATGTGGGAATGAAGAATGGCGTTACTTGGTTCTCTGCAGTGTGTTAGTATATTAGGGAATATTGTAGAAATGGATAAGTAAACGGATATGAAATGGATGTGAAATGGATGTAAAAGTGCTGGGAGAGGAGACTGACTCGCAAATCCATTCTTCTCGGGATGGTTGACGTAATTCCATCCTCCCTTTTTCAGCTTATGTGCATAGAGAGCACTGCGAACGTACGAATAAGCAGGACGATAGATAGAGAGATGAGAGGGCACTCGACACTCACTGGCGCTGAAGGAACTCGTTTGAGAGGACGAGAAGAAGAAAAACGTAGAATGCTCCTGCGCCGGCGAGGATATAGTATGACTTTTTAAAAAACGGTGCAAGAGCCATAATTCAGGACAGTCTGAGAGAAATCACATACAATGCAGAAAAAGAAATAATATACAAGAAAAAGCAATACGTAATATATGGCAGGTAATAAAATATCAAGAGCAATATGACAGTACTGGATGAAAAGTGCACTCAAAAATGACGACAGACATGCAGAACGAGACAATATTGCAATGGATCAAATGGAGGAAAGCAAAGCAGACAGCACAGTCTCTACTGTCTTGGGTATATTGGGAGAACAGCTAGTTCTTGACGCTGACAGGCAGAAGTCTGGTGGTATGGAAGTTGAGGATTGAGTATATATATCCTGATATGTTTACGGCGGGTGTCGGGTGTCAAAAGTTCCGATGGAGTCGCTTCAGGCACATGCGAAGCAAATGATTTATCGTCATATTGCGAATCTTAATTCACAACATTACATTTCCACTCTTCATCCCAGCAATGCTGCATCCATTTTTCTCAAATTGTCTTGTCGTATACACCAGACTCTTAAATTCATCATCCGCCCTCGCACGGGGCTTTTCACGTTCTGGTTAAACCGGATTGCAGCATCTCGCAGCCCAGCTTTCCTCGATGATCACCACGACCGACTCTTTTGACGTCGTGCAGGTACGGTGACCGGGCCGTCAGAGTCATCAATCTCCATCAAATCCGACATCTCTCTTCTATCCGCGAGACCATGGCACCGAAGCGCAAGGCCGCGAACAAAGCCCGGAAAGAGCGGCCAACCAAGAAGCGTGCCGCTTCTCCTGCGCCGCCAGAAGAATCACCCACCGCTACACCAGAGATTATTGAGCCAAAGCTTCCTTTCAAGATTGAAGATGGACAGCCTCTACCAACCGTCGAAGCGGCGCAGCTGGAGGATCTTTCGGCAAAGGAATATCAATCTATAATGGAGAGGTGAGGATGCTTTGCAAGGGAGACAAGATCGTATGGTTGGATGCTAATATCGAGTCTTTCTCATGCAATAGCGGTGTTTTGGCCGCGTCTTTGCAGCGATCACGGCATAAATGGCTGGCTGAGGGCATATTCGAACGTTACTGGGTCAAACCAACCAAAAAGAAGAACCAGGCTGAGATCAAGAACCCGCCAAAGGAGAGCATGTTCAGACTTGGGCATGTTACTGTTACCATCGAGCCACATGTCTTTGAGGCCACTTTGCATGGTGTCAAGGATCCAAATCCCCGTGTTCCGCCGCCACCGTCTCCAGCGCAAGCAATGCAGAGACCCATTATTCAGTACGGTCCAGCGCCCCCGAATGCGCCGCAAACACCACAAGGTCCACCAGCACACCAGCCGCAGCAAACCCCACAAGTTCAGCATCCTACACCAGGATCGACACAACATCTGCCACCGCCAGCATCTCAAGCGTCGCAAACTCCATCGCAACCTGCACCTCTACAAACTCCTCACCCTGCGCCGCAGCCAACACCTGCTACACCGCATCAACCCTCTGTGCAGTCGCCTCAAACACAAGCGCCAGCTGGAGCACAAGCACAACCTCCACCACAATCTCAGACCCCAAGCCAGCCCCAACCTCAACCTCAACCTCAACCTCAGCCTCAACCTCAACCTCAGCCTCAACCTCAGCCTCAACCTCAACCTCAGCCTCAACCTCAAGTACGACCACAGCTCCAACCGCAAACACCACAACCGCAACAGCAACAGCAAGCTCCGCAGGGTGCGCACCCGCAGGCACAACATCCACTACCACATCCCCAATCACAGCATGCACCACCACCACCACCGCAGCCGCAACAACAACAGCAGCAGCAGCAGCAGCAGCAACACCCACCTCCACCACACGCACCGGCATATATGGCTCAAGCTCCAAGGGCTGCTCCTCGTGCGACCCCCGTACACCATTCTGCATCACAGCCTAGTGCGCATCCTCATCCGCCTCATACCCCTTCTTCTCAGGTCAATGGAACACATCCTCGCCCCGGCCGGCCTTCAGCCACCCCCAGCACCGCTCCGAGCTCATCTTCGCACGCCCCCCCTCGGCCAAGTCCGGATCCAGTTATCCAGATGCTTGCCACCCGAGCTGCCACTGACCATGGGCTCAAGGCTCTCATGAGGATCGTCGCGTCCGGAGAAGCATCGCATGAGCAGCTAAAGATCTTTCAAGGCCACATTGATGAACTCACCGCCATCATCAAATCTCGACGCACTGAACCGCCCCCGCAACCCTCACCAAGACCGGCCCCTGCTCCAAGTGCTCCTCGTCCCCATCAGCAACCGCATCCTTCTCATCTACAGCATGCACGCCCGACCCCGAGCCCCGCTACGACTTACTCCCGCCCTACTTCCATGGCTGGATCTACCCCGGTGAAAACGGAACAATTTGCTCCAGCGTATGCGCCCTCACCACCGGTTCACCGGCCTAGAGGAGGTACAGCGCACGCAAGGCCCGAAGTCAGCGCCGTTGTCTTTGAATTCACCGCCGGATCCTCGGATCGCTTCCTTTTCCCCAAACACAGTATTCTAGAGTACATGCCGGGCGGCACTCAGGTCATTGCTTCTTTTCTCGTAGTTCGAAAGGGTAATGTTAGCCAGTCCGACTCATACGACGCCAATATTGAGTATTATCAACCTGTGACTATTCGCTTAACCGCATCAAATCCGAGAATATTGGAGCCGCTGTCCCGAGTGGTGGCAACCCCAGATGAGACGCGGAAGTATATGGATGAAATTATGGATAAGACGACCAGAGCTGAATCTGTTTACTTGGCCATGCGTTTGCCTAGAGATCCAGAGGACATTGGCAAGGAAGAGGAGGACGTACCCCCGGTCAAGGAGCCGCTTGAAGATGAGTGGGAGTGGTTAACGAGTTCGCTCAGCGGGCCTCGTTATGGTACTTCAAAGAGAAACGTAAGTAAATGGTTGCTCCAAGAGACAATCGAGTAGAGACTAAGCTTGAGGCAGGCATTTCCACATGATCGCGCGTCGGCAGAGCCATGGGGATCTCCCGGGCCATTTGGAGAAGGCAAATCATCAAGAGGATCGCGGCGACAGGCCGATCCAAACAAATCTTGTTATATTTGCCATACATCTGTCACGTCTCTTTGGCGCAAGGCCGATATTGATGGGCAGAGCGTTAGTGGTTAGTGGTCATATATCCCGCGTTTTAAGGTATTTATCATTAACGTCCCTCTCTAGTTTGCAATGCGTGTGGCATCAAGTGGAAAACTACTTCTGCCCGTATACAGGATCCTACACAGTCGCAGACCTCGCCTCCCACGAAGAAGGCTACTGAGGGAGTGCCAAAAGTAGAGTCACCTGCACCTGCGACACACCCGCCGCTCGTGCAACCGTCACCAGCTCCAGCAGGACCTGCGCCTGCAGCTTCTGCAGATACCTCTCAAGCAACAGCCGAAAAATCCGCTGACCTTGGTCTTGGTGATCAAAAGCCTGTGGCTCAGGATGCCGATGCTCAGAAACCTGATGCACAGGAATCAAAGGCTCAGGAGCCAGAACAGCAGGGACCTGGAAATGATGGGACAAATGCGCAGGGACCAAAGCCTCAAGAATCTGAACAACAAGAATCTAGTAAAGTTGAAACAGACGCACAGGGAGCAGAGCCTCCCGTGCCTGGACAGCAAGAACTCGGTAGTGCCGGGGTAGATGCACAAGGACCAGATTCTCAGGATGCTAATAAGCCGAAATCTGATAGCCCTAGAAAAGATACACAGGAAACCGGTTCTCAAAATTCTGATACTCATGCGATTGCAAATAAGGAGGCTCCTACTGAAAAGCCAGACGAAGAAATGGTTGATGCGGAAGTCCCCAAGGAGGAGACTGTGGATGGCGCGGCATGAGCCAATTGATTCTGCAACATCATTACAATAAAATTACATTGCTTACAGCTTTTGATGCATTGGCAGCAGGCGTCGGTATGCTTATCGGCTCAACGCATCAGTCGAGGTGGTCATTTGTTTATTATATATCCTTCGCTGGCGCATTCTCGGTGCTCAGTGCTATATTTAAAACTCTATAGCTTCTGGATTTTAGGGAATATCATAGTGACTGGAGCTGGTCGCATCGTCAGATTACCTGTAGGGTCGTTTTACAAGTCGCTAAAATCAAATTTGTATTATAGTTATACCATCAAAGCAATATTCCATTTTTCAGCTCAATTATGTTGTGACTGCACGACATTCGGTTTTTTTTTGTAGTTGGCTGCTGAACATTCTCGCCAAAGCGGGTAGAATCGGTATTTAGTCTACGTCACCCACTTCAGCTCAGCATCAACAATCACCAAAACATTCTTACTGACTCTGCATTACTCAAACACAATGTGCTGACAATAACAAAAATATACAAAGGGCATTCAGTTAGTCATCTTGTGTCAAAATCATACAAAGCCTGCAACGAACGAATTTATTGAAAACAGGATGGGACAGGGCCAGTCAGCAGGGCATGCATCACATGCTGCGTCGCAAGAGCAGCTGAGCCACGAGATTGCCGTGCGCTTTGCCAATCACTGTTTTACCCAATTTGAAATATACAATTTCAAAGATGTCTTCAAGTCACTTGCCGATACAGAGTCGGGCGTGCATTACTGGAAAGAAGACACGCTTTGCCGATTTTTGGAGATTCCAGATGCCCTCAATGCTGGGCCCATTGTTCACCAGATGGCGAGCTACCTTGCTGCATTCCCATTTGCTAGCATGGCGCCCGGAATCCTTACATTAGAGGGCTTAGTTAAAGTGCTGTGTATCATGACAGAGAAACACGGTAAGGTGCTCAAGCGCGGCAAGTCAGATCGCAATAAGCTGCTCTATAGAAGTCTGGCAGTGTATGATAGGACGCTGGGAGAGGGATCGGAAAAAAAGCTTGAAGCTGGGCAGGAGACGGAGGCAGAAAGGGGAGCTGGGGGCTCAAATGAAGAAAGGGCATCAGAATCAGCAAAAGGAAATTCAAGTTCACAAGGCTTCTCAATTGACCAACCAGTCGACGAGGATGAGGAAGAAGATGACGACCAACTTACGCTCGCGGCTTTGGAGACTATGGATGCCGTTGCAGTCTATGAGACCAAAGAGCATGTTCAGAAAACGTATATCCCAGCCGACAATTTTAGAAGACTGATCACGTTACTCCTGGTGACGGCGCCGCTTGGGCCGCAAGACAGTCTCTCGACTCATTTTTCAACATTGTCCGATGAACAGCTGGAAAGCCTCCAGCGAACCGCAAACAACATCCTCTGGGCATTCGAAGTGGAAAAGAGCCCGGGGGTGCTGTATCGAAATTTCAAGACGGTCATCCCAGAATCGCTACCCTTTTTATTCGAAGGTCTCAACCCGCTGTTCGAGCATCTCTTGTTCAGCAAGAATATCAATCTCAGAAAATCAAAGACGTCGGAAGGCGAGAAACCAGCAGAGGAACTAAAGGTTACGAAGCATCTGGAAGAACTTGGAATGAATTCCGTTCTTCCAGTGCCAGGGGAAATTCTCGACATTAGCATCCTGAGCCAGCTTTCATTCTTCCTAGGTGGATCAAATGTGTTTCGAAAGCTCCGCCCGCTCTACTTTGGCGGCGACGCAGGATTCAGTCTAGGAAGCTTTTCCACCAAGGTGATCAACTGGCGGGCACCGACTGTCCTTTTAGTCTCGGGGACACGGATCGAAGAGCCTCCAAAAGGCCGGCAGCGGAATTTTGCAGATTCTCTACCGCCAAAACGCTTTCCAAACTCGAAATCGGCACATGATGATTCCAATCGAGTCGTCTACGGGGCATACCTGAATGTGCCGTGGAAGGAAACGACAAAGGAATGCTTTGGGGATGACAAAACGCTACTCTTCCAACTCGAGCCTGTGCATGAGGTATTCAAAGCATCGACACTCAATCACGACTACGCATCATTTACAAGAGCTGCTCAGCTCCGTCATGGGATCAATTTTGGTATTCCAGTCCAAAAGGCCAAAGGGCCGGGCGGGTCCCAAGTACATGCTACGCTTGGTCCATTGTCGCTCATGCTCGACGATGCGCTTGAATTTGCTGTGTTTACGCATCATACTGCTGGCGGAGGAAGCTTCCATTGCAGCCAGACGAGAAAGTATGACTGGCAGGACCGCTTCGAGATTGAGGCCCTCGAGGTCTGGGGATGCGGTGGAGACGAGGAGGCCGATCGGCAGAGAGCGGCCTGGGCTTTTGAAGAACGTGAAGCTGCTCTGAGAAGAGGTCTGAATCTGGGCAAGGACGTCGAGGCTGATCGGGCATTGCTGGAAATGGCAGGCTTGGTCGGGCAGAATAGGTCAGGCGGGAGTGTATAGCCTGTTCACTTTGCCTCCCTGTTCACGAAGTACTTGCCCTGCCTTTTGCTTATGTTTGATATTTTGGACTTGATTCCGTACAGCTCAAGATGTTCTTCATTCTGTGGTATTGGTATATGGCGCGTTCGGTGCACTTGCGGAGTTGAGTTGGACTTGGACTTGCGGCTTACTACGTATTCGCTGTAGATTTGACCCTTGAAAATATCATTCTCAGAATTAAATATCTATTATTCATTTCTCTCCTCTTCAATAAGACTCTCTACCTTTTTCTTTTTCTCTTATTATTTCTTTCCTTTTTTTTTTTTTCAAAATCAAATACTCCTTTCTATTTCAACCGTATTCCAATCTCCGTTCACTCCCAAATATCAACCGCCAGGGTGCCCCAACTGCACCCACCTCGACTCCTCGAGGCACCTCGCTTAGTCATCCACGATCTTCCAAACTCCGTTGTTGAATCCCCAGATTTCCCTTTTCAACTTGCTCTTGCTCTTGCACGTCCGAATTCCCAGGTTCCGCACCGTTCGAAAAGGTCGAATCCGAACAATTGATCCTCTGCGTGTCGTCAATTGGAGCAGAGTACGCAGTACGCAGTACGACTCGCCTCGACCAGCCGTCCGCTCGAACTCCTCCCGACTTCTATCCGTCGACCCATCTGTATTGCGAGGCTTCATCCCGTCTTCTTTCAGACCGCAGACCGCAGACCGCAGACTGCAGTACGACTTATATCCCGAGACCTTTATTCGAAATCCGAGAATCTGAGAATCGAAGAATCCGAGAATTCGAGAATTTCAGTGCACGATCTTAAAAGTATCCGGTGTATATTTCAAAGCATTTGGCATCTGCCTTACCAAGCACCACAATCCAATCTATCTCGACAACCACTCTCTGGCTACCGCAAAATACAAATACAAAATACAATCCGCAATCTACAATCTACAATTTACCTCGACAAACACTCTCTGGCTACCGCAAATACGAAACACAAAATATAAGAACGCCAAAATGCTCAACATTGTTTCTTCCGCCCTGCGCATTGCCGCAGTTCCGCGCGCCGCATTCTCGACGGCGACAATGGCGGCCGCATCGCGCGGCTCGGTCCCGCAATTCCAACACGCGCAGAAGAGTGTGTTGCAGAGAGCAGTCGGGCTGGGATACCGCGCGGGCGGGGTGCGGCCGCAGATCAGCACCGGTGTTGTCGGAACGGCGGAACAGTTGCGCAGTATGAAAGTGCGGGCTAGTGTCAAGAAGCTGTGTGATGGGTGCAAGGTATGTTGCGATTCTGTCACGTTGCATTCCTTTTTTTGCTGCATGTCGTTCCATTGTCTGGCCTGTTGTCTTTTTTGAGCTATGCTTTCCCTTTCTTCATTCCTCGAAGCTAGACACTGTCCTGGGTTCGATCTCAATGCCCTTTCGAAATTGGATTATACAAGAGAATTAAATGAAAGTATCATGCTAACATCCCACAGAGCGTTCGCAGAAAAGGATACGTCTATATCATTTGTTCCAAGAACCCCAAGGTACGCATACGCATAGCATATGGCACTCTTCTCATTTCCCCCTAATATTTCCTCCCTTTGCACCTTCATCTATAACGTTTCTCTCCTATAACTTTCAAATTGGCTGACAACGGGGTATAAACAGCACAAGCAGCGACAAGGATAACTTCCTTTCTCCCTTTTCTTGAACGGCGGTACCTCTTTTTCTTGGCCCGCCCATAGATCTCTTTTTTTTTTGTTTTAAAATTCTTCTCACGGCTTAGCATATCCCACCCCTCCCCCCGCTCCGCTCATCTACCCCATCTTTCTTGCCGAAGCGGAATCTCTGTATAAAGCTATCATCGGATCTATAAATCTCACTTACCATCCTCAGAACATTTACATTTACATTTACATTTACATTTCCATTTCCATTTCCATTTCCAACTTTTACTTTTACTTTTCGCCATGTATTCTAGCCCTGACCTCTTCCCTTTTTTCTCCCTTCCGCTCGATGGAAATCCTTTTCTCCTCTCGGTGGAAGCAGTCTTGTCTTGGCTTGTATGATACGGGGTATCTTAGAAATGTATGATATTTTTTCTTTACCCTTGTCAAGCTGAAGCTGAGAGAATGTGTATATGTGCTCTAGAGGCCTGTTTTAAGGGCGAGAGCTGTGTTATGGGTGAAAGTCTTCTTAGAGGTGAGAGCTGTGTTATGCATGAGGGCTGTGTTATGCATGAGAGCTGTGTTATGAGTGAGAGTTGTGTTATAGGTGAGAGCTGCTACAGTTAATACTCGATTATATATCAATTAACAGAATATGTCTAAAATCAAGAGGTAGAGTAATATGCATGGTTTGAAAAGACGGTTTATGTGTGTGATGTGATGTATTGTTAGGATATAGGATATATATACAGTACTTGTACTACTTGTAGAAAATTGTTTAGACGTTGGGAAATGTGAAATGGGAAATGAAAAATGGGCAATGAGATGAAGTTCGATGCAATTTGCAATTCAAATGTAAGTTTTTGGTGTGAAGAAGAAACGCCTGTGGAACGCCCATGCTTATTTTGGTTTGTTTTTTGTGTGTTCATAGGAACTCATGATTGCTCATGATCCATGGAGGAGCTCTGAATCGAGTCTACGGTCTTGCCTCAATAGTTGCCTCAATAGGACTAAAAAGCTAATCCCGCAGGAAACGCTGGTAGGTCAGATTCTCCGTCTCGTCGACAAACGGATACTGCAGGTCTCTGAGGAAATCCTCCAACTGGGGCAATTCCTCATCGGGGCACTGGATGCCCGCGACGACCTTGCCGACATCGCCGCCGTGGTTGCGGTAATGGAACAAGGAGATATTGAAGCCCGGACGGAGGGTGGTGAGGAATTTGGCCAGGGCGCCGGGTCGTTCGGGGAACTCAAAGGTGTAGAGCCGCTCGTGGGAGACAGCGCTGCGGCCACCGACGAGGTAGCGGACGTGAGTCTTGGCGAGCTCGTCGCCGCTCAGGTCGACGGCGGTCATGCCGCTGGTGGAGAGGCGGTCGAAGAGGGAGGCGAGGTCTGATTCGCGCGAGGCGGCGCTGCGCAGGGAGATGCCCATGAGGACGTTGGCCGAGTCCGGGGTGGCGTAGCGGTAGGAGAACTCGGTGACGGCGTTGGGGAGGACGGCTTTGACGAGCTCGGCGAAGGCGCCGGGCCGTTCGGGGATGTTGACGGAGAGGAGAGCCTCGCGTTGCTCGCCGAGGGCGGCGCGCTCGGCGACGAAGCCGAGCCGGTCAAAGTTCATGTTGGCGCCGGAGGTGACGGCCACGAGGGACCGGTTCTGGTTCGAGGACGGGTATTTGGCGACGTATTTCTTGAGGCCGGCGAGGGACAGGGCGCCCGCGGGCTCGACGATGGAGCGCGTGTCCATGAAGACGTCCTTGATGGCGGCGCAGACTTCGTCGGTCGAGACCTGGATGACTTCGTCGACGACGTCGTTGCACAGGCGGAAGTTCTCGGCGCCGACGGACTTGACGGCCGCGCCGTCGGCGAAGAGCCCCACGTCTTTGAGCGTCACGCGCTTGCCTTCTTGCAGGGACTGCACCATGGCGTTGGCGTCGTACGTCTCGACGCCGATGATCTTGACGTGCGGCGCGATGCGCTTCAGGTAGGTCCCGATCCCCGCGATGAGGCCGCCGCCGCCAATGCCGCAAAAGACGGCTTCGAGGTTTTCAATCTTGCTTTGCCGCAGGATTTCCATACCGATGGTGCCCTGGCCGGCAATCACGTAGGGGTCGTCAAACGGCGGGATGTTGGTCAGGCCTTCGAGTTTCTCGAGCCGCGAGCATTCTTCCTTGGCAGAGTCAAAGTCGGGGCCGAAGAGCACGACTTTGCCCCCCAGCCGCGTCACGTTCTGGTGCTTGATGCTCGGTGTGCCGGACGGCATGACGATAGTCGAGGGGATCTTGAGATGGCGTGACGAGAATGCGACGCCTTGTGCGTGGTTGCCGGCGGAGCAGGCCACAACGCCGCGTTCGCGCTCTTCGGGGCTGAGGTGGGCCATCTTGTTGTATGCGCCGCGCAGCTTGAAACTGAATACGGGAAGCAGATCTTCCCGCTTGAGATGGACGTCGCAGCCCAGCCGGTTGCTAATGTTGACTGCGTGGCTCAGGGGACTTTCGTCAATGACTTCGTAGACTCGCGCGGTCAGGATGAGGCGGAGGTACTATTTGCTGTTAGGATTCTCTTTTACTGTCTTTAGATGTTCCACTTGAGGAGGCTCATACGTCCGGAGTGCCGTCTGGAAGGAGGAAGGCGTCAGGCACAAGCGCCTCTGCGGACGGAGGAGTTTCTCCCGCGGGGCATGGTGGGTTGGCAGAGTATTCGGTCAATGAAGGACCTCTGCGGCTAGGAGATTTCGGCAGCTGAGAGTCAGAGGGATTGGATAGTTTGGCTTTGTCATTGAGCGCTCCGCGCGTGTGGAACTTGGAGCATCTCAGGCTGCGGTTTGAGTAAAGCGGGCGAGCAGCGGCAGCGGAAGAGCGAGCGGACCGAAAAACTCGAGGACCTGCAACCAGCCTCAGACAGGCTGGCACTGGCCTCGAGAGTGTCGAAGCCATTGAGAAAGGGGACAGAAGGGAAGAGAGTGGAGAGGGAAAGAAGAATTGAAAATGCGACGAGCAGAGATGTTAATTATGACTGTTCTTATCGTCGGATGTTTTTGGAGTTTAGTCGATCGGCGATATATCGGATCTCCGGGGTTAACTTTTCACTTCCCGTTACCCGGCACAAATCTCCATTACCTCACCATTTTACATCTTATGGTTTCGAGGCTCTTGGGACGTTTTGCCTGTCTGCAGTTTACAATTCGAATATCCAGAGAATAGTACCGTAGAGAACATATATTCTTTATTCCAGTATAATCAATTACCAACATGTCTGGGCTGCCGTCGTCCTTTGACGACAATGCGTAAGTATGTCCGTGTGGACCCTCCAGAAAAACAGCTGCTGACAGTCATATTTGACAGTGATTTCTATGAGGAGAACCGCTGGCAGAAGCTGTTTAGAAAGCTCAAGGAAGAGCCTCTCGTTCCTTTCGGTACTGCGAAACCCATAGCAAATATTCTGTCAAAAGCTTCTATTATCTAACACAAGTTTAGGCTGCGCTGTGACTTGTTACGCCCTGTACCAAGCGACCAAGTCGATGCGTCGTGGTGACCATGCCAGAACGAACCGCATGTTTCGTGCGCGTATCTACGCCCAAGGATTCACCCTGCTAGCGATTGTTGCCGGCTCCGCGTACTACAAGGAAGAGCGTGAGAAGCGTCACGAGTATGATACCGCAGTGGCTCAGCAAAAGGCCAAGGAAAAGAGCGAGGCCTGGATTAAAGAATTGGAGGCTAGAGATCTTGAAGAGAAGGAGTATCAAGAAAGAAGAAAGGCTGCTCGGCAAGCAGCTGAGGAGGCACGAGGTGCCGGAGCGGCTCGCAGCGCGCTGGAGAAGTCGGAGCGCAGAGAAGAGGTTGGCGTTCTACAGGCAGTCAGAGATCTCGTGAACGGCCGTGTTTAGCCGCAAAAGCAGTGTTTTCCTTTTTTCCTGCTTATTGCTCGTCGCAAGTCGTGTATACTTTAAATATGGGTTACTCGGTGTTTATTGGGTTCGCTTTCATTTTTCCTAGTATATATTAGTGCATATATCCAAATGGACTCCAAATTCGTCTCCTCTCTAATAAAACACGCGCTGCTGTTTTCGCTTACAAAGATCCTATCTGCTGCAGTATTTTGCAGGTTCTGCTTCACCTGGAAGCCAATTCTTCAATGTATCGCTGCATTGACCCAAACTCTGTTTTCCCAGTCTAAGGATCCCGCGTCAGTTGCACGTTCCTTTTGACCGCCTTTCGACTTACAGATATCAAATATCTAATCTTCGTCTTCCAATGCAACATCGTCGTCAGCTTCAGCTCCCATGCAAACTGCTCTTCTTGATTCAAGCCGGTAAGCCACTCACGAGATCTGTAACATCCCTATTCCTCTCAAACTCCTCCCGCGCGAATCGGCGCATTTCCTGCCGCGTAGAAACATCCGGTATGCCTGGATTGATACCGTGAGCAACCTTATCTATACCCGCCAGCTTCACAGCACACTTTCCACCGCAGTCTCTCGTAAGGGCGCGTTATACGTACGATTCGTTGCACGGACTATTTCCCGCCATAATGCCAACACTCTTTGTCTTTGTAGAAACTATAATAAAGTAAGCCGCGGCAACAAAATTATGATAAAAAGCCAAATGATTCAAAGACCGATATAGAGAATTATAAAACATACATGATCCAAGCTCAACACAGGTTTAAGTATCCTCCTTGGCCGCGGAGACGCAGCCGATACGAACGCGCGGGAGAACATTGCATAAAGGTTCCAGACCAGAGTAAATCCAGTCTCCTGTGATAAACAATTGTATCCAAGAAAGAATATGTATATTGCAACGATAATAAGTATGTGCAAAGAAACGAGGGCAATTCTTGTTAGATTCAGTTGTTCAACAAATCGCCCATCCAATGTAACTGCGTCAACCCGGAGGAGCTGGGGCTCACCGCCTCCGCAAGCGCGCCATTCTGCCGTATTTCTCCGCCTTCGCCACAAAGACGCGCCAGGAGCTCCCATAGACGGCAAGGACATCTGCGTCCAAATAACCCAATCGTCCCTTCACAACTATAATCTTGAACGATATTATCTCAATTGTCAATTCTGACACTAAGATTCAAAAGATCTATGACGAAACACGCAATGGTCAAACGCCAACGCTCTCCCTCTGACCCAGCACCCACGCCAATGACACATGAGCTACGCATCGAAGCAGCGAATAAGCTCTCTCTAGAAACATTTCAAACCCGGTTTTTCCTCTCAGATGTTACCAGTGCCAATAAAGCCGCAGAGAGAAAGATCAAGGGCAATGGAAACAAGCATACCGACCACCAAGGCAACGACGCCCTGACAGCCTTCACTCGTCCCAGCGACGGAGCGCGGTATACAATCTCGCTGGTTGACAGTACGAGTATCTCGCATGCAGATTTCGTTGCGTGTTTTGAGCTCATACGGTCCACGAGCGCGGCAATGTACAAGATGTCGGACCGGGGGTGGTCAGCGCGGCGGAAAAAGGCGGAGATGGCGGATCCGGATATGCGGTTTTTGCTAGTACGAAAAAGGGACGTCGATCGAGAGGGATATCCAAGGGGAGACGAAGAAAGGGAAACGGGACATGAGGATAACGGGAAAAACGTAAAAAGGCAGGAGAATGGACATAAAGATAACCAGCGCAAGGAAAATGGGCATACAAAGGAAAGGGCGCAAACACAAGCAGGCACGGTAGAAGCATTTCTGTCGTTTATGCTCACGTACGAAGATGATCGCGAAGTAGTTTATTGCTATGAGATCCATCTGTCGTCTACCCTACGCGGATGTGGACTGGGAAGACATTTAATGAATGTCTTGGAGAGCATAGGGACCCGCGTCGGCGTCGAGGCAGCAATGTTGACGTGTTTTACGAAGAACGAGAGCGGATTGCGCTTCTACGAGCGTTTAGGGTACGTAGAAGACGAGTTTTCGCCGCCGCCGAGGAAATTGAGAAGTGGGAAGGTCGAAAAGCCGAGTTATATCATCATGTCGAAACCGCTGAGGCGAGAAGTCAACGGCAAATGAGAAGAACAAAGTCAGGGTCATGAGAAGGAACATTTTTTTATTTTGGCGTTGACGAAAGAGGATATACATGGAAATGCTTAAACAGACGACTACAAGAGTCTATATGCGCTTCACTTCCTTGCCCTTCATTTCGGGTCGCTCGACTTCCCATTCGTCGCGCAAAACGGCGAATAAGGAATCACCGACAATGACGGACAGACCCAAGCTCCATACAAGAGTGATGGCGTAGAAGAAGTTGGCGTTGCCGGACCCGGCATAGATCCAGAGATGGTAAAACGCGGGACCGAGCAAGGTGGCGTACAGTAGAGTAGCTACGGCAAAGAAGGTATATCTCATTACTAGACAAGCGAGGAAATGGCGGTTTAGCAGTTGAATTTTGGGGCAGGGAAAGGAGAGAGAAGAGAGACTTACGCGGGAAGACATGTCGGTATAAAGGAAGCAAGGCGAGGTATAGCGAAGTATCTGAAATGCTGGGATAGGGTTTGAATATGGCAAAGATGCCGAGAAGAGTGGTCACTACAAAAAGCGGTTGGGTACTATCGACGGACGTTGTATCAGCTAATTAGCTCACTTTAAGACGTATGGCTTGACTTACCGCAATCTGACGGTCAGACCACCGACATAAGATGCCAGATGCAGCCAAAACACCCCCAAGAAGAATTCTCTAAACGAATCAAACATTTCAATAAAAAAGTACCACCACAGGCCCACATTGGGCGTCAAATCTGGCAGCAGAAGCTGCACGCCATATGTAGATGCAAGAAACTCCCAAGATGCATCAGTAATAGTGTATGAAATGAAAAGCAGCGATCCGATAGCCGCGACATATTTCACAGTCACTGTACTGGCAAATCTCCAGACACTTCCTAGCTTTTCGGTGCTCTTGTTATTGCGTAGGAGTCGATCGTAGCAGAGGAGAAGGAGCGGCGGGAAGAGTAGGACCGGATATAAAGAGAGGTAAGAAGCCAAAGCCAGGGCAAATACCGAGGTCAAAGTATTGCCCCGAGCAGCTTTAGCAGTAGCGTAGAGTATCGCACAGTTAGTAAAGACGCTCGTCGGGCGCGCTATACAGGTTGCAATCGTAAAAGGATTAAACAGATATCTGTGAGAAATTAAATCAGTACTGCCATTGTGTTTCTCAAACTGATTCTGAAGGGTCAGTCCTACGCTGCACCAATATCTATACTGTCCCATTTCAGGTCCTTTCTTGGCGAAGTAAAAAGTCGCGAAGAGCCAGATTCTCCAGTTTCTGCAATTTGCATGACAGCATGCGCACTCAAAATATCCACAACAATGTATAATATCGCAGTCGCAAGGGGATGCGCGGAATGTTCGGGAAGCAGGGAGAATAGGGAGAGCAGCAGCGGAGCCTGGTGAGCCAGAGTCAGAGAAAAGGATCGCATTGCCATTGCCAGAGAAGGAGGGGACGTCAAACCTGATGATAAACCCCGCCATCGTACGGAGAAACATTATGCGTATATAGGAAAAGACCTTCCTGGACTGTAACGAAAGTATCAGTCAATGCAATGTTCCAAAACTCATTGCATAGCGGTCCGTAAGCTCACGTCTCTTGAAGCTTGTTACGGGTGTCGATATCTCCACGCGTCCGGTCAAGAGATCTGGGAGAGAAGGGAACGCAATGAAGAGCAAGAGCCGTAGCGCAATGGCAGCGCTGAAAAGAACAGTTTTCCGTCGATCGAATGCCATGGCTCAACGTCTCGAATAGCTAAGTTCCATGCTCCAGTGGGCGGCCCTAGGCGGCGGGAAGGGCAGATAATATTAGAGAGTTTGGGTCTCTAATTTGGTGCGTCTTGCCGGAGTATTTCAACCATATATGCAATACTGGCCACCGATAAACGATGCTGTGGGGATATTGGGTCGCCGTGCCTTGTCAAAACTCTTGTTTACTCTCCTTTACGTGGAGATTCGCCCACTAGTCGTACAGGTCGGAGGTTTGGGGATCGCTTCGCCTAAACTTCGGCATAACGCTGAAATGACCAACTTCCCCTGGAGAACAATGATAGGCATTCGTTTTACAATTGTTCTTGGATTTAGACATACAGTAGGACACTAAAAAATTTGGAATGAACTGATGAATTTACAAATTATGCAGTATATTAAACCAAATGCTTTTCTATCCCTTAATCTACAGGGTACCCTCCCTGATGTTGTAGCGTCTGTCTGCCACTTATACAAATTGACGATGAAATAACTTCGTCCGGTACGCCTGAAACGACTCTTTTCAAAGCAGAGGAAAAGTAAAATGATGTGCAAGCCAGGCAAGCGTCGATCGCGTCAAGTTAAGAGTACGAAAATATGATAAATGAAGGGAAAATGAAAGGGCGCAAAAGCCGGCAACCAAGCTCACTTGGTCGCCTTCTTAGCAGCCTCCTTTTCAATCTTTCTTCTCTTGCTCCGCAACTTTTCCGCCTCCTCGTCACGCTTGCGGTTGGAGTAGATCATCTTGTCCAAGACCTTTCTCTTCTTCCGAGACATCATCATCTTTTGTCTCTCCAGCTCTTCCTCCTCCTCACGGCGCTTCTTGGTCGCGCGCTTCTTCGCTTCGCTGGGTTGCTTCTTGCCTGCCTTCTTTCCCTTTCCATTTTCATTGGCATTGTACGGGAGACCGGCGGCTTCCGCCTCAAGCTCAGCCTGGTGTTGCTTCCGGGCTTTCTCGGCTTCGTCCTCGTCGTCGGAATCCTCCTCCTCAGGCTCTTCAACGCCAGCCCACTCGTTATCGCCCGCTTCCTCATCCTCTTCGTCAGACTCCTCGTCGCTGCTGCCTGCCACGCGCATACCGTCCGCGGCACCAAGATCGTTCATCTCCTCATCAGAAGCCTCCTCCTCTGCCGCATTGTCGTCGACATCGGCAACGCCAGCCTCTTGTTCCTCTTCGCCCTCGACATCTGACTCCTCCTCGACTTCCTCGGCCTCTCCTTCGCGCTCTTGCTCAGCAAGTGGGGCGGTGGGGTCGTACTGGCCCTTCTTCTGCTGCACCCACGGGCTAAGATGAGGGGGAAGCGTTGCACCAGGGGCGTAAATATCAGGACGAAGCAGCTTGCCGGCGTTAATGCAATCCCAAACCCATTGAGGCTGAATGTATGTCCGACCAGGAACACGGCTTCCCGGGCGCACACCAGGCTGAGCATCGCCGTCCTTCGTCTCGGGAACCGCGGGCAGTGCATCGGCCGGAAGCGCGGGCCTATCAACAATCTGGTGCGTAATGGAAGTGTCGGCTTCGTTGTTGGTAAAAGCACCGTCTCCAAGAACAGCGTCCCATCCAATACGCTTGCACCCAAAGGAGCGGAGAAGAAATTCTAATGGGGCTCGCGGTGTTTCACGGGACAGGTAGATGGTGTATGGAGCAAAGAGCGTTGCCACTTCGTTGCCACTGAACTGCGGTTGAGGGAGGATGTCGGCATCTGGGGCGGCGGCTTCAAAAGTGTCAATCTTATCGCTGACTTCTTCGCCGTCTTGCGTCTCCGCGACAGCGTCCTCGCCTTCGGGTTCGGAAACCTTAGCGATGCTGTCAACCTTGGCTTGCACTTCAGGCGCGGGCTCGTTGGAGATCTGAGCAGGCGCGATCGACGCTTCGATCTCTTGGGATCCAAAGCCCACATTCCTTCCCTCAAGGGTAAATGCGCCGAGCTCGCCACCCTGCTCATCACTAGCGGCGTTGAACTTGGGAGGATATACGAGTCCAAGCGAAGTATACAGGCGGAAGTTGACAAAACCAAGGAGCGTAGTATAGAATTCAATAAAGGTACCCATGATCCGGAAATCAACGTCGCTGGTGATTCGCTGCACAAACTTGTAAGGTACGAGCCAGAGAACATCCTGACCCTGAATTGTTGCCTGGTAGTAGATTCCCTTGATGGAGAGGAAGGACTTTCGCAGCGAGTGACTGATGATCAGATAATGTTCAAATTCCAGGCAAAGTCTCTGGCAGCGCTCAATCGTCTTTGGAGGCACGGCGGCGGTCGAAGGGAGGTTGGCGAACAAGAAAAGCATCGAGAGCGCATCGTCCAGATCACGTAGCGCATCAACAAAAGTCGGATACCGCTCCTTAATGACATGGTCCAAAGTCAGGCGCGGAGTCTGAGTCTTTTCGAGTCGAGCTGCATCGCCAACTTCGCCTCGGCCAAGAGCGCGGGAAATCTTCTTTGACAGGGCCTTGTGATCGCGGAACTTTTGGAGAAGCGGCTCATGGAGAAGATACTGGATATCCTTGGTATAGTAAAACGTAGTTGCAGGAGTGGAATTCTTCGCAGCCTTTTTCTTATTGCGGGGCTCTCGAGGATAAATACCTGTTATTCGGCCTCATCAGTTATACTTGCACAACTAGGCACCAAGTTTGCACAGAGCGGTGCGAATTCATTGAGTTTGAACGCCATTTATCGATGGTGCAGAATTTGACTTACCCTTGAAAATGCATAGCCTTCTAAAGTCGGGCAAGGAGATTTGCAACTTTCGGACGGCCTGGGTTCTTGTAATGTAATTTTTGGCCTGGCCGGAAGTGCCTGGAGATGGTCAGTATTTGCAGCGAAAACGCGTCGCAAGAGAATTCGCACCCTTTTTCTTAATCTGCGGCATCTTGTCAAACGGTGACAGCCGTCAACAGGAATCACGAGCAAAGGGTATTGCGATGGACCAGAGACAAGTGAGATTTCCCAAGTGCCTTCTGCTGTTTGTCCGTCTGGGATCCCGAACAATTTCGTTTTGCACGAAAAAAGTTCGACCAGGTCCGAAGTGGTCCGTGCGCTAACATTTTCCTTCTTTTGCGGAGCCGCGACCTTAGTCTTGCCTTATCGGGGTATCGGCCCTCAGTGAGCCTTGAGAGCCGACATCAAGGGTCTTAGGCATTCGTTCCGCTGGGAATGCAGATCTTCCAAAGACTTTCTTCATTCAAAATGATGAGTATGCGCTAGGAATGGGTTTTATGATTTTGAATCGTCAGATGTTGCTGCTTTTTCGGAGAAAATTCCATCGAGGTCTAAAAACTGATAGATGTCGTCTACGTACAATAGTAACGGTCATCGAGCAAAGCATGAGATGATGATGATGATGATGATAATTATCATTACGTATATCAATATATGGAGTTTATCATGGCGGCATTTGTTCTACATTCTAAGCGCCCAATGTGGGTATCATGCAATTGTTTCTTCCATTACTCAATCCTCTTCTTACCCTCCTCCAAATAGCTCAGCCGGCTGGTGCTTGCGCCGCGCTCATGTTTGCCAACCCACTGCCCAATAATCTTATCTTTGCTGGCACTAGCGATGGCTTCTTGGTAACCTTCCATGGCATAAGTGGGTGTGTTGAGCTTGGGCCAATTGACCTGTCGATGAATGTCAGCCCCTTGAACTTTCACCAATGCACACATGTTGGGTCCAACTTACGTAGAGCATTCCATTGTTGACAATAAACCGAAAGCACCAAGCACTCAAAGCCATGAATGAGCACATCATGATCCGTAATGGCCAGATGGTTGACTCAGGAAGTCGTCTGGTGAAAACTGCAACAAAGATGAAGAATACGCTCGCCCCTAAAACGTAGGGGACAGCTTGTATCATAATCGGCCTCCGGTCCACGAAGAGGTACGAGCTACCAACTGAGGTCGCTGAAGGCAGATAGGCACCCAGAAACAAGTCAAATCCATCTTGCCTCGGCCCGTCCGCAAAGTTGTTGCGAAAGTAACGAGTAATGGAATTACTCAGATCCTGCACCATTCCTGCTCTTGTACGCTTTCCAGTACGCGTAAAATCTGTCTTGAGGGCTCCGGTCCCGGAATAAGAGCGCGAGACAACGTCGGCATTGTCGGCCCAGACATTTCGGAAGAGAAGAGCGAAAGCCGGATCATCACTAGCTGCTTCACCATGCTCCAGTATACCAAGGTCCGCCAGCATCCGATTTAGCGTCCAGAGCGCAAGCATGCTCTGAACTACGTTTGTCCGATCCAAACAATCCATGCAATTCGTCCGCACCACACTCCTCTGCAGGTTACGAACTTCAAGGGTACCATTCGGGTCACCAGGCATGTCGACCCCTCGGAAGTACTGTTGCGCTTGTAGAGCATCCGACATCTCATCGAGAAGAAGTTGGGCTCGATGCCATCTTAGCCCCTTGGTTTCGCTATGAAAATCAAAATACACATAATGCAAACGGTCAATTTCCTTAGACTTCTTCTTTGCATCCAAGGTGTGAAACTTCTCTTCTGTGAGAGGGTCACGCTTCGTCTCTTCATTTGAAGACGAAACGAGCACACGTATCATTTGTTCGTAAGCCTCCTTCACTTGTTGCTCTCGCCCTTTCTGGTTAACCAAGTTGACCAGATAGTTGTCGCCGTAAATTTGAATTTGCTCGTCGAAGTGCCGACGTGCCGCGGCGATGGCGGTTTCGACACCGCGGATCTGAAGTTTCGGTGTGTATCGAAGAGTGTTAACCTCAGCCCAGTATACGGGAACACTTCCTCTTGTCTGCACATATGAGAGCACTTGCGCTTCTCGGCCGGCGCTTGAGCCCAAGTCTCCGTTTGCCATTCCTTGGCCTGCCGAAAAGCCCCCAAAATCGGAGGAGCGATCATTCAAAATGACAATCTGCTCAGTCTCGTTATAGTTGGATACATGACCTAGCTCATCCATTCCGCGAGAAAAATATCTAGTTCCAGCCCTATGTCTTGAACGGCGGGTGATGAGTGCAAAGGTGAAGGGAGTGGACTTTAGTTTCGTGGCTGTGATTCTTAGCATTCCGAACATGACAGGAAGGATATAAGAATCCACGCCCGGTTGCTCTCGGCCCTGCAATCGCCCTCCTCCGGTGTGGCTGCCTCCATTTCGAAGGTCAATTAGGTCACTCTGGATGAATTTGTTCCAGAAGAATCGATCATCTGCCCGCTTCCATAAAGGAACGGCAGCGTCTGATTGCGCCTGACGCTGGAAGCTGTTGGTAATATCATACGAGTAGGAAAAGTACATTGGGCCGTTTCGTAGTAGAGACTTGAGGAGATCAAGGTAGGTATCCTCATCAGGATCGTGCAAAGGCCGTTCACGGAGAGGGAGAAATTCGGTCGCCACGACCCTATAGACCATGTGGCCTTTGAGGCGTCCCATAGGCTGGGCTTTGGTAATGACGATAATGTATTTATCTAAAGAAAAAAAATGTTAATTGCTGGGCCAGGACATGAGAGTCAACTTTATGATTAGATGCGCACCCAAGCGTAGTCGGATGATACCCAGAATCCCCGCGATGCTAGAGACCCGCTTGGCACCTAATAGTGAGCCATCATTCAATCTCAGGTCGCCAGAAGGCCGCTCCACTACAAGAGTTGGAGCCGTAGGCGAAGAAGGGGAGGTAAAAGCATAATGAGAGGCTGAGGCATGGACGTTGATGTCACGGTAGGGAAGGGTGGTTGCCATGACGGCAAAGCGATCAAGAGGAAACGAAATCTAGTGAATGAATCGCCAATGACCTGGACAACGGGTGGAAAGGAAATATATGAGTTGAATAAATATGCTATGGGGCAAGCGAACTCCGGAGAAGACTCCGTGTCTTTGAATATGAAGAGACTCTTAAGAGGTCGGCAGGAGAAATGAGGCTGGGACTGTAGTTGGATGACGATAGGACTGCTTTCCCTGGTGAGGCAGTGGGATGTTACTGCTGTGGCTGGTGCAGTAACACAACATCTGCCCACTAAGGTGTCTACTTAATTTCCGTTGTTCCGTACAGTGTTGATTGCGTACCCCCTGGATTACCCGGAGCTTCACATTATCTTTAGCTGTGTGGCTCTGTGGCTTTCGCGCTGATAAACCCGCAAATAATGGCTCTCCTACAGCCAGTACGTCGTCATCGCCTTTGCCGAACTATTCCATCCGAAAGGGGACTAAAAGGCGCCGATGGTCTTAATCGCTCTCCCTTACGAACCCGTCATGCTACGGTGATCGATTCAGATAGGTGAAGTAGCTTTCTTACTCTTTACGGTAGAGCGCAGCTGTTACTGTTACCGCCACTACTCGTTAGTTGCTTGAAAGGCATTTGGATTTTCCTTGACGACGTACGCCCCATACACTCCGTACTGTGAAGATGTACTACGGGCAACGACTTGGCCGCTACTCAACCACCTAAACCCTGCCTACCTTACCTGGCTTGCACCCCCATCATCATCACCATCCTCACCATCGCCCTTCGCCTCCCTCTGAAGTCCACCGACAGCAATTTTGCATTTGAGCTTTAAGAAATCAGACGAACTGCTCGTTGGAAGTTGTCATCCACCGACACTCGAGGTCTAGATTCAGCCAGCTGGGGCTGAAATACTTTAGCTCTCACTCGCATACCGCCTATCAGCTCCCGAAACATTTCTCTTCATCATGGCCGCCAGGGTTCCCGCGAGCGCCCGAGCTGGAGGGGCACGGTTTGCTCAGTTTAAACTCGTCTTGCTCGGTTAGTGGTGCATAATTTCAATCATTCCAGTTGTTTTAGGTAGCTAGAATCATATACTAACAAAGACATCTTTAGGAGAATCGGCTGTAGGAAAGGTCTGCGTTTGAGCCTACTATCGCATGTAAACCTTTACAAGAAGACTAATTTCTATGATGCAGAGTTCGCTCGTGCTTAGATTTGTCAAGGTATGCGAACCTCAAATGTTTGTTTCGCATCGCTTCCTGACGGAGACGAACTTTTAGGACCAATTCGATGATTACAGAGAGTCGACGATTGGCGCCGCCTTTCTGACCCAGACAATCGCTTTGGACGAGAACACGACAGTGAAGTTTGAAATTTGGGATACTGCAGGCCAAGAGCGCTATAAGTCTCTGGCCCCAATGTATTACCGCAATGCCAACTGCGCAGTTGTTGTCTATGACATCTCTCAGGCAGTACGTGCTGTACTCGATACTCCTCAACCTGCTAAAAATTGCTAATATTCGCTTTCACCTTGTAGCAATCCCTGGACAAGGCCAAGGCGTGGGTGAAGGAGCTGCAACGACAGGCCAATGAGAACATCGTCATTGCACTTGCCGGCAACAAGCTCGATCTTGTCACCGAGAACCCCAGCAAGCGTGCTATTCAGACAGAAGACGCAGAAACGTATGCTAAGGAAGCTGGACTCCTCTTCTTTGAGACATCGGCAAAGACATCAGAAAATGTCCGGGAGCTGTTCACTGAGATTGCAAAGAAGCTCCCTCTGGATCAGGCGGGACCGAGAAATATTCGGTCGGGTCCTCGCGCAGGCGTCGATTTGAGACCCGAGGCTTCGGGCACACAGGGTGCTGGAGCTTGTAGTTGCTAATTTGGTGCACTCCTTTACAGTTTGGCTGCAGCAGGTTACATCTTTCTTTGGTAGAGCGTTTGTTTCCTCACTTGATTGTGCTCTTCTAGAGTGGAGTCTGCTTAGGGTCTTTGACCCTCTGTTAAGGCGTGGACCAATGTGTCCCGTCGTATCTATTCTCAAAGGCGAGATGAGATTCTCTGGGTTGTTTGATATATTTGGTGCTTGATCATTGCTCGATTGTTTATTATTTCCTCCCACCCGGTACTTACACATCTAATACTCTGCTGCCCTGGATTGCCGCTCGACTTGGGAAGGAATCGTCACCGTCTACTCCTTTACGGCTTTGAACACTTCATTTCATCAGTTTCATACATTTATTGTTTGATGCTTTTATTCCATCTGATTCTTTTCTTTCCTCCAATCTTTAATATTCTCAGGTAGAGAAAATTTATTCTCAGACATTATTCCTATATTTTGTGAGGCTGTATGTGTCCTTTGATTTGTACATCGCTGGGGTTGAAAGCATCCTACCTCATAGTTGGAGATTGCTTTGAATGATGCTCAAAGAGGGAGTACAATATCCGCTGGGAGACAAATGCTCTGCCGATATGGTCCTCGCAGAAATATTGCACGGCCTTCTACATGAATGTGTAACCCTCCTACACTTCCTCCTCAGAGTTTTTGAAGAAATTCAAGATGAACGAACAAATGAGCAATACTTCTCATCCCTTCAGATGAAAAGAACGCTGGTAAAGATCGAGGGATGTTTCTGTCTTATCGGCATGCTCGGCTCGGAGGTCGGAACGGGCTTGGCGCGCTGCCTTGAACTACCGCAACTTAAACGTGCGTTGTACCTTTGTACCTGCTGGACAGTCCGGTCGTCAGGAACCGCCCAAGGGCACTTTTGGCACCTCGGGCAACCGACCTCAGCCTTTTCATCGCGAGCCTTCGTCATCAACTACCCTTTTCCTCCTCAATCTCCACTCTTTCTTTCGCCTGGCCCAGCCCGTCATGCTGCGTGCCTCTCTTCTCTCCAGCAGAAGGCTTGTCGCCGGAGGCAATGCGCTCCGGGGCCAGAGCCAATGGCTTGCCGTTCGCTCTGGGACTCACGCTCAAGTTCCCTTGGTATGATGAAATCCAACAGATTCTCTCGAAGGCTCTTTGTCCTGACTGGAGCAATTGAAATCTAGCGTACCTTTGCCGACACCAGAACACCAGAACATCGCGTCCCTTCTTCTCAAGCTGCGCCTCCTCCGGGTCGAGTAGTCCCTGAATCGCCGTCGCCTATCACCCCGAGCTCCGCTTCCGTTGTGCCCCCAGAGACCGTTCCGAGCGCGCCTCATGTGGCTCAGGTGCAGACTGCTCCTCCTAGCTCTATTCCACCAACCGCTGGAATTGATGTTGGCTCGAATCCTCCTCGTGGACCTTCCGATGAGCAGGGTATCCCACCTCCACCACCTCCACGCAAGCGACACCCTTTCCGCAACTTCCTGATTGCTTTGGCGTTCTTGAGCGGTCTTGGCTACGCTGGGGGTGTGTACTACTCGCTTGTTTCAGATAATTTCCACGACTTCTTCACAGAGTACGTTCCGTTTGGCGAAGATGCTGTCCTCTACATCCAAGAGCGGCAATTCCGTCTTCGCTTCCCTGGCCGGAATGCCTCTCAGAATCGTTTGGTCCATATGCCTAGAGAGGAATCGAACAAGGTCACCATTGCTGGCCGAAGCGGTGTCTCGTGGAAGGTAACGGACCATGATGATAAGGATAGCAGCAGCGCGAAGACGAGTGCTGTCGCCTCATCTCCAGAGCCAGCTGCTTCGCCCAAGCCTGAGGAGAAGCGGGAGCCGGCTTTTAAACCCGCCTCTGTGGTGCCTCTGGATCCTCTCAACGTGAAGGATGCGGAGGAACCTGTGGTGCAGGATCTAGTCAAGGTCCTTAACAATATCATTACCGTAATTAACGCTGACAATGCATCTGGCAAATACTCTTCTGCCATTGAGAATGCCAAGACCGAGCTATCAGCTGTCACCTCTAAGATCAACGCCATGAAGGAAGCCGAACAAAAGGCCGCGGATGAGAAGATCCGGTCCAGCCACGAGGAGTTTGACCGCGGTGCCCGGGAATTGGTTCGCCGTCTCGAGGAGGAGATGCGAGATCAAGAGGCCCGATGGAGAGAGGAGTTTGAAGCGGAACGCGAGAAGATCTCTCAATCGTACCAGTCCAGACTCCAGAACGAATTGGAGCGTGCCAAGGATTTGTCAGATCAGCGTCTCCGCAACGAGCTTCTCGAGCAAGCCATTGATTTGAAGCGCAAGTTCATTGATGAAGTCCAAGAGCGTGTCGAGAACGAGCGCAGCGGTCGTCTCGGCAAGCTGACTGAGCTTTCTTCGAGCGTTTCGGAGCTCGAGAAGCTGACGACTGGCTGGAACTCTGTCCTTGACGCCAATCTCAAGACACAGCACCTTCACGTGGCGGTCGAGGCAGTCCGAGCCAACCTTGAGACTGCAGAGCAGCCCCGTCCTTTTATCCGCGAGCTCGCTGCTCTCAAGGAGATTGCTGATGATGACGCCGTTGTTAATGCCGCTATTGCATCCATCAACCCTACGGCTTATCAGCGGGGAATCCCCACCACGGCTCAGCTCATTGAGCGCTTCCGCCGCGTCGCGGCTGAGGTGCGCAAAGCCGCACTGCTTCCTGACGGCGCTGGTGTGGCCAGCCACGCTGCCAGCTACGTGCTGAGCAAGTTCTTGTTCAAGAAGAAGGGCTTGGCTGTTGGTGATGATGTCGAGAGCGTTCTAACCCGAGCGGAGACATTGCTCGAGGAGGGCCAACTCGACGATGCCGCGCGTGAGGTAAACAGTCTTCAGGGTTGGGCAAAGACCCTCAGCAAGGACTGGTTGGCTGAGGTGAGAAGCGTTTTGGAGGTCCAGCAGGCGCTTGAGGTAAGTCTTTGTATTCTTCAGCTCATTGCAAGCTTGAGTCTTTGTCTTTGAATCGTGGCTAACTGAAAGTTTTACAGGTCATTGCGACAGAGGCCAGACTGCAGAGTCTGCGTGTTGATTAGAGTTCTTAACGATGTTTGTTGACTACGCTCATATATTTAATTGCGACGCTTCCTTTCTTCGGCTGATCGCTCTCTTGTACCCAATGCGCGCTTTTGGCACTCGGAAAGCGAGGGCAGGAAGAGCGCGATGCACGTGTAGTCAAGAGGTTCCCAGTGGAACTGTGTAGATATCTGCATTGCGACGAGATAGAGATATAACTTGTATTCTTAAAAAGCTGAATTTTCTGCGGCATTCCCTCTAATTTCTAAGCTCCATCGTTCTTTTAGAGAAGACTGATGTTTTTTTTCCATCTTCTTGTTGACGTTGATATTCTCCTAGCCACAATGGGTCAATCACATGCAAAAGGCAGATGATTGCAAATAAAAGGTGATGAGGGGCAAAATCAGATTGTGAAACATGAAAGACCACAGCACTCCTTCAATATTGGACATGAATCAGATTCTTGAAGCAAAGGACACATTTTATCCAAACGCCTAAGCTTTGTCGTGTTGAGCAGAGTCTAGAAGGGTTGATGGCCCGAACTAACTTATTTTCCCCCCGCCGCGCGTTTACATAGTCTTCCCGCCGGATCCATGCACTTGACCTATACCGTCATACTCCCCCGGCTACTATTGAACCGACCACCTCGATACCTCATTATTACCCTCCTGTTTTCTTCCTCATCTGCCACTCTCAACAATCATATCTCGAACGCGTCATCCAGAACGAATCAAACAATCTTCCGACAGGCAAATACTCTGGCCAAGCCCCATTTAAAGAAAATAACACCAGCAATACAGTCTGTGGGGCCTCTAAACTACGCAATCGCCGATTCTTGCGGTCCTCGCGATTCTTGGACTTCGTCCGGCTGCATTGACCACCATTCTACGCGCTATCGATATCGTTGGACTTTTTTCGCATGCGGCAGAACAATGTCAACCTTGCCTTCTATTGTCGACCCTTGTGGCCGTAGACGATAGCGCAACCCTCGATGAATTGAGCGCCCAATGTCAAATCCCGCCGAAAGTCGCGCTTCGGCGCCCTCGGCGTCCTCGGCGTCACCACAGCCTTCTCCTGCTTCGTCTTCGACGCTCCATTCTCGACGGTCACGCTCTCCAGCATTATATCCGGACTCGCCAGGCTTGGAAAATGGATCTTTTGAAAGCCCCGGACCTGACAGTTCGCCGAGCATAGGTAATGATGGTGCAAGTACGACATGGGACAATTCACCGCAGAGCTCTCCCCTCGGTGGCAGCAGTCGAACCAACGTTGCAAGCTCGAGACCACATTCACATGGTGGCTTCTTGCTTGACACAGCATTGGCGCCTGGCAGACGGACGCGACCGTGGCCTCGAGAAGGGCGCTATGACTTGTTAGACACGAAGGGCAAACGTCGCCGTTTGGGGGCCGACGACGGGAGGGCCAAAATGCGCAATCAGCCTCCACGACATTTTCCAAGCTCGCCGTTAGCTACTCACAGTGCCAACGCTACGTCTGATTATGGGGGAACAGGAAATGGGGGGGATGAGGCTAGCTCACCAATTGCCTCGCGGCACAATTCTCCTCGTCAAAGGCTAAACAACAATGGACCCAGTATTCGCTTTCAAGATGTGCGACAAAGAGACGAAGGCACCCCGTCGATTGGCTTGAATACAGATCCGGCACAGATTGTGAGCCTGGCGCTTAACCTGAGCGAAGGTCGTCGCAGAACTGCCAGTGCTGGCAGGCAACCAAGTATAAGCAATCGTCGCATATCTTCTATCGGTCAGTCGCAACCACCTATGGACCTACCAGGTTTCTCTTATGCAGAGGGGCCCGGTGGAGCTCTGCGTGAACATTTACGGCAACAACGTCGAATATCATACAATGTGCCTTCCACAGCACGCAAAATCTCGACCGCGTTAGGTGTAGGAAGCCCTTTGGGTAGAGGTCCCACTGGTGACATTGGTGGATCAGGCGAGGTAGATACCTTCTTGCTAGATCCGAACTTTCGTTATCAATTTTCTGCGTCAACCCTGGCACGCGCCGAAAAGGCAAGAAATTTCTTTGAGCTTGCCCATGAATATCGCAGGCTGCTGCAGTGTCTCCCTCCTATCAAACCCCAGCTCCCTCGTGGCTCGAAGGGCACGGGTTCTCCTAATGCTCAAGAGTCACTGTCTCGGGCTACGACAAGATCAAATGACTGGCATGAGTTGGGCAGAGAATACAACCCTTTGCAATGCATCCGAAATCGCAAAGTTCGCGCTCGCGAACGCATGAGTGTCGACTTGGACGCGCAAGGATGGACGGACCCTGACAAAGTTGCGGATTGGGTCGATGAGATCGAGGCCGAGTCAGGCAAGGGCGAACTGGCTTATGGCGATGGTGCTCTGTTTCCGCCTTACGGGCCCGGTGGACCAGTTCAAATTGGTCGAGATGAGAATGCACCTAGCCAGTCTGGCGTTCATCGTCGTGGCGCCAGCACTCATGTCAAGCCTCGTCGGCCCAGAATGGATTGGTCGATCAATCCTGCCGAGAACCTCGCTGATGCGTTCTGGCTTGAGCAAGCTGGTCACCGCGCGCTGATTGAAGACAAGGACGGATTCAAGCTCTTCCCGGGTGCTTCAAGACCGAAACCCATGTCCTCGCATGCTCCAGCCTATCCGCCATATAACCCAAGTCCTAACGAAGTAAACGCGTCGCCAGCCCACGAAAAGATTGCGATGCACCCCATGAATACTCAATACGGAGAAGGCGGAATTGAATTCGTCCGTGAGCAGCTGCGTCTCGAGAAGCAGCTTCAGAACCAATCTCGCGGTCGAAGCGCCGAGAGTGGCTCCCGTAAGCATCGGTACCGGAGGCAAGCGCGCGAAATCACTCCCTCTGTAAGTCCCTCGTCTTCTGAGTCATCTGATGATGAAAAGGCTCGAGGGATTCGTGGTCGACTCGGACGAGCACGTCGAAGCCGGGATGAGATTGAAAGTGAGGCAATTGAAAAACGCATGCTTCAGATGTTGGAGAAGGACGCAAAGGAAACAGGGATTGAGGATTTTCTGGCTTCCCCAAGGTCCGGCAAAGGTCAAGGCACCGCCCTTCACAATTCCAGTCAGCAGCACCTTCAACTCCCCAACAGTCATCCAGACTCTGTAGTCGAACCGAACGGGTTGGAATCGCGCAGGCAATCTCATACGACGCTCTCTAGTCATGCCAGTACAAATCAGAATCAGAATGGCGGATCTGTCCAGTCCTTGCACGATCCAGACGAAGTCGCCCCCCGGACATCCTTTGCTGAAGGATCCATCCCGGACATTGGTGTAAACGGCTCTGCGCCGGCTAGTCGCGCCGGGTCTCCGATACGCAAACTTTTTTCAGCTGCATCCAGCAAAGGCCGCAAAATGGAGGGTTACCCTATCAGCGAGAATGATTTTGCTATGGAGGAGGGAGACGATGATGTTGACTTTCAAGACCCGACGGCCGTTGGCCCAACGAGAACACTCTCCCACCGGGATAGTGCCGAACTTGGCCCACGTGAGAGCATGGATAGTTTAAGGCGAGGAAAGCGCTTGAAGAAGGAGAAAGAGAACGATGCCAAGGGTCGTGGCTTCTTCAAAGGAGGTAAACTGGAGGCGCTGCTTAAACGTGAGGCGGCAAGGGTGGGGGATATATTCTGGCGCAAAGATGAGCCCAGCAATGCGCCCATTGAATCATCTCGATCAAGCATCGAAGCCGATATGTCGAATACCGAGTCTGATGCTTCGTTTCCTGTGGCAAAGAAACCGAGAACTAGGGACGGAGATCAAAGGGGCAAGGATGATTCACCCTCGCTATCCCGAAAAACTACGATTGAACCCCCGCCTAAATATCATATGGACAATCTTCCAACATTCACGTCTCGGCGAGCTCCTCAGTCTTCCATCCCAGAAATTCGTACCCCGGTCGAGGATCGACAGGCGGAGCGCAATCAACTTGACCCCCAGAAACGCGACGAACCTGCGCAGCGTTCTACCCAGGATATTTCTCGCCAATTGTCGCAGGAACCAGTAGGTTCTAAAACAGATTTGGAGGATTCCTCCCGCTTTACAAGTCGAACGGACCTTGAAAGGATGGAAACTCCCCAGAACCTCACAGGCGGCGATACTCTTATTAATGCCGCGCTGGGACTACCTGGCCGCGTTTTCCGGGCCTATGGCCCGCCTGTAACAGGGCTGGCCAGCTTGGGAGTAACTCAAGACAATAAGGCTTCACACCGTCCGAGACTGGAAGGAATGCGCCATTGGAGCATCGCTGATCGAGAATTGCCTCCGGTCCAGACTGCTGTCACTCGGCAAGAAATCGCGCGAGTGCGGGCACTTCTACTTTGTTCTGGAGTAAAAGCTAAGGAGATTAACCGACGAGCAAAGGAAGTTCGCAGTCCAGAAGATTCTCTTGTCAGTCTAGTAAAACAGCCAGTGCACGGTGTTCCCCGAGTGGACGAGCATATGGTAGCCGCACATTTCATCAGCAAGGAGTTTGATGCCGGCGTCCAAAGATTCCATGAAGATGTTAAGCGCCTTTCTGATAGCCGAATTGCAAATTTACACGAGCGTCTTGCAGTCTTGCAGGATCGTATCGAGGGGAAACTTACTCCCATTGTCCAAGGTCTGGCTGACGAGGCGGATTATCTCAACACCGAACTGACTACGACACGAACATTATCACTAAAGCAACTCAACGATAGCCTTGGGTTTGTGATTCGAAACCGGCGAGGAACGCTGCGATGGGCTCGAAAGCTTGGCTTCTTAATTCTCGAATGGACATTGCTCACGCTCATGTGGTGCGTGTGGTTTATTGTTGTGGTCGTACGATGGGTACGAAAGATTCTTCACGCTATTATGGCCGTCATCCGCTGGTTGTTGTGGATGTAAACCTAATGCTTTGCTGCCTTCAAATCCTTTTTGGCTCCTGTTTCCACGCTTCCACTGCCTTGTTTTGGATTCGTTTCCTGTGCATAAGCGGCCTCATTTGCATTTTCCAAAGCTGATTTGCCTCATTCACACGTTCTTTTGACGTGAAAGTAATTTCTTGGTTTTGCGTGTTGGTTTACTCAAGCCCTGTTTCATGTTGGTTTCTAGTACTGGAATGATACCAAGGAATTCGGATTAAATTGTATAGCACGGTGTAAAATATTTTTGATCTTTAGAATGGTTAATCCACGGAGTTGTCTATGAGGTAACGTTTCATAATCTGCTGCAATTTCATAAATGACATCAAATACGAAATTTACAAGGATATTCTAATTTTCCCCCTCATTTGGCAGCGTAGAGTACTGAGTGTTTTGAGAGACTGTTCAGCCACGGATACATGTGGCTTGTGAGACTCTCGGAGTATGTGTGGCTTCGCAAGTCAAAAAACTTTCCCCAATGGTTACCCGGCCTTTGCTCACTGGGGATCCCTGCAATTGCGGATTTGCCCAAAAATTGTTTTTTTTTTTTTTTTCTTCCGATTTCTTACGTCTACTCTGTTTGTCCATCTTACAGCGGAGAAGCTTGTCGCGCTGAAATTGATTGCGTAAAGCGCTGGCAGCTATCAACTGCGTCGCCATGACGAGAGTACTGATACCTGCTGGGCGCCGCAATTCTCGTCGATCCAAATCGGACATCCGCACGCACCGGGATGTCATTGTTCGGCGGTGATGATCTATCTGCTGCAAATAGCTCATCGCAAGCATTTCCTGCGGCTCAGCAGGATTCATTGAGCGGAAATGGTCACTCAGCACCGGTACCAGCTTCACATAATACCGGCCTTGATCTGAACGACAATGATGCATCCAATGCGCCTGTGACCACTGAAGACGAACGGCAATCCGAGGAGCAAGCAGAAGAAGACAATGGAGACTTTGACTACATGAGCAGTGGAACCTCACAGTCTGAAGAGAGGCCGAATAAATTCCAGGGGAAAGCATGGGAATGGCGATCATGGACGGCTCCAGAGCGTCAGCTGGCTGCGAGCTTAGACCAGCTTCAAGCGGAAGATCTTAGCTTGCATCTTTATAATGCCCATGGCTTGAAGCGACGCTTGCGGAAACGTTCGGGCGAACATGTTCCCAAAAGCTGGAGAAGCAAGGAGAGCTGGATCTCCAACGAAGCGGAGTGGCGTCCGAGCAAACCTTGGACCGCTTGGCCTGTTCGACCAGATATTGTTCCCCGAGAGACCGAGGGCTTCAACCGCAAGGCCAACGACGAGTTTGATGCTTATACGATAAAACGCGCTGGTACGTGGAAGCCAAGCTTCTGGTTAGAAGAAGAGCTCATGGCCACGACGCTACGGATCGCAAAGGATGGTTTTGACAATCGAGAATTGGAAGAAGAATGGATTGAGAGCGAAGAAGGGACAGCTCAGAACGGTGATATCCCAGACATCAAGGATGCTGCATATATGACAGATGATTCGCAGGCGGGCATGTCAGATTATCCGAGAAAGCTTAGGGTTCGACGAAAGGTCAGAAGGGAGGATCCAGGACCGCCGCTGAGACCTGTCGTGATGGCAGACGATGATCAGGCAAAGCGGATATTACAACCCACGACTCGCCATATACTTTCGAGCTTGGACAATCTCCTCGCCGGCCTACGTCATTCGCGTCAAGCTTATGCACTCTCATCAACAGAGGGAGATACGAGCGATGCTCAAACCGAACTCGAACCTGAGCCAGCTCGTGCAGAACGCTCAGAGAAGGATGAGACTGCCAATCAAACCAAGCGTCGCGCAGGCCGGCCGCGTAAACCCAGGCCTCTCGTCCCCACAGATATTCCGCCGGTCCCAGCTCAAGAGGAAGATGACGAGTTGAGTGATTCGTCGCCCGCTTCAGCGGGCAAAAAGCGTAAAGTTGGTCGGCCAAGGAAATACCCCAAACCTCTCGAAGGCGAGACATATTACATGATGCGCCAACGTCTAGCTGAGGAATCAAAGCTTTCAGCTCGCGCTCGGCGGGCAGCTCATCGTGCAAATGTCTCGACATCAGAGCCTGAATCTCCCACTGCATCACAATCCACACAACGAAAGCCGAACGATAAAATGAGAAGCCATTCCAAAAATAGGTCAAAGAGCACAGGCTACAGCTCTTCTGGCTCAACTTCTGATCTTTCAGCACGGAGCGTCACCAAGCGGTCCGGGTCGTCGACCGACGAAAAGGCTTCGCGGCAGTCTAGAACGTTTGAGAGCTTGGGTTTGCGCGACTGGAGTGAGGTCATAGGTATTGCTTCAATTGTTGGATGGGATCCTAAGGTAGTGGCGCGGACAGCGAGCAGATGTGCCAAATTGTTCGGCGAGAGTCTCGAAATGAGGACGCTAGGAGATAAAGGTGCTCCAGTCACGACGGAAAGCATTACAGAATTTACGCCATTTGGTGTTCGGTCCGATAGTATCAACGCGCCATCAGTGAGCTCGAGGAACAATCCCGCCTCACGAGAAAACAGTACATCGCTTGCTGCTGAATCGAGGCTGAATGAAGCTGCCAGTGCTTCAATATCGTCCTTGTCTCAGCCTTGCCTCGAGGGATCTCTTACACGACCGCGTCCTCGTCTTCCCCAAGCCGTACCGTACTCGCCCTGGTCATTGGATCCGCAACGCACCTGTCCCATCCCGGAATGCAGATACCACAATCACGTCTTCAAAAAGCGCTGGAACTTGCACAATCATATACGTCGAACGCATGGCGAAGAATTCCTCTCCAGCGCCGACACTACCCATCGCCCAACCCCAACACCAGCATCATCTTGCCGTGTACCAGGCACTCCCGTCCCGTCCACTATTCCTACCCCTCCAGTCGGCCTCGCTGTCAATGGTGTGGATCGCAATTCCATGCCTGCTTCCATACACACTTCTCCCAGCAGAGGCGGCGGCTCAAAGAACTTGGACATTGATCTGATCCCTCACGCTCTTCTGCATCCCTACGACGAAACACTAGGCGGCGTCCATGTTGATGGATTCCTCAAACCAATTCCCCCGCCGCCCCCAATTCGTGGCCAGGATCGAACCAAGAGGAAAGCCCGAACAGATTATATGCAAGCCAAGCGGAAAAGGTCAAGTCCGTCGGTGTCAAAAGAATCTCAGAGAAGTCGTCTAAAGGAGGACGAGAAGGACGCAGAGATTGCAATGCAAGATAGACTTGACGCCTATTCGGCCTCCAAGGCAGAAAAAGATAAACAACAACAACAAGGCCTCCGCGACCATACGACGAATCAAGACACAGATACCGATACAGAAATGGACGACGTTTCTGACGCCTAATCTAACCAACAATACTGGATCTCTTTTGGATACAATTTGGGATCATCGGTTGCTACTCCTTTTCTTATTTCTTCTATTCTTCCTCTGCGCTGCGATGCGCTGTCCTGGTCTATTCTGTGCTGGATAAATTGTAGCTTATACCCTGCTTTTCCTGGCAAATTTGTCATAGTACTTGCTTTTTTGAACTCCTTTTCGCCTCAACTCCTTTCTGGCTTCTTTTCGTCTCACTCCCTTCTTGTATCCTGCTTTTCTAACCACCATCACACGATGCATCAATGCTTTTGCATACGGTGTACTATGTACTATTTGCTTAATGTAACATACCTTGGAAAAACGGAACGGAAACCCCCAAAAAATAAACAGGAAAATAGGACGGGTAAAATCGGGTTATTACGGGAAAATCTCGGCGTTGGAGTAGTTATAGGTAGTTATAGGTAGTTTTCAAAAGTACTTCTCCATAATTTTATAATTTATTTAATCCTCTTCTTTTCTTTTTCGTTTTCTTTTTCTCTTTTCTCTTTTCTTTTTCCCTCGCTGTTTGCCGCTTTCTCCCCTCGTTCCCTCTCCTCTATCTCCTTCCCATTCCTTTAACCATTTCCAACAATTGCTGTACGGTGTACCTGCATTATTGCATATAAATCCCCTCTTTCTCATTCTCTCAAAGAAAGCGAAAATCCTAGTCCTTTCACTAAAACACGGATTCTTACAATCTTCATGACACAATTTTATGTATGTCCTGTATCACAGACCGAGTTATGAACATATGCCAGACCCGCGAATTTATAAATCTATGAATCTATGATGGTACAGAGTATCTCATCCCGCAATCCGCCGCTCACCTCGCGCTGCCCACCTCATACCTCATACTTCAACACTCACAACTCACAACTCACACCGAAACCAGCGCCACTTGATCAAACAGTGAAACTACACAGTACTCCATACCATATACGCACGTCCTACGTACGTCCCTTTTCCTTTTTCTATGCTGCTATGCATGCCCGTATGATGTATCATCAGAAACCCAGGATTCAGACCCGAGATACGTATCTACGGCCCGGAGACTGGGTTCCCGGAGTCATTCCCGGAGTCATTCCCGGAAATGACTCCGGGACACTTTGATATTCTGGAATTTCTGGTACGGTAGTACAAAGTACCATTTCAACAAAAAGGGGGAGGGTTGTTGTCATTTTTGGCAAAAAGGACAAAAAGGGGCGGGTATAGGGAGGGTATAGGACAGTGTAAGGCACGAATGAGTACGTACGACCATAGACTGAGGAGAACTGGGCATCCCGTCCGCTCTGCCATACATAAGCCTCAGATCGGCGGACTAGTAGTTGGGTCGGTGACGACCAGCGAATCCCCGCTGTTGTACGTTTTTTGCGTCCCATTTAACTTGGTTTTATTATTATTATTGTTGTTGTTTTTGTTTGTTTATTTAGTTATTTATTTATTTATTTTTGGTTGAAAAATAGCCATCTATAATGGAGGTTTTTGTTTGAATTAAAAAGAAAAAAGAAAAAGGGGGGGGGGGGGGGGAAATCAAAAGAAAACAAAATATAATATAATGTAATATAATGTAATATAATGAAATAAAATAAAGAATAAAATATAATAAAACAAAGAATAAAAAGAAGGAGGAAAAGAAAAGAAAGCGCGATATTGCGGACAGAATACATCAACTTGATGACAGAACACAGGTGACAGTACCCTGATTCAAGTGTCAGGCGAGAAGCAGATCGAACAACGATAATCGGATTACATGCCGTGCAGTGTAACAACTACAATGTAAGAGTGAACAAGGTACAACTGAGGCAGCTGGTCTGTAACTCTATTTAGGGATCGGTTTCTTCTGAAGACTGATTTATTATCCTATGAAATGCATTTGCTATGACAAGGACAACGACAAGAACAACGACACCCAGGGAAGATAGTATCCAATGTATGCTGATGCGGTTTCCAATAAAATAGACCCTGGATCAAGAAGAAAGGAAGGGAAAAGGGAAAAGACATGAGGGAGATAGAGATAAAAATATGCCATGCATGTATGCATGTATGTTCTAGACAAGAGAGAAAGGAATAAAGGAAAAGGAGATCTTGAAAAAAAAAAAAAAAATAGAAATAAAATAAAAAGAAATAAAAACGAAAATAAAAATAAAAATAAAAATAAAAAGAGACAACAAGATTATAACTCCGTTTTACTGCGCGGCTGAAATATACTTTTCCCCGTATCCTTATTCGCCGATCCGGACTCGGGCATGAAACCCTCGAGCTCCATCCACTCTGCCACAAAAGCCGTGACAATCTTGGCCCAGTCCTCGACGGTATCCAGATCAAGATGTTCGCCGTCATCCTCTTTGAGATGCCAGACGAGAGGAAAAGGAATTGGGATCAAATGCAGGACATCTACGCCGCGCTGTAAAAAGGGGACATGGTCATCTGCGATTCGCTCGCCGTTGAAGTTGGTCTGTTTGTTGTGGTCCCCGTCGGGTAGGAAATGGGGTTCGGACCGGACGACTTCATGCCGGGCTTTGGAGTTGCGCGTGGAAAGGGAGCGTTTGGAAGGATGATTGGGTGATGATTTGAGCAGACGTAGCTCGCGCAGCCGACTCTCGGCCTCGCTCATGTGGACGTATGCCCAGTGCGTGATCTTGTAGTGGGATGGCACGGTGGGGTTTTTGGCGCCAAGGAGATCTAGAAGAACAAAGAGAGAGATGGAGCTCAGTTTGTTGTGGTATGTCGAGAGAGCGGGATGCATGGATGATTCCCATGTTGATGCGAGGGATCTGTTTTAGAGAATTGGGGAAATAGGTCAGCGGGTTGGAGTGGTAAAAAAAGAATAAAATAAAATAAAATAAAAAAAACAAGATAAGATAGAGGATAGGGAAAAGGAGATCAACGCACCTCGCGCCATAAAGCGAATCCGAAGCGGTCCAGGTCACAAATGCTTCTTCTCCGTCCAGGAACAATATCTGCACACCCTGGTCGGCTTCTAATCCCATTCCTGCAGTTCCGTCTGCTTCCATCGCAGCCCACTTCCGCGTCAGGGCGTCATCTATGCTGCGCGCCATGTGCATGAGCATGGCGCATGGCGCTGCGCTGTCCGTTGCCCCAATGAATCCGGCGGGCTCGCGCTTGCTATCGTAATGCGCGACGAGCGTGAGCCGGCCCACGTCGCCGGAGCTCGCCCATGGGGGATCCCGCGTGACAATTAAATTCACGAAAGGGATTTGCGCATTGCCGGTAGCAGGAGTCCTTGAGGTTGAGTTCTGGAACTCAAGATGCCAGTTTGGAAGCGATGTGCGGAAGAAGTCGACAAAGTGATTCAGTACGGCTGTCGAGCCTGGTGTCCCTGGAACTCTGGGTCGTAGTATTGGCGCGAGTAGCTTGCCTTTATGAATATCGAAATCTTGGCCGGCATTGGGTAGGTTGCGCAGAGTTTCGTCAGAGAGCTTGGTGTATGCCGATGTTGGAGAGAAAAGGGATAGCGCGGAAAGAAGAAGGAGAATCGGTAAGAAATGGAGAACACTCCGCGCGCGTAGCAAAGACATTCTCAGGCAGATTGAGAAACCGAAAGTCATGTCATGACTGAAAGTATGGTGTACAATATCTGCTTGGAAGCGCATCAATAACTTGTGCTGTTTGGAAGGATTCAGGATGGTCATAGGCCGTCGTCCTTCCCTCGCTTGTCATAAATGGGGGTATGATTACACACCTTCACATATAAGTTCTTATGTTAACCCTCTTCCTCATATAATAGGATCTCAGGTCGAAATGAGAGCCTGGTAGATGCTTCGACCAATACAATAGCAAGGGCGTGAGGCGGTTCCAGACAAGTTGTGGTTGATAAACTTATCTTATCTCATCTTGATCAGATTAGACTCAACCCCAGGTCCCGCTCAGCTTCCCCAACCTCCACAACCCGAAATAACATGAAGGCGTGACTGCTCGCATGACATCCAGTTTCTTTCAATATTATCATTTGTCAATCCAGATATTCTTCATAGCGACTTTTCATTACTGATTCATTGTATATTGTGCATGGCAACACTTCATTCATCGTAATATAGAAGCAACCTCTTTGATTTTGCTTGCATTCTCCCCCTCGTTAGACTGTTTTACTGAAACTTGTTGTTATCCTCATCACCCCATTGTCAAAGCATATATATATTTTTGAACAAAGTTCTGCAAATGTCTTTACATCTCATTTCAAGGCTAGTCTCACCATTGAGGCGTCCAGCTGTCTCTTATTTTTCAATACCACGCATTTCACTCCGCCGTCCTCAGGCACTGCCTAGAGTAAGGCGCTACATAGCTCCTGCAGCTCGACAAAGAGTTGGAGGCAAGTATTCAGCTGTATAATTTATGATCAAGTCTAATGTATATCTTAGGTTATCCCGAACGGCTGCTCATCTATCATTCCGGGACTGGAAAGTCTGTTTTTATAGGCTGCCTCAAAGTTACGACCATTTTTATCTTTGGGTTCTCAACTCTGATCATTGGACCAATGTGTTTTCAAGCACCAGATGTCCCAAATTTGGTTGCAGGCGCTAGTAAGTCTCTATTCCCCCTTTTTTATTTGCTCATGGAATGCTCTTTTTCAATCATGAGATTACCATTGTGATTGTGTTACGCGACATAAGATACAAGGTTGACTTGAAAAAAGTTATGGTTGGCGGCTCTATACCTATACTTTTTGTGACTTATACGACTGCTCCATTTGTTCACTACGTTCATCTTCAGCTGCCAATGTTTGCGCGTGCATCGAAAGATGTGCTGCAGCGGTATACTCAACACCTGCCTGCCGATGCCAAGCTCCACTTCACTACCATGCGCCTCATTGGCACGTCTCGCATCTCCACCATACGATTGTCCGAGCTGAAGTTTGCAAAAGGAAGAGCAGGTGTCGCAAACCTCAAGCGGATTCTATCGAAACGAGCACAAGAAACCCAGTCGCCATGGTGGATGGGCAAGCCTCTTACCGACTTTTATGTAAAGCAGAGCGAGGGAAACAGCAGACAGCTTGGCATTTGGGAGAATGTATTGCATCAGATCCGACGGGCGTCCTAGGCTGCAACATTTCTAGAGATATCATTCGCCAGGTGTTCTATAGCCTGTTATGATACAAAGGTTCATAATGTGTTCAGTTATTGCCAAGATATGCAGCTTTGGTTTTTTAATCTACCCCTGCTAGGCCATATAGGCGAATAAGAGATAAGACCACGTCGATTGTGAGGCTCGGTTTGACATTGATTAATTGAAGAAGCAAGATGTGGTGCATGAGGCTAGGTCCCCAGCACACAAGCTTTTCGGGAACATTTTTACAAGTGCAGTCCCTCCTCGCCAAATCGCGACTCTTTCGGGAGATATTTGGAGATAACCGTCTAGACATGCTTACTTTTAGACCACGACAATAATCTCTCGGTGGAAATCGTCAGTAAGGAATCCGCGTGAGGCTCCGTAAGGCTACCATATTATGACTAAGCAAAGGAGAGCAATGGTATGACATTATTGGCTGATTTGCATCTTTCAGCGTCTGAGCTTGAGCTTGGATCAAGACGAAGATCCACATGGGTCTCCCGTTCCTACCATAGCCTCGATTGATCTTTTCTTGATTGGATGCGACTCTCCTCTAGATCCACTACGAAACAGAGCATTCTTCTCCTCATTCCAGGGGCTCGTATTGACAGCCGTGCCGGAGGCTCTTTTTCATCGTCAAAGGATTAGGCAACCATTATGTACCTTGCGATTCTTCCAATCATGGCTTATAATAGCAACAATAGTACAATACCCCTGGTGCTTCACTAGTATACATGCTCAAATAGTGTTTTTTCTGAGGGTCTACAGCGAGTGTGCCAGACTGGACCATTATGGCTGTGGTTAAGCCCTTTAGCTGTCCACTGCGCCATTGAGATTGCGCGTTTCTTGTTGGTTGTATTTAAGCATTGGTCAATTCCTGTCGTTATGATCATTATCATCATCACACTAATTCGCAGTTTATAAAAATCGAATTAAATACAGTCATTTCATCTCTCTATTTTGTTCTTCAATTCTCTGAAATATATATATATATTCCGTGAATTCTTATTTCTTTTGGCGAATTGCCCTTTCCCCTGATAATTGCACGGTTTTCAAAGACAACTTCACTCAATATGGGGAGGTGTTCAAGTATGGTACCGTGAACTCTGCAGCATATTGACAATCTCATTAACATGGACCAAACGCAGCTTTCGGAACTGAGAATTTTCAGTTCAATTACTGCCCATCTCCTGCGGCAGCAATCATCTTCTCGCTTCTGTTCGGCCTTGCTACAATCGGACATCTTGTTCTGGCTATAAGATACCGGAAGAAGTTTTGCTGGATCATTATCATGGCCGGCGCATGGGAGACCATTGGTCTCATACTTCGAGTCCTTTCAACATATAACCCCACCATGCAAGCCTATTCATATCCCTCTCAAGTCCTTATTCTGTTAGCGCCTCTCTGGGTTAATGCCTACGATTATGTCCTATTGGGTCGAATGGTGTGGTATTTCCTAGATGACCACCGTGTTGCCAAGATAAAGGCGAGGAGATTGGCACTGATATTTGTCCTATGTGATATCTGGTATGTTTCCTGCGACTCGCCACTTTCGTTTTTTTTTTTTTCCAAAGAAACAATTATCTTTTCCTTTCATGATCTAGCTCGGATCATTTGCTAATGCTTCCATGTTTTCTTTTTCCAGTGCATTTATTATACAAGTGATAGGAGCACTCCAGACGCAGAGCAAGGACCGACAAACGATAGAAAATGGTCTCCATATCTATATGGGCGGTATCGGTATTCAACAGTTCTTCATCTGCTGCTTTGCCTGTCTCGGTGTTGTTTTTTGGCGTAAAGCAACTGCCGGCAGGGCTATTCCACGGCCAACGGATTGGAGAAAAATGTATTACGTCTTGAACGGGACTCTCGTCTTGATATCTGTAGGTTTTGGACTCTGCTTAGTACAGTGTATACTTTGTCTATGGCACAGCACGCTGACTTTGGCATGTTAGATACGTATCATCTACAGGCTTTGCGAGTTCTCCCGCGGCGGCAACACTAACATCACCACACATGAGGCGTACTATTATGTCCTAGACGCTCTACCAACGTTCCTTGCGCTGGTTCTGCTTTGGTTTGCGCACCCGGGTACGGTCCTCGTTGGCCCAGACAGCGAGTTCCCAGAAGACGAGAGATCCTGTTGGTGGTATTGCTGCTGCTGTGGCTGTTGTCGGCAAAGGAAGAGAAAAAATAGAGTGCCGAACAACGATGTGGAGATGGATGGGGAATTAATCAATAACGCAGCGAAATTCTCTGGATGAGGTTTGATGGTGCCACGTCAATGAAAAGCTCGCCCTACTCCCGTATCTGACAATTGTGGCTCGTTGTCAAGAAGACATATGCCATCTTCTCATCTCTCTAGATTATTTTCAATCTCTGCTGTTGCAGTGTTGCTCCATCCTGGAATCTGAATATACCCCCTTTCATGTACATCCTTTGTCCTGTCCGTTTCTTGTCAACAATGGAACCTAAATAGTTTAAATCTACTGCAAAAAATAGGACGACTTCTTCAATAGAATATATCAGAGACTGTATAGATTCTTGCAATCACCATGCTGAGTTAAGCGCTTTAACAGAACTACTGCGGACAAACAATATACATGTGACCCAAAACTCGGCCGTATTTTAGACTCCGTATCCTCTCACTATTCAAGGCTCATATTTTGACTTGCTTCCAAATAAGACACCACAATCCAAGTAAAGGCAGATATCAATACATTTCAAACGACAACATCACCCAGCAAATGACAGAAGAATATAGATTGTAGAATATCAAGTAATTTAGCACACCATTGCATTTCTTTTTGGTAAAGAAGGAGACAAAAAGACCATCATTTACCACTCAAGCTAGAAACCTTACCCACGTCTCGTGCATTCATTCACTTTCCAGAAATTCAAACACACTCAAGCGTCGCGTCCTCGACTTTCCTCACCTCTCCTCGAACTGTCAAGACCAGCCCCCCGCTTTCTCAAGAAGCTGTGGCCCGCAGCCATATTCAACCTAAATATCTTCCTGCGTCTTCCTCACTTTGTCCTTCTCTCTTCCACCACACTCATCACCTGGACCACTCCAGATCTTCAACACCACACCTCTTTGATTGGGAGCAAGCAATTCTGTTGTTTTCACCTGCTGGTTATTTATCCTGATTCGTCTCTATTTTTCAAGAAGCCTCCTGAGCATCACGCTCGTTTTACAATTCTGAACTCGGAGGAAAAGCAGTAAGTAAGTCGAAGCAAGTCTGTCTGTCCAGACGTCACGAGAGTGTCAAGAGTCTTAGACGGTCCCACATCTGTCTCCTCTACCTCCGTGTCCAACATCTTTTCCTTTCTTCTTCCTACCCTTCTTGAACTCCCTTCCTCGGCTCTCTTCCTTTCATCTCACTTCTCCCCCAAGCCCCGAGCCAGATTGACTCAGGTATAAAAGCCGGTCTCCCCCCTCCCCCTTCTCCTCCTCCCTCCTCAACTTGCATTCGACCTTTAGTCCTTCACATCATTTTCCACCCTTCGAGCACAGGCACAGCCATCTCGTCTCTATTTCTCATTTCTCTTCTCTCAAGTTCTGACAATCAAACATCAAAAACAGAATAAACAGCAAACATGTCTATGCCAGGACTTACCGCTCGTGACCAGGAGATTATCATCCTCGGTTTTCACTGCTTTGAAAGTCAGCCGAAGGCAAGTATCCTCTCCTCTTCTGCCACTTCTAGAGGCCCTCCCGAATTTTTCAAACCCCCCTCTTACCACCTCTTCCTTTCGGCTACTCCCACCCTTTTATGCTTCCGTCATTTAGCCATCTTACACGGAACCCTCTCAGCCACAAGTCCACAACATGGAACTCTCAAGTACTGATATGTGCCTCCTCCTCTAGATTGATTATGACAAACTCTCGAAGCTCGGCGGCTACCTTACCCGCCAGTCGGCTTCTGCTGCTTATTCCGCTGCGAAGCGAAAGCTCCTGGCTCAGAGCCCCAAGACTGCTGACGGAGAAGAGGGTGCCAGCACTGACGGTGCCGCTGATGGCAGCGCTGCTCCTCCTACTCCCCCCAAGACTACTCCGCGCAAGCGCAAGACCGCCGCAGAGAAGCGTGCCGAGGCCGCTGCTGCCGCTGCCAATGGAGAGGATGGCGGTGAGCCAGAGACTCCCACCAAGCCTGCTCCCAAGCGTGCTCGCAAGACTGCCGCCGCCAAGGCCAGTGGTGGAGGTGGAAGGGGCAAGAAAGCCGTGAAGAATGAAACGATTGAAGAGGACGAGGAGAACGAGTCTATTACCGTCGCTCCTCAGGTTGCCGCTGCTGAGCAAAAAAGCCCCGGCTCCCGCAAAATTAAGTCCAAGTCCAGCTCTCCTGCCCCGACCGCCGGTCCCGCCACTCCGCGCAAGCAGAAGTCCCCGAGTCCTCGCAAGCAGTCCGCTTCTCCGAGCCTCCGTCAGTCTGTCGCTACTGTCAAGGAGCACCTCGACAATATCAGCGAACGCTTTGAGGAAGCCGATGAGTACGACGAAGAGTAGTAGACAAGGAGGAACAGGTAAGAGATGAGGGACTCAGACGTGAAGTGCACAGACAGGATAAAGGAAGCTGACCATGTCGCCCCACAGGTACACAACGCTCGTCGAGTTAGCCTAAGCTGGCACATGGAATCGGAGTGGGGTTGGTGTGTTGTAATTCCGTGGTCATATTATGCGTACTCGTACCCTGTGTGTCTGGTTGGACGTTGTCGTTCTCTTTTTTTATTCTTCTCTCTCTGTCTCTTATCTTCATTGAAACGTTAGTTTCCAATTGCGGCGAGCAGGTATCGCGGCGGTACAACAGGATTGTAGCCAGTGTTTTCGGGGAAAAGCGAATACTATTAAGTTTCAATACGCGAATCTATTAAAAATAATGCTTTAAAGCTTTCGTATGATGCCCCGATTGAACAGCCAAATAAGCAAATGAAAATCCTGAAAGGAAACTTAAGTGAAATCAAAGCTCATTTTAAAACGCCCAATTCCATAAGCCAACACATAGGCCCCAAAGCTATCGTATGAAATGCAAAGTGTCTAGTCCAGATGCAAGCAAGGATATCCGGGCAAAAGAAAAGCAAAGTCTAGAGCGTCGCAATAGCTTTCAAGAGAACATCCAATGATCTTTCATCCACTTCTTCGCTCTTCTCTCGGAGCATCCAAGCAATGTCACTTTGGACACCAAGAGGGACATAGCAGCCGCTGCGAGCCTTTTCCAAGCTCTCCTTGAGTCTACTAGTGTGCTCCCATTCTTTGGCTGCCTTCTCTGCGGTATCAATGACTCTATTTGAAATGCCACACATTGCAGCACAATGCATACCAAACGAGCCCTCAGCCACACCGTCTTCCAATTTATAAAGGAACGTGACCCGTCTGTTTTCGTCGTCAACGTGGATCTGCATTCTCTTCGGCGCAATTTCTGGGTGACCAGCAAACTCAGTGGCAAGCGAATGGTAATGAGTCGCGAAGAAGCCAGTACATCCAATATGGGTAGCAATATGATGCAGCACTGCCTGAGCCACAGCAACGCCATCATAAGAGCTTGTACCTCTTCCAAGCTCGTCCAAGATGACCAGGGATCTTGGAGTGGCTTCAGATAGAATCTTCTTCGTCTCAGATAGCTCGACGAAGAAAGTGCTTTGCGCTGCGAAAATGTTGTCATTGGCTCCAAGCCGAGACATGATCCGATCTACGGGAGTCAATCGAGCTGAAATGCAAGGGACATAACAGCCGATCTGCGCCATAATCACGGCGATGCAGGTCTAGATTCATTAGTATCGTTAATTCGCCAGCTTGGTTCAAAGGACTACTCACCATTCTCAAAATTGTCGACTTTCCGGCGGCATTCGCACCAGTAAGGAGGTTTATATTAGCTGTCTCTCCACCCAGTCGAACGTCATTGGGAATAAAGTCGGTCACATTGGGCAACATGCAGGGATGTCTTAATTCCGTGAACTCAAGGACACTTCTGTCCTCGTCGACGAATTCCGGCCGACAAGAGGGCTCACCAAGTGCATAGGACGCTTTCGCCAGACTGATTAAACAGTCCAGCTGAGCAATGATCTTTACCGCCCCCAGCCAAACAGCGTAATCTTCATCGAATCGTTCAAAGAAGCGTCCAGCTACCTCCTTTCCGATTTGAGAATGAGTTTCTTGCGCCTCTTGAAGCTGACGAACAAGGCTGCGAAGTTCTGCGCTGTAATAGCGCTTGACCTTGGACGTGGCAGACATCTGATCCCAGTTCCTAGGAATGCCTTTGATGCTTGCCGGAACCTCCAGCTGGTATATTTCTTTACCAATGTCTCGGAAGACGATTGCATTTGATTTGAAGTCTCGGCGTGCCTGTTTGAGCAAGCTCTCCAGCATGCCTTGGATCTGTTCAATCCGGTCGTGACTTGTATCAAAGTCCTCCTCTACCCCTCTTTCGGGCACAAAAAGACCCTCTTCCTTGGCTTTGATCCGATTAAAGGCAGTTTTCCAATGGTTCAAAGCGCCAGCAAGATCTGGCATGGCGGCAAGGAGCTGCCCAATCACACCCTCCCCAGTCCCCACCGTATCAAACAAACTGCAAGTGTATTCAATCTGTTCGAATCCTTCAAGTGTTCTTACGAAGTCTTGTGCCTTGCATCTTCCGGCATGAATCCTGGATATCAGCCTTTCAAGGTCCGGGAGCTTTGTAAGCTGTGACGTAAAACGATCACGGATAGTGGTGTCGGCATTCAGAGCGTCGACAGCATCAAGACGAGCGTTAATCCTCTTGGCATCCGCTAGCGGGTGGCAGACCCACTGGCGGAACATTCGCTTTCCAAAAGGTGTAATGCAGCGATTAAGCATGGTGAAAAGTGTGCCTTCTTGTCCGCCATCGAAGGAGTTCGCGAAGATCTACGAATATTAGCACCATTGCACCTTCCGTATAGTCAGGGAGTAATGCATACTTCGAGATTTATCAAAGTTTGCCCATCAAGGACAAGACTGGTGGCCTTTCGAATAGGATCGTACCAGCTAATATTGCCCAAAGTAACCAGTTCTCGTTCAATTTTCAGCTGATATCGTCAGTTTGCGACATAGATAACCAAATTCATAGACCATTTGGCTTACTGTTCTGAGATACTGTATCAGTGCACCATAAGCTGACATTAGAAGCTCTTTGCCCTTCGCCTCTTTTAGAGCTTGGGGCCACACTTCTTCATCGTCACGATCTTCGGAGACAAAGTAACGAGCTGCGTTGATCTCGCGATAAGCGGTCTCTCCTGTCCAGAATTCTGTGATAGGTTTTAGATAGTTCCAGATCGTGGTGGGACCGGTATTGTTCTTCAGTATTCTCAAAACCTTCACTGAAACCGATGACTGCGGCTGTTAGTAAACCGGCTTCTTCATTCACCATGGGGGAACATACCTTCTCCAGTATAATCTCCTGTGGCCTAATCTGTGCAACGAAGGTCTCGAACTTTGTCATTTCGATGTCGTCAATGAATTCGGTCAAAAAGAATTGCCCCGTAGCCGTATCAACGAAAGATATTCCAAAAGCGGGAACATCGTCGACGGTGGATTCCTACTATAGTTAGATCGCAAGCAAGAAGCACAGCTTAAATTGGCACAAACCTTGATAGACACGCAGAAAGTAGACATGTCATCTTGGAGCATGCCACCGTCCACCAAGGTTCCCGCAGTGAGAACACACGCCAATTCTCTTCGAATCACTTTGTCTTCTTTAGCCTTCCCTGCTGGTTTCTTTATGTCTCTCTCTCTCATTTCTTTTCCAAGAGCAGACTCGGCTTGGTCAACGCGTGCAATTTTATATCCCTTAGCCACGAATTGGCTGGCCCAGTGATCAAGCGACATTTCTGGGACACCAACCATGCGCATATTGACTCTATCGGTCAGTTTCAGATCAAAGAGCTGATGGCCAACTGTTGCGTCGTTCTCATAGAGTTCGTAGAACTTGCCCTTCTTGAAGAACACAATGGTGTCCCAGAATTTCTGTTTGATTTCCCAATACTGCTTCTCAAAAGGCGAAAATTTCGCCCAGGCCAGAGGAGGAATATAGATAGTTCGAGGATCATAGTCTGGATGGGATGGAGGGTTTCTGTCTGCATCTGTGATATTTGCCAACCACGGATAACGCTGCTCCGGCTCGGTCGTATGCGCCTTCTCTTTATGTTTCTTGTTTGCAATCGCGTTCGGCCTTGTGCCTGCCGTATTTACCGGGCGCGGGTTTAATGGTTTAAGGTTTTCAGGATCATATGTCCATTGTTGTGCTGATGACGCGGATGGTTGATCAAAAGTTTCGTCATCATCTTCAGCTTCAACCGCCAGCGCAGGTGATACCCTGCTGGCCTTGGCAGTGGATGCTCTTTTCCGCTTTTTGGGACCCGTAATTTCCTCGTCCGAATCGTCTGGCACAATGAAATTCTCGATATCTGCAGAAAGTTAGGGTGTTTCCATGAGCCGGAAAATATGTAGAGAGGACATCTTTACCGTCCATGTCGGCCTCATCCACGGCAGCGTCCTGTACAAACTCGTCATCGGAGTCATCCAAGCTCAGCTTTCTCCTTTTCGAGCTTCTAGATCGTGTCGCGTTTGCCCGCGTGGGCTTGAACACCTCGTCTTCATCGCTATACTCGTCATCGGATTCGGCATAGTTAATTGATTTCCGAGACTGCACATGGTCAATGGACATGAACTCATTCGATAGAAGTCTTGAGAAGCATACCTTTCGTCCAGGGCTGCCGAGTGAAGCGCCAACTTTAACTCCATTCTGCACGGGTTTCCCATTGGTTTTCGCTTCTGATGGTGTCGTCGGTGATGGCAGACCAGTTTCCTCATCTTCCTGCTTCTCATCAAGAGTGCTCAGCCTCGGAGGGCTGGACATCTCAAGTGCATCGCTGCTAGGGGCTGGCGTGAGACTCTGGCTAGAATCGGAACTAGGCACCGGGATTTTTGTAAAATGCCCATTAGAACGCCGAGAGGAAGCAGGCTGTAGTGGAGAAGAGGGAAGCCCTGATTCGACAGCACTCGCTTTCACCGCAGGACTGGTGTCGCTCTTTTTCTGGAAGAATCCTAAAATAGATCGCTGGTTCTTCGCGGGCTGCGATGCAGAGCTAGATTTCCTGAGAGACGGTGGATTTGGGGTAGTAGGAGCATCGCCGGAGCTCTTTCCTCGGGCCATTGCGGGCCAGCCAATGTGAAATCAAAATGAATACGGGTTGTTCAATAGGCAGAAGAGCCAGCTCCTAGAGAATGAAAGGTATACGGAGAGTAATGGTTATGGGAACTGGAGCGAAGACGTCGGCGAACCGGGGAAGGTGGGACGCGGAAGACGCGAATTGGTCGCGAGCGAGACGCGCGCGCGGAATTGAATTATCGGGTCTATCTCCGCCATTTAAAGCAAGACCGCCGCCAGTGTGGAGGTGGTCCGCTTTCGCTTACTAGTTACCGGGCCCTTTTCTGCGGTCAGGGCGGTCTACCTATAACAATATAATCTCCACCAAACGTAAGTGATTGTTCGTAATATTGGACGAAGAAAATGGGATTGAGAGCAAGATAGCAAAGGGCTGCTAATATAATATTCAAGGAAAATATGAGAAGAGAAATTGATATCTATATGCCCAAGACCTTTTTCAACATGCTCAGACAGGATATAAAGAAAGCTATTTGCAAATATGTAACAGAGGGAAATTGTAAAAGTACAAATCTAGACACCGTCAAGATTTGGGGTGGTTCTATGATTGTCGGGCTACGGTCTCATCCCGCGCTTCAGCGCTCGACGCATCAGCCATCTCTTTTGCCCGTTTGAACTCCTTCCAGCCTGGGGCATCAAGCCCTTGCTTTTCGAAATCTTCGTCTTCCACTATTTTCACGACCTTGACTTTCCATTTGCCTACCCTGAGAATGATCAAATCACCCTCAATGATGTAGTCTTTTGTGACTGATGGAAAGAATGACTTTACAGGGCTAAAAGTCAGTTGATCCATCATGCCTCCACCGCCCTGTGGTACGCATCCAACATATGCTCCTTGGTTCACCGTCAACCGATGACCCTCGCTCCTCGAGGCCACTAGCCCAGCGGCATAAAGGACCCTACTCATTGGCTGGTCAACGACGAGCGACCTTGGAAGGGTAACGTTCGGAGATGGCGCCGCAAATCGGTTTGCCTGTGGTGCATTCGTGTTGAGAGAGTTACTCATAGTGGAGTCAGACGGCTGGGCTGAAGGCTCAGCTGTTTGGTTCCGAAACAAAGATCGGTGCTGTGCTTCTGTAGCTTTCGCGACATCTATGCCGTGGATCATTTCGACAAACTCCCGTGCCAGAATATGCTGCGCCGTCCGCCGTGAGGGAGAGCTCATGTGGTCGCTCATGATTTGTTCGATCGTACCGAGAGGGATGAAGGTGAAGAGTTTGAGATAGCGTTCCACATCCGTATCCGAGGAGCGAAGGAAGAACTGTATCATCATCAGCGACCGTTGGAACACTTTATTCTGAGCCGAACCAAATACCTGGTATAATTCAAAGGGTGTTGTCATCTCTGGATCCAACCACACTGCGTTACCCGCGCTCTTCCCAAACTTTGCGCCCGAGGCAGTTGTCAAGAGAGGCACGGTGAGACCGTATGGGACCATATCCGCGGACAACTTTTCCTCTTTGATGGTGGGGTCATGATGATTTTCCTTTGCATACTTGATGACATCAATTCCAGCCACGATGTTACCGAATTGGTCAGAGCCACCAATCTGTAACTGCACACCTTTGGTCATATACATATGCCACCAATCGTATGCCTGCATGATAGGGTATGTGAATTCGGCAAACGACATTCCATCGCCACTCTCCAGCCTCTTCTGAACCCTACAAATCGCAGAAGCACAATTAGCGCTGTCTCAAAGCATGCATCGGCAGGATGAGAGGCACTCACGTATCCCTTCCAAGCATTGTTCCAAGCCGCATGCTCTGCCCTATTGTCCTCAAAACTTCGATCCAAGGTAAGCTGTTCCACCACGCATTATTATTCACGAGCTCTCGGCGCCAGGACCACTCCTTTTGATATCCATGTCTTTGTGCGTACTTCACCACGCTCACCCAGAGCTTCTTCATTTGAAGATGCATGCTGATCATGTTTGCCTTTTGAATCGATGAGTGCTGTCGTTCTCGGGATGTCAAGCGGCCAGTGGGATCGCCAACTTTCGAGGTACTGCCACCCAACTAACAACAATAAGTATGAGTCTATGGCTATTGCATTCAAGAGGGGGAGCCACTCACTAGAGTAACGGCATGGTACCCGTGTATATGGAGCCAAAAGAGCGCCATAAACGGTAATAAATGTCCCACATGCAAGGAAGGAGCCGTCGGGTCGACGCCGGCATAAGCCCCAATGCGTTTTTCGTTCATCAGCTTGTCCAGAGCGTCCCGATCGCTGCATTCATGCTGTCAGTGTGATAGGGCCCAGCCATAATGCGAACTCTATCTCAGACATACCCCGCGATTGAATTGACAAAACCTCGACTCTCGAGGATGGTCAACATGCTTGGCTTCTTCCCGGAATCAACAAGTTTTGCATTTTCGTCCCATTGAGCCTGGGCTCCCTTTCGTTTCCTCATTAGCTTGATGCCTCCCTTATAATTTGGCTTCTGGCTCCATCCCGGGCGGTGTTGCAGAGTCACTGATCGCCTTCCAAGGTCGGGATTTGTGACATGCTTTCGACCAGAGAGTTTGCGCCAGAAAGCACAATGCTCACAAAGAGTCAGCCGTGGCCGAGAAAGGCCGGACACTGCGCAATGCAGCGTCATGGCCGTTTTGTCAGCTCTCTTTGGGCTTTCTTAGGCAGAATTAGGCCTCTATAGCCAGTTGAGTTGGCCTGTCCTGGTAATCAAGAAGCGTTACAACAGTAAATGCGTTTTGAGCCGCCCGGGCAATTTGTACCGATTTACTTTCGCCAAATTAAGGGACCGAGATATTTTCGTAAACTCTACACGAGACCGGAAAGGAAGCTAACTTTTCTGATCTTATCTAACCCCGGTTATCGATTTGACATCATCATGTTCCGTGGACGCAACACCTCCCACAGCTGTAAAGTACACATCAATCTCCAACATTATTACCCATAGACTCACAGATATTCTTAAGATTATAATTGCCGCTTTTCAGCTGTATATTTGTTGCAATTCTTGCCTAACCCTTTTTTTAAACCTCTTTTCTTTAGTGAGCTCGTCAATATGTTTTGTAACATTATCTGCCATCCACCGCTTGGACGACCGACGTTTGTAGCTCCTGAGCAGGAGAAAGTAAGTAAATAGTAAATTAGAAAGCGCAATGTGTTAATATTTTCCAAGGTGAGCTTCAATGTTGTTGTAGAAGCCAGCGAATCAGCAAGGCATGAGAAGTGGGAACTTGCTTTGTGGCATAGTACCGGACCGGGAAATGACTGGCAAGCTTTGACACTTGAAGAGACAACAGAGGCACCACTTTTGGTATGACAGAAGAGCACAGCAGCATCTCCATAATTCAATCGGTGCCATCCTGACGCGCCTGTAGGCTGAATCACATGGCCAGGAAAACAGCTTTCACAGGAAATACTTCAATGGCCAGATTGAGGTACCCTCTGGACCTGCTGGCCCTCTTCAATTTACCATCAAATTCAAAACCAGCCCCGAGTGTAATTGGAAGTGGGTGAACGATCAAGCGTCTCCAGCTCCTGGCGATGGAGCTGTACACAGGCAAGGCACTCGATTGTCAGCTGATATATCAGCCTATTTCCAAGGCAGCGATCATTCTCTCAGCATATCCTCTGTCGCAAGCGAAGCTCCGGAAACTAGTCTTTGGGCCGTCTCAGCAAAAGTGGATGCCGCAAAAGGACATCAGCCCGGCAGAAGAGTGGTCAAACTAGGTCTTCCGCGAGATGTGGTCCGTTGGTTTGCTCTCATTCAAGATTGGAGCCCATGGCTTGCGCCGCGCCAAGGAAAGGCGAAGTACTCTGCAGACAAAGATGGCATCTTGTGCTCTTTCTTACGGAAGGATGGACTTCATCTCGTTGTGCTTGGAATAAGTGGAGTGGATCACCATCTTGTTCTACTTCGACCAGATGAAGATGGAAATGTTCTGATATCTGCAAGGAACGATGGAGCCGAGAATGGCACGGCTCGAGTTGCTGTTGCTGTCGGTCGTTCCTTTGACAAAGCCATGGCAGCGGCCATGTACCATGCACGACGAGTTGTGGGAGTTCCTGTTGTATCTGCTGGACCAACGACCCCCGCTGAGCCTCTGGCCGTTGACAATGGCGTCAAGCCTGAATGGTTTCAAGAATGGTTTGATGGACTTACTTACTGCACCTGGAATGGACTTGGCCAGAATTTGACGGAGGATAAGATTCTCAATGTCTTAGAAGGTCTAGACAAGGACAACATTAAAGGCAAGATTCGAGCGTCCGGATATTCGAGATTTTTGCTGACTCCTGGACCAAGTGACCAATTTGATTATTGATGACAACTGGCAGACTCTGGTATTTCATTTGCTTATTGCTCTGTATATTCATTCTATTTGATATACTAACTCCGGATTAGGATAAACCCGATCAAAGTCAATTCCTACGGGGCTGGTCAGACTTTGATGCAAACAAGGAAGGCTTTCCAGGTGGTTTAAAAGGTTGTGTTTCTCAGATCCGCCAGAAATACAAGAATATTCTCCATGTAGCTGTGTGGCATGCCTTGGTGAGCCGAACAGAAATGTCTCTTCAGCAGTTATTTGAAATTGACTAAACGTCCTAGCTTGGTTATTGGGGCGCCGTGGCACCTGAAGGCCAGATCGCTCGTCGGTACAAAACATGCGACGTGCCCATGACAAGGCGGGATGACCATGTCACATTACGGGTCGTCGATGCTGAGGATGTCCATAAGCTCTATAATGACTTTTATAGGCAAGTTTAAACCACTGCTCTTATTTGACATAATTTGCTAAGAGATTCTTTCCTTTTTATAGCTTTCTTTCGAATGCTGGCATTGATTCTGTCAAGACAGACGTCCAGTATGCCATTAACGATATGGACAATGCCGATGACAGAAGCCGACTGCTTAAGGCTTATCAAGATGCGTGGTACATCAATATACTTCGATATTTCTCAGCCAGAGCGATTTCCTGTAAGTATTCGCCAAATCATTGAGATAGATCAATACTCATGCATTTTGGTTAGGCATGTCTCAAACGCCAGAGATTATGTTTCGCTCTCAACTTTCGGGAAACAGGCCATATGTGATCCTTCGAAACACTGACGGTAATGAAGCGTATTCTCTTTTATACTTGCCTTCTCCTGTAATTTCTTCATGGCTAATTTTTACGCGTACAAGACTTCTTCCCCGAAGTACCCGAATCTCACCCGTGGCATCTTTTCTGCAACGCTCATAACGCATTATTTACCCAGTACCTCAACGTGCTTCCAGATTGGGACATGTTTCAGACAGCACATCCTTGGGGTGCCTATCATGCAGCAGGACGTTGTGTCTCGGGCGGGCCTGTCTATATCACCGATGTGCCTGGCAAGCACGACACCAAACTAATTCGCCAGATGACGGCACAGACCCCTAGAGGGTCGACCGTGATTCTCCGGCCTCATTTGGCTGGAAAGACCATCGAGCCTTATTCCCTGTATCAGGAAGAGCATCTGCTCAGAGTATCGAATTACGTTGGCATGCAAGGGACTGGGACCGGGATTCTGGGTGTGTTCAACGTGACCCAGCACCCACTCACCGAGCTGCTATCTTTGGGAGATTTCCCCGGCACCGAAAAAGGGCTATATATCGTTCGGTCTCATTGCACTGGAGTTGTCAGCAAGCCCCTCTCAAGAGATGATAAGACTCCCCTTGTGACAGTCAGCCTGCCAAGAGGGGGCTGGGATATCTTTTCTGCGTGCCCGCTGCAGCCCGTCAAAGTCCGGACCAAGGACCGAAAGGGCGTCAAGACTACCGCCATAACAAATTTTGGTTTACTGGGCAAAATGACTGGTTCTGCCGCAATCATCCGCTCAGACATGAATTTTGAAGAGAACGGTCGACTAAGAGTGTGGACCTCACTTAAGGGGCTTGGTACTCTCGGTAAGTTTTCCTGTTGTCGCATAATAATTTATCGTGTGTTTCAATCAGTCAATCTGATCACTTTTGTTTGCATCTAGGGTTCTACGTCTCCGGATTATCTGGCTTCTCCATCCGGGATGATTTCATGGTATTGATCCTTGGTAGGGCAATCCCCGCCCATACCGTCAAGGCGGATGTGACCACGAATGTCTTGGAAATCGATGTGGAAAAGGCATGGACCGAGATGGGCTTGAGCAGCGGCTGGAGCAATGAGGTCGGAGTTGAAATGTTCATTCGTTAAGTCCATTTACCAGGAACAGCCAGACGCTGCTAGGTCCGCACATTACATGAATATTTCATTACATGACTTGGCTGTACATAGGCCAAGGCCCTTATATAGAAGCTCCTTTGATCCAGTGTTCACAAATTAATATGATGCTGCCATCCGTTCATGGCTGGTGTTTTAATTGCAACCGCCCATAATTTGCGAAACAGTTAGGTATTAAATATACATATTCCTAACCAGGATTAAAAATCTAATGTATAAAGAAAAAAATAATAATAAATTTCTTAAATTGAAAATATATCCAACAGTAAAACATGCAATATATCTCCATTTAAACCCGGCCAGAAAAAATTATGCCAGGATCAAATTCTATCCATTTCTATCCCCTTGTCAATCGCCTTCTTAATTCCCAGTTCTAGGTATGTTTACTCGCGAGCGTTAGGAGGTTGGTACAAAGCCACACGACAACGGTCGGGTTTCCGCCAAGAGCACGTGGCTCGGGCTCGGGGGTCAGGGGGTACAAAGAATACTTGCTTAGGCGAGCTCGCTAAGCGGTTTGCAGAATATATTGTGTACAAGTGCACCCCCACTTCAACAACAAGCTCAGTTAGCTCAGTTGGTCCAAGGCGACGTGACTACAACACATCGCATCCTATCTTCCTTGGTCTAGTGGCTATGATTTCCGCTTGTCAATTCCGCTTAATACGGAATCGCAAGCGCGGGAGACCGGGGTTCGATTCCCCGAGGGAGAGTTTTTTTTTCTTTTTATTCTAGAAGTTTTTTTGCTTACCATTTTTCTTTTCTGGATAAGATTGCGTGAAAGTTGCGACAAGATGCATTTTGTGTTAAAGAGAATGAACTTCATGTCAGGTTTTTATTTTCTTCCTTTAACTTCCCCTCGTTTTACTCATTCTACAAACAGCCCTTGAATGGAGCATACCGGAGTATTGTTGGGAGAGCAGGAGTTGTGTCGTTCAAATGCACTAGCAGCGCGGGGCCAAGGTGATCGGATTCCGAAAATCCCGCCGGAACTACCGGCGGAGGGCGCCGAACTGAAGGTTCCACTGCGCCGCAAATAACCCTCGCTCGTCCGCGGGAAGACAAGCATATACTAAACATACACGACGCTTCGGAGGTAGGGTAGAGTTGCGGAAGCATTAGCGTAGGCAAATAGGTATTCTGCATATTATTGCTCAAAGGATGACTGTACACCTAGTCGAAGAGGTCCTGACACTCCTCTCATCCCGTTCACTAAGCTCGGTTCAATAGAAGAAGGAACAAAATATCACCAAATTGAGACATGGGCAAGAAAGCATACAATATAAATAAGGTAGGTATTCAACAAAAGAGGTATTTCATTTCACAACAATCTAAGTAACCATCGTGGCCGCATGGAATATGGTAAGAATAAATAACAATGACAAAGTAAAAAAGGCCACTTTTTTGACTATTAAAAATAAATGCATCATTCTTCATCGTCAGAGGCTGATGCGAGATCCACGCCAGCGTGTAAACAAGTCAAAGGTCGTCTAATCGTCAGAGAGGCCAAGGTCCTCCTGGGCGGGGACAATGCGGAGGGTGTTGGTGTGGCCACGGCCTCCTCTCCAGCCCTGGACGCAGACAACGTTCTGGCCCTCCTTCAAGACACCAAGCTTAATGGCGTTGAAGATACCCCACTTGATGCGGCGGTCAACATCCTCCTGCCAGTCGGCCTTCTTGAAGTCGGGCTTGGCCTCGGGGAAGTGGAAGGGGTACACGCCACGGTAGAGGTGAGAGTACTATTGCAATGCGTCAATACACAATGGCCAATAACAATTCCTGAAAAGGGACGGGGAGATTATAAAACTTACGCGAGAGGCCTTGGGGTTGCGAGTGACCATGATGATGGGAGCGATGGGACGGTACTTGGAGACGAGGCGAGCAGTGTCACCACTGTGGAAATGGTCAGTTTTGATCCTCGAAGAAGAATAAAATGGGGAAAAGCCAAGCTTACGTGGTGGAGAGAACGAGAATGGCACCAGCCTCCTGCTCCAAGCTGGCGCTGACAGCGGCCATGGCGCAAGTCTCGGCGGTGGGGGTAGGACGAGGAGCAAGGTTCTTGAGCTCATCAAAGAGGCTCACGTAAGGAATGGCAACCTCAGCGAGCAAGCAAGTCTCGTGCATGATGGTGACGGCCTCCTTGGGGTAGTTGCCCTTGGCGGTCTCACCCGAAAGCATAACGCAGTCGGCACCGTCCATGACAGCGTTGCCAACGTCGCTGACCTCGGCACGAGTGGGACGAGGGTTGTAGGTCATAGACTCGAGCATCTGGGTAGCGCAGACAACGGGCTTGCCGACGAGGTTGCACTTGGCGATCATCATCTTCTGGGCAATGAAGACCTGCGACGGGGGGATCTCGATACCAAGGTCACCACGAGCGACCATGACACCGTCAGTCTCCTTGAGGATGTCGTCGAAGTTGTTGACACCCTGCTGGTTCTCGATCTTGGCAATAATCTTAATATCCTTGCCATCCTCGCCAAGAACCTCACGGATGGCAGTGATGTCGCTGCCGTGACGAATGAATGAGGCGAAGACCATGTCAACGTTGTTCTTGGCACCGAAGCGCAGATCGCTCTTGTCCTTCTCGGAGAGAGGGGGAAGGTCGACATCGGTCTTGGGCAAGTTGACACCCTTCTTGGAGGAGATCTTGCCATTGTTCATGCAGCGGGCACGGATGGTCTTCTCGTCAACAACGTCGAGGACCTCGAATGAGAGAACACCATCATCGACGAAGATGACACGGCCCTTGGCGATCACCTTGGTAATGTTCTTGTAGTCGACGTACCTGTCGGGGACCAATTGTATGAGCCACAATTCAAAACTTTTCACCAGCGCCAACCATCCCAAGAAATTGCTTCCCGTGAGGACTGACTTGCGCATTTGAAAGTGAAAATATTCACTGGAAAAAGAAAAAAAAACTTACATGTTCTTGTTGTCACTAGCAGTGGCATACTTCTCGTCAGTGGTGATGTTAAGCTCATCACCAGCGCTGATGGGGATATCAGCATCGCCAACGGTGTTACCCGTCCGGATCTCAGGTCCCTTCTGCAGCGGGGGTTAGCGCATCCAAAAACCACCACGAACAAGGAAATCAGGAAAATCTTACAGTGTCAAGAGCAATGGCAAGAGGGCGACCGGGGTTCTGACGCTCAGCCTCACGAGCGTTGTCAATGACAGACTGGTGGTACTGTTTACAAGATTCCGTAAGCGGCGACCCTAAAAAGTGGGGACCTCCGATTGAGGAGGGGCGCGAAAAAGCGCACCTCGTATGAACCGTGAGAGAAGTTCATGCGGACAATGTTGAGACCAGCTGTAAAAATACATCAGCATGATTGTTGGCGCTTTGGGTTCAATTGCTGGCATAACTCACCTCGACGGAGCATGTTAATCTTCTCGACCGAGTTTGTCTTGGGACCTAAATTCAGAGCTTCGTTAGCTTCCCCACCATCACACAACGTAACAGAAAAATTTCTTCAAGTGCCATTTCAGATCCCCGGAGTAGATCTTAATGCTGGCGATGCTAATGAGACGCGATGGGGGAAGGAAAACTCACCAATGGTACCAATGATGGAGGTACGGCGGTAGACCGTCTCCGGCGCGTACTCGGTGTTGAGGGCGGAAAGCCACTCATAGCGAGAGCGGTTCGCGAGAGCCTTGGAAGCGTCGGCCATGATGGAAATGGAGGCGATAGAATGAAAGTTGGATGAAGAAGGATAGAGTGAGGATGAAGATGAAGAAGAAGGAAGAGGTGAGAGGTGGTGGAGGATGGGAAATGAAGAATAGATGAGGGACGGAAGCCGTCGTTGGCGGGGTACTAAAAAGGATGGGATTCGAGTCGAGGCTGCTGATTTTATTAGACGATCAGGCAACGTTCAGGCCCTTTTGGGTGGTGGGTTGGTTCTCGACTAAGAGTGGAATGTACAAAACGAATCGAGTGATGTCAAACAAGTGACTACTGATTAAGGGCCGATTTTGCCTTTTTGGAGGGGCTGGCGGGAAAAAAAGAAGCAAGCTGCGAGTTATTTGGCGGTCGGCCGCTTCATTGGGTGATTTCCGCGGGTGTAAATCAAAAGAGACGCCGAGACTCTCTAATTTGCCTAGGGGGCTGCCCCACCAAGCTCACCTCTTTTAGCTGAGGGAAAGACGCAGTACGGAGTAGCTAGCAGCAGCAGCAGCAGCAGCAGCAGCAATAGCAGTGAGTAGCCGCAGCAACAGGCCACTGCTGGCTTATTTCCTTTTTTCTTTCCCCTTCTCCCTTCTTTTGCTGTGGCTGCTACGGCGACCGGCGGAGGAGCCCGCGGGGCCGTGGGTGATGTCTGATAACCACTCTGTATACTCCGTACGGATAGTAGTACAGATAATGTCGTATTACAGTAACTGCAGCACTCTTTATCCCGCAATGCCCATGTCCGTAGCTTTTCTCACCACCCAGCTCTCTCCCCTGCCCTCCCTGGCTCCCGGAAAAATTACCAGCGGAACGAGGGGCCAAAAGCAAGAAAAGGCAGAATTATAGGGTAACAATTGGCGGTACTAAAATGTACAAAAAGGGACTTACTGTGCCTACTCATTATCCTCATCATTTTGCCGTCCACTGTCGATCTTCCCAAGGTTTCTCTGCGGTCTCGGTAAGGTAGCGCTGGCAAAAAAGTCGACGGATAAAAGTCGCTCATCCGACCGAAGCGATCAGGTGATGAGAGGAATCCCGCGGCGCGGACAAGACGCGCCTGCCAATCCGGCACAGGAAAAGTGATCGTACCAGGAACGGAACTCCTTGAGGGCCAAGCTAACCTTATTATTACCGTCGCATCGACTTCAGAACAGCTTACTCTTTGCTGTCCCCAGAAAGTGTCGTCCAGACCTACAGAGGTACCAAAATGAAAAAGAGACTGTTCCTCTAGCCACGCACCTCTTTTCGCCTCTCCTTCCTTCCTTCCCCCCCCCATTTGTTCTAATCCGACCTTTTTGTTCGCCCTACGACTCTTGAACTAACAGGTCCCTTTCCTACTGCCTCTTCCTCACCCCACTCCGCGCCCCTTATCGTCACTTTCCCGTTGGCTGCCTTAGTCAACACCACCTGAGAGATCTCTCCACCTACGTCTCGATCGACTTCTTGGATCATCTCCCTCCTAGTTGCAACACCTCACCTTTTCCCTTTTCCCTCTCGTTGGACTCACCCACACCCCCCGGGTCATCATGGTGGTGAGTGCTTTTGCACATGGTTGAGCCCGCTTTGGTCGCTGATCTTCTCGTAGCTCGGCAGGCTAACTCACTACGCCTTCGATGCCGTCCTCAGTAAGCTTGTTTTCCCATTATCCTCGAGGCATCATCCCCGGAAACAATCTTTCCAATGCTGCCGCCTCACAGCCACCGGCATACGTTGCCGCTCCAGATAGCTAATTATCTCTCCCTCCGTGGCTTCTAGTCTCTGCATTCCTCGCAGGCGTTAAACGCTCAACTGGTCTAACGTACGATTGCTTCTCACTTTTCTGCCGTGCATATGCATATGCCTAGCTCTCACCTTTTCTCAAATACTCGCTGTTTCTTTGCCTTGCCACTCCTCCGACTTCCCCTACCCCGCCGAGCAATGTGAGAGATGTATGAAAAGAGCCGCAAAGCTAACAGCTCCCAACCTTCCTGGGACCATAGCCCCAGCCTTCGCACGGAGACCGTCACCGACTCGAAAGAGGTCAAGAAATGGGTTGACAACTACCTCGGTATGGGCGAATGGATTATGGATCAGAGCGTTGCCATCATGGGCGCCAGCAGCTGGTTCGAGCGGAAGCGGTAAATTGAACGTGTACGAGCCCACGTCGAGACAATGAGCATCGGGCTGCTTTAGAGATACGCCTTCGGCCAGATGGCCTTGAATGTCGCCGCCTTATCCAAAGGCATCAAGCATATTCGTTTTCCGTCACGCGATTTGATTGTGAATAGGGTCAACAATGCTCTCTCTTCGCTCTTACACTATATCTGGGATTTTACAATGGCGTCTATCGAGCGGATTATCTGGGTTCTCGTATCACTTGAAAATCTATATATTATAGGATACCTCACTGATCGAACAATATCAATTACAACTCTTCTCTTCGACAATTTCTTCTCATTTTTCAGAAGCGGCTTATTCTAACCCAAAAACTAATAATAATTCTGTTCCTCAAAGCCAAGCCAACCTAACGGCAAGTTCTCGATTTTGTTTCCAAATGCCGAGAGAGCAAACTTCTATTGGGCTTTATACGGTTTGCAGGTTGAGAGGACGTCAATGCGCACCAAATGGGGAAAAGCAAAGTTACCAATCCGTTGAAAATATCCAGAATACTAATGAGTCTACTAAGATTTGCATGCTCCATCCTTTGTCGCGTTCCTTCAAAGAAATATAACTCCTAAAAAGAGCCTAACAATCTTTTGCATCAAGCAATCTCACCTCTCACCACCTGACCCATTTGGTGAATGAAAAGGAAGACCATTTAGGCTCCATGCTTCCTCTGTTAATCATTCTTCATCTTCTTCGTCCTCGTCAATGACGAATATTCCACTGTCATATTTTCTCTTCTTTCTCTTGCAAGGTGTCTCAGCGCCGCCAAAGGGCTCAAACTTTCCGCTGTTGCTCACTGGGGTCAGCAGCCCAATTGAATTCTGGTCACAATCGTGCGCTCTCAGATAGTCGTCTCTTTTCTGAGTGCATCGAGCTAGGCAGGCGACCATTTCGCTTTGAATGGACTCGATAGCAAATTTGCCCGCTCGAGTCTCTTCGGCCAGTCGTGCCTCGAGTTCCGCTTTTATCTTTTCCAGAGTTCCGACTAGTGCATCGGCGTCTGCTAGCGAAGCCCTCAGCCTGGCGGCCTCTTGGAGATATTCTTTCAATGTCGAATCTGTTTCTCTCCTGAACCTTTCTTGATTCTCACCCTGTTGGGACAAATCCTCTCTCAAAGCTTGAATGTGAACCTCTTTACACCGGAGAAGCTCCTGGGTGTCGCACTGAATCTCCGAGATGCGGTTGTTCGCACACTCCAAGTCAAGTTTCAACTGATTCACAAGCTCACTGAGCTTGTTGCGTTCTGCCATTGTGTCTCCGTGCTCGCGTTGCTCATCCTCTAATTTCGATTCAAGGTCCGCCACCGCCTCGTCAGCATCAATCTTCTGGGCAAGTATGCGGGCGATCTCTGCGTCTTTCTCTTTGAGTGTGCTTTCGAGCACGCTGACCTCGCTGTGACACATGTCCAAGGCGAGTTCTAATTTTTCTATCGAGAGGGTCTGTTCGTCTCTTTGTGCGGTGAGCTCATTCAGTTCGGCACGGTAAAGCTGCTGTTGAGAATTGCTAACAAATAGCTGCTTTTTAAAACATTCATTTTCTCGCTCCAGCTTGCCTGTTCGAAATAATGAGCCATCAAAATGTCTTTGCAGCGTCGCACGTAATTGGTTATTTTGGTCTGCGAGGGCTTCAGCTTTCTGGGCTCTGCGAAGCAATGCTGCGACGCGGTCGGTAGCAATGTCAAGAAAGCGCGAGCTTTCAAATCCACCAGGAATCTCACCCGGCTCCATGCGCTCCAGTCGTAATCTGGCTTGCCTAAACGCATCTTTGATGGTTGCAATCATTTCTTCCGGTGTGTCTCCTCGGAAACCAAGCGCAGAAATATCATTTTTCAGCGCTTTAAGAGAAGAGTCAAGCCGCTGCTGAAGATTGAAAGGCTGGTCCAAACAGTCATCATCAGCAGGCCTTCTTGTTATTGGTGTGATCTCAAGCTCTTGGGACGTGCCGGAAGGACAAGAACTGGATGGCGATTTGATCAGCCGATTCTCTTCCTTCATGTCCTCCGTGGTGGTAGCGTCTGCTTCTGTGGCGTCGGTCTCATTAATGCAATCGAAATCATCATCTCTTTCCAGAAAGCATGTTTCAGAATCAACATCAATATCTTGCCTGTCATCCATAGGCAATTCCTTCCCCCTTATTCTTCCGTCGGTTGAAATTGTACGTCTGAGCGAGCTTCTTCTTCGAGCTTCTTCTCGGCGACATGCTTCGATGCTATTTATCTCTTCGCTCAAGTGATTTCTCCTGATACGCCGCTTCACCCGCGCGTCCAGTAATTGCCTTAACGGAGCGAATTGTACCTCGCCCGAAAAAGGGATATCCGGAAGTGGGAACGACACCCTGCGACGCTGTCTCCTGGATGGAGTAGGTGGGCATGCCTTTGACGTGTCCAAAGTCAATGTCGACCGTTTCATTGCTGGCGTTAATCCAGTAGAGCCGGAAACCAGGCCAGGATCCGAGTATCGAACGCGCTTCCTTTGCGTTCTTGGAGTTGCCGGGATTCGGATTTCTGGAACTTGAGCCCTCGACATATCTAGACCGCAACACTCGTCTCCTTGCATATGAGTATCGCTGTCAGCTTTGTTTACCCCGACACCCTGAGGTTCTATGCCTCGAGCGACCGAGGTTTGATCGAGCATCTTCCCAAGTAGTTGCGTAGGTAATGAAGTGTTTTTGTTCTGTTCGATACGCTCAGGATTTCTTGCCCATGACCAGTGTATGGAAAAAGTGTCTTCCTTGTGGTTATATTCCAGAAAATGCAAGACTGATCTCTAGATTGTTGTGGATTAAACTGGCAGGCTTCATAAGCCCTTTATATTTATACCCCGGCGTTGCGTGTGACGATCGTTCCGTTTCGGGTAATAAATAAACACAACTGTTGCTCCTGTCCCTCCTCGCTTAGTTCCTGCGCCGGCCAAAACGCGCCCGGTGGCGGGCTATCGCGGTCAACGTCGCGAATACTACCTTTGGGGAAAATGCCGGTTTCTTAATGCCATTATATCACTCGGGTGAATGAAATTGTGGCGCCTGCAATTGTCTAGATTCCCATTGACATGGAAAAGAACATTCAAGCTGCCATGAAAACAGGTGAAGTCCCTCTGCACGTTGTGTTGTTTGATAATGATCATAGTGGGTGATTGAGTGATGTAGTCCGGACATGATGCAACGGGATACTTGGCTGGGCTAACCAAAGGCTGATTAACAGCCATGTTGTATAACATGATTAGAGTATAAAGGTGTAGTGCAAACAGAGAGATATACTTGAAATAAAGGCAGGAAGAATCAACGGGACAGACACTTGGGTCCACATCCGAATCCGCAATTCTCTCGAAACAGCTCCAGAGGCCTTCAAAAAATGGCAGCCCACTGGCTGGCACGTCAGTATATCCAGTGTTTCATGTTACAATTTAAAATGCTAAAGTATATTGAAGGTTACTTGGAGATATATCAGTATATCCAAATTTTAAAAATCAAGTAGATATATGATCTATAACTTAGGATATTCTGTAGTGAGGGAAAGAGAGATATATAGCCATTTTAATAGATCACTCCAACAACCTTGACAGCTCCAGCAAGTATTCCCAGTATAATCAGTCCTTCGATAGAGCCTTTGAGCAAAATCTCCGCCACGGTCCACATATTCCACTCCAGATTCATTTCGACCCGCTTCTGTGCTGCTGCCAAAAACTGGGTGGTTTCCCCCATGACTGCCACCCAGCAGAAGAATAGCCCCAAGGATCCGGCGATGAAGGACAGCTTCCTTGTCGTGGAACGTATATCATCATTGTGTTCGCGTTCTGTACTTATTTCCGGGGAAAGGCGACCGCCGAGTTGATGGAGGAAAGCGCCGAGCGGACGGCCAATGTAACTGCTGCAGAACCAGACTCCTGCGACCAGCGTTGCTAACGCGAGGATACAGCCTGAAATTCGAATGGCGGTTTGAAGGCTTGAAAGAACAAGGTCCATGCTAGTCATCATTTATTGAGGTAGCCACCTGGTAGGTCAGGATGACTTTGGCCAAGAAGTATGGCTTGCTGGAAGAAATGGCGGCAGTTGATGAGAAGAATCAGGGCAGCTAGCTACCAGCTGCAATGACCTCTGCTGGAGTGATTTTGACTTATTTTCTTTTTTTTGGGGGGCGTTGGAGAATTTTGCCAAGAACTATTGCAATGTTGAGGGTTTGTGGATGCAATGACTGAGCGCGGCCCCCGTCCTGACGTTGAATAATAAGCAATTGTGGAGCTTTATACTTACATAAGATACGTTGGCCACTTCGAATTAGTAATGATTTATTTTTAATACTTGTACACCATTCATGCATCGACGTTGATAACCCTTCTCTGGTCGTACAATTCAAGCTGTTTACTTATATTCATAGAATTGAAGTCATTGTCCAATCATCTCTGTGCTCGATAGGATCCGACCAAACGCCAAAAGGTTTAGCCATATTTTCGTAGGTCTTAACTGTAACGGAAGCTACCAGGTTAAGCTTCAGTTAACTAACTTCTCGAGTAAGCTTGTCTCTTTCGCTGAGCTAAGCAACCCTGTGTTTCCAAGTGTTCCCCGCCTTCGCCATAAGATGGATACCAACATACCTAGGCGGGAATAACCGAAACAACAATGAAGATAAGGACGTCACCCCAGCGTATGCGACCAAGAGCGAAAGACAACACCAGATCCAGGACCATTACGACATCTCCCATTAACATTAATCCGACCTGTGAACCTGCGCCAGCAAAGCTTGCTCCCATGCCCATGCGCTTCCTATTAAATCAATTCTGACCGAATCCACCTTGATGTGCAAGCTTTGCTGCCTGATGTAAGCTCTGATTGTAACACTTTCGATTGTATTGGAAATGGAATGGCTGATACCGCAACTAGTAGCTAGGTGGTTGCCGCATTTTAGCATGGTTTAATGAGTTGTGCAGTCAGACATGCTGAAGCATAATCTTTGTACAAATCTCGTCGGAAGTTCCGTGATTGCGTGAGGGCACCAGGATGATCGCACAGCGATCTTCTCCTCTCCTTTGTTTGCCGGCGGAACTAATCTACCAGATCCTTCAGCAACTTCCCGCCACATCGCTTTCCGTCGTCGGCGCAACATGTCGCAGCCTTTATGAGTTCGTTATAGATGATCGCCTTTGGCAGGCATTGGTGGAGGAAAACTTACCGGGTCATCGACTGGACGTGCCGAGCCCTTATACGTCTTTCAGGGAACTCTTCATATCGCATTTCCCATATTGGTTTCTCGTACGGAATAAAATATGGTTTTCGGACGATGTTCATACTGGAAGATTGTTGATTGCGCGGTATGACGCTAGACGTGGTTGCATTGAAGCCTATGCGCTTGTTGCGGAGCGCGGATCTCACCTATTTCAGACCTGGGAATTCGATTCCGATGTCATCATCCACACGTTCTCCCCAAGGGTTCGACTTCATCTCGATGAAGCATCGATAAAATTAGACCCTAGCGCTTACAAGAATGCTGGAGGGCGAGGGCTCCATAAGGAGGTACTCATGCCTACCGGAAGTGCAGCTCAACGAATCTTTTCCACAATTTTCCTCGCGCGAGCGATTCATCCTGCAGCTATCTCGCCCACAACCGCTTTATGGCCTCCGAGGACAATCCCTGCGCCGGAGCGGGTCCGATGCGAAAGCCAAGAAGGGTTTCACGGCATCGGTCACCGGCCACAAACATGGGATGAAGTCAGCGAAACTACTTTCCGTGTTAGGAAATGGATGGAGTTTGGCAGTATTGGTCTGGGTCCAGTCGGAGTTAGGATGGGCGAAGCTGTGGCCACATATAGTACTTTGTCTGAAGAACTTTATACACCTACCGCCCAAAAGCCGTGGCAAGGAATATGGGTTGGGGACTATACAGGACATGGCTGCGAGTTCCTTGCGGTTATGCAGCCAGATACTCCAAGCGCGTCTGCTCCCCGAGCCCTATCATTCTCTTCTGACTCTTCTTCGGCGTCATCCTTCCCTGATGGGGAGCATAACATGAACGGCAGTTTGTCTGATGAGAATCCCAACGTGCCGTCCGTTGGAAACACGACCTATAGCGGGCGCATAGAAGCAGTCAAGCTCACGGGCGACATTAATGTTCCTCGAGGAGAATACAGCTTTGTCGCAGACGATATCGGAGAAGGCGGCTTTGTCAGGATCGCCGAAGAAGACATTTTCAGGGGAGCGAGGGTAGTGAGAAGTGTTGGACACATCGCCGCTAGAGGGTTCAGAAATGACAGATACATCCCCTCTCAGTTGATTCTGATCTCTCCCAATCGGATAGCGCATTATTGGAAGGAGCTTGGGCATATCAGGTATGTTTTCACCTTTTGACTTTTTTTTTTCTACAAAGTTTTCTGACCTCTATCTATAGCTTTTATCAACGAGTAGATATTGAAGCTTTTCTTGATACCGCTTGAGCCACTTCACCTGAAAAATGGGATGGGTATTTTCAAAATTCGAATATTTGCATAGCGTTAGGATTGTTTCATGTAATCAGGCTATGGCTGTCTTTTAAAGCTATGGTTTCCCCTATAACGTATTTGAATCGAGTATGCTCGCCATTTTTATTACAACATGGATGTAAGGGACCAGTAACCAAAAGTGACGTCAAGATAAGCGGGCCGAAATCTGGGGTAACTCCAAAAGTGAACCATACAAGCTTCGGATTATTGAATGGCGCACACTAAGCAAACCTCACTTCTCCCAACAATCTCGAAGAAGCGCCGTAGACCTGGTCGTCCCTCACGAGCCTATAATTGTTACTGTTTACATTTTCATCAAAGCTCTGATTTTTCCAGCCGCATCTACACCTTGGCTTAACGCACCCAAGACTCTCTGAGCACCTTGAAGTGCTTTACTCAATCACCGCAATGGCTGAAAAGTTCGTTTTGCGGGTCACGGCCGGACCCTCTTATGATCCCTCAACGCATCAATTGGTCAATGTCAATTCGCCGACATCAATGGACATTTCCAATGCGCATATGGATTCAAAGATAAATGTTCGAATTAAGAATTATCGCGGTATGGCCAAATATTTTTGCCCCCTCCCCCATAGCGGGATGAACGTGCTGACTTGTGCCATGGTTGTTCATTGTATCAGGATTACCCAAAGGCTCACCATCTTCGAGCCCATATTTCTCTACACCTGCCCACACTAGCGATCTTTACTCGATATCCTTCTCTTTTCGGCCGAAATCGTCCATCAACGGCAACGACCTACTTTTCGGCAATGACTTTGACCATCCGATCCGCGACCGATTACCGCCTGGCTTCAACACTGCATTTCGCATAGTCAAATGGGCCATCGATCCTGGCCTGGATGGCGACGTCATGGCTGATGAGCCTTATCTATACGGTCCTGCACTAAGCAGCCTCAATGCCTTTCGCGTGGAAGGGAAAGAAAGCACTGCTCTACCAGAGATGGAGAGCGAGGAAGCACCTTTGGAGGAAGGCGGCGACGAGGATGGGCTTCAGCTGAGAGAGGATCAAGGCATTCCTGCCGATGCAGCTGCGCGAAAGAAGCACTTTTTGGTGGAAAAGAATCGTGAAGATTTCGAATTCAGCGAAGGCCGTGTCTATCAAGCCGACTTTTTCAATCCATATCTCGATTTCAATGGTACAGTTTCCCGCTCGAGGAAATCCAACCTCTTCTGATAGTACACTTTGCGCTGACTCTGGGGGGGGGGGGTTGTCAGAATTTTCACTCAAGCTCCCTGGTTTTACGTTGCCGGTCATTAAATACTGGGATGGCCAGCCGCTCCGGTAAGTCACAAGGCTGAATTCTCCCAGCGCTTTTCCTTGTCCTTCAATTTCTACCCGATCTTCTGCTTACTTTATACCGCGCCTTCCTCGGCGATTGGCTGATGAAGCACGCATTCTCTTAGATATGTCCTCCGCAATCGGCAAACCAAAGATTTATACTTTGTGATTGTCTTTACTTTGCTGCCGAAAGAATCAGTGGAGAGCAATGACGAAAGTGACTCGGAAGAGTCTGACGAAAACGAAGACGCATTTGAGGATACAGTTGAGACCTTTGACGATGATATAGATTAATTGGGACTCGTAGACGGCGTCTGGGGGCTATATTTTCAGAGTTTATAACGCAAATCAAGAGCACTTTAGAATCTAGCAACAGCATTCCACATATCTTCAGATGACACCCAAAATTCCAAAAAAGTAAAACCGGTATCATTTATATACTATATGGGGTAACTTTTGACATCATTAAAAGTGAAATTCTTTTCGTGGACTTTCAACATTTAAAGTCTCTTGAGGACGTCCTCGAGAACCTCCTCAGTGCGAGCCTTGCCACCCATGTCAGGGCTGAGGATCTTGGCTTCCTCCAAGTTGCCGTCAACAGCGGCGTAGATCTTGGCCGCTGCCGTCTCCTCGCCCATGAACTCAAGCATACAAGCGACACTTCTTAGCGTAGCAATCGGGTTGGCGATGCCTTGTCCCTCAATGTCTGGTGCGGATCCGTGGCAGGGCTCGCCCATGGCAAAGTTATCACCGACGTTGGCGCTGGGGACGAGACCCAAGCTACCAACAAGCGCAGCAGCACCATCGGAAAGAATGTCACCGTAGAGATTAGGGGCCACAATGACATCGTACGCCGAGGGCTGACGGAAGAGCTTGTACACCATGGAGTCGACAATCTGCTCCTCAACCTCTACGCTCTCAAACTTGGGGGCGGCCAAGGCCTTGCGAGCAGTCTCGCGGAACAAGCCATCCGTCTGGCTGAGAACGTTGCTCTTGTGGGTGATAGTGACAAGGGGGCGGTTGTGGATGCTGGAAACACTGCCGGTAGCGCGGATCTTCTGTCGCTGCAGAGCAATGTCACCGGCCAGCGTAGCGATGCGGTGAGAAGCCTTCTCGGAAATACGCTTGATGGCTTCAGCAACCTTTCCAGAGCCGTCCGGGGCGTCAAATGTCCGCTCGTCCTTCACGTAGAGATCCTCGGTGTTCTCGCGCACAATAACCAAGTCGACCGGGGAGCGAGCAGAGGCAATAGCCTTGACGGGGCGAACGTTGGCATAGAGATCTAGTCGCTTACGGAGAGCGACAATAGGAGAAGAGTATCCGGCAACCTTGGTAGATGGCGAGCTATTTTGCGGAGCTTAGTACGCCATCGCCGAGGCCAAAAATAATCGGTTGCTTTGTGGTGTTGAATTACCTGACCGCACCAAAAAGCGCACCATCACATTCCTTCTTCAAAGTCTCAACGGTCTTCTCGGGAAGAGCAGTGCCAGTCTCCTTGAAGGTCTCGAAGCCGGCGGGGAGGTCGACAAAAGAGAAGTTGAGGTTCAGGGAAGAAGGCAGCGATTCCAGCAGACGACGACCGGCCTAGTGGTGAAGTTTTCAATGGTCAGCCATTTGACTGGATCAGATAGCATGGCGAGAAGTGAAGTGAAGCTCAATTGCACCTAGAACTTACCGGAATGACTTCCTTTCCAATGCCGTCTCCAGCAATGAGACCTACATAGTGAAGTAATCAATACCTATATCACTCCATGCTGAACAGCAAAAAAGTACAAATTGCATACTAACCAATGCGAAGGGTTCTCGAGGCCATCTTGAATTGATGGCACAGATATTATGCAACTTAGATCGAGACAAAAAAAAAAGAAAAGGAATAATCTAAACAGATATTCAAATTGATGCGTATGAAACGATTAATCGTCCAATTTAAACTTTGGTTGTGTATCTCCCCACGACCTGATGATTCCCACGAGCCGATGTCGGCAGGGAATTTTGAACCGAAGCTAAGGGGGAGTGTGAGCGGGAAAGAATAACCGAAAGTGATCAGTTAGAGAATTACCCATTTGGGGTGTTGACACGTCCAGTTGCTGGTCCCTTTCTCCATTTCGGAATCCCCTAAACTAAATCAGGGTCTCTCGTACCGGTACTCGTCCATGCTTATCCTTAGCTCGATCAAACGCTGTACTCATTGGTAGCTAACTCTTCCTCTTGAGGTACTGGTACCTTTTCCGGCCATTAAGTCATTGCGAACCGTTGTTGCCCTTTCCAAGGTTCCTTAACTTAATTGCGTATTTTCTACTGTCACACGACGTCAGTGTCCTCTAGTAGACGCCTTGTGTTGGCCACACCGCAACCATTTCTCTTACTTCTCTCTTCATACGGGAGAAATCGTCGTCAAAGGATTCCAAAGTGGGATCGCACCTCAATTTTGATAGAGCACAAGTGTAAGTAGATGGACTTTGTGGGAACATGAGTGAATACAATGACATTTTGCCGAGCAAGGGGGCGTCTTGCAGAACCCTAGCAACGTGGAAACCGTTACATATTGATGGCTTGGGTTGCCCTGCGTTTCACAAGCTGCACTTGTCATATCCCCCGCAAGGGGCTCTCTCCCGCGTTCCCTCCACACTTCATTTGTTTTCCTGTCACGACGCGAATTATTTACTGATGGAAATCGCATTTAACAGCCATGTCAAGTACTCGTTCTAGTAGTGGCGGTGTGCGAAATCTACGCGCCATGTTTGAGCAAAGCAACAACGAATCTTCTACGTCCCATAGCCCTGTGCGATCGCCTCTTGGCCTCGATGGCCAAGCTGCAAGCGGCGCTGATGGAGACCGTCCCACCAACAGAGTCCGCGCAAGCTTTGTCTCTGTCGGACCTAGCGAGCCGGTCGAGGAGCAATCAGGAAAGGGACGTAAAAACAGTGGATCTGAATCCATGTCTGCCAGACGCGGAAGCTTTTGTGCTCATCAGGAGTCAGACCCAGGCATCATTGAAGATGCCAAGGAGACTGTAGGGCACGAATTCCAGGAGAGACGGAAGAGTGTCATTATAGATGAGATTATCCCTGAGAGTGCCCTTGAGGCTACCCCTGCAGCCACTCCCATTGTTGAATTGCCGGAGCATCCTCTCAAAAGCAGCGCTCTAGAGGAGGAGAGCTCATCGACAGATACGCTCGCTGGAGAAGCCTCGCCGTCCGTGAACATGGACAAGCCAGTTTCTGCACAGCAAGACGAAGATGCGAAGCTGCTTCCAGCCGATCCCAAAGACGAGGCGGTAGTTGATGGGAATGCGGCAATTCCCCAGCCAGTGAACGAGCCTCAAGAGTCTCATAAAGAGTCAGAGGCAATCTCCAAACCACTTGAAGAGCCGCCCGTCGGCACCACAAAACAAAATGCGACTCCTCAATCTCCCCAGCCCCTTCCGGCTGAAACTGCGAATGAAGATGAGGTCGCCGCCCCGTTGGAATCTTCCTCTGCTGGGCCCAACAATACGGTCGAATCCGAAAAGCCGGTCGCCGAGGAATCGGCGGAAGTCGTGCAGCCGACCATGTCCTCCACACCACCTCGCAATAAGCATGCTCCCTCAGCTATTTCAAGCCCATCGTCATCATCAAAATCGCATGCTCCAGCCAGCCAGCCACCTTCCCAGTCAGCATCACCTACGCGATCGAAAAAGTCAATCCCTATCCATGGCGGAGCACCAGCTCAAAGCCCAGGTGCGGCATCCGTTCGGACACGAAGATCATCTGTTTTGGCTCAGCCGCATCCTCCTCCCGCCACCACCGCTCGACCTGCCAGACCTACAACAAATAAGCAGACAGTAACATCATCGGGTGCAAAGTCTCGATCAAAGTCTCCCACCCGGCCGGCCCGCCTTCCTGCGGCGGCTACTGTACCAACTGCCTCGTCTGCTGCAAAGTCCGGCACTGGCTCGTCTCCTAGCCGGTCAAACAATCTTTCCAGGAAATCGTCCAAGGTTGCTCGTAATCCCTCTTCGGGAACTCGTCCAACGGCACAGCCTTCTACCGTGTCGCGGAAGCCCCAGGCTCCTTCAGCGCAAGACCATTCCGAACGGCCCGGGTCTCGAGCGAGCCATCCAGGTCCCAAAATCTCAAGGGATGATTTCTTTGCTCGTATGATGCGTCCTACGGCCAGCTCTGCGAGCAAAGTTCACGAAAAAGTTGAGCCGAAAACACACGCGCCCGCTAAAAAGCCTCTACCAAAATCAGGAAGCTCAGCTACGCATGCGCCGAGGACTGGGCTCACTGAAGGATCGCACAAAGTGCAAGGAAGGGCAAACGGATCAGCAGCCGTAGGTGGTCCCGTAGAGCGTTCGGAAGGGAAAGATTCTCAGGCCTGATGGAGGACGTGCCCAGGATACGGTTGGAAACCAACCGATCATTTTCGCGCCCTCAAGCTCTGATCCATTCACGTGAGGTGAATTGCACTCATCGCATGTACTCTTTTTTGAGGAGTTATGTCATTAGCACAAAAGAAGGACCCACGACTAAATTATATCTGACGGACCTGGCAAAGGCTCCTTCTGGTTAAGGAGTTGGTGGGTAAAAGCATAGAATCTCTGCACTGTAGAATAGTTTCCTCGCGGAGATAAAATACCAATTGACTTTGTTGCACAATTATAACAAAAGCTACCATTGAGGATCTTGTGGAATAATTCTTTTGCAAAAGCGAATATCCTACAATCCCACATTCTGGGAAGAACATTGAGCTGAGCGGGAATATAACACCGAAAACAGTAATAGAGCGATTTTTATTGTCTTCTAAAAATTCCTTCCGGACGCCAAATATGCATTAAATATACGGAGCCCTCACAGGGTCCCGAAGCCCGTATAATACAAATCCCATCGACTTCTTCCCTTCTGGAGCTCGTCGAGTTTTGATGAACGTGGGGGGGCAGAGAAAGCTATCTTATCTGCAATGGAAATTCTGCCTGGATCTTGACACACACCCAAGGTAATGAGCCATTTTTAGAAAGCCCGGCACAAGAGCATACCTCCTAGCTTCCTTCTGACACATTCTCTTGCTTCCATGATGCCTTGATCCGTCGTCACAAAGAGACATTCTCCCGGCTTAGTCAATCCTTTGACGTATCCTGCGTTGCGTCCTCTAACAATCTTGCTCAAATCCTCTGCGTTCATCCATACCCGCCTTGTGGGCTTTGACACCATGCTCATCTTGCTAAGGACAGGCTCGTTGTTCCAGTACTTGAGACCCAGCCATAATCTTCGCGAGGCGATGTTTTGTTGCGTAACAGGCTCCTCATCGAGCGCAGAAAATGGTAAAGCTTGACCCGACAGACTTGGAGGGGGTTCCAAACCGCCGCGCTTCACGTTGGAAATGAAACCCGACTTTTGCAGCGACAGCGCCAAAGCCAGGATGAGGTTCGATGACGGAACAGATGTGAGGCCGAGCCGTGCCTTGGAGGCATTTTGAATATGCGAACAAACGTGGGAAAGATTGACCAAAGACATTTTTGCTCGATAACTGTGGAAAAATGCCTACTGTAGCCCGGGGCGGGAGTTGGCCCAGGTATCAGAGCAAGTTGGTTGATTCGGGAACGGCAACAAAACCAAAGGCTTTTGAGCCTAGACGCCCAAGTCAGTAGCTGAACCCACAAAGTCAATCCAGATAGAGTGTGTATTGCATACCAAACGAAAAGATCAATTGGAGTCGTCAATGTGTATATCAAATTCGCTGCCTGGCCGCACCAGAGAACGGAGATGGATAGCCTCAGCACGGAGTACTCGCGAAATCTTCGACTCTGCCTCCAATGGCGGCTGTCGCAAGAACCACAGATGGTTACCCGGAAAAGTTGCGAGCCGGGACCCTTCTCGCCGCATTTGATTGGGCGATTTCGCTCGTTCCATTGACCTGTGATCGCCCTCCTGGCAACCTGGTTCGCCTTTCACAAGCATTATTTAGCCGCCGAGAGCTGTGGTTCGAGGATGGCATCCCGGCCAGACTGCGGGGGTTGATTCTCCCAGGCGGCCTTCCTTTTGGCCAGCCTTTCTTATAATCCCATCATGTCTCTTTTCAACTTTCTATATTGCTGGGTAGAAATACCTATATGGTCGATTGCGAGCATAGAAAATACACCGACCAACGTTCTCGCAAATAGTCATGGAGAGCTATCCCCGGGATGAGCTTGCTCTGAATGCGTAAAGCTTCCTTCGTCTTCCCATAATTATACCTTTATAGTCATTGACAATATTACTCGATAGATTCGCCGACGTCCACTACTTCTTTAGTGACCCTTCAGCGAGGCCTTTGCAGCATCGCTTCGATAAGGGTTCACATGTGTTGCTCCATCGCAATGCTGCGGAGCGAAAGGGACGTTTGGAGATAGCGAACAATGTTGGCAATCCTGACCAAGATATTCTTGTTGGTGGTTAGCAGAAAGTCTTACTCGAAGAGCTTTGAGACTGGCAACTAATGAGCCTCAGTCCTTAGTCGGGTGCGGCTTGAGCATTCGCTCAATCACCCTTGCTTTGTTAGCTTAATTGTTTGCAAACCGGGCGTCGAGGGCAATTATATTGAGCATGATGGCCGGGGGCAGCAATGGTCCCTCCGAGATGCGGATCACCGAAATGGAGGACAATCCCTTTTTGAGATAAAGGCCCTGGACATTTATTTCTGGAAGCCCGAAGATGCCATGACATTCTCACGCGCTTTCAATAGTTTACATGGACATGGGCAGCTGAACACTTCTATCGATTCTGCCAAATCTGCGGAACCGGATCCTATGAGCCCCGTAGTACAACGATTAGAAGAAGCCGTCATATCTGAAGACTACCGCCCTGAAGCATTCGGCACTGCATCGGCAAAGTCGGATTTTGATACCTATGGTCATACAACTGCAGGAACTGTAGCACCAGCGGGTGCGACATCGCCCGCACAGGGCATGTCATTTGCTCCAATGGCGTACAATCCAGCTGCTCCGGCGGCGCCAGAGCCAATTCGAGAACGAGAAATGACGCCTCCTCCCACGGATGGATCTGATGGCACTGGACTGATGGCCGTAGCGGTCAACGAGGAGGGACAAGTCCCGTTGCCCACGTTTGCTCCGCCTCCAATTCAGCACAGCGCTACCTTGCCACAGATCTCTCAACCCTATTCGCATCCAGTTTGGCAGTCTTCGCAACAGACTGCCGAGCAAGCAATTCCTTCTGCGCAGTCTACAAATTTCCAATCTCCTCGTTTTATGCAATATGGGCAATTAGAGCGAACTCCGTCCTTCCCTCCCCCACCCCCTCCCCCTTCGGCCGTACCTGCCAATGTCCCGTCGGCCAGTCCTCAGCATTACCATGAAACCCATGCGCAACAGATTCCGGCTCTTTACGGTCAAACTCGTAGCGCTTCTCAAGGTGTCCCTTTCTCGCAGCCGCCGCAGCAATCCAGGAGCCCGTCATATGCAATATACCCAGAGCAACATACTTCGATCTACGGACAATCGCTTCCGCTTACTCCCATGTCCCCTGGCTTTGCAAGCGCGCCGGCTCAGTCCCCTCCTCCGGTGGGTTCAAATCAGGCGCAACAAGCGCCGGCCGGGTTGGATAATCCATATAATGTTCACAGCCAAGTGTACGTGCCGACAGAAGCCGAGCTCAAGTCCCATGGTGGTAAACCGAAAACGCCCAAGGCTGGACCTGGGCAACAGCCGGGCAAGTTGGAACAGAGGGCCGAGCGCTTGGAGAAGGGAGTCAATCGCTTCTTTAAGAAATTGGAGAAACGAGGTGTCTGATCGTCGTTGGGATACTGATGGACTCGCGGAGTCTAGCCTGAGCACCTTTTTAACGGCGATACCTGGGTTTTTATTCACGAGCTTCTTGATGCAATGTACCTAATATGACTTTGTAGCGTGCGGGAATACATCTTTAATTACCCTCGTTCCTCCCCTGCCCGGAGAATATCTGCAAGGCTGCCAGGGATTATCCCTTATGGGCAGATCAATGCATAGCACAGAGCTCTGCACCCACGTGGCGCCTGGTGTCCTGCACCATCGCTCCCACTAGATCAAGGTTATTTTAGAGTATTTCTCTTACGTGGTAATCGGGCCCGTTAACTAAGCTGTCGATTGATGGAGCAGTAGTGATGTGATGAATGGGCGACTGTTTTGCCAGCTTACCCTCGTGAGGTTTGACGAGGGTCTTTGAGTATATTTAGAGAGGGGTGGAAGACTCGATGAATATAGCGATTAGTCAATAATAGACTAAACATTGTGTACATTTTTGTCGAATATCTATCATTTGCTCTCACTGCTGGTTGATGGTCAACGTCAAATTATAACCATTGTGAGGGTTTCTGGCCGATTTCAAGCATATTCAGATGGCTTCAGAGTCTCTATTTTAACCGTTACTGTGGAGATGAGGTTAGTTGGAGTACACCGCGCGCCTGTATCGTCAGGAACCAGGAGAAAGATTGGGTCGGCGCGATCCAATCTCTCGCGCCAACCCGATTGAGGGTTAGCGTTTCCATGTTTGGTTGGCGTCCGTCATGGAGAGCCACCAAAAGTAATCATGTCAAAGGCCTAGTGGATTGCGTGCTCACGTTCAAAAATTCGCAACAATGCTCTTACGCCGTGGACTGCCCCCAATTGGAGATTCCGTGCTTGTTATGCTGGCGCAAAATGTAATCGTAATCTGGTGCTTGATTTCTAATGTCGGCGATGGCTTCCGGGGTTCTTAGATGACTGTTCTTTTTATCCCTCTGCTCTCTCACCCTCTCTCTTACTACTTCTTCTTGCTGTGCTTTCATCAACTATTTTGCCGTGTCTTTTTCATATCTTAATATATTCGAGACAATATAAAAGAAGCATCTGTTTCAAATACATCGTCACCTTCATCATTATTGCTTCCACCATGTCTGCATATGAAGAACGTCCCCTGTCCCCCAGGGACTCGGAGTCGGGTTACGCCAGTGGCAGTTCGAGCGAGGCATCCATCACTGAAGTCTTCTTCACCAAGCCTCACTTGAAGCACCTGAATCAGCAACTTCAGAAGCTGGAACCAGAGGGTAAGCGGTTTTCTTTCATGAGAGCGAGATGGTGACTCTTGTGTCATTGTGATAAGTGTTAACATCCCCCGGCAGATATTCTGAAATGGTGCATCGTCTCGCTGCCATCACTTTATCAAACGACGGCATTTGGTCTGACCGGTCTCGTCACGGTGGATATGCTTGCTCGTCTCAAAGATTCCATGTCGACTCAAGTCGATCTCATCTTCCTCGATACCCTTCACCACTTCAAGGAGACGATGTCTTTGGTAGACAAGGTCCAGAAGCGCTACCCTCAGGTCAACTTGCACGTGTACAAGCCCCAAGGAGCCGATAACACCGAAGAATTTGTCCGAAAGTACGGTGAAAAGCTGTGGGAGACCAACGAAGAACTGTACGACTGGGTTGCCAAGGTGGAGCCAGCACAGCGTGCTTACTCTGAACTCCAGGTCAAGGCAGTCTTGACTGGCAGAAGAAAGAGTCAGGGTGGAAAGCGTGGAGATTTGGACATTATCGAGGTCGATGAGGCCGGTTTGATCAAGATCAACCCCCTCGCCAACTGGAACTTTGGCCAGGTGCAAGACTACATTAAGCGGAACAACGTTCCGTACAATGAGCTGCTCGATCGGGGATATAAGAGCGTTGGAGATTGGCACTCTACGCAGTAAGTGTTAATAACTCAGTTTACATATCAAATTCCGTTACTGACCTCTTTCAAGACCAATCAAGGAAGGAGAGGACGAACGTGCCGGCCGATGGAAGGGACGAGCCAAGACTGAATGCGGTATCCACAACTCTCGCTCGAAATACGCTCAGTTTCTTCGCGAGCAGGAGTTAAAGATGCAAGAAGAAGCCCTGCGACAAGCAGTGGAGACCGGACTCAAAGTCGAGGCCTAAAACGTTCTTTTCATGCAGCATTTTGTTTATTTTCGTTTTTTCCTTTGTTCTTTTATCCATTGGGTGATATCATATCGGCATGGCTATAGGCGTTTAGGAGGTTTCCAGCATTTTGTGCAAGGCGCTTTACACCTGGAGGTTCTGAAAGTTTTGAAGAATTGGCACCAATATTTAAAGGATAGACTCTTGGAAGAGATCAAATTACAATTTATTCAATCCGATTTGCCTGTAATACATAATCTAAAATGGTCGCGTGCTCGAATTACGGTAGGTGACGAGATGACAGGATGTGGTGAGGGCTGCCGTTGAAGCTTATCGCTGTAAACGGAAAACTGCCGGATTGGGTTGGCTGCAACGCTGACACAGCGAGACATGGTGAGCGCAGCACCGAGCACGTTCAGCTCTCCCCGATCCGTCAATCCCGCCCTGGGGGTTGGTTGAACCCTTTTATCTTGTCCTGGTTACGGCAACCCGTATTCCGCAAAAATCACGCCGCCAGGAACGTTCCATCAACCTTAAAGAATTGAGATATACAATTGACATTCTCGACTTGCAATTGCCAATTGTTGTTCTGATTTTCGCCACCTCCGCGTGTGCACTGCCCTGTACCGTACTGGACTGTACAAAGCGACTATACAAAGCGACTGGACAACAGCGACAAGCCTTCAAACTGTACACTCAACTCTGGGTGGTGTCAGCATATGTCTTTTTTTAGCTCGACCTCTCCCTCTCCGGCGCTTTAGATCCGAATTCTCTCCCACAAAGCTGTTGAATATTATTGTGAACGTGCGTAAAGAGCCTCGACTTGGTTCTTGACTTTTCCGATACTTGGAGACATTTCGGCCTCGATAGTGTCTATGCACATGTTCGAATGTCATTAATGGCACCAACGTAGTTGTCGCATGTCTCGGGCCGAAGAAGTCAAGAGCGCGCATCATTTCGACCTTGAAGGCTTTGGGCTTCTGAAGATCAGGCCTTTTCGTCCTACTCTTTCTCAACTCGCTTTCAAATTCGATCTCGAACAGATTCGCTCCTTCTACAACCTAATCACTCAACGTAATGCGACTGCCTTTGCAGCTTCGGGCTGCGCCAACGGAACAGGGACCACCACCTCAAAGCACTGGCACGGCTGACTCCCACAGCGGAGGTGGAAATGGTCATACCCGTATCATAGTGGTACGTGAGGAATTCCACTGCCCAGTAGTCGTCATTGCTGGCTATGATGTCATTCATATTCTAACTCTTTCTGACAACAACAATATAGGCTACTGTTCTAGTCGCGGTTGGTGTAATAGGCGTAATTGCTGTATATTTTTACCTTGCCCATCTGGAGAAGAAGCGACTGGGTTATTCGGTGCATCCGTGGCGGCCATGGATAGTCAAGCTGAAAACCCGCTGGTCTCGATCAAAGTATGCCCGCGCACCTAACGACAACTCGGACGAGTCAGGCCGACGAAATGGCGCGACTTCAAGTGAAATGTCTCGAAGCTCACGACCTACAACTGGCGCCGGAACAACCAATGGTGTTGACCGGAATACGTCTATACGCTCTATCATGACCCTTCCCGCCTATGCCCCGGCTCCACGGCCTACCGAACAGATCCTCGGACGAGAAGGTGACCGAGCCGGCATTGATGTAGTCGTCGAATATCCAGAGACGGCAGAAGAAGAAGAAACCCGCCGCGAGCAACAAATGTCCTCACTCTACCAGATCCGGCTTGCCCGCCGAGCTGAGGCCGCCGAGCGGGAAGCACAACGACGGCTCCGTCGAGAAGCCCGCTCACGAGGCGACAACACAACCCTGGAAGAATTGCGAGTTCGAAGCCGACTACGTGCCGAAAGCGCCAGTTCTGTCGGCGGCAACGGCGGGCCAGGAGCCAGCACGACCAGCTTGAGCTCGGCGTCGCTGATCCAGGAGCACGCCGCTCGAGAGCGGGATCGGAGAATCCCTTCTGTGAGCTACGCGGATGTTGGTCTGGCGCGGCATGACGGCAGCCGCGTGAGAGCAAACTCGAACGACTCAGACAGGCCACTGCTCACATCTGTTGCCTCGACCGGTGCGCGAAGTAGATCTGGATCAAATCTCGCATGGCACGACCGCACGCGGTCCGCAACGTCCGTCTTGTCGTTATCCACAACCAATTCAGGAGGAAACGGGAACCGCCCGCCCATGGGCGACCCCAACGGATCCGACTTTGAGGAAATTTCCTTGCAACCGACCTTGGCCAGCTCGCATGGCACGCCACCTGAAAGCGACATTGCCGAGGCTCGAAGCCTGATACATCCAGACGAGCATCCCCCAGAGTATGAGCATGTTGATTGGGGAGATGCGCCTCCGTATGAACATGACAATGATCATTTCCACGACATTCGCACCAGTGATGATGTGGATGGTGACGATGACGATGAGGATACACCTCTTGGCACCGCCAGCAGGAGTGCTAGTGATAGCAGCAGCAGCAGCAACCACCATGATACACATCGAGAGTCGACATCCCAGCCACCTGTTCTTCCTGCCTTGCATACTCTACCCGCGATTGAAATCACGGGCACAACACCCGCAAGCTCGGCTCCCCCTACGCCAGTCTCACCTCATTCTAGAGAACCGAGAGAAATGTCATAGTCCTTTTTATCCATTTTCCCTTTTCCCCTCTCTTCTTCTCCTTTTCCTTTTTCCCTCTCTGTCCTCCTCCTCTTTTAATCCTTTCTTCTTCTTTTTCCTCTCATGTTTCATTTTCTATTTCTCCTCGCCTTTTGGCCGCTTTGCAAGGTATCGAGCGTCATGTCCACTTTTGTTTTTGTCATTCTTCTTCTTTTACTACTGTTCCTATTACCCCTTTCAAAGTAATTGTCATGCCGTTTTCATTTGAATCACTTTCTTTTTTTTTGGTTTTACATTTTTTTGGTTTTACATTCTTGGGAATCAAGCAGAGCTGGTAAAAACTTACCGCTAGCTAGTCGGGAAGAGCATGTGGTGTTCTGGCGCTTCCCCTTTCGCTTTTCGTCTATCATTCTTTTCTTCGTTTGTTTTGTTGTGCGCATTTCATTCGTAAACCACATCTTGTTTCTTTTTTTTTTTCTCTCCTCACAGTATCTCAACTAGAGCCTCGCATATCGCATTTTATATTTCCCTGTATTCGTTTGTGTGGTTGTGTTCGACATCTACCTTGGCTACTTTACCTACCTCGGGTTGCTTAGTCTTGTTCTACTTTGTTTGCAAAAAAATCAGCGCGTGAGTTTTGGATTATTGGGATTTCTTTGTCTCTCGTTATACATATACCTACCTTTTAATTTATTCTCTGCACAAGAACAGTGATATATTTGGTTTTGTGTGCAGTGGCTTACTCAATGGGTGATACTTTTTTTGGAAATGACATTGTTATGATTGTCTTAGATATTTTCTATCGTCTGTGAAGTTTCTCATAAAATTGGGAATGGATAACGCCATTACGGATCCAAGAAAAGAAAAAGACGAAACTACCAGGACTAACGCCCCCCACCCACCACACGGACACATAGGCACACAGCCATACTATCGCTCAGCATATTCGCACTATGCCCCCTCGTCCCAAAGACCAGCACTCATCAGCTTGGCAAACGGTCCGTTGCATCTCATCAATTCATCCCAAGTTCCCTGTTCAACTACTCTCCCAGCATCAAGCATGACTATCCTGTTCGCCAGCTTCATCATATACGCATCATGCGTGATAAGCACGACTGTGATTCCATGCTGCGCTGCAATCTTCATAATGGATGCCGCGATCGCGTCGCGATTCAGCGTGTCCAGCGCGCTGGTCGCTTCGTCGAGGATGAGCACTTTTGGTCTCCGAATGAGCGCTCGCGCGATGGCAATACGCTGCGCCTGGCCGCCCGAGAGCCCCATGCCGCCTTCGCCCACGAGCGTGTCGTAGCCCTGAGGAAGAGAGGAGATGAATTCGTCAATGCCAGCGGCGATTGCGGCGGCGCGGACGCGCGCAGACTCTTCTTCTTCTTCTTCTGCAGGAGGTGCAAGTGGGACTGAGGAGCAGGAGGAGCGGAGACCGTAGGTGATGTTTTGCGCGATTGTGGCGGGGAAGAGAGTAGGTGATTGCGGGACGATGGCGATTAGGGATCGGAGTGTAGGGATGTGTATAGATCGAATGTCATGTCCGCTGATAGTGAGCGGTGGCTGTGTGGATGTACGAAAGGGAAAGTGGGACTGGGTAGTAGGTGAGTAGAGGGCGAGAATGAGGGAGGCAATGGTTGATTTCCCACTGCCTGAGAGTCCCACAATCGCGGTACACGTATCGCGTGGGATTGTGAAGCTGATGGAGTTTAACGCCCGGGAAGCTGGCCGCGAGGGGTAGCTGAATGACAGGTTGTTGAAGATTATAGGCGTAGGCTCAATTGGTCGTATGTAGCCTGTGGATTCGTGAGATGAGCGTGGGAGGCGTGAGAGTCTTAGAACTCGCGCTGCAGTGTCTTTTGAAGCACTGATTTGTGGGACTATGAGCTCTGTTAGCGGGAAGTGATCTTGGATTACATAGATTAAGATGGGGTTGTCTTGCGAAGAACTTGGACACACGTACTGAAAGAGACAATGGCATTGGCGTTGCTCACGCTGAAGAGAAGAATGGAAAAGACGGAAAGAATTTCTTGCGTGGTATACTGAAAAGTAGCAGCCAGTACGGAGCCGTAGTAGAATAGAATTGCTTTTTTTTTTTCCATAGGTCAACATTGCGCTTGATGAATGGGAAAGTTGAAATTATACTCACCAGTGACGAAGACAACGGTGGAATCTGAAAGTCCAAAGAAAAGGCCAGAGTACGCAGCCCGCTTCACTCCAATACGCCAACAGCTTTTCACAGCATTTGTATGCTTTTGTTGAAAATATTTCTCCAGTGTCAAAGCCCTGACCGTCGTAACAGAAGTAAAGGCATCGTCAAGCGCGACACCGCAAGCGATCGAGGCGTCATTACTCAACTTTTCCCATTTTCCACTGACATATTCATAAGTTCTCGTAATGGCGTATGCAAAAGGGGCGACCGACAACCCCACAAGTGTCAATTTCCAGCTGATTATTGTGCCCCAGACAATGGCGACCACCATCATCAGAGCAGCGACAAATAGCAGTCCTGCAAATCGACCAATCAAATTCCTCATTTCTTCTGCATTTCGGTCAAGACACTCCAGTATCCGGGCAACTTCATTCTTCTCTTCATCAAAAAATGCCCGGGGTTGGTCGATGACGCGACTAAAAGCTTCCAGTCTAAGCGCGTCGATCCAGCATTGTCCACAGCGTTCAAGCAGATAATGCATTGCAAAAGAAGAAATAGAATCCCCCAGTGCAACTGCAAGAATTGACAAAGACCATGTCAGAGCAATTTCTTTTTGATGGTGCCGGACGTAAAGTGAACTAAGCAACTTAGAAAATACCCAGGAAAACAGGGGCGTCCCGGCAGCGTGCATCGCGGCAGACAGAAAGCCCAAAATAAGAAGAACACGGCCCTTTGTATCGAGTACCGGCCATATTGTACTGAAGATTGATTTCATGGAAATGACTGTTTCCAGGTTGTTTGCAGGTAGGCCTATTGGTGGGCTCATTTCGTACATGGTCGTCAGACGTTTGCTTTCAGTCTTTCTGAGTTTTGAAGACTGTAAACGGGCCTGAGAAGATGCAAGACCACTGGTTTCAATCAGTTCAATGTCGCTGCTCGCAGTCATCCTCTTAAAATTCGTGTTCTGGAACCTCTGGGGCTCTTGCACGTTGTATAGAGGATCTAGAAAGGACTGAAGGCTCGACTGTCGCACCTCTGCAGGGGCAGAAAGGAAAGGCGATACAAGAACAGAAGATTGACGGCGACACTGGACTTGATTGGCGCTCGTGGCGGCGAACACAGCCGGTATGATTGACGAAGGCCGTATCCGGCTTCTTTTATACCAATCATTAGGTTGCGGCAGAGCAAGTGTTCTCTCCTCTTGCCTTGATCGCTGATTGAACTCGTCCCGGAGGCTATCCTTAGCAGAGCATTTCCCACCGACATCCCGTGGCGCAGCAAGCGACGAGAACGAGCCTGGATCAGAGTTCTCTATGTCGCACCGATATCCCTCCTGAACGACATTTCCTTTGTCAATGAGGTAAACATAGTCATTTGCTAGGATTTGATCAATATGATGGGTGATAATGACGGTTGTCTTATCTCGTCGCCATCGTCGAATCGAGTCCATCAGAAGAGTTCGAGTCGTAAAGTCTAGAGCGCTAGTTGCCTCATCCAAAATGAGGATAGGCGTATCGCGCAGCTTGCTCCGCGCAATAGCAACTCGCTGCCTCTGGCCACCGCTGAGTGAGCCGCCCCCGGCTCCGACTAGGGTGTCTAGACCATCAGGTAGGTCGTTGACTGTCCGCTGCAACAGTGCAAACTCGGCGGCGTTTTCAACTTCATGACTGGCAACATTCCGATAACTACTGGACGCAAGAGCTATGTTTTGCAAAAGTGATTCGTTGAATAGAAACGTTTCTTGCTGGACAAAGGTTATATTGCGTCTCAGCCATTCGGTGCTAAGGGTCTGTAAAGAATGGCCATCAATGAGGATATTGCCCTGCTGTGGAGCATAAAAACGCATCAATAGAGCTCCTAGTGTGCTCTTGCCAGATCCACTCTGACCGACAACGAATGTGAGCTCTCCCGCAGGAATGAATAGGCTCGCGCCCCGTAAAACAAGTCGATCAGGACGGGAGGGATAAGAAAACGAAACCTTTGCGGTTAGTTTAAGCGTTAAGTAGGCCCGGGAAGGCTCACATTTCTAATGTCAATGTCCCCAACGCTCCTTGCCAATTCCTTCCTTCCCATAGGTAAACAACCACCTCCTTTGGCCGCGTTGCAGGAGATCGTGGAATAGAGAGCCGCGCCGGCAGCCTTGCCCTTTTCTACCACGATTAGATGCGGTAGTATTTGCTCGATTGCCTGAGTAGCCATGAGACACGCCCAAAAAGTGGTAAGAATGTCGCCAGCAGATTTTTGGCCAGAAGAAACCAGCGTACTGCCATACCAAAACCCTTGAACAAACATTCCTAGAGTAAAGATGCGCACGAACCCTATTTGAAGAGCATTTATACGGGCTTGGATGAGATAATCCTTGGCAGCAGCTTTGATGGTTTTGCTATAACGCGATATCTCAGAATCTTGCCCGTTGAAACATTTGACGGTTTCTATGGAAGACAGCGAGCCATTTGCAATTTTCGACGCTGCTGCGAGCTGATATGTTTGCTCTGCAATACTAGGCTGCATTTTTGCTGAAATGAATGACAAAGTAATTGCAGCAACCGGCATTGTGGACATTGTAACAAACGTAAGTTTCCAAGAGTAGTAGAATGCCAGAGCGAGTGCAGAAAGTACTGTGCTCGTGTATTGGACAATGAATCCCAGCGGTTGAGACGTCGCAGTCTGCAAATCATGTACCAATCTATTATATTATTTCAATACAAGGCCCCACAAAATGGGCGAAAGTATCGAGACTTACCTTTTCATCCTCGGCAGCAAAGCTCCGGTGCCGTTTGATTCCATGTCATACCATTCAACATTCTTCGTGCTGAGGCTGGCAAATATTCTTTCCCTTGCACTTCTGGCTTGAAGCTCACCAAAGCATACCCAGAACATAAGATAACTTCCGTTCAATAACCAACTTGCCGATCCTAGGCCTGCCAGTACGGTGCAATCATGAGATACTCTTTGACGTAGAGTTGAGCCGTCAATCCGCCCAGCACCGAAATCTGCGAATGAGTTGAATGTTTTACCAAGCACAAAGGCAAGCGCAGGTACAATCATGCCGGATATTATTGAAAGTAAAACAGCAAAAGACAGCCATAAGGCATCTGATAGAGAAGTAAACCTAAAAAGTGCTCGCCATGTTGCACACGCTCTCGAATCCGCAGCCTCAATTTGACAGGGACCATTGCTTGCGACTTTTGCGTCTTCCAGCATGGGCGAAATAGCTTCCTGATGAAGAGCTTTCCACCGGACTGAAACGGGATGAGAATTGAAAGAAATCTTTGTCGGTTTCTGTCTGCCATATATTCGTTGATTGAGTCATAAGGTGATGAAGAAACGATTGGTTAATCTGACAAAAAGAAAGATGTAGGTGAATTTCTGCTTTTATCTGACGACACCGATTCTGTCCATATCGCCAAGCATAAGAATGCGCGCGCAGTCGATATCATTCTTCTATTGAAACAATACTAACTATTGTCATTATCGCCATGCGTGCAGTTAGCGAAGTCTCCAAGACTTTAAGGACAATAGGAAGCTGCAGACAAAGAACATTTGCCGAATGCCGACCACCGCTCATTTCTGATTAGTGAAAATGCATGGAGACGGAAACAGCGGACTTTAGCAGGTCAGAAATCGGATTTGAAAAATTTCGTTCAAGGTAAGTTGCATCGATTTGTTTACAGATGGATTCTCGCGAGATATTCAGCATCAGGTTGATCGAGTAAAGACCTACCAGCTATTAGTACTGATCCAGGGGACCCCTTGGCGAACAGGATAGAAGCCGGATTAAAGCTATCCGCAATAAATAGAACATCGTACATGGATCTTGGCACTCAGGTCAATGGGTTAACTCGATGGTGCATCACTCCTTCATCTCACTCGGGGTTGATTTAACACGCAATAGGTCGAAAGCCCGTTGCAAAAATAGACAAACGAAAGATGATTTTGACTTTTAGAAACAGACGCCTTACATTTGCAATCTATAGTCGTCACATTTGTAGCAAAACGCCGCTCCCTGTAAATAATGACGAGAAAATAGGATTTATGCTTCGGTTTACTTGGCTTCACTGGGATGTTCACGTTCGTAGATCCAGTCGTTCAGACCAGCCCGATTCCTTCGAGTGTGAGTAAAGATCATTTGAAAAAGAAATAAGGTAGGGAACCAACCGTGCTATCTCAACAGCGTAGAATTGCATACGAACGGCTGTTGTAGTAAAGGTTCATCAGCAAAATCCAACTAGCTGCTAGGACGAATATCCTACCAAAAATCGTCTCCTTCTCCCCGTACTCCCACTTCGGGTTCGCTCGGAGCATAGTTCCGAAGTTATAATCGTCGACAGTTTTCTCGTACTTCATGAGGAAGTTCCGCCACCTTTCTTTGCCTGCTTTGCTCTTCATTTCATCTTCGTTGATGGTTGCGGCAGGGTCAAAGTCGGGAAACTCTTCTTTGAAATGTTCGTATATCTCATCATCCATTTTCGTAAGTCGTAGCTGCGAGCCCCGCATCTTTTCCAGAATGGCCCAGTAAGTGGACATGTGCTGCACAACTGTTTTGGCGGCGTTTGTTAGTTTGAAATCGAGTATGAGCGTGACGCTGTCAAGCTGCTGAATGTTGCCGAACCTTTAACTGCGAATTGCTTCTCGATCTATATGTCTGTCAGCACTGGCCCTGCTCCTTAGGTGGAGGGAGTCTATTGAACATACGTCTTCGAAGTTGTCCGCCTTCTCGGCGTCAAACTTCCCTGGAGCCGGTGCGACAGACATATTGGGAGAAGGGATTTTAGTGACGATATTCCAGGAAAAGATATTTACAAAAATTGAGGGTGATGAAATGGGGCTTCTTGACCAAAGAAGAAGTAATCAAAATACGTTTCAGGGAGTTAGTAAAATAAACCTACAATTTCGAGATTTTTTCGAAATCGTCATACTTAGCAGACGCGGAACTTACCGGAGGATACATACGGAGTACGGAGCGAGGCAGAGTATCCAAGTGGTTCAATTTAAGCAGAAGCGCATTATCTTCCAAATCACACTCCCACCATTATACGATGATGTTTCCAATCCAATCTCTATTTAACTAGAAAACTGAATTTTTCAAAGATCGGTTAAATGATCAGTTGATGGATGTATTCAATATCAAACTTTTCTTTATGATCGTAACTCCTTGTCAGTATGTGGTATGCTTATGTCAATGCAACTAAAGTAGAAATGACGCCGTGAACTACCATACCATTCATTATCGTACCAATGAGCAAATTCCCCGGGGTATCACCATCATCTCGAATCTATCTTTCAGTTATATATGATCTGCAACAGATCGACACTAGCTGGAGGCTGGTCTCGACTCATCAAAAATGCGCGAAAAGGTTCTGATGTCTGTCTAGCGCGGGCCTGATCAGGCGATCACGAAGCAACATCACTTCCGCTCTCCTCTTCAAAGCCTTCAAATTCTCCCCCTTCAGAATCAGAGTCGTCCTGTTCTGCAGTGGAAGAAGCCGCGTCAGATTCGGGAAGCTCGTTAAGCTCCTGCCCATCATCTCGTTTTCTCTTTTTTCTCATCTCACCCAATCTACCCTCACGGCCCTCAATATCCTTGGCCCCTTCACCTTCAGTATAGGGTGGAGGGGTGTACCATGGGATCTTTCCTCGTAGAAAGTCATTCAGCACCATTTTGGCCACGCCGTCAGTGTCCGCCTCTCCGCCCTTTAACAATCTTCCACCCTTTCTCGCCAGGACCTCCAGAAAGTCTATCGCCGAGCCCGTAATTTTGACATCATACGTGCGCTCAAGATGTTGCGGTTTGCACTTCTTCAAAACTGCCGCGATATACTGTTCAGGATTTTGAACATTTTCCACGCGGACAACGCCTCGAAGCAAAATGTCCTCTTCCGAATCATTTTGGTTGGGTGGCACCACACCAGGACAGTCTATGAGGTAGATTCTCTTCATGAGCGTAATGTACTGCCACACCTTTGTCTCTCCCGGAATTGGAGCGACAGTGCAGACCTTCTTCTTGCGAAGTGTATTGATGATGGAGGATTTTCCAGTGTTGGGGTAGCCGATGAAGCCGACAGAGACTTGTTTGCGATCAGAATGTAGGGACGAAAATTGTCGAAGAAGTTGAATCAACGAGCCTTTACCAAAGGAATTCGTGATTGAAGCATGGAATGCTAGAGTTGGATAGTCTTTTGACAGATTTCGAACCCAGGCGGCCTGAAAATAATAGTGTTAGCTTCTTAGTCAAGAAACATAAGAAAACAATAAAATGTATGAAACTTTGCGTAAGGGAGACACCAAGAGCACCCGCAATAAGCAGTGATGTTTCCCTGAGAATGCTAGAGACATCCCTCAGCTCTATTCGATAATCTCCAATACGGAGATATATCAACTTGCCAACAGAAAGCTGGCAAGCGGCGAGCTGAGGATTAATCTACCAAAGTTGTAACAGACAAGCCATCCACGGATACGCATAAAAATGCTGGAAGGCGCCTTGACTTAACAGTGGAATGTCTGTGCAAAACGGAAAAGAAATTTCCACAAGGACAAGGAGAAGAAAAACACGAAACAATTGAAGTAAAGGAATGCGACTTACAGCAACACCAGTGGGCACAAGATCGCACTTATTGAGGACGAATATCAGGTGCTTGTGAGGGGCTTCCTCCCGGATATATTTCTCAATACTCCTGCACCTTGTTCCCAGCGGATCTCTAGCGTCTAGGACATGAATGATCACATCCGAAGAGTCTATGACCTTGTAGAGCTCGTTCCATATCCGCTTGCTTTGACCTTTCGAAAAGACCGGCTCTCTCGCTGTGGTCAAAGTCTCAACATCAAAGGCAGAATCGCCACCTTGTTCAGCCCCTTCGGAGTTACCACTCAGCAACTTTGCCTGTTCCAAGCGGTCCAAATACGTATCGTGCATCTTTTCTGATTCTCCAGCGAGATCTTCAATGGAGCCAACAGCGAGCTTTACCCGCTTTCGCTGCGCCTTCGGCCCAAATGTTTCAGCAAAAGGCGCTGACTCCACTGTCATTTTTGCTTGATGTTGCTTTACACCATTTACGCCTTGGCCATCTCTGATCAAGCTCATAGGGAGCTTATTACTTTTCAGCAATACTTGATAAGGATCCGAGGCTCGTTCGGCCATGGCGTCACGGAACGAATTGAGAGCATCCTGGCTGATGACTCTTGTATTGGTGAACCACTTCCTGTTTGGTTCAATTCGTGCATTGGGTATTTCCCGAGATTGGAATGAGGCGGCCTTTGTGACTTCTCCAGCTGCATTATGCTGAGCCTTGCCCTCTTTGAACATATTCAATTGCCTCGCTTTCTTAGCATTTCTGCGGCAAAGATTACACATGTTAGCTTGAAAACGGTTACAAGAAGCAGACGCCGTGCTTGAAAAGCAGGACACGGGGACGTCAAGGCTGGAATGATAGCATCAATTTCTTCTCAAGACTTACCGATAGAAATTCTCGCCCTTCGTCCGTACATTGGCCATTCCATCTCCAACCTTCCCCTGGCGCTCTCGCCTGGTAGCCTCCTTCTTTCCGGTACCCATTTTGAGCTGAAAAGAAACCGGCGATGTCAAACAAGTCTTCGAGTACACAAAGTCGTGGTGGATTCAAGAGACGAGAGAAATTTCAACTTTTTTTTATCAGCCTTCGCCTAGCGATGCCAAGACCCCAGGGACCATAAAAACTCCCTGCCAGCACTAGAGGTCCGATACTTGACTGAAGAAGCGAGGTACAGATCTCAATGTACCTTATTTGCGTCTCTAGATGCAAATAATCAAAAATTCTGTGGAGATTACTGAGGCGAAGTACCTTTGAGAATAGTATCGCTTGGTATATTAATTGGAGATTGAATTTGAGAGAGACACGGCCTTTTTGATTTTGCTTAGTCATACAAAGTCATCTCTACGGGGGAAGGAAATCAATGTTGGATATTTTGATCTCGAAAGGCTCCAGAACGCCCATCGCTGCCAGTGTCAAGTTCGCCATGACGCGAACAAAACCTTTGCTCTCTGTGCCTTCGAGGCTAGGGCAATGTCATACTTTCCTCCCTCGACACTTCTCCACGTCCAAGGCGGCCTTCAAGATTGGTCCGGAATCGCCCAGATTTATCGAAGTTCCTCAACCAATTCAGCCGCAAGCCCCCGGGGTGCCAGTTGTAAAAGGTGTACTGCCTGTGCCTCGACAGATTTTCTCGAAGCGTGGGCCGGTGAAAACATCAAAAGCCTACTATGATAAAACTGTACCAAAACCAAACAAGCACCATCGCCATGTCGGAGCAAAGAACTCGGAAGAGTCCCATTATCTTATTTGGAAAAAACAATCGGCGGAGCTGAGAAGACGGAATTTGCGAGAAGGACTTTTGGAATTGTCGCACAGAAAAATAAACACCGATAATATTGTTGCAGCAAGAAGCGCAGCGAAGCAGGCCGACCATCAGCGGCTCATCAATGAGCCTGAGCGGGAAGACGAACGCCTCACAAATCCTTCTATTCTGGTCTCGATGAAGCAACAGAAGATTGGCATGCTGCCTGATCCCAACCGAGAAAGCCGAATTGTCGACAAAACCTTGAAACTTCAAGAACGCCAGGCTGCGAAAGAGCAAGAACGGAAAGATCGGTTGCATACCCTTTATACTCAGGCTCGAGAATTTATCACAACGGAGGCGCAACTCAACGAAGCCATTGACAGAACGTTTGTGGAGTACCCCGAAGAGTTCACCAGTGATGGAGGGCTTGGTGAGAACATTTGGAACAGAGGGTCACCTGAGACAGTTCAGCAGATGCTGAATGAGATCAATAGAACCGGAAGCAATGCAATCAAGCATTACACCGGTGTGGGAGATATTACTCAGAAGCGTGTTCGGAGAATTGCGGAAGAATTGACCGGCGGTCGATTGTAAATTCACAAAGGCGTCGACAAACGGTATTTGTTTTTACGGCACATGTACTACCACGTTCTTGTCATAATTTGTCATTTATATTCTGCGTTTCGATCTTTTTTCTTACGTTTGGAAACGCTAGATTTGTGAATAGATCACATTTGCTCTTGAAGGCCTAAACAACCTGTGCCAAGAAGACGAGGATTTGAAAACTCGTGTTACTGCTGACGGGAAGACACATGATTTGGATCAAGTGGGGTCATTTTACAGGCATCTACGCGTGTGCCTCTGATAGCTTTCGAGCTTCTCAGATGGGTCTGCCAAAAGGCCAAAGAGCGTAACAATTCCGTCCATGTCAGAAAAGGTTACGCACAAGGGCCTCGTGTGCAAATTCATAAGGGAGGTATATTGAGACATGGAGAGAGTGTGTGTGTTCTTTAAATTGTTGCGCGTACAACTTGGCGAAGGTCGAGATTTCTCTATCTTGTTTTTTCTTTACTTTCTCCAATTGATCGCATTGTTTTCCCAAGATATCTCCTGATGGAAAACCCCGCGGAAGGCCTTGGCCAGTTTCTCATCGCTTAGGCCAAAATTGGGGTTCAGGAATGATGATACTCTTGAGCCCGAGGTGGTTAGAGGGTGAAGTAGAGCTCAACGGGTGGAATTGAGTTTCAATGCATCTACGCTAACCCCCCCGCCTGCTATGACTAAATGATCTAACTAACCCTTTATTACCCGCGTAAGCCGTTGGCAGAACAACTATTGGCAATTATAGTTTCCAGGTTGTGAAGGCCCCATGGCAGAAAAGGATGGGTTGTCAGCCCTGAAAGCCTGATGTTCTAAAAATGTATCCGGAGAGCCATTAATCTCGTTCTGGGCTCTGGATGGTAGGAACGTTGAGGTCAACACATGATCGTACAAGATATTTCATTTTCTTGCTTTTGCTAGCAAACAATGTCAAGTTACCATGGAAAGACAGACCTTTATTTCTCAACTCGGACCATATGCCACGACGTAGGCAAGGTAAGGTGGACGCACAATGACCAGTCAGCAAAGAGCTGCATTTTGCATCGGGCATTTCTCTTCCGACGTCTAAGTTATACGGATCTTGGCTCTCTAGTTACTAGAATCGTTGACTTGCATGGTCACCTGGGTGACCTTCAAGGTCCCCTGTTCCCCTCCCGGGTGTGGGCCCTTTGAGAGGGTTGAAATAAGTTATCCGAGGTAAATAATTGATAACTAGCACAGCCAATTCAAACTTGGTTGCCCCTCGTCTTTCCCGTTAGTTACGAGGGAAATGAGCTCTGCAGCGGCAACGATCGGCACCCAAGACTCCAAGCTTTGTGGCGTTACCTGATCAGACACCGAAAACAGCCTGTTATGACGTTACAGTTAACCTACAGAGATAGGCAAACCTCAACGTGAACTGTTCAAGTGCAAGTGCGCTTTTCCGCACCGCCTCGCCGCTATTCAGCATCTGACACCTCGTATCAGCTCTCCAAAATGACTTTGCCCTAAAGCGGATGAGGGTCCTCGTTCATCATGTCACTTCTCACCCGTTTTTCCCCAATTTACACTTTGGTCCTAGGGTGAACTGTGACTTTTGAAACTACTTTCACAACAGAACAAGGGTATCAACAATCTTGGCGATCCTTCATTATGATTAAACCATTCTAGATGGCCCGTTTCTCAATTGAAGAATGATCATAATAGTGGAGATCAGTAGGAGAAATAATTCGTTCATAGGGCAAAAGATTCAGATCACGGCTGAATTTGAAACGTTTGATGTAAATATCGGTAATGAGTGAAGCAAGGAGCCCATTCGAAAAAGGAAAAAAGATGACAACTCCCCAAGAGATCCTACCGTAGTATGCAAATCGCTAATGATGCATAATATCAGGATTACCGCATGAAATTATGGAGAAGAAGGCGAGTCGAAGAAAGCCTTGTCGAGTGAGTTATTCGGTCATGAACAGCTTGGCTTGGCCGGGGCGCGACGCTATCGTATACGAGGCGTCGAGCCTGGCCAGGATTCCCCGCATTTTGAGCTGCGGGTGGAGGCCGGCGGAGACATGAAGCAACCACTCCACAACCAAGTTAACTTACACTCTTTTCTTTCTTTTCTTTTCTCTTACACACACACACACTCGCACTGTCAGGTCCTGCAGATGACACTAATGAACACCCATTTATATTTTTCAGCCGCTTCATGGCCTAAGCTGCCATGACGCTTTGGCGGCACCAGGGTCATACTCGGTTGGGTTTACCTCGCCCACCCCAGTGCGGCAAAAAGGGACAAGATGACCGCCGAGCCTCCTGGGAAGATGATGTTTACTGCCAAAGAAGATTAAAGGGCACCAAACAACCAATCGCGTCCTCCCCCCTGGCTTAAGGCATCCTGTATCTTGGCGGTGCCTCATCCAGCTCGTAAACCACTTCCCGAGCTGGTTCCTCGGGAAGATGGTCCGACTTGCTTGACTGTCACCACAAGAGATCGAGCATGTACGCTTTGAGCCTAGGAATATCCTAGTTTGATGCCCGGCCATGGATGTAAGTCGTCCCTCCCCGACTCCCCCTGTGTGGCCTGCCACTAATAATATCAGATCGTGTACGGTGCTGTTGCGTCCACGAAATCTCATTGGAGACCCAAAGAAAAGAATACACGGGCGTGGCTAGTGCTGCTACGACAACGAGATCTGCTTCTTTTTACCCCGTTTTTCTTTTACGATGCTCTAATTGCCTCTCGTCTCACCTCGTTTCAATGTGACCATGGGCCCCGCATCTTCATGTTGGAGCTGTTCACAGTGATGACATCGTGTGTTTTGCCACCAGACCGTGCCTTTCTCATATGAGGCCAGCCGGACTTGCCAGCCAAAGCTATATAGACCCCTCGAGAGCTCCCGTTCGAACAAGTTCATCATTCCATCTCTGAACCCCAAGGGCTAAAGCATACAAGCCAATCGTTCTATACTTTATTGTTTGTGACAAGCCCATTGGGAACAGATACCCGCTTCTCTTATCTTGAACCATCAACATGTTGAACACATACGCTGTTTCGGCTCTGGCCCTCGCTCTCGGTGCCAATGCCCTCGTTGCTAGGGACGGCAACTGCTGCTTCCACTTGACCGCATCTGGCGGAGAGTCTGGTACTGTAGGCCAACTGTCTGATGGACAGAACAGAATTGGGGGTGGTCTATCTCCTGCTACCTATTGCATTGACTCTAATGGTGGTCTTACTGACGGGAATGGCCGCGGATGTATTCTTACGCGTATGTCTCTCTGTCCCTGAAGATCTCAAAAAAGGATCAAAACTGATCTTGTACAGCTCCAACCACCCAATTTCAATGTGATTCCGGTGCGACGCCTACTGGCGGATTCTCAGTCGGATGTGACGGAAGCGTTTCATACAATGGCAATTCCAATTTCCAGGCCTGCCCTACGGGTGAGAATGGAGAGTACAACATCTACACCACTGCGCCCTCTGGTCAAGGAGGTTGTGTCACCATTACTCTCAATGCTGATAGCTGCCACTCCGGCTGCCCTCCGCCCCCGCCAAAGCAATGTCCGGCCGATCTCTCTGGCACTTTTGAGTGAGTCTAGGCCTTTCCTTGAATTCTGCAGTTACTGACTCCGTCAAAAAAAGGTTCCCTCACTTGATCGTCCCCATCGACAAGAGCAACCCTGATAAAGCATACGGGACGTCGTACAATGGAGAGGTCACGCCCACCATTTCGTCCATTTTCAACTTTGACATTCCCGCCTCCGACTCGGGCAAGACGTGTACACTTGTGTTCCTATTCCCGAAACAGAGCGACTTGCAGACGTCGTCATTCACTTTCTCCGGAAGCGGCCAGATCGACTTCAGCTCGCTGGCTACTACTGCCACTCAACAGACTACATACAACAATGCTCCCAAGGTTTCAAAGGATCTGGGCGTCTTCACTGTCTCTCCTGGCAATAGCTATACCATTAGCACATTCAGCTGCCCTGCCAACACAGCAATCAGCTTCGAGCTCAGCACAAGCTCCGACACGAACCTTAACTACTTCCAGGACTACAACCCCTCGCCGTAAGTTCCCACTAACCCACTGTCTCCCAATTCTCCCCTGCTTCAAGAGCTTGTCCAGACCTTTTCAATTTATATTTCTTCGGTTTTACTGACATAATACCCACTAGAATCGGTCTCTACATTACCGTCTGTTAAAAAACATTCCGACCGACGTGCGTGGCATTCTGAGCCCCCTGCAATTTTTCCGCACCTGGAAACTTGTGTTATCCTTGGGAAAATGTCTCACGCTCTTCATATTTTTTTTTTTTTTTTTTTTTTGCATTCATTCATTTTAATAACTCACGACTCGACGTAAATTGTGCTCCAGCCTCTCTGCCTCGTTGCACAAGTTAAATTTTACGTTTTTCACGACTTTTATTGCCCTTCCCACCCCATACTCGTGCTTTTTAATAATTTTTTTTTCCCTCTTCTTTCTCCTTTTTCTGCGGCTCACTCAGCATTACTTTCGATGCAAAGCAGAAAAACTTATTTCATCTCTGCAGTGCTATTGCACTATGGGTGGTCAATCACGGGAAAAAGGGAAAATAAGCCTCTCTGTAGTTTTAACATCAGGCATACCTAGTTTTCTATTTATCATCTACTATAGCTAGGAAGGCATAATAATATAATTGAGCGCTTTGGCGTTATAATTTGTTCTTAGGGACGTTATTTGATGGTTGTCTTGACCGTGACTGTGAACTTGTTTGGCCATCTATCACTGTTTTATTTTTATCTAAATTTTTTTCATTTTATTTTATTTTATTTTATTTTCTAGGAATTAAGCAGAGATAGCACCTCCGGCTCGGAACAATGACAATGTGATGCCTTAAAGCTGAGATGTATATATTTACAGATATATTTGCCCGGTTTGCACTGTGTAAAATCGAGTCTGAAAACTCGCATATCCAAAGATGAAAAACCACATGAGTCTGAATACCAGTGTATCGAAAAATACCTACAGCAACACTGTAGAATACAAATATGTATGAAAGAATCTTGGTCGTAAATTACTATTCTCTAACTCTGTATATCGACTCTGTCTTCTACTACGCTGTATCGTACGCAATCTACCAAACTGTCTAATGAAAATGGACAGATAAAATAATAAAACGAAATCAAGCACGGTAATCATCCTGTACTCCGCGGTAGAGTTGTAATCACTTCATTGCGGCCTGGGACGCTTTCAGACTACCCACGACAGTAAAGCAGATCAAAGGCGAAATGGCATACGTAATCTGTGTACATTGTGTCAGTCGCTGCGACACAGATCTATGGATCAAGTGGGAAAGAAGATGTCGGGATAGTGGAGAAGGGAGAATGGGAAAAGTGGAGAAAGGAGAATAAGGGAAAAAAAAAAGGCAACGTACAGTCAAAAACTTTGCAATGGACATTTTTTCTGCCTCGGAAGAGCCGTCAACGTCGGCGAGAGCGACGAGTTTCATGGCAGATGGGCCGGTGGGCATCATCATCATTGCGAACCACAGGATTGGGTCCTCGTCGAGCCAGTGCGTGCGTGATGCGATGGCCCATATGGCGACAATGCTGATGCTGGATGATTGATTGATATTAGCCACTTGGCCCTTTTATTTTTTTCATATTTCTGGGCAAGTTACTCACATGGGCCACAAGATGAAGCGAATAAATGTAATCAAGACCATTGATATCCACGGCACCTTTTCTCCCTGGTCGCCCTTCTTTGTCAAGGAGCTATGCAGCTTGACACCGACGACGAGCACCTGCAACACGGCAAAGAGGTTGCCGACATTACGTACGGCCGTGGTCAGCCAGGCATTGAAGTACCCGCCTTCCTCAGTCGGATTGAAAAAGACTCGATGGAGAGGAGGTACGAGTCCGACAAGAAGACCAATGAGTCCGCCAATGACGGGCGCGTTGACAAAGGCGTATGCAAAGTCGAGTGCTTCCCGCACCCATGGTGGCAGGCGTTTGTAATAGTGAATGGATTTTTCAAGTCCCTTTTTATGCGCCATGCGACCACGTCGAATGACGGGATCAGGTAGCAAGGGCGTTCGCTCCTCTGGATCATCCCCTCGTGCTGCTGGGTGGGGGATATCGCCATGTTCGGCGGGACTGTTGGGGTCTGGATGATGACCATCGGTTTGGTCATCGTTGTTAATTTGCTCGCCGTCGCTGACTTGGGAATTGGACTCGTCATCTTCATCATCACCCTGTTCAGCGTTTGATATGGACGACTGAGCGGATTTCCGGCGTGTCCGGTCCTTGTCGTTGCTGTCAGGCTCGTCGGGACTGTCCTCTTCGTGTCCACCGTTGAGCAGGCTGGGTCCAAGTGCAAACGTCAAGGAATTACCAACGAGCGAGCAAACGAGAAAATACGACTGCGCACGAGAAATTGCATTTGGAATTGTGTCAGTGTCAGACGCAAGCAGCCGCGTCAGAATGCCAGTCGTTTCAAGGGACTGGACAAGAAGTAAAGGGAGCGAAGTGGTGTTGTTGAAGCATATCGCTGGTGTTGCCCATGCTGGGAGTCGTAGGACTCGAGTCGCAAGAATGCCAATGGCCATTGATACAAGGGTATAGATAATCGACCAGATGAGAATAGGGACATATCGCAGGGCCGTGGACAGGTGGAGCTCCGATCCCACCTTTGCGATCAAGAGACATGGTAGAAGGAGCTTGACGCACAGCCGGGACACTTGTTTTGTGGATTTCTCATTGAGCAGGTCGAATTGAGCAGCAATAACGCCAAAGAGGATTGTCAGAATCACAGACAGGCTGGCCTGGAGAGCACCCAGAAAGCTACTCAAGAGACCATCATCTGCCATTTTGAAAGCGATTGCGTAGCAGTTGATAGGGTGATTCACTGGGAGGAGTACACATGTATGGTCAATGAGTTGCCGGGATTGCCATTGATGCTGTTTTCCTCATCTATTCAAAATCGGGCTCAGACTTAGATAAAAGGAATAAACAATGCGGTGGGACAAACAAAAGAAAGTTCACAGTGGGTGGGTGGTGTGTGCCTTAGGGTAACTAATTCCAGATTGCCATAGCCTATCATGTTACAGCAGTGCGAAAGCGTAAACTTGGAAAATTCCTGATATCAGGGAATGGAAAGTTGAACTGTGGACGGGGTCCAGTCCCATAAAAGGGGAAATAGACGTCATGGACCCCAATAGGGCAGTCACTCCCCCCATTCCTTGAACTAAATCTCGCCCTAAGGGAGAGATAAACTCCCGTGCCAAGAAATTCAACTTTGTGGGGTAAAATGCCACACGAAAGTGTCTCGCACGTGAAATCCCATCAATGACAACACTGTATTTCTTGACTTTATTGCCAAATTACGGAGTTTATATAAAATATTCTGAACATTTTTTTTTTCTTACTTTACTTGGATTGACTCAAGAATCTCAACCTTGGCAATGTGATTGAGCTTGGTAAGATGCACTATTCAACGCTTTAAAGATTGTTCACGGGCCTGCAACATCGAGTAAACAGAGGATATTGTTTTCATAAGCTTAATCAATGCCCGCAAACTCAATTCGTCAAGCCCTGTTACGGCATGTCATCATATCCTGTTTCCTCTACAACACTATCGCCATGCCCACCAAGCCGAGCGCACCAGCAACGGCTCCAGCCAAATTGGTGGGAGCTGCCCAATTTGTAGAAGATTTTGTGCTGCTCACACTGGCTGGGTGATCTGTCGCGCCAGTTCCAGAAGCAGAACCAGAGGAAGAAGTTGCTGCCGTATGACTGGACTTGGCGCTGGATGCTGCGGAAGAAGCAGAGCCTGACACCGCCGATGCCGAAGCTGATGCTCCACTAGAAAGAGACTGTTCCATTCATTTAGTAATGTTTTCGGTTGTATTCAGACGACAAAATGGAAAAACATACACTGGCTACGGATGACAGCGATTCCGACAAAGATGAGGCGTGCGAAGACAGTGCACTCGGTGTCGACGTGGTGACAATTGTACTTCCAGCCGAATTGGTAGTTGTTATGATTCTAGGAGCGCCAGAAATACCAGTGCTTGCGACCCCACGTAGTTCACTTATGGCCGATTCCAGTGCTTCGACATTGCTAGAGTACTTGCTCGGGATCGCGCTGAGGAAGGGCGGAGGAGTTGCGGCAGTCAATGCGGAATGAACGACCTAATGTAAAGTATTAATATCTTCTAGGCTCGCTGATTCGGAATTTCTGCCAGTCTCCTTCATGGACTTACTGAGTTGATATCTCCGGTCGTCAAGGAAAGCGCGCTCTGAATGGCTACAGCGATTGGAACAGCCACTGTCGGCGGGATATATCTGGAGGAGCACAGCCGTCAGCTTCGACTCTGCAGATACTCTGGGCCCTGTAAGCTCAGCTCGGAAGAATAAGACTTACAAACTGATCAATTGATCCGCCGCGCTCGAGAATGCAGCTTCAGTAGAGCTGCAGCTCATATCAGCTTTTTGCGTACCCAAACAAGCTCACACTCCACGTTCACTGGCATAGAGTGCGCTCCGCTGGAAATAACTCACGCTGTCGCTTGTCTCTTTTCCGCATATACCACTCGCTGGACATTGACAGGAGTGTCTTCAACAGCGACGACGCCAGTCGACAATGCGACAAGAGAAAGAAGCGCCAAAAGAGACGGAGAAATTTTGACACGCATTTTGTCGAAACAACAAAAGTCCAATGGCAACGATTTATTGCACGAAAGAAAGCGGATTTCTAATCGCGATAAGAATTGACAATCGTTGGGGTTGATGAGGAGCAAGTTTCCCAAGCCTGCAAGCAGCAAATACTGAAAGTGTCAGACACAAGCATTAAGCGTGCACAATATAATTTCCTCGGACAAAGAAGCTTCTCAAAATCAGCGCGTAATTTAAAGATGAAACCCGATCAAAACGCGAGACGCACACGGGCTCAAAGGCAATCCGGGGGCAGACACAACAGAAGAGGCTGGGAGCTTGGCGCATATATATATTGGTGCCACCTGTATTACCAGTGCCACCATGAATCTGGGCACAAAATAGCGGATACCTGCTTTAAGCTTGAGCGTGGACCCATGTTGGAATGCATGTAGTAGAGACGTTCCCTGTTTCGCAGTACGCAGTGGATCTCCTCATTGACAATTTAAGTTCATTACTGTGTAAGAACCCCCATGAATCCCAAATTCTTGTTTTCTTCTCTTGTGCTGCGGGAAACAAATCTACATAGCCCGATGCGACGTTTGGAGCGGAGAAAGACTGTTCACGCCATCTGGGACTCTGGATTCATCGGCAAGTCTCGATTTTGTTAGCTCCTTGATCTTGAAACCCCGTTGGGCACTTACTGTAGTAGTCGTCACAAATGCCATTGATCACAGACCTTTGCGGTCTCTTGGTCCCCTGATTATTGAGTCATGCATACGCTTTGAGAAATCATTGGATTATGTGGCGAGTGCATTTGGGGCTAGAAGAGAGCGAGTGGAAAAAGTCAAAAAGCGAAACAAATGGGGGAAAAGGCAATATGCAATATTGCCCTCGTTTGCACGAACTGCATCGTAGTACTCCAAAGTACACGGGCCAGTAGGGTCTTGTTATTGTGTGGCGTACCCAAGACGTCGTATAATGCTGTGATAATATTACCATACAGAAAGCTTGTATATACCTACCTAGGTAGGTAGTACAGAAGACTGGTGGCTCAAAGTGTATATAATGGCTTGGTGGGTTTTGCTCATTTGGACCACTGGGGCATGAATTAGAAACGTGCCACAAATGCCCATAACGAGAATACCCTCTTTCTCTGTGCGATCGTGACATGAAAGCCAAGACGGCGGAGGAAGTATATAATTTAAAGAAGGAAAAAAGGTATTAAAAAAAAACTATCCTGTAAAAACTATATAAATATCATTTGAAATGTCTCATATTCAAAATATGCCCGTCCTCGAAGCACGACCTCGGAAGGCTAGGATACGACAACACCGTTTATGACAGAACACCCCAAACACCCATTGTACTCTGCAAGTGCCCGAGACCTTAACACTTATTCACTTGTTTACTTGTTCGGCTTCTCTGTGACACTACCATCCAGATGTACATGCTTCGTCATAATACGAATTTCATTCTCATCCAAGAATTGTACAGAGATTACTTCTTTAGGGTCGCTTGGGTCTGAATGGGATTTGTGTGCCCGAGCACCCCCAGGTAACGAACAAATAAGTAGCCTGAAAATGATTACATACTGAGGGACTTACTTGATCTTAACCTTCTTGACCTTGGGATCCTTTGTATTAATCACGTTAGCTGCTATCAGCGGTCTCAGAAACAGCATTACTCACTGCTGCTTCTTGTTCGTTTGCAACCCTTTCAATGCTTGATACCCATTGCTACCATTAACCGCGGTCAGCGCCATGGTGGTCAAAAAGACACGTGTTGGTGGAGCTCTCCTTTCGGCCTCATGCTCTGCCAAACACACCAGATGCTGTCCCCAACGCCTGAAACCTTGTCAAGCACATACGGAGTAGTTAAATGAACGGGGTCTGGACATGGCGGGGGCCTGGTTGCAACAACAACAACAACAACAACAACAACAACAACAACAACAACAACAACATTCCAGCAGAGCTCCAACCGCCTAAAGATGGTTTCATATCTGATTTGGACCTGACAGGCAGACAAGCCACGAATCCGGAAAGGCCACGAGCGCTCATTCAGTGCCATAGAATATAATCTTCAAAAAGCTCGCCCCCAAGGATACCTCTTTTCTTTCTTCTACCGTACAATAGCGCAGTGACTCAACAACACATGGTATGAATGCTTTCCGCCAATTAGGTCCTCGGCTCTACCGCCAAGGCGCCTCCCCTCCACACATCAACCAATCTTCCATCTTCCCTATACTCGACCCAGCTACGAAAATTGAGGAAGAGCGGATGCCTGCTTATGAGCAAAGCCTCTTTTACCCAGTCAAACTAGGGGATGTGTTCTGCGCAAAGTATCAAATTATTAGCAAACTGGGATTCGGTGCAAATGCAACTATTTGGTTTTGCCGTGACCTCCAGTATGAGAATTATGATTGCTTTTAGGTTTCCAAATATGCGCTGATTTGCAGATAGATCACATCGTTATGTTGCAATGAAGGTTTACATACACAGCTCTGAGACCAGTCGGGAAGTGCAGGCCCTTAAACACCTTTCGAGTCTGAAAACCGACCATCCTGGCAGTGCGCTTGTCCGTACAATGATAGAGAATTGTGTAATTCCTGGCCCCAGGGGCAATCATCAATGCATTATATACCAGCCACTTCTCACAAGTCTTTTACATTTTCAAGCAACGCTGAATCCGACGAGCTTACCGGAGGATCTATTGAAAGGGGCATTGCAGCAACTATTACTCGCACTGGATTATTTGCATTCAGAAGCCCATGTCATACACACCGATTTGTGCCTTTTCAACATATGGTAGGCTGAAGGCCAATGACTGATGTGTTCCGTAGACATTCAAGCCAAGAACATTATAATCAGTACAAAGGACAGCTCGATCTTTCGTCAGTGGGAAATTGACGAGAATACCGATCCAAGCCCTCGAAAGATTGACGGTAACCGCGTCGTCTACCAATCACGATTGTTCCGTCGTAAAAAGGGCTGGACCGGTTTTGGGATGCCTATTCTCTCAGACCTCGGCGAGGCTCGCATTGGAGATGTACACGATGGACTGATTCAACCGGATATCTACCGTGCCCCAGAGGTTGTTCTTGGAATGCAGTGGGATTCAAAAGTCGATATCTGGAACGTTGGAGCATTGGTGTGTATGCCAAAAGCACTTTCTTTTCCTGGTTGCTGTTTATGCACCGATTATGCATTGTATGAATCACGAAGCTGTGAATGACTCTTATATTTGATAGATTTGGGACTTGTTCGAAGATCACCATTTATTTGACGGCAGAGGGCCCGATGGAAAGCATTCAAACGCCCAACTTCTAGCGGAGATGATGGCAATGATTGGTCCCCCACCACTTTCATTTCTTCGCAGGCGTGATCAGAGTTGTAGATATTGGGATCATTCAGGTAATGTCCTCTGCCTTCTAAACAGTTTCGCAAATGCAAAATAACTCGACCAATAGGTAATTGGAAAGGCCCAGTAGAAGTTCCTGACTTAACACTGGAGGACTCGGAAGAGTACCTGGAGGGAGAAAACATGGAAACGTTTTTGCGATTTATGCAGAAAATGCTACGATGGGATCCCAGGGATAGACAGAGCGCCCGAGAACTTTTAACGGACCCTTGGTTAACAAAGCCATGAATGGCGACTTGCCAGAAACCTTGATGACTTAACAGTACGAATAACGTTGGTAGGGCACCAACTTCATACAGGTCAGAGGCCATAAATGAACATTCATCTGAGAACCCTACGGAAACAGTGCATCAGAATGACCGAGCTATGCGACTTCAGCAACTAGGTGCTCAATTTGAACTTTAATAAGTATTAACATCTTAAGAGAGGGGCATGCGACAACGCTCTCTGTACAGTAATTTATATATTACAAGCTTCTATTTGTGCCGAGAAACATCATATTCCCAGCAAACACCCAAAAAGAGATTTAAAAGACCGCTGAGCCGGGAAAAATGGCCAAATTTTTCAAAGTCGCCAATGACATGCTTGATAACTTCCACAAATGCAGCGGACGAAAATTCAAGGAGAACAAAATAACCGCCCTGCAGTCAGAAACGGGCGTAATGACATGCAAACGTGGGTTTATATATCCGCAAAAGTCGATCCCAAGAGATGCGGTGAATTAATTGGGAGAAGAGGTAGTGTATTATTTTATCAAATCTTTGAACCGCTCCCGTTCAGTGACGATCTGAGCCTGCAGTCGTCTAGTCTGTCTCATAGCTTCGTCCCTATAATTATTGAGCGACGAGTTAGCTGCAAGTAGGGGAAAAAAAAAGAGAAAAGAGTAAAGAGTCGATTCCGCATAGGTTTGTAAAAGTGAAGAGTATCACGTACCTTGCCGTTTGCAATTCGGCGACTTCAATCTGAGCCATATTCATCCGGCCGACTACTTCCTCCATCTCGCGATCCGCATCCCCCAAGGCTTTTTCTAACTCGCGAACTCGCTTCTCCAAGGAATCGGCTTTCGTAGCTTCCGCCATGGTAATACCGAGCCCACTCGTTGTAATATCTAACTTGGGGGACTTTGTCAAGAACAACGGCGATACAGGCATCGTGGGAGAAAACTTGGATGGGGTCAAAAGGCCGGCCTTGATGAGCTGCATTTGAACACGATGCGTCTCATTGAGTTCGCGCACCTCGTCTTCGTGCTGAGTGATTATCTCCTCGGAATGATGCTGCGCCGACATGACCTTGTCTTCGAGGGTTTTGAGCTTGTCCTGCACTTCGGTGATTCTCGCCGCCGAGGCCTTCTGGGCATATTCGCCGCGGCCAACGGCGTCGGCCAGGCGTTGTCGGAGATTGTTGTTTGAATCAAGTTGCTGCCGAATTTGAATAGAGAGCTCTTCGACGCGCCGAGCAGAGTCTCGGAGCTGCGTAGCCAGTGATTGCTCTTCGCCCATATATCCCCTCTCAGCCTCCTCAAGTGACTCGGCATGAAGGCGATAGGCTTCGGCTTGTCTTTGTGCTAGGTCCCTTTCCGCCTCTGCATCTGAAATGCTTCGTAACAAAAGATCCATTGTATTCGCAGCCTCCTCGCTGGCCGTAGCCAAGGGCGCATCGCCGTGGAGTTCTCGAATACGAGCTACGGAGAGCGCATGGGTCGTCTGCAGTTCCCGATACGCCTTTTCGAGAGAAGCCGATGTTGCTTGACTCGAAGCAACAATGTCCACATCCTCCTCAGCAGAACCCTGCTGGCTCTCGTCAAGGGTCGCGGACTTCGCATTTTGTTCAGGGTTGAGAATGTCTTGCTCCTGCAAGAGCAAGCGTAGGGTGCCCGTCTCTTGCTCAGCCCGGTCGAGATCAATCTTGATTCCGCTTAATCCCTTCTCACACTGCCACTTTTGTTCGAGTGCATCATCGGCTCGTCTGCGAAGCTGATTGATCTCGCGACGAACCACAGAAACTTCCTGGTGGTACGCGCGACGGCGGAATGATCCCGATAAAGCGCGATCTCGCTCCATTTCGAGTGCTCTAATACGCTTTTGGGATTGTGATGCTTGATATTCTTGTCTCTGAATCATGCTCTTCAAGGCCTCGTGGAGGGCATCCCTTTGAGCTTCAACGTCCTTGACTCGTTCATTCGCGGCCTCGCGAGGCTCCTGTTCACGTACAGAGCTGGACCGTGTCAACGAGCTGGACCGTTTCGTCGGGGCTCTGCTGCCAGCGACAGTACCTCGTGCGAGCGAGTTCGATCGCGTCAGACCCATCCGGGATCGATGAAGGTCAGCTTGTGAAAAGCCTTCTTCAGCAATCGAGTTGATAGATGAGCGTTGCGCTGACGAGCTCTGCGTTTGCTGGAGACTCTCTGCCCGCGTTCTCTTTGCGTTGGCCAAAATCTTGTGCTCTTCCTGAAGAGATCTCAATTCCGCATGCTGCCGTTGGTACTGTTGCTGTTGAAGATCGAGCTCTCTATCCTTTGCTGCCAGAAGAGCCTCATTTTGGTCTTTAAGAAGCTCCTGCTCACGCTGCTGCTGCTGAAGTTGCTTCTCTAATTGCAATTGTAGCTCTCTTGCTACCTCGAGCGCGTCGAGATGATCTGGCAATGAGCGCGCGTCCCTGGCTTCCTCAAAAGCCAACTTTTCTTCTTTAAGCATCTGCAATTCCTGTTCTTGTTGGTGGAGTTGGCCCTGCAAAGTCTCTTGCATCTGCTCTGCTAAAGTAAGCGCCTCGGTATGGTCGGAAGGCGTAAAAGCTTCCTTGGCGCTAATGAGAGCTTGTTTTTCCTCCTGAAGTGCGTCGAGCTCTTGTTGCTGCCGCTGGAGCTGTTCGTGCACAGACGTATGTGTTTCGCTCGCAACCGTGAGTGCTTCATTCTCTTCTCTTACGGACCGCAGCTCCAGCTGCTGTTGCTCGAGCTGCTCTTGCAAGTTCGTGTTCGTTTCGCGGAGCATGGTGAGGGCTTCAATCTCCTCCCGGAAAGAGTACAAAGCTTCTTCGTGCTCCCGCTGGAGTCGAACTCGAGACTCTCTCAGATCCTCGTTCTCCTCCCTTAGAGCCTGTAGCTCCTGTTCATGGTGTTCTAACCTTTGCACGAGATCAGAATGAAGCTTCTCCGAAGAAACAGCAACCGCATCTTCCTCGGCATCCAAGGCTAGCAGAATATTTTCGCCGTCTTCGTCCGGGCTTCGAGATGCGCCCTCTTGAACTGTCTTGCCTGCATTCGACAGCGCCAAATTTTCTTCTCGCAATGATTGGAGCTCTCCCTGATACCGTTCTAGCTCGTACTTCAAATCAACATGTGTCCCATTCTCGTCAATTAGAGTTTTCTTTTCTTGCTCCAGAGCCTGGAGAGCTTGCTGGTGCTGTCGCTGCTGTTGCTCGTGAAGGTCCGACTGCATGTGCTTCGCATCAGAAAGTGCGATGTTTTCTTCTTTGAGCGATTGCATTTCTTGTTGCATGCGAGTATATTCGTATGCTAATTTTTGTGATTCAGCTACAGCGGCCTCGAGCCCTTCGACCTGCGACTTTAGTGACGGGACAATTTCCTCACGCAGGTTGTCTCGTTCGTTCCGATGGCCTTCTAATTCTTCGCGAAGAGCAGAGACAAGATCCTCAAAGTTTTCTTTGACCAGACGCTCCTCGGCGAGACGCCGACGAACATCCTCCAGAGAAGCTTCAAGATCCTCGACGCGGGTGACCGTTTTGTCGGAGCGCGAATGTTGATTCTGCATCATGTCAGCGAATCCAAGCAAGCTGCTTCAATTTCGGAATGAAGAAAGCAACCCACCTGGCTGGCCTGTTCCTGCAGGCTCCAGATTTCCTTCTCCAATCGACTTCGCTGAGCACGTTCATCTTGAATCTTGTGCGAGAAGTCAGCTTGCAGCATTGCCTTTTCCTGCTCGACTCTCCTCTGTGTCCTTTCCAAAGCTTCAATCTTGGCTTCGCTATCCCCAAGCGGATACCGTACAGAGCTCGTGCCGGAATCCGAAAAGTAATCGCTCGTACGTCGATTGAAATCTGCCGCAGGCGCTGGTACTACCTCGGTCTGCAGGCGCTCCACCATATCCTCCAGATCCATCTCCCGCTTGATGGATGCCGCCAGCTCGGCACTAATCTGGCGAAGCTCATCCTCCATTTCGGTGAGCTGCGGAGACATGGCGGGCGTAAGGGGCAGTCGAGCCATGGTCGGAGCGGCAACAGATGATGGGGTTGAGTCAGCGTTTGCTCGAGAAACGTCAATGGCATGCGGGGGTGGTGTGCGACCGGGTCTATGAACGCCGTCTTCTGCCGAACTCAAGGAATATGGTGAAGGCAGCGGGGAGGGGCTGCGATCCGAAAACGTCGTGACCGAAGACTCGGCCCCGGGGGATGTGGCTCCCCAGCCGAAGAGGGAGGTAAAACGTTGCCCCGGAGACTTTGGCTTAGAGGCGTTGATAGATTCGTCGTATTGATCATGAAGCTGCTCTGAGAAGTCTCGAGAGTGTGACTGCGTATCAAGTTGCAATTGCACCTGGGGCGACTGATGAGACGATTTCAACGACATAGTAGCCGAACGACCTCGACTACCACCACCAGCCCGTGCGCGTTCCTGCTGCTTGCCTGACGATGAGCTTGTGATCGATGCTATGATGGTATCGCTCCCTAATCGAACATAGCTGGGCCGTGCTTGAGGGCTCCTTGAGTAGTTGCTATTCGCAAAGTGACCTTCTTGCTCTGTTCCAAAAGAGCTCGAGTCTCTCTCAGAAGTGTTTAGAGGCAAGCCAGGTTGTGGAGTTGGGCCATGAGCAAGTCTAGTACATATTCAGTACGTCCCCTTCCAGAGCTCATATTTTCTAGTGGATTGTGGGGATGTATCGGCTAACCTGTCAGGGTTTCGAGGCTGTGATTCCCAAGCTGGAGTAGTATTCGATGATGGTCGAGATTGCAAACTCTCAATAGAAAATGGACGAGCAGTCGCAATGGCACCAATACGTTCGCCGGGCCCCGAATATTCAGCAAAAGTGGGAGAGGAGAGGCCCGTAGCTAATGGTGAGGCAGTAGAGGGGAGAGGCTTGCGACGAACAGGACCGTACGAAGGTGCTGGCGACGTCGGCGGCCGCACAGCGGCAACAGAAGCTCTCTCAAACCGGTCGCTCTGCCCAATGGACTGATTGCCCTGGCGAGACGAACGCCGTACAGCAGGGTAAGGAGGATCGGGAGCCGCCGTGTCGGCCGTAGAGGGAGGATAGGATGGACGATGTTCGGCAGCCATGGTGCGTAATTCAGCAGACAGGCATAGTTGACCACCAAACAAAGATCAATACCTCGGCGCTGTTGATCGGCGCCGCAACTCCGAGCAGAAGAACGGAGGTTGCAAAAGGGGGGAACTCGGATGGGACGGCGTGTAGAGTGGTAGCGGCCGAGTGTGCTTAGGACAGAATCTGGTCCCAGGCTCGAGCAAAAATTCCGGGGTAGGAAACGTACGCCGGTGTAATTTTCTTTTCCGAGAGCGAACAGGTTGGCTGTCAGGATCAACAAAGGGAAAGATCTGACATGACTTCAAATGATTGGTTATCAAAGGAGGCAAGTAGTTGTGCGTACGTAGGCTTGAGGGATCGGAAGAAAAAGGAGAGACAAGAAAGTTGCGAGATCGTCGCCTTGCGGCCACAAGAAATTGAAGATTTGCAACAAGATCTCACAAGGGGGATCTCTCGGCGTGTCAGGGGTCAGTGAAGGCAGGCGAGCGGCAGTCGCACTGACTTAGCTTCGCGTCATCATGGATGGATTCATCATCCATTCAACTTTTCTCACCCGCTGGTACCGCTCGGCCCCTCCAAAAGGGGGGAGGGGTGGCCCTTGTCAACTGGCAAATAATGCATGCAAGTGCTGGAGCAGCAGTGAGGGAAGACGGCGACTCGCCAAAGCTCAAAGGCGGGTATGAACCACTCAGAACAAGCATCTTTGTTCATAGGCCAAGTCTACCGCCGGGAAAGACCCACCAAAGACCCTGGACACGCCCGAGTCAACTGTGGGAGTGGGGTTGAACCAACAGTAGCGCTCATCAAACAGCAAAAGGTACTCTGTACAGCATGGCGAAATCAAACAACGAACATCCACGGTCAAAACGGCTGCAAAATCTGGTTGATGTCTCACGCACATTATGCGCCGTGCTGAGCAAGGATACGTGACACAAGGCAGGCTCAACATCAGATTCGATGTATCAAATTCTAGGTCCATCTTTATTAGAGGCAATGACAAAGAAAGAAAAGAGAAAAATACTCGGAGCGACAAACCCCTTCAAATGAGTTGGGGCTACTAATGCAGGATCCGCTACTTTGTACTGGAAGTTTGATTAGAGAAAGAAGAGAAAAAGGAAGTGATCGTCAGGAACAAGACCCAAAGACAAAGGAAAGCAAGGAAAAAGGGGATGGCGAGGGAAGCAACAAGCGAGTTTCCCCTTTCGTGGCCATGTGATTGGCGCGTGGTTAGAACTGTTTGTTCCCCCTCGCATTATTGTCCTTGGGGCTTGGCGCCCTTCACTATTCTAACTTTAGCACCAGGATCAGGAGCAATGAACGGTATCTACAGAGTATAAGTTAGTTCGCATGTTAGATATTTGGAATACTGTCCTTGCCCTTCTCTCATTGCTGTTGGCTTTCTCCTCACAGATCAAAATGGAAAAGTACACCGACTGACGACCCAACAGTGAACACTGCCTTCAAGTGTAATTCCATTTAATTTCTGGTCATTTTCAATCAAAGCCATCATAATGAAGAGATCTCCAATAATGCTCGCTTAAATAAATGTAAGTCTGCGAGAAACCAACCCTGTCAGGCTGATATATATATACATATATATAATATTCCATTGGGTCATCCAGCATCCAAATCTGAGGAGTCCAGTGCCTCTTATCAGGAGAGAAGGGAAAAGAAAACTTAAAGAACGAAAGATGCCGCATAACTGAAAACAACTTCATATATCGCTCAGGGTATATAGGATACACAAGAAACAATGACCGGAAACTTCACACCGTTCCGGCAACACCACGACCATCGTTGCTTTCCACATGACCATGTAAATCGAATCCTCAAATGCTGTTTATAAGTCACACATTCTGGCATGTATATTAGTCCTTAAAGGAAGAACTAGATGAAGCATCGTCGAAAGATGGCGCTGAGAGTCATAATATCAAGGTGCATGGCGCACCAGTATCTGGAAATTGGCATGCAAGGTCCACTGTACTGCCGCAAGGAGTATTATTCCAGCTCCACAGACCATGTTCGTCGTCCGCGTCTGAGACGCCCCCAGAGAGTCTAAAAGATCTCATCGCCACTTTCCCCGTCAAGTATTTTTCGTGCATTCTCCAATCGCGAACGCCAGAGCTGTCGCATCTGGGAATCCGAACCCGAATTCTCAACTGCCAAGTGGGCGCAAACACGCCGCAAACTCCCAATGATTTTGTCGACCACAACAAGATCATCTGAACGTAAACTGGGCAAGACGTGGCCTGTCAAACCAGTATCGGCGAGAATTGCAGAAAGAAGAGCAGTGGCTGCTGATGAGTGTTGAGGAGCATCTTCTGCATGGCCATTGCGAACCAAAGGGAAAAGGCGGGGTGTAGCAGCTGGTTCGGCGGATTTGTCTTGGGGCCCGACAACATCTGCACCTACACTGGATATGGCTGTCTGAGGAATGCTTGTATGGATTGGCTGCTTTGCAGCCGCGGGAGGCTTAATCGGTGCCATACTAGTTTCTCCAAGAGCGTAGGGTCCCCCAACGGCCCGAATATAACGGGAGCTGACAGACTCGACCCTCGGTGGAGAAGACCCATTCACCAAGCTAGGGTGTGCCTCATCGTCTGGACCGACCCCTTCTGTCGCCGTCAAAAACGTTGCCATCGAGGATAGCGAGTCTTTGCTTTTCTCTCGTCGGTGCAATCTTGAGGGTGGTGCACGAATTTCGTCTGTCGGAGACGAACCTGGGAAGCTCTCTGCCGGTGAAGCCTGTTGATGAGGGTGAACAGAATCAGGACCTTTTGTTGTCTCGACCGAATCGGTTGAGCTCAAGCTATCACGGCGGTCTCTCAACGCTGGGGCATAACGGCCGAGGCCGCTGTGAAGGAACGAATGCTCATAATTAAAAGCGTCGGCGCGATCCTCGTGCCTGGCTCCGGGAGAAATCGCATGTACTTCCTCGTAATCATTTATACTGTAGAAGTCGTCTTCATCCTCACTTGAGTCCGCAAGACTTTCTGTGGTTTTGCGCGCTCTTGGTTTCCGATACGCATTAACGGAAATGGAGTCGTCCGGTCCAATTTCGCTGGATAGGTCCGTGAGTGTACTACCATTTCGAATATGAGTATTTCCTGAGACAATGATATTTTCTTGCGGGAGGCTGGTCCCATTGCTTTTGTGCCACGTCGAAGTCGAAGCGCGACCAGATGGATCACTCCACTCTTCGGCGGAGCTGAATGGAGTAACCTCCCTTAAACTTTGGAGACTTCGCCGTCGCAATCCATCTTCACGCGCACGCCGCTGCAAACTAGAAATCTTTCCTTTCAAATCTCTCATCTGAAGACGAAGGTCATTCATTTGTGTGGTGGACTGCGATCTGGCCAAGCCACCGTCTGGTCGTGGCATTTTATTCCAGTGACCATCTTCTCCGTAGATACCCAGACCCTGTGTCGGTTCGTCTTCAGTGAGCGGTTGAAGAACAAGCCCCTGCTGAGATCGAGGTGCATATATTACAGATCTCCTATCGCCAGATGCTGAAACTGGACGGAGAGGAGCGCGTGCTGGAGCTTCCCAGTTCCCTCGTTCCACGGTTCGGTGTGACGACTCTAATGAAGACTGGACGCCGTTGAGCCGATCAATCGACCTAGGTTTACGAGGAACCTGGTGAGATGAGCTATTGGTGTCGTATGTAGATGATGGCAATGAAGTTTCGCTAAATACCCGCGTGTGGCCGGGGCCAGCGTCTGCCCACGAAGCGTCGACTCGACTCTGCCTCGTTGGAGGAATATCTAGCGCTGAGCGTGCTCGGTGTTCGTTGGAAGGGAGGCTTGGCAGAGGAGATTGTTTGGTAGTGGAAGAGCTATTGGTTGAAGACGAAAACATTGCTGAAGAGGGGGAAAGCATGAGAGAGCGACGGGCGCGATTGAGATTTCCTTCCATGGCCTAGTCACCGGTTAAATTCAGATTTCAGTCAATATTTCCAATGTCAGAATACCCACGTCGAGCCTCTTCTTTGCATTTGCAAGTATCATCTCTGCGCGGCTGCTCAGCGCCGCATGTGAATCTGGTCCATCTTCATCGCCGCTGGGCTCGTCGTGGTCATTGGCGTCATGCTGAGAGATATTGCCGCTGCTCACGAGCTTACGCAGCTCTTTTGCGTTCATGCTTCCATCGCTGTTGAAGAGTAAGGACTCTTTGGAAGCCAGGCGACGGAGCCGCTCCAGGGACGACTTAATCGTTGGCTGCATCCCGTTGGTGGATAAGTTGGCCAAGGTCGGTGAAGATGCTAGAGGAAGATCGGTCGTTTGGGATGCCGAGAAATCATGCTGTTTTACGCGATACGGTGCTTTCAATATTCCTTCCTCAGTTCCAATGTCCAATGTTCCGGATACGACGTCGGATGTGTCCGCTGATGGCTGAATCTCTGCTGCTGCGCCTGCTGCGACAACATAAGCTCCGGGGCCGTCGAAACCGTGAAACATGTGCGATGGAAGATCGACGGTTCGCGGCAGCGGTGAAGCCGTCGAGTCCAGACCGTGGTCATGCGGCAGGATCATATCGGGGTTTGTTAAAGTTGGTGAGGGAGGAATTGGCGGCAGCTCCATTGCGGTTCGACGGAATTGCTGCATCTTCGAGCCGCTCAATTGGGCGCCGAATGCCAGTCCCACAAGAGAGAAAAGTGGTTTTCCCCCCAAGCAATGGGCGGCCGGACGGGCACGACTTCTGTGGGCGACTGTCCGCGAGTCGTCACACGCAAACGGGAGAACGTTGCACACCCGACGCCTAGGGAAAACAGCGTTGTGACATGTACAAAGTTCAATGTTGAGGGGTACGCTGAACAAGAAATGGGTGCGACACCCGAAATCATGACCCCTGCATTTAGATCTCAGCGCGAGGGCTCGTTTGGAGCGAGTAGGCTTATTTTGTGGAGAAACAGAGCTTCACTCTGAATCCCCACTGGAGTCAGCGAAAACTGTTCGACTCGGATCCAGCAGCACGTAGACCCTATAATTTCTGATGAGCACTTGCGAGTCGGCGCTCTTGATCACGAGAGGAGAACAACGCTGAGACTGCCGCATTTGTCCGGGGTCAAAATTTGGCGTAATTTTGGCCTTCTAATAGATATAGAGGTCCTAACGGGCCACGAGCTCGTTGGAAATGGGGCCCAATCATGTCCGTTTTGTTGACAGGGGACGTGTGTGTTCCTGCTCTTCAGGGAACAAGAATCCTCCGCCCCATGAATGATCGACTAGCTCATCGCTAAAGAGAACCCACTCCAATATTAACACATCCACTTAATAATTTAGTACTATTACCCAAGGGATGATTCAAAACATGCAGGCAATACAAAACATTCAACCCCCGATGGTTCATCTGCGGGCATTTGCTTTTAAATCTTCTCTGAATTAAAGGAACAGAAGAGCAAATTGGACGTGACAAGGTGTCATCGTTCCCTTTTGCGACTTGGATTCCTTAGGTAGCTACAAGTACAAAAAAATGATTCCAAAGCGAAGCGATGGTTGGCGTTGTCGCTCACCTCGGTCGGCCCGACAGTCAAAATAGGGGGGAGAACCGTGGAACAGGCAAGATGTCAAACTTTAGTTGTTGGCTCCATCACGTGTGCAACCGCCAAATCCTCAGGCCCAGGTACCCTGCCTACAGGTAGGTACCTTAGGCCCGTGCCCATTATTCTTAGACCTGCAATTCTGTACGGACACGGGACAATCCCAACGGAGAACCAAACGTGACATTCCGCAAACCAGGTCGCAAAGGTAAAATAAATATGTATAACTTTTCGGAACGTGAATCCTAAGAATGCCGGCCTTACGCTCCGACACCATAAAACAAAAGAATCCTTCGGATTTTCGAATCTACAACGCCAGAGGGCAATCGACGTTTTCAATGAAGAAACATTCTGAATCAAGAAAGCTTTTCAAGCAGAATCTTAGCTCCCTTGTTGGAGTGCTGGGCAGGCGGGTTCTTTGCGCTCTTGCCGTCTTTGCTAGAGCCCTTTTTGCTTTCCGCGGACACCTTAGAGCGAGGCGGACTCGCTGCGGCTTCTAGAGCTTTCTTTCCCTTCTTCAACAACTTCAAGAGACCATCTTTTTCTGAAAATCCGTCGGCTTCAACAAGCCCTACAACGACAAATGAACTTGGGCCGGTTGCCCAGTCAAGGATATGGTCCTTGATTCGCTCATAGAGGATGTTGTGAAAATTGAGAGGAGGATCTACCCTCACAACCTCTTTCGTTTTGCTGTTGAAATGGCCTTCTTGTACCAAAGTCTTGAGCATCCTGCCGACAGCGGGAGACTGCGCAACGTGACCCTCTTTTCCTGGATTACCAACTGCTTGATCCGCAACGGCGTCCAGAGCTGCTTCTTTATCTCCATCACAGCCGAGCAAGAGCTCAGTAACAAATTGGCATCCGAACGATGTCTCCAACATCGTACTTGCGTGAGACTGCGTCACGCTAAGTAAGGTAGGGGAGATTGCGCGGATCAATTCCCGTCGGCGAAGATTGCTATCTTTCTTGGAGGTCGAAGCGCGAATCTGATCAATCTCTTCCAATACAGCCACATCCTCGGGTGGCAAAAGCCACACGGCTTTGTCGGCAAATAGGTACAGGAGAGGAATTCTGGCGTTAAGACTGACAACGCAGGCCAGAACCGCATCAGCTTGAGTCTCCGGTGCCGCATCCTTTCCAAGGAGCTCAGGAAATATGGATTTCGATGTCAACACCGTATCATCGATCACATCGTATGCTGCCAACAGGATCTGATGACCGAAACTATCGAAAGCTAGATCAACAATGAGATCTTTGTAGAACTTCAGAATTTGCTTTCTGTCCTTTGCACTTCCATATGCCAATGCCAAGCAAACAACTCTGGCTCCTGACTTCGTGAAAGCCAAATTCTTGAGAAGTCCTCCTTCTTCGTCTCCTTTCAAGAGTTCAAGAAACTCGTTGGCCTCGTGTGAGCCAGGTTTCGTGTTAAGGAAATACTGTAGCATTGCATCATGAAGAATTGTAAAGCCGGTCATTCGCTTTTGAGCAAGCAGATTAATCAATTCATGCATGTATTGCATCACAGGAGCACGCTTTTCTGGATTGTGCGAGAGTATGACTGACAGGTCCGAAGTCGGTTGTTGCTCGTTGTTCGTCTTGAAAATAGCATATTCTGGTCCATACCATTCACGGAGAAGGCAAGCTTTTTGCCGAGGGGTAGCAATGCCTCGATAGATATCATCAAGAATCCATGATGCTTCTGGATGTTTAATGAGGCGGCGGACATGGCCGTAAAATTCAGGTACAATTATATCTCTGACTTCAGCATCGCTATAGTGATTGTCAGCCTCAAATTCTAATTTGATTTAATGCCTATCCCTACTTACCCATGCACAAGCAATTTTCCAACCAGAAATTTGGCGTAACGCCCTTCTGCCAGGGTGCAGTATTCGCCTTTCAGTTCGCGGGCGATCATCTTTCTCTGCTCGAGAGTGGCATACTTCAAAGCTGTCTGAATGACGCGTACAGAATCGTGCTTGAGGACGAAGTCCTTCACTCGGCCAGTAATGATATCATAAAGCTCGGCCACGAGCTCCTTTCTCTCGTCGCGAGGGACATGGGACTTGCGGCGTAAGCGTTCCCATAGTTTCTTCGATCGCTGAATAATATCAGAATTAGGTTTCGCAGATTTGCGCTCCTGTGCGAGAGCCTTCTGTTTTGCGTGCGACTCTCTTGACGAATTTCCTGATTGTTTATGAGCCTAAAGAATTGCATTCGACGCTCCCTTCTTACCTGTGGGCTTTCCTTTCTTTGAGCCTTCTTCATCATTTTTGCTTTCCTTCTCTATGCTCAAAGTAGAAGAGCCATCATCAGAAGAGCTTTCCTGGTCACTGAGTCCCTCAAAATCATCGGAGACTGAATTAGACTCCAAACTCTGGATCTTGGAGGGCTTTGCGGTGGATTTTTCAACTTTGACCTTCTTGCTTTTTGCTTCACTGGAAACCCTTGCGGCCTCCGAGGCTCCTTTGCGCTTGAGATTGGCCATACTGTTGCAATGCTCCCTACCGAATGGACTTGTCCACTGCTCATCAACCAGCAAACTAGGCGCAACTTTTTTTTGTCCTTTGATTATGAACCGAAGTTTCATCGGAGGTCGGCCATTAGGCTGTAGGTGTTTGCACCGTTTGACAAATTTTGTAAATTACCACTTTAAGTTAGATCGCTCCCGCCTCGGCCAACGCACCCCTTCCTCATGGCCCAGGATTGATCGATTCATGTGCAAAGGCCGGGAAGACTTATTATATGTCCAATTGTGATCAAGTTTCTTCTTCTCATTTTCCGCTTAATTTTCCTTCCAAAAGATATCTCCAGCATCTACAACAGATTTGGAGCAAATTCCATCTTTTAAGAAAATTGGTCTGTGTAAAAATGCTCCATGTGTTGCGAATATCGTTGATTTATATTACTTATGCATGATTCAATCAAATACAAGCAACTGAGGCACTCGATTGACTTCTTCACCCTATAGTCTCCCCCTATTCCTTTTTCTTGAAGTCTCTTCTTGGAAGGCGCTCACAGCTCGATGATTGATTGCAGAGTAAATAAATAAATATGTCTCTCATATCGGTTACTCTGCGCCACCACTTTCCAACCATGAGCCAAATTTATCCAATCTTTCCTCTTCCTCATCTTCTTCGTCATCCAAGCTCGCCTTCTTCTCATTTGTTTTCTTAAACCTCTCCGATCCATCTGCGATATAGGCTTCAACTCTGGTGCCGGCGAAAAATCTTCCGTCCATGGCCTGCCGTTGTTAGGGGTAAACAAGAGCATCGATTGGGCCTATCTTACCTGTACACATGCACGGGCAGCTTGAGCATTGCCGAACCGGACACTTGCCACTCCATCCGGCTCCTTATCAAAGAGAACAACATTCGTAACTTCACCGAGCTTTTGACACTCCTCTCGAATATCCTCTTTAATATCTAGAATGGCAGTGGGGTCCTCCTACCATATTGCATTAGCAGCATCTCTAAAAACTTGAAAAAGAGTGGACACACTTCAAGTTCATTCAAAGTAAACATGTGCTTCAAGATGACGACTTTATCCCACCTAGTATTTGTCTCTGAAAGGACGGAAGGGTCATCATCGTCCCAATCGGCTAATTTACTATAACGCATATTAGCATCAAACTCGAACTTTGGCTTTTCCAAACATACTTATTGAGCCTCTGTGTTTTCCTTATAATTTTCTTTTTGTCTTTCACAGACGACTGTGCAGGTGCCTCTTGCTGGGACTTGTAGGAAAAGTCTGCAGCTTGAACCCGCATTTTGCCCGACGATACCGAAACGCCTAGTCTGAAATCGGTGTCGTCGAGCATTTGAATTGCGAGGTCGACAGACTCAGGACGGAAATACACGATTAAAGCGTCCCCTTTGAATTTCCCTGAGTCGTCCGTATAAAGTTTAATGCGATGCTTGCCCCCATCTATTTCTTCCGCAACGACGCCGCATTTCGAAAAAAGAGAATGCACCTCTTCAGTCGTGGCGTCATCTGGTAGATTCGTAACGTATACCGCGGTGTTCTTTCGTACGCGGGGCTCAGCATTGCCTTTTGCCTTTTTGCCCTTTCCCTACAATAATCGATACAGTTTAGAAATGGCCGAGAACGTTGGAGTGTCGGAGGCGGTATTTGGCTTACCTCATCTCCATTTTGATAGGAGGCCTTTCTTTTCTTCTGAGGTCGCGCAGATTCTGACTCGTCGACGCCAGGAACCGCATAGGCTTCTCTCTGTTGCGCTAGCAGACTGTCGTCCAACTGTAGGTCCAGATAGAAGAGTCAAGGTATTAGAATTGCCGTCCGGGTATTACCAAAGCCAGAAGAGCGAAACGCGAAACGGATGCTTGTTTTGTGACGGGACACTGCGTACCACTGGGATCCATCTCTTCAGCAACACGTCGTACTCATATTCTGAGCCATTGTCCTCTTCTAAAAGCCACTTTCTGTCGAGTAATGAGAATGAAACGCGAGGATCCGATTCAAATTCCTCGGGCGTTTGAGGAAATGCTACCTGGACGGCAGAAAGGCCGTGGGCAGTGTGATCACCTTCCATTCAGTGTGATCGCTTCTGCGTTGTACAGTTGGTATTGCTTCCGAGCCTAGAAACAAAAGCAAGATGTCCAGCAGTAGTTTGGCTACGCTTAACTTGTTCGCGAATCGGCGGACCAGATTATGCATGTGCTTCCATCATGGTGTCAAGTAATGCAAAACCTCTTCTGGCGAGTTCAAGTGGAACCTCGGGGAGATTTGGGGAGCTTCTCGCTTGATGTGGGGATATCGCGGGACGTTCCTTCAAGTGGAATCGCACCCGCATAAGGTAGGTATGTGCCACTTGACGTAATCATAAAGGACTCGTAAATAATTGTTTGCCTAGCTTACAACCCTCTGGTCTCAAAATTAGGGTACGAGATGATTGATCTCAAGACATTTATGCTTTGACATTAAAATTTTTAGATATCATTAAACAAGCTATGAATCTCGACCATGAAAGTAAAATATGGGTGGGGAATATTGAGTACAAGAGTGCATTTATCAAGGTAGGACCTTGAAACAGACGTCGGAGATTAACTAAAATATCGCCGAATTCTTAAAAAGAGCATCAACTAAGGTAACATCATGTTACATGTGTCTGAATATGCGATCTATCGAATTCGGAATCCAATCCGCCAGATCGATACCCAAGACCAACAATCAATGCTCTGAGGTATCGTTCCAGCCTCTACTGGGCGATGGATGCAGGATCGCGGCTGGCAGTAGTAAACTGCTTCTCATTGGGTCCAACAGGGGAGTCACGGTCACCAGAGAATTTGGAGGACCCTTCGACGGCATCGGTTGGTACGATATCACGGGTAAGCTCGACATAGTCATACTGCAGGACACGGGTTAGCCGAGGGGTAAATATCGAGCAAATGAATACAATGTATGCTCACAGCAAACTCGCCAATCTCGGCGTCGTCGATACCAAGGATTTCGGCTTCTTCGCTCACGCGAAGGCTGAGACCAGGAATGAGATTCATCAGGAAGAGGATGATACAAGTTCCGCCAAATGAATAAGCGAATCCAGAAACTGAATCAGCAAGCTGGTAGCCGAGTTGGATCCAGTGATGGTTTAACCAGCCTCCAGGAATTACAGTAACGCCGTCCAAATGCGCGATATAGTCACTGGAACGAGTCAGTTATTTTGCTCTTAAGGAATTGGCCTGTTTCTGAACTCACGCGGCGAAGAAAGCGGTAAGAACATTTCCGACGAGGCCTCCAATCGTGTGCTCAGCAAAGATGTCAAGCGCATCATCGACACCGATGAGGAACTTCAGCTTGGTAGCGTAGTTGCACAAGGCTCCACCAACAACGCCGTAGACGACGGCTGACCAAGCAGGGACGAAGCCAGATCCCGGGGTGATAGCGACCAAACCAGCGACCACGCCCGAGCAAAAGCCGACGGTTGACCACTTTTTCTCAAGACGGTAGTCAATGAGGCACCAAGTGATACCGCCCACCGAAGCAGCCAGATTCGTGACGACGGCAGCCATGACAGCTCTCATATTGGCGGACAGGGCCGAACCAGCATTGAAACCGAACCAGCCGACCCAGAGGAAGACCGTACCGATAACCACGTGGGTTACATTGTGAGGGCGATAGTTGAGTTCGGTTGTGCCATGACCACGACGCTTGCCCAGCATGACAGAGTAAGCCAGGGCAGCTGATCCAGATGAAATATGCACAGGAGTACCACCGGCAAAATCGAGGCCGCCCATTTTAAACACCCACCCGGCGGGATTCCATGTCCAGCATGCAATAGGATCATAAATGACAGTGGTCCAGATGAACATGAAGACAAGGCAAGGGAGCATACGTCCTCTTTCGGCCACAGCGCCAACTGCAAGGGCAACACTAGAGCGGAACTATTAGTTGTTGTCAAGGGAATTCGTCGAGGGGAAAACTCACGTGATGGCAGCGAACATGCCCTGATATACGCAAAAAAGCAAGTCTGGGATATTGCTGCTTCCAACAGATGGCTGAGCAAGGGTGTTCATCAAACCAAAGTTTTTCAGATCGCCAATGTATTTTCCCGCTGAGTGGGAGAACGCGAGCGAATAACCCCAGAAAAACCATTGGAACGAGACCAGGGCAGTAGCCATCAGAGAGAGCCAGATCAGGGAGAGAGCCGACTTTCTACGAGCCAAGCCGGAATAGAAAAACCTAATTGAAAGGTATGTTAATCCATGGTGCGCCAGATAACTCATAGGAATTGTAGGGTACGAACCCAACGCCTGGAATCATGAGGAGGACGAGTGCGGTTGAAGTTATCATCCATGAGATATTGCCAGACTATGCAAAATAGTGGGGTCAGCTCTCTCCGATCGTTAGGTAGTTTCCGTGAGAAACTGTGAACGGACAGCAGGCTTACCTCATAATAGATGTTAAGGTCTTGAGTGAGGGAGTCTCCACCAGTTGCTTTGGTCCCGTTGTAGGGATAAAGCGGGACATAGTTGAGGTCCGACATCGTGGTTGCGAGTTGACGGACTCAGACTCACTTGAACCGGGACAGTCAGGGACAGCTGAGCTCTAGGCTCGACACAGCGGGGTGCAGCAAGCAGGAGCTTGAGCTCGATCAGGGACTCGAGCTACGTGTGCGTGAGAGGAACTGAATGCTTGAAACGAGCAGCGTGAGTGGTGTGATTGCAAAAGATGAAACAAAGACGCAGTAAGGAGCGTGTGATGAAGGAGTGAAGGTGTTGAGAAAAAGAAAGAGAGGGCAGGTCAAGAGTGGAGGCTCAAAGTGAGTGTGGGATTGCAAGTGAATATTTGTCGGTTAGGACCGCGTGATGAGCAAGGATATGTCAACTCACAAGAATTATTCACTTGGCCAGTTGCCCGCTGGTTATTATCGACACACAGCACTGCAAAGAAAATTTGGGCGACACGACAGTGCATGCATATGGGAACCAGGAGGTGGGATCATCTCTAAGGTATATAATCTAGCTTTATCTACGAGGGTGGTCCCACGAACAATGGCGGCGTCTGTAGTAGCGTAGGGGCGTTCGAGTAACTTACGGCAAAAATAATGCAGTAGCGGCGTTGTTGAAGCAGTAATCAAGGGGTGCGTGCAGGTCCCCGCTCCCAATCTGCGGGACGACATGCGACCACCAGGGCAGGTGGGAATCGAATCGGGACGATTGTCATGGCCGCTATCGGTCCCAGTTCCTGGTGATACGGAGCTACAGCCAACGCGACAAAGTGCTTTTCCTGTTGTTGCTGAGGGAGGTCACCACCAGCTATCAAGGAGGGCGCACCGCAGATTACTTGCGATATGGTAGTTGGCCAGCATTGATCCCGCCATGCACGACCAGACCGGAGTGGTGTTAGTAGGGCGGCCAAAGGCGAAACGGCGTCCACACACGCGGTAGGGATGTGTGGCAAGCACAGTCGGGCCCTACGGAGAGAACGGGGCCTGCCGCTTACCCTGAAGAGTACGCTTTACCCGACACGTCGGTAGGTATCTGCTCAAAGCCAAAAAATCGGCGTACAATAACCATAATTCCCTGATGGTTCCATTTCACCCGGTCTCAAAGCCTGGGCAGAATTGCATTCCTGTTCTTTGTCACTGCGGCGTCACTGGTGTTGATATCGGCATAGATGGTAGCCAACCAGGGACGGGACTCGCACCATCTTCCTTCCGTCCTCCAATTTGGCTCCACATCTAGGCTGGTCACTGCGCTGGAGGCCTCGGAGCTGAGAAGCCACTCTCTCTCCATTTCGCTTACTGCCCGCCCTGCCGCATCTTCATTGGTCCGAAGCGACCAACCTTATCATCACCTCCATAACGCGCGGAAATGTGTCAGAGGAAGCGATCAATGGATTTTTCTTTTTTACATGTAGAGTGGAGGCCTCGAAGCCGGCTCGCACGAGAATCATTCGTGAGTATGCTCATCTGACAGGTGACGTGCAAACGCAAACCACGGTTATCGGAGTAGGCGGGATTCTCGAGATCATGTATTCTTCCAGAAGTTGTCATCGGCCTTGCTTCAATGCACGACATTGAGTTCAATACTTGGATCGGATCGCTTCTTTGGCATGCGACTCGTTCGAGGGAGAAACAGAGGCATCTCCATGAATACTCGTCTCTTGATACAGGAGCATGTGGCATTGCCAAGAGTGAAAAGAGGCTACTATGCTTGTTCGAGTGACCACTTCTACTCATTTTTCGCTACCTTTTCCAGAAGCATCTCAAATGCCTACCTAATAAGCCCGGGCGTTCGTCTATGCGCCTAGGTCATGGATGCCGCTGTGAGATGGAGTGCGATTCGATAGTTGATCTCGAAGCATTCCAAAAACTGCAGAAAAGGGAATAGAGCAATATTATATCCGAGAAGGATGAGCCAGTGTTCGTGATAGTGATCGCTGAACACATGAAAATGAAAGGGTTCACAAGCCACACGGGACGAACAGGGAGCGCTGATAAGGTAATTGAATCCTATTGGTTGAGTTTCCAAACACGGAGGTAGGGCCATTTTGGTGCGATACGTTAGCTTGAAGAAAGTTGGAAAGATTAGGCTGTCGCCGAGACTGGCGGCCAACTCACCCACCAAATATATCACTTTCCATGGAAATGGAAAGGTTCTAATTAATTGGCCTTCATCCGAATTCTATTTAGATATACTCCGTAGAATAAGCGACCAAACAACAGTATTCGTTGGGAATCTCACAAGCATGTGAAACGATAACTAGCTCAAACCTTGCTTTTAGAAAGGATGCAAAATGCCCGTTCACCCGACTTTCTAGAATTAAGGGTGCAGGGCTTACGGGGATTTGAGGAAATTTTTTAAGGTTCTCAGCGCATTCAACCTAGAAATCGGTCTCCCGATGTCGGCTGTGCAAAAGAGCAAATACCGGGATGCAAGTCTTCTATGATATCTACGAGGAAATTGCCTACTGATACGGTCGTAGAACACCTGCTTCACCAATCCTTCCCGGCTATTGGTTTTGGATGGAAGCTTCTACAGGCTAGCTTCTCCAACGGGTGAAACAGAGTTCTTCGAAGGACCAACTTCTGCTCGCAATAATGAGACCTTACAAATTCTTCCTGACCCTTGCAACCGAGTAGCTGAACCATGCAGGGTACTGAAAAAGCCAGGCTAAAAAATGATGTGCATGTTCAAAGCAGTCCGAGTCTCCTGGTGCAGCACCGTAGCGGTTTTAGGAGACAAGAATTGTAAATCCAAAAAATCAACCTTTAGATACATCTCACATCACTGATATTCTGGAGTGATTAATAATTATCTGGCAGTTTCTAATTCCTACGCTCTTTTACACAGGGTATCTTCACAAATTTTCACGATCAGGCTAATTTCAATGTAGACGTTTCCCGTTTGGCACAGAAAAGGCCGCTTCGCTGCTATCTCGAAGGTCCTCAAAACTTGCTCGCGCCTCCTTCAGCAAGGCTGGCTCGGACCTTCCCCTTAGCGAAATTTACCTACCTAGATTTTGGCTCTTAAATTACATATTTACTTGGTCGTGACATGCATCTCTTCCCAATTGCAAAATGAATCAAAGGCATAGCTTGGCCAATGCAGCTTGCTTGCATTCGACATGCCTATTTACCTACATAGCTCGACAGTGAAATGAATAGCTGTCCTTCATTATTAAATTATCAGGATTCAGAGCATTGTTTCGTACTTTGATTTATGTGAGTTTGAAGGTTCTACTTTGCATTGAAAACAAGCACAACACCAATGTTCCTGGACACAGGATGATATGACTGCTACATGCAAGCATTTTGTTGACACCCTAGGTATATAATACATGACAGTGCATCATCAAAAGTCGGTGTTGTTAGGGAAACTTATTGATTGGGTTTCAAACAAAAAAGGGAGATGTGGCAGACTGACACTAAGCTTATACCTAGAGCCTACACTTTTAGATTTCGAGATTCAGTCAAAGGTTGGGGATGATAGATATATTCTGGCAGGTTGAAGCAGTAGTGGGTTTGTAACAACCTGTGAGATCTCTTTACTGTCTTGGGTTCCTCCACGTGCCAGTATTAACCAAGTTGCAGAAATATGAGACAGAGTGAAGCTGTAGTGGCACAGGAAGCATCATAGGCGATGGTTCCAGCTTGAGAGGGCAAATAACGCGTTGAGATCACACCAAAGCCGGCTGATCCGTGCTCTTATTTTGGGCTCTTTTTCTCAAAGGGGAAATCCCCATGTTGTTGACTTTAGCCGAGAATCGCGGCAAACTCCACGAACTTGAGTGCCACTGCGGAACCGTAACTGCAACAACTGATTAAAGAACTTCATTATCGAGTGTTGCAACAACATCGCCTGTTTGCGCGATCGAGTCAGGAAATAAAGATGCCCTTCTGGAGTTGACGAGAAGATAAAGTAGCGATGTCGGTTCGAGGAGTGCATTTTGTCGATGCTGAGCATCAGGAGCCGCATGGTAGCTCAGCAAACAGCAGCCGGAGAGGAGACCCCATAGAAGGACTCGAATTGCCACCGGCCGAATATGGCGGCCCGCAAATTGATGTCCCGCACACTTCTGCCTCTACCTTTGGAAACGATCTTGCTTTCGACGAGGATAATACGGAGCAAATAACATTTTCGCCCGGTCCCACGCGAGATAGCATTGCTCCCGGGGCAATAGGGCTTCCGAACTTCGCCTGGGATCCTGCAACACCGTCAAGACCACGAGGAGGTAGTGGCGGTGGCATGAACGGTGGCATGAACGGTGGCATGAACGGTGGCATGAACGGTGGCATGAACGGGGTCTACGAGAACGCTCCATCTCTTTCAACTACATCACTCACGTCGTCTCGTCAGCAGCGCCCCGGAGGGCCGGCTCGGACACCATCTAACACCTATGCGCCTGCTCGTGGACCATCACAATATATTCCTTTTCATTCGACACGGCAGAGATCCTCATCTGCAACCAGATCTCGAAGAGACCCTCAAGCGCTGTATCGAGCTCAGGAGAAGGCGTATGTGCAAAGATTGCGACAAGACCCAAATATCGTGTATTACAACGAGCCATATACACCAAGCTTAGATTATAGTACCGATTCGACGTCAGATGATGAATCTCCATCTTCTGAGGTACAATTCGACAATGACAACTATGATCAAGAGACTTTGCTTTACTACGGAAATGACGACATTGAACTCTCGCCGGAGGAGTTGAAGATACCAGCAAATCGGGAAAGGTTGGAATGGCACTCTATGCTTGCATCGGTTTTGACAGGAGACGTTGTTAAGCAAGAGAAGAAGCGTTTGATTGGAGGACCCGAGCAAAAAGGAGGAAACTCGTTGAAAATGGAAATTTGGCTCGGAGTGCGGTCGAAAGTTTGCGGTCGCACAGTTGCTGCTCAACAAAGGATGATTGAAGATGGCAGAGCTGCTCTGGGTCCTGTCATAGAAGAGATTATTGCGTTCCAAATCAAGGGAGAAACGGAAGTGGGAAAGCCGCCTTTTGACCAGGTCCAAGATATCGTACGCAAAATCGAGAAATGCGAGAGTCTGTATCCCACTCGATCTGCGCTGGAGACAGCTCATTCTCGAGCGGCCTCGGAGGAATTCAAAGCTAGCTGCGATGCTGTAATGGCATGGCACAATACTACCAACCTTATCAACACGGAGCTGGCCATCCTTCGCGATTGGGTTGGCAATGACGAGCTAGACTTTTCCAAACCTCAAAGTCGGTCGACCACGATCAGCAGCCTGTCAGATGAAATCTCTTTCATTGACCGAATTCGGCAAGAAGATGGCCTTAAATCTCTTCAGGGCGACCTCAGTACCCGGCCACCTCAGCGGGGTATGCTCGTGGGCGTTGGCGAGGTCATTACTAAAGCCAAAAATACCCTCATCGGAAATGCGGATGCGTTTGCTTTGCGCCACCTACCGCCTTATATTGAAGAGCTCTTGACGCTCATCAATTTTCCATCGCGGCTGATTCAGGAGATCATTCGAATGCGACTTCTATTTTCGCGAAAGATCAAGGATTTCTCACAGCTGAGTGTTATGATGGCCGAGCAAATGATCTCTCAATTCCGAATACTCTTAACGCTGGCAGTAAAGATCAAGCAAGAGTACACCATAATCGCGCAGCCGCAGCCAGGCTGGGACTTGCCACCGTGCATTGACGAGAATTTTGATTCAGTTGTTGTGGACGCTCTGAAGTTCTATTTCAAAATGCTGAACTGGAAATTGACAAGCAACAAGAACACCTTTAAAGAAGCAGAAATTTTGGAACAGGAGTGGGAATTCTCAACGGAAACTGGCCGGCATCTTGAGGGTGGTGATGCCGAAGTTGCTGAACAATTCAGGTATACGAACTGTCCCCAAAATTTGAAACAACATGCTAATTGAGAAACTTCAATTCGCAGTTCACTTACTGCCAAGGCTTTGACGCGTCTAACAGCACACTTTGAAAAGGAACTTCAGCGACGGCCGGAAGAGGTTCCCTCTGATATGGACAAGCGATACAAGCAAATATTGGACTCGGTCCGGGTCAGGCAGAGGAAACTATTTCGATTTTCCCGTATTTTAGGCCAACGGTTTGAGAATGCGACGGAATTCAACATCAATATCGACCTGGCACAGCGCCAACAACTTTATGCGGCGCTCATAACTTCTGGTCATATCCTTATAGAATCAGCTAGCGCTGCTCAGAAGGGGATTTATCTGATTGCTTCTCCAGCTCTTGTTGAACATCTTCGGGATGTTCCTGCAATTCTTGAAACATGTTATCATGCCGACGAGCAAGCAGAGGATCCATCTAATCCTTATCTCCTGATTCTAAGGCCAGAGGATCCCTTATATTGGGACGGGCGGAGGGCAGAGATTGATGTCAGAGAAGCTCCGGTTGACGTCAAAGTGGGAAGGCTCCGACTTGTCTCAGATGGGTCTCTGCAGCGATTACAAAATGCTCGATTAGCTTTTGTTCAAGCAACTGGCATTGGCTTGGATGTGCTAGTTGAACAAAGGGCGAATCTTCCCAGGGTAAACGCCGAACTTATGCGTATCAAAAAGACAGCTTATCAGCTGTCCAACACTATAATGGGTAGTGTTGAAATTATCCGCAATCAGACCAAAGGACTCGACTGCCAGGAGCTTATTCAAACCTGCTTCGCATTCGCCACTGAGTTCGGACAGCGGTCGCTCATGTATATGGACAACAACCGCAGGGCGATGAACAATCTCAAATTGACCCGCTTGGCCCTCGACTGGATCAGCTTTATCTGCGATGACTGCATTGCCGCCGATCGAAAAACGTTTCGGTGGACGGTTGTGGCGCTTGAATTTGCCATGGTAATGACACGGGGTCAGAATATTCTTTCAATCAACGACGAGGAATACGCCCGGCTGCGGTCAAAGGTCGCTGGTTGTATGTCGCTGCTGATCTCGCATTTTGATATCATGGGTGCAAGATCAACCTTGGCCGCCCAGAATGAACGACAGCGACTGGAGGCCATGGGCGGTTTTAGAAAGGTGGACGTCAGTCGAATGAGGGATGACGAGGAGTCCTCTCGGTTTGTCCGCGAGCAGTGGCTTGCACAACTCTCGGAGATCGACGAAATTTGCAAGCAGAAACGGTCAGAACGACAGGTTCTTGGTCGAGTTTTGGAAGATTTTAATGAAGTTGATCGGTCTTTGACGTCCCTTTCCTCGTCAGCCACCAACGTGACGCTACGATGGCAGCAAGGTCACTTCATCGGCGGAGGCTCATTTGGGTCTGTCTATGTAGCAATGAACCTTGACTCTGGCTACTTGATGGCCGTTAAAGAAATTCGATTGCAGGATCCACAACTTATTCCTACGATTGCGCAGCAGATTAGGGACGAGATGCGCGTTCTGGAGGTGCTTGATCATCCGAACATTGTTACTTATCACGGTATCGAAGTCCATCGCGATAAGGTCTATATTTTCATGGAGTACTGTTCCGGTGGTTCTCTTGCAGGGCAATTGGAGTACGGAAGAATTGAGGACGAGACAGTGATTATGGTTTATGCATTGCAAATGCTCAATGGCTTGGCATATCTCCATGAGAGCAGAATTGTGCACCGCGATATCAAGCCTGAAAGTAAGCCTCTCCTGTCTTTGTCGATTTGAACTTTCGCGAACTAACGACTATGATTTTGCAGATATTCTACTTGATCACAACGGGGTCATCAAATACGTCGATTTTGGAGCTGCGAAGATCATTGCACGACAGGGAAAGACCCTTGGCCCAGAAGTAGCGGGTACTCGTAGGGGAAAACAGAAGTCGATGACAGGCACGCCTATGTACATGTCTCCGGAAGTCATCAGAGGCAACTCTGAAGGCCGACATGGCGCCATCGACATTTGGTCTCTCGGTTGCGTCATCCTGGAGATGGCAACTGGAAGAAGACCATGGGCTAATCTGGACAATGAATGGGCTGTGATGTACAACATTGCGCAAGGAAACCCTCCGCAACTCCCGGCCAAAGACCAGCTTAGCGAAGCAGGAATCGACTTCCTCAAGAAATGCTTCGAGCGCGATCCATCAAAAAGGAGCTCCGCAGCAGAACTACTCCAACATGAATGGATCATGGCTATTAAACGACAAGTGGACATTGATCCCCCCACGCCCAGTGAGACGTCTAGCACCAGCAGCAGCGTGTAGACAATCTCTTCTTCTCGAGCATTTGTGCGAGAGCTCATCTTCCGTTTCTCTCTTATTGCCTTCTCATTATATGATTCTGTTTGTCCTCTTTTTGGTCCATTATAACATGATCTGGCGTTGATCTGTTTGCACAAGCATGGAATTCATGAGAAATTTAGCGGGCATATTTATCAGTACACGGGCGCAATAGCCAAACCTGCAGGGCGTTTTGCATTTCTTTGTTCTGTTATGCAGCATCACCTGCAAGTTTATTGAGTCGCCATAACCAACATATATTTGTTTTTCCACCATCATGTCCTGAATAAATAGCATCCCTGCCAGCATATTTCCCTGCGTATGCCGCGTCGGTGAATTCTCCACAGCTCGTTTGGGCAACGTCTTCTTGCGCTTGTCCGCTGCACAGTGTTTCTTTTTGGAAAACAATACGATTGCCTGTACTGCGTGGTTTCTCGCTAGCTATGTGCTGCTCATAATACTATTTTATTCAACCTTATCTCTTGCGTCTTGTCTTTGACCACCCGCTTGTCTTCACAATATGACAATACTTTGTATCGGTTATTTGAGAGCCGCCAAGGTCACTAGATTAACTATTCCCAGTTTAGGAAGTATCGCCGAGATCAAGCCATAAAAATGGAGGTGTAATCGTCTGACAGTTGCCGCCCTAGAATACCGTTTGGACAAGCCAAGTATAACCAGCGATTGATCCTTTCGCAAAGGTATTTCGCACTTTTGTCAAAAAATTGTTCATGGCATTCATGACAGGCTCTGGATTCGACAAGGGGAAAACAACCATTTTGTGCAAGAGAAAGGCTGCTTTGAAGTTCATTTGATGCAGCAGGGGAGCTTTGAGAAAGATTTTGGAAGTCAAGAGCCTGTTCTCGGTTACCCATTGATAGGGCGAGGCAGTGATTGTCTACTATATTGTAAACGGCCTAGGATACCGTCACTATCAAACCGTTCTTTACGGAGTAGAGTAGAAAGGGAATAAGCAGAGATGGCTCGGGCGTCAACAAACCTCCTCGCTCCCTTTGTGGCCCTCTCGCTTCGGGAGATTAAAGACTCGAGTGGGTTTACGCTTATGCAGTGGTCTTCACATGGTGCCTGTCGAGTATGCCAGAGCAATAGGGAAATCTTTTTGACCATGTGCACCATCCCCTTGACGATCCGTTTCAACGTTTGATTGATGAAAGTGGAGCCAATGTAGAGGGTAGTCGGTCCAACTGTCATTACTATGATGGCCGTTTCACGCAATGAAAAGTCACGCCACACCTACTGAATCTCGACAGAATATATCTCTGTACCTTGTTCAATAAGCATTGCATATCGGTTTCTCGCGCAAGTCGCCGCCGCTTGCAAGCACAATTGTCGCTCTTTATGGAAAGCACAAGTGAAAATATCAATGTCCTACGGAATGGAGCGGCCCGCCTGCTCGCTTGCAGATGTCAAGCGGGCAAGCTGCTAGGGATCGTTCTTCCCTTTTGTCTTCCACAGAGATATAATGGATGATATCGAAACAAGGATTAATGCGAACACATCATGTGGCCAAACATACCCCTGGACCAGCATTGCTGGGCGGAAAGCTCTTTGGTGGGCCATCGCATGCAGAGGTTCCTGCGCCAGCTCCCCGTCCGTCGCCAATCTTGAGAAAGGTACTGACAGTTAGGGCTTGATTCATTCGAGGTGCTGGGTGCATGACAGGAACTATTCGGCCAAAGCGGCCAGATTTGTCATGATATCTTACTTGGAATCAACGCAGTGCCAGCAGGACATCACTCAAGCCCCTACGAAGTGAGCTCGTTTCATTGGTTGGAAATGATGCCGAGAAGGGGGAATTTTCCCGTGGTTGCTTGGTTGTCGGGAACGTATTAATGGCCGAGAGGCGGGCGACCAGAGACGACGGTGGGAGTTGGTCCCCTCGGTCGCTGGCATAACTGTACAGTCTAGCGCAGTGAAGAGCGAGAGTAGAGACAAAATACTACGGAGTATGATGCAGCAGTGGCTCACCGCCCACCGGCAACCAATCGAGTCTACCCCTGAGCCATGTGGAGCACAACGTTGGGGCTAATGGAAGGAACAAAGTCGCAGGGCCTGAGCACTCCCTGCATCCTCGTTTCTATCCATTCACTTACCGCCTCCTGCTCTTCTGCAAATAATGCAGCTCGTGACCCCCTTGTCAATGTATACCCTGTGCTTCCCGTCGTGGCTTCGTGAAGTCGGGAAGCAGAGGATGATGCTGGCGAATGGTTGAAGGAATGCTGTAAAATTATATGTTGCAGTTCGCAAGGGCCTCATGAGCTGGCAGACCTTGCGTCTGAGCTCAGAGTAACAGCTGGCAGTAGACTGTACAGTACTGTGGTAATGAACAGCTTTTAACGAGTAGCGTTGCCGTAGGTGTCCCCGCAGCCGTTTCGAACGAAAAAGTTCGTCTTTGACCCCTGAAATCGTCAGTGATAAGCTACAGGAGCTTCCCGCCGTCCCATCCGAATAGAGCCACACCAAGAGATTTAGGTAGGAACGCTTAACTACAGTAGAGGTCCAAGTAGCGTATAGTGGGTGGGTGGTGCCTTGGCCTCGTGCCAACTCAACTTTAGCACGGTATTGGTTCAAGAGCAAGACACCAAAATACACCCCATCCACATATCATCTTTCCGTCCGTCGTCCACCACCATCGCCACCACCACTTCCTCTTCCTTTTACCCCTCGTCATAGGCTGCGAGGGGTTTCTTGTCTCCTAGCATCGCTAATAGTAGTCAGTGTTTCATTTCGTGACCATCTTGGCTGGCCTGCGATGCTCATCATGCACGGCCACGCTGCCGGCCCCCGCTCAGGACGTCAAGCTCTTCTTGTCCGTCTGCTAGAGTGGATCACATCACTGGTTCAAGACGGTGAAAGGCTCACGAACCATGGACAAATGCCGAGTGGACATGTCTGTCGGCTGAACTAAGCATGACCACCTCATACGATGTCGATCTTTATTCGCCATCCTTTATATCCTCTTTTCAATCCTCCAGTTTTCCCTCCCCGTGTGTATATGTAGTGCCCTTCTGTCACTCCGGCTCTTGTCAACGGTGACTCAAAGGTCCTTTGGCTCAAGTGCTCTTCAAATTGGGTGTACAAGCTGATGTCCCACCGCAAAACATCCAATTCATTCTTATTTGCATGCTGTCTCGCTCAATTCTAAAACTCTCTCTTTGCCTGTCGCTCCTCAAAAGAACGCTTGCAATACTCTCCACTTTCTTTTCAACCTTTCAATTGGTGAATTGAATTGCATATCGATGCAAGGCCTCGACTATATGGTGTTTTTGCCGGCATGAACCTCTTGGGAGAGCTTTTGCACAATGCCGATATTGGGTTCAACGAAACGGTCTTCTTTCGTACCTTATCATAACGGCCTCTCATAAGGCTCTCTTACCAAATCTCGCCGCAATTCGAAATTTTAGTCAACCGATTTGGTTCAATTGTGCCATTCCAGCAAAGGAGCTGCGGCCTTCACCAATCCCCCGACTTCTCCACTCTTTCGGTTTCTCTCGACTACGCCATCTAAAACCCGATAATCCAAGAGCCAGCATAGCCAATTGGTCAAATTATTTTTATCCATCACTCTCTCAGTCAAAATCCGGTCTTTTTCCCCGAAACTTCTCCCATCAACCATCGGGAATCATGTCATCTACGACTACGGAATCTTCTGGTGGTGGCAGCTCGGATGGGAAGCGAAACCTCACAATCATTCTTTCGGTCATACTTGGCATGCTTGGAATTGCCATTATCAGTACGATCCTGTGGATAGCTCTTCGATGTATGAAAAAGAAGCCTTTGGTTAGACGAAGCATCACTCCGGTAGATGATGCTGAAATTGAAGCCTGGCGCAAAGGATTTGCCGGCGAAGGGTCCAGACCGGCCAAGGTCATGCATTCGAGCACCAATTCGAGTTCAACTGCATCCACAAGCAATGGCCTTCCCCCGGCATGGACAGAAAAGCTTCCTCAGCCTCCACCTGTTGCTCTCGCACCGAATGCCCGCGTTGGTCTAACTGACGCAGACCAGCCCGGTGCTGCACCATTCGTTCTCCCGCCCCGCCGGCAATCCTCGTGGTTTCTTCAGCACCAAAGACGCAGATCGAGCAAGGATATGATTGCTGAAAGGAGCCCGACCCCGTTTGCCACCATCGAACATCAAGCCTTGGCGGCTGTTGAGCCAAGTCCGCCTGACGTTCCTCATCTCCATGGACATTCTGACAGCTTTGACTTTGCTCAATTTGAGCATTCACAAGGACTGGAATGAGCCCAAGTGACAGAGAACTTGTTTTTCTTCTTTCGTGTTAGAACATATTTATCTAGGATTTCATATACCCCTTTGCGCATATTTGTTTTCTTTTTTCTTTTTATACCTTCCTGTCGGGCTCTAGGTCTTGTTTACCCGGCAATGGAACACCGACGAAATCGTGGCGTTTGAAACGTGATATCCTTCTTTCCCATTAGAATTACGGCTTTATTGTGGCACGAGTTGTGTTTCTCCTGCAGGCAGATGTCATTTAGTGCCCTGTGGGCCCTTGCTTAGGTCTAGTAGCTCTTTAGCTTCTCTAAATTGAGACCATTTTCTCCATGTTAAAATAACGAAGTAACGTTGCCTGAAGTCGTGGAAGTTTGAAGCTGTGCGTTGGTTTGAAACTGCGTGGGGTGTCAGTTTCGGCCTCCTCATACCTATCAATTGGATGCTTTCAATGCAAGCGTTTCCGGATTGCTTTTATGATCTTATTAACATGGCTTCCATTAAACATAGAGACTCGGTCTAGCCTATTCTATTATCATTTCAACCTTTCATTTCCATCTGTTCAAGACTTTCCCCGTGTGGATCCAAGAGAACTTCTTTGTTCTCCCTTCTAATTCTTGAGAGGCTTGAGTGGCTTGAGGGGCTTCAGGTTGAGACCTGACCCGGTTGCGGTTAGTATAGCTACTGTAGACAGCAAATTTCGGTGCTTTTATCGTGTGAATGCTTGCCGTGACCTTGCGCCAGGCGGTGCCTGTCCCCAGGATCCTCTTTCTCAATCCCTCCGCTTGACCTATAGCAAGGCTTCTGAGAGCAATACAATTTGACCTTAACGATGCCAAATAAAAGCGACCTCAACAAAAATAAAAAGCAAACAAAATCCCAAACCCCGCCAACTGCCCTTACGTCTCGAAAGCTTTTGCAAAAGTCAGCAGTCGAGCCGGGGATTGAAACAAACGGAATATAAATTCCTTGAGTGCATTCACCTTCCAGTGCTGTATCCTTAGGAACAGAAACCCTTCGCGAAACGCAGGTACTTTGTTTCCTACGGCCGTCCCGCTTCGCGGCAGCATGGTTTGTTTTCCGCATTTAGCTCGTTAGCAACTCCTCCGGCATCGTGCAAGTTTCACGCGGGCCCCTCGAAACACCACAAAACATTACCGAGCAAAGCAAAGCAGCATTTGATTCGAACGGAGCAATCCCCAGATCTTCCGTCGCGTGCGCAGCTCGCGAAAGGCAACTGTCCGAGAGCAATCTGTTAGAGCTTCACCTCCAGGCCTTCTTCGGCGGCGGGGCTTTATCCGCACTCCGCGAACCCGGGGACTACGTTACAGCTATCTGAAATCCATATCCTTCTTTCTAGAACGAAAACTATTTTCAAACGCGCTCTGCCGCCGTATTTCAAGCTTTACGAAACGCCATGGATACGCTACAAGGTACGGTTGGTCTGCAAATATATATATAGCGCGCTCAATCCCAGGTCGCCTTTACCTCACGCTTCAATAAACTGACATAGACCTCAAAAATTGCGGTTTAGCCTACATCTCCCGCTTCCAAAGCATATACACTACAACCTCATCACTCTACGCGCTTCCCGCGCAAATCGCGAGAGCGGGCAATTCAATGCTCGGCTTCCTAACGTCGCACGCTCGCGACTTTGACCTCAACTTGACGTCCCTGGCGCTCTTGCTTGTGATTCTCTTCATGAGCTTGAAAATCCTCGATATGCTGCGCCGTGCCGTCATGTATTGGGTACGCATGGCCTTTCGAATGGTCTTCTGGACGGTGGTGGTCTCCGTAGTGATTCTGATCTGGACACATGGCGTGGAAGACACGCTGAGGGTGCTGGGTGAGATTGGTGGGTTTCTGCAAGGGCTTGCGGCCGTGCTGGTGGAGCAATTTGGAGTTGCAGTCTCCGCAGCAGAACAGCAGCAACAACGGCAGTATCAGCAGCGGACGCCTCAAATGGGATATTCGAGACAACAACGACAATAGCGGATGCTAAGGGTGAGGAGCTTAAGAGAGGCATAAATCGAGCGGTGTACGACGAATGTGCCGTGCATGTCGATTTGTATAAGCTGCTCGTGGCCAAGCCCCCAAAAATTTTGGACGGGTCACTAAAAGGCGTTTTTCTTTTGGGAAAGCGGAGTTAATTTATTCTGTGGTGAAGGTCGGACATTTGACCAAAGTTTTCTGATTTGGGGTTCGAACGGGACTGATTCAAGGGAACGTACTGCAGAGCATTGGGCGTTTCATATATACTTCCTTTCGGGCAGCCACAGGGGATTCAAAGATGAAGATTAAAAGGACGAGCTACATCATTCGACATTCTCAAGAATTGAGATTAGAGAAGAATTCAAGACCGATGTTGATTATGCTTAGTGAGGAAGGCTGACGAGCAATCATCTGGCCCAAAAGATTCGCTATTCTAATGTTTTAACGGATATTCCTTTGCCCCGAACGCCGCCGCTATGCCTATTTTCAAATGGAGTGTTTGAAAAAGAAAGATGAAATCAATGCCATCATCTGGAATGCCAGGCCACCAGGCCCCTAAAGTGGGTCAGCAAGCATTCTCGCGGGTTTACTCTGCATCATCATCATCCCCGTAAAGATCGACTTCATCATCGGGCTCCCGCGGTTCCTGAGCTTCATGGAATTGAATTGCATCATCAATGTAGCTGAGGATTGCTCCGACACTATCTTCGTCTTGCGCATCTAACTGCAAGAACGACACCATGCTGAAGTCGTCAATGAGCTGAGCAACTGCACGATTAAGGCGCTTGAAAGATGCCCCGCCCATCATGGCGCCCTTACTGGAAGGGTCTCCTTCTTCGACAGTATCATCGCCAAGACCGGTTACTGTCTGTTCAGGATCGTCGTCTAAGAGACTCGTGTCTGGATCAAGGAAGCGTTTCAAAGTCCTCTTCCCTACAGTACCCTTGACAAGATCCATCTTGCTCAGTATGTTCACATGAGGCACCTCGAGCATAATCATGGCACTCATTGCTGAGAGCGTGCCGGCGAAGTATTTGGCTCTGTCCACGACAAATGTTGATTCCAGTAAATACGCCGCGCATAGATTGACGTTCAGAGCTCCGGTTCGAGTCAAATGCTTCACAAGAGTCGGCAGAATTGGAATATGAGTGTACAGCTCAATCTGTCCGGGCATATCGATAATGATGAGATATTCCTCTGTTAAAGGGTCCAGAGGTTCGGTAATGAAGTCGAGATTCTCAAGGAGGAATCTATAATAGTAAGGAAGTTAGTATTAAAGTGTCCTCTCATACGAGGTCATTCAGAGGGGCTGAAGATTAAAAAAAATTAACGTACTCGAAGCAGTAAATGAGGCCACCATTCGGACCCAGGCCCATTTCTTCCATAACATCTTCCAGAGAAATCAGGTCTTTGATGTCCAGGTCCGGCTCGTAGGCAAAGTCTTCGGCAGCGGGGTCAAGATTCACGTAGAAACATGATCTTTTGTTATTTCTCAGGTTCTGAATCAATGCCGAACAGAATGTCGTCTGCTATCCCATGAGCACCAAACTGAAGAAAGAGCGGGAGTCGAGCGACATGATTTCCCAGGGCACTTACCTTCCCCGCCCCGGCCGGTCCCATTACTAGAACGCCAAACTTGCTCATCTTGCAAATCTGAAAGTCTAGGATACTATCACAGCATCCACTGAGCCGTCACGTAACCGTAAATTGTAGATCACTGACGGCAGCAATTGGCGGAAATGGAGAAGCTTCGCGGTAAAGCTGGATGACCTTCAACTAGTAAATTTGCGATACGAGCCAATGACGAGGGTCGGAACGATCGGCGGATATCTCCATCACGCGGATTCGTTCTAATCCAGATATAGATTAGATCAGCAAAACTCTAGATCAAGTTATGTAAGAAATTATTAAGTTTCAGTAGGCGGAGTAGAGGCGGAAGAGGAAGGAAATTTCCCAGACGCCGCAATTTGCCCCGCCTGTCGCCAGTCGCATGGGGAAACAAGTGGACATTAAAGCTTCTCCCTTGACCGTACCATATAAGAAGTTTTCAGTCCTAGATTGCCAATCTCTGGATTGTTGATTTGCACAGAATGATGTTACATTGCATACTAAGCAGATCAATGTCTATATCAGAGGAGGCATAACAGTCACAACAAGTGCGAATTCGTAAAATGCAATGAATCTTCCGGATTCTCCGGTGAGGGTAATCAAGATCAATTCAACGATTTATTTATCACTTGGGTCCAGGAAAACGTCACCTACGTTTGAAATGTATGCGGCTCTTTGTTGTAACTTTAATTAAAAAATGTACCTAGACCAGCAAGGTACTAGGAAGTTCATCGAAGACCATGGTTTTCTGCGTTTACCTGGCTCCAGCTCTCATCTACTCTGCGTCTTGAGACAATGCCATCTGTTAAAAAGTGTCGTCGTAGGTCGCGAATATAATTCAGTACTTCGTACGAAGCTACTGTAGAAGTAAATCACAGAAGGACACAGGTAAATAAACCGGCGGGGGCTTACTCAGGTCCTCTACGGGAGAGAAACCTTGGCCACTTTTTTTCTTCACTTCGGGGCCCGTCGGCGTCTTCGGTGAGATTGCGACATGTCGCTTAATTTGTCGCCGGCCTGCAAAACTCCCCCCTCATCGAACCAAGACCCTTCTTCATCTCCCCTCTCTTTCTTTCTCTGACCGTCTCTCTTATACATCCCACTCCCTCTCCCTTTCTTCTTCTGCAGCCGCTTAGGTTTCTCTTCTTCCTTAAGAGTTTTCTTTTTCTTTGAACTTTTCTTCCAATCCCTTAATTTCGCAATCATGGTCGCTGCCACCAACGGGGTCGCCAAGCCCACTTTCCTTTTCACCTCCGAATCCGTCGGTGAGGGTCACCCGGACAAGATTGCGTACGTATTTAAAGATGCCCATTTGTGTGCAATGTGAATTGGATCTGACTCTGTTGAACAGCGATCAGGTCTCCGACGCCATCCTTGATGCCTGCCTGAAGGAGGACCCTCTTTCCAAGGTCGCTTGCGAGACCGCCACCAAGACTGGTAAGGTCATCATTTTTATGGACACTCTTGGGGCACTGTTTCTGACAGGTACTAGGTATGATCATGGTCTTTGGTGAAATCACCACCAAGGCTAGACTCGACTACCAGAAGATCATTCGTGACACCATCAAGGACATCGGATACGACAGCTCTGACAAGGGCTTTGACTACAAGACTTGCAACGTCCTCGTCGCTATTGAGCAGCAGTCTCCCGACATTGCCCAGGGTCTCCACTATGAGGAGGCTCTGGAGAAGCTCGGTGCTGGTGACCAGGGTATCATGTTCGGTTATGCCTCTGATGAGACCCCTGAGCTCCTCCCCTTGACCATTCAGCTCTCCCACAAGCTCAATGCTGCCATGAAGCAGGCCCGCAATGACGGCTCTCTGCCTTGGTTGCGCCCCGACACCAAGACTCAGGTCACTGTCGAGTATGAGCATGACAATGGCGCTGTCGTTCCCAAGCGCGTTGACACCGTTGTCGTCTCTGCTCAGCACAGCCCTGACATTACTACTGAGCAGCTCCGCAAGGAGATCAAGGAGAAGATCATCCAGAAGGTCATCCCTGCCAAGTACCTCGACGACCGCACCATCTACCACGTAAGTTTCTATTCCCTTTGCATTTCAAAAAACCCACAAGGTTCTGACTTGAAACAAGATCCAACCCTCTGGTCTCTTCATCATTGGTGGTCCCCAAGGTGATGCTGGTCTGACCGGCCGTAAGATCATCGTCGACACCTACGGTGGCTGGGGTGCTCACGGTGGTGGTGCTTTCTCTGGCAAGGACTACTCCAAGGTCGACCGCTCTGCTGCCTACCTTGCCCGCTGGATCGCCAAGTCTCTCGTTCACTCCAAGCTCGCTCGCCGCGCCTTGGTTCAGCTTTCTTATGCCATCGGTGTTGCTGAGCCTCTGTCGCTTTTCGTTGAGACTTACGGTACCTCTGACAAGACCTCCGACGAGCTTGTTCAGATCATCCGTAACAACTTCGACCTCCGTCCTGGTGTTATCGTCAAGGAGCTCAACTTGACTAACCCCATCTACTGCCAGACTGCCAAGAACGGTCACTTCTCCAACCCCGAGTTCACCTGGGAGAAGCCTAAGACCCTCAAGTATTAAGTTCCCTTCGATCCTGTGAGAATGGGCTTGGCTTGAGTGGTGAGGTTTAATCTTGCATATCTAGTCACCTCTAATCCATGCATTTCTTTGTAATTTCTTTTCTTTTTTCTTTTTTTGCGCGGCTAGGGTAAGCCGCAGGGTCGGCTTCTTCAACGATTTACGAGCGTGTGATACCGCCAAAGACTTTTCGCACTGTTTGTTTGATTGAGGGCGAAAAAGTTATTCAACATAGACCATTTCAAGGGAGTAAATGACGAGCATCGGCGTTCGGAGAATTTCAACACGTTCTCTGCACGTGGCCCTTGGGGGGCCTCTGTTTGAGTTGGTTCCCGATTACCTCTTTGACTTTCAATTCAAGTCATCCTAAAGAGGCGGGGGCATAGGTCGTATTTAGATTAGTTACGATCATATATAATGCACATGGTACAATTTGGAATACCAAAAAAAAGCTACGATTTGTCATTTTAGGGTTGAATCGGCCAGTCAAGCTTTAATTGAGCTTGCCTCTGCGAGACATGAATGTAGTACACCTACATGAACAAGCAAGCATAGAGTCGACATTTCGGAAGGCCACAAGTGTTTGCATATTTTCTTCTCATGCTCACGTGAGAGCTATAGTGTGTCACGCGATGCTATGTTAATGAGCCTATGAAAGAAGCTTCTGGTAACAGTCAAGCGGCGGTTTTGGTATGCCTACGGAGTACCTAGAGGTGAAGGCCCGTTTAGCAGGCGTTAGCTGAATATTAATCCCTTTGACCTCAACCAGGCAAGAATTGAAAAAGCCTCGAATTAGGGGCGCGTCTCCAATTCTGAGAAAGATTGGTGAGGAGAGAAAGAAGTTTATGATCTAAGATAAACTCCGTAAATTATTCTTTTTTGAATTGCCAGCAGGAATGTTGCTTTTGATGTTTGCCGGACGCTATATACCGCGATGCACTCAATGCACACGTCAGCCTTAGATGTCAAATGTCAAATGGGTGATTCTCGGACTAGACGAATGCCTGTGATTGGAATCGATACAACGGAGTTTCTTTCCCCGCGTTGGCAGAGTCAATGATGCCTGTCATCTTAGTCTCCGTTAAGACGCGAAGAAAGACGAATGGATAAGTGCGAGAAAACACTCCTTGGCATAACACCAGACTATCTCGCGCTGTGGGAAGCAAGCCGATCAATTGGAGCCAGCCAGATAAAAGAGGGGGGAATTTTCAATGACGGGGGGAGAGGAGAGAGCGGCTTGTCTCAGTTCTCAGTTGACTACGAGTCATGTGTTCTCCTTTTAGTTGTTGACCCTGCAGTTGGCGAGCAGAGGGATGCCATTTTCCTGATTGGATAAATGAGGACTGTGGAATTACTTTGTGTCTCTGAGTCGAATAGCATTACGCTCAGAGCGGGCTCTTATGTTTGCGGGTTTTAATAGGACAGCCATCTCTTCCATCTCTGGGGGTCTTGGGGGTTTGAGCTTTATAATGGTTCATCACGATATTACTCGGCACGCGTGACACCAGTCTAGCGGCATCACGAGGGGGGACCGAAAAAATGAAAATGTGAAATTGTCAGTTTGGAACCCTGCGTTCCATTAGGTCGCACGATCAATCCCTTGCCTTGTATTCACCTGGATTACGTTTCGCCTCGCAATGCATTTGGGATGGCGGATTGCCATTGCTCAATGGTAGAAGCCCAGACGGTTAGATCGAGATATCCGAGAAGGAGGGTGAAGTTTCGAGATGCGAACCTTTCTTCTCAGGTTCCCAGTCTAAGACGTCTTGAAGATAATGATAGCCTTCGGCAAGTCAGCGTACTCATTTAGAGGTAGGATTCAGCGTTGAGGGGTTTAAGAGCCCTTTTTTTTTTCTATTTTGCTTTTCTTTCTTTTCGCTCATCCAACAAGCAATCTAAAAGACTTCTAAACAGTCTTTTGAAATTTCACTGATTCCAATTTGCCTAGCTTGTCTGCAATCCAACGCTTCCTGGTATAATATCTTAACGATCACAGATGATTTGAAAGGCTTTGAACTGACTTGGCGATAGCTAAAATGTAACCAATCACCTCTTGACGCTTCCCCACGCATTCATATTGCATTTCTACCGAAACATGAGAGTCTTAGGAGCGTATGAGCAAAGAGCAAAGAGCAAAGAGACGTAAAAAGAATCGAGCAATTTTAATCCTTTGAAAAAGCGACCAGAAAGTCGATTGAACTGGGGTTCGGCTTTATCACACGCTCGACCTCGCCGTTCGTCATTTGTGCAAGTCGAAAAGCCATTGACGGCAAGAAGCGAAATCAGAATGCTCCTCTAGTCTGCATAATTACCGCCCAGCAGTGCATTCTGCTGGGGTAATGGTGCCAAGCAACCAGCGGCGTCACACTTCTCGGCTCAGTAACGGTATTATTATTGTTGATATTATAGTCATGAGCGATTACCCGTAAGTAATGCTACAAACTTGGGGCTTCTCATCGCGCGGCGGCTGGCTGTAGGGCCAGAAAAACTGCAGGTTGTGGGAGAGCGATGGCTGCGTCCAGTGCTGCAGCGAAATAAATAAGCCCAGCTATGACAAAGGAGATGTTGACGAATCATGGGCTCGGGAAGGGCTGTCGTCGGCCTCGATAGGCCTCTGCGGCTGCCATCTTACGGCATCAACCCCTCATTTGAGGCTTGTCATGCTCTTTCTCCTTTCCTTCTACCCAATACCCCTTGCCCACTCGCGTGCGTCGTCTTGCCCCTCCGTCATCCTGCGATACTGGTCAAATTGTCGTCGGTCTACGTACACATGTCAGGCGGGGTCCCCGCAATCCCATACGTGCATATGCTTCAATCGAGAGGGGCACTGCGATCAGTGTTCATCTTCGTAGACCTTTGAATAGTCATCCTGCACTCTAGCCTCAAGCCGGTTTTATTGTGGTCTCTGTCTCCGTGACCAACCCCGTTGGCACAAGTGCACATGAACACTGTTATGTAGATTGGGAAGGCCGTTGCACTCCTTCCCATCTTATTTCACCCACCCCCCTTCATCTAGATATCATACCTCTTGGGACAAAACAGATCCTTCTCTCGCGTGCATCATTACCACTTCTACTCCCAAAACGCCTCCGTGCAGCCCAGTCCAGCGTCGGTTGAATCGCCTCGCAGCAAGGTATCCCCGGACTCAAGCAACCGTAGCCACCCTTTTATGTTGTACATACTAGAAACCCATCCTTTTTTTTTTTTTTCGTTCCCTTCTCTCTTTGGCCCTCAAAACAAAATTTGTAGTTTATCGTCTGTATTTGTCCCATTCAGCAAATAGGCCTATCTCTTCTACGGCGCTGCAGAGACATTGGACACAAATATCGGCCAGGGTTGTGGTGTGAATACCCCAGAATTAGAGAGAGAACCCCACAGATTCACGAGACCCGGCAAAGAATCTCCGCGCAGCATAAGACCGAATCTCAGGTCGGCCCATCGAGCATTTCATCGCTATCACCATCATCCTCATTGTCGAGACCAGTCAGTTTGTCACTACAATCTAGTCTGCAGACCTTACTCCCTCCGTCTGTCCTTCTGTTTAACTAGTTCATCACTCTTCTCAACCTCGACTCCTGGCTTCATCAAAAGGGAACTGCCAAGACTGTTCGGAGCACACCTACAAGCAAGATTCACTACGGGAGAACTTGACACGGACAGACACCATATATTCAGATCACACACACACACAACATACACATATACTTACCCACATCCATAACCGCGCACACACAAACACACGCACCAAACCTGGGGGCCCACCATCTATCGTGCTGTTCTGGCTCCCATTCCATCAATTTTATGTTCTTGCAGACTACTAATCTATTGCCGTCTGGGATGCTGCTTTCGCCCTACCCTGTGGTGCTTCGTTCCAGTGGATGATTCGTCCCACCGGGCCCGGCTCGTCCCGCAAGTACCAGTACATATACTTTGGCTAGTTTTTCGAGCACGCCAAAGTTACAGTCTCATCCCCACAACCCACCCAGGTCATTGTCGCCATCACCATACTCCGATAGGCTCGCTACCTGGTCTGAGTTTGGGTGCAGCGATCTTCGCACCCGTCCCTCTTGCACCACAAGGCCAAATCCTATTACCTGCGCCACCTGTTGTCCGTTCGATGACGCCAACTGTGTCCAAATACAAATATCGTGTTGTTCTTTGCACTATTACATCGAAAGCAAAATTACGGGAAGAGATATTGTGTGCAAATACCTCTTGCGACAAGTGCTGAGCCCTCTTCCGATCCAGTAACCACGAGTTCGGCTCCTTCCAGTGCAACGCAACACCTGGGCTTTTCCGCGCAGTACGCAGTAAGACTTTGCCACACCCGCAGAGAAGGCCCCCCGTCGAGATTAAGCTTACCGACCATAGGGAAAGAGGGTGAAGGACTGATCTCTAGGGTTCAAGGGGAGACGTCTCCTTCGAGGTAGGGACAATTTCTTTTCCCCACATCGCTGCACCTCGCGCCGTGGCCGGGTCGGTGGGCAGCGTCTTTGGCTCTCGGCCCCAGATCTGACGTATCCATTGCCAGCCCAAACGGAGGTTCTTTACCTCTTGGGGTGAACTCGGTCGTGGGCCAATGGAATCAACGCATCATTATCGCATACATATCCTAATTCTCTAAGCTGACTTCTTCGACGTTTGTAGTTTTGGCCTCGAATTTCTCCATCAAATTTACCGCCTCTACAGTATTACTTTCGATCCTCTTTTCATCTGATGGTAGTTCGGACCAAGTGGCAGTAAAAGTTGCCTAATTTCTCCCCCTTGCGGCCAGCAAAGCTACAGGATTCGACCATTGTCACTCGGTCCTCGACGTGGTCTCCTTTCGGCGTTGTCTTTGGACAAAGCTAGACTAGTCCCAAATTCCCTTTGGCGCTCGCTCTTTGGGACTTGCTTGGTTTCTCGTCTCGTGGCTCGTCCGCAAAGAATAGCCTCCCTCGCTTGTTAAACCACACGGCGCGCGAACCGCCAGCAACCCCCTCCCTTCTCATCCTCCGAACCAGACGAACGGCTGGGGCGAAGCGTACGACATCGCCGTCATCCGCGTCTTTGCGTCACGTTGTGATTCTTGATGAGCGCCTTTGCTAGTTCGACCCAATCGCACGGTCTTGCTGTATAGATTCCAGGCTCTGCACTCGAGCCGATCGCACATCTCTTGACTCCGACTTGCGAGCGGGTTGACCGTCGCGTCTAGCTGTTTAGCTCTCTCGGCTCACCCTGCATGCGACGTATCGTGCCGTGGCTCGACCAAGCAGTCCTACGTCGCATGCGTAACAATCAACTATCAAACTATCTCATCTTCAACAGCTCATCTTGCGACCTGTTCGCCAGACGGCTTGTTGATCAACCATGTATTCGGCATCTCATCCTGTGCCGGCGTCGATGAACGGCATGGGCGGCGATATCATTGATGGTTCAGGCACAATCAACCCTGCAGCTTTGAATACAGGTATTTCCACTTTGCAGTCCAGTCTACATCTCAGCACTCTTTGTAAAGCGAGAGCATGAACGCGAAATCCTGGGACGGTGGCGGCTAGAGGGCTCTTGTTCTGCGTGTGCTGGTCATGCGCAGCACTATCCTGTCGCGTTCCGTTTTGTTGTGATCGATGTATGCTAACGCGTTCCTTGTCGCAGCAGTCTTACCGACGCCGACCTCTGTCAGCGCACCTGAAACAAGCCCTCGTGGTGTAAAACGAAGCCGCTCGCCTGAATATTATGGGGAGTTGGCGATGGGTCGACAGGGTGGAGTTGAGGATGATGATGATGATGGTAAGTGCTAGTGCTCTTCCAGTTTTATAATGATAAGGCGCGCTGTCGTCAAAAGAAGCGTATGACGACCGAAGAAAGAGAAGAGAATATGCCACGTTCTCATCATGATCCTAGCCTGCCCTCTCTTCACTCGAAGCATATTTTACTGATGAGATCATTGGCTGTACAGACGATCAGAAGCCGCGAAAGCGCGGAAGACCACCCAAGACGAAACTTGGGGGAGTGTCCGAGAGTCCGCTATCGACATCACCACAAGGACCCCAGCAGGCCCTACCTTCGCAAATCCAGACGCCTAAGCTCCAGTCGCAAGGTTTACCGCATACGTCAGGCACGCCTACGCAAGCTTCACCCCCCAAGTCTACGCCCACAAAGACCGTGGTAAAGGCATTGCCCACGGTTCGAGATCATACAACCGATCAGCTCAATCCAGAACGAGATGAATACATTCCTCGCGAGTACGATGAGGCGGGTGAGAAAAAGGTCACCCAGACAGGGCATCTTCTCGATGGCCGAGAATATCGATGCCGAACCTTTTACGTACCGAACAGAGGCGATAAGCTGTTCATGTTAGCCACCGAATGCGCAAGGGTTCTGGGTTACCGTGATTCTTATCTTCTTTTCAATAAAAACCGCTCCCTCTACAAGATTATTGCGACACAGGCCGAGAAAGACGACTTGATTCAGCAAGAGATTCTGCCATACTCGTATCGATCTCGGCAAATTGCTATAGTCACGGCCAAATCAATGTTTCGTCAATTCGGCAGTCGAGTCATTGTCAACGGGCGCCGAGTACGGGATGATTACTGGGAGAGCAAAGCTAGAAAGCAAGGTTTCACAGAGGAGGACCTGGCTGGAGAAAAACGACCGGGCGCTGCAAAAGCGCGTGAAAATGCTGCTGCCGAGGCAGAGCGCGCTCTGGCAGGCTCTACTTTGGGCCATCATGGTGAGATTGTGTATAGCAATGGTCCTGGCCATCTCGAGGGTCACCCGCAGTCTCAGACTTTACAAGCAGGTCTAGGTGCTGGTGCCTCTCTTGCGCCTCTCCCAATGATTCATCTAGCTCCTGCAGATGATATACATCTCCGGGACTATGGAAACGTGCCACGTCCAAGGCAAGAAATGTCCGGTCCACCTTACCTGGATCGTTCTCAACCAAGTGGTAGTGCCGAAATTCTAAACCAGGCTTCGCATGCTGCCGACTTCAACAAGATGCTTGGTCAACAGCGTAATCATCGTACCAAATATCTTGAAGATTTTTGGAAGCAACCACGGGAGATGCCAGCCCCTGCCAATCCATCGCAGCAACAGCAGCAGCAACAGCAGCAGCAACAGACGGCGCAAGCTCCACCGCAAGCTGTCGGCCAAGTAGATACCGCCTCAACCGTTGGCCAGGCGCTTCATTCTCCGCAAGTCTCCTCTAACCCCATGATGGGCGCCGCGCAACAGCCTATGATGCCATCTCAACAACGCGGGACTCCACAGATGATTGCTTCACAGGCATTTCCACAGCAGCAGGCTCAGCATCAACAGAGTCCGTTAGCACAATCTCCAGGGAGAGCAATGGCTCAGTCTATTCGTCCTGATCAGATTCATCATCGCTCTTCGGGTCTTTCGCTTGGTCCCACCGGCCACAATCAAAATACAGCATATGGCTTTTCCCAGCAGACACCCATGTGGCCACCACCGCAACCTCAACAATCCCCGCTTGGCGGCCATGGAATGCCACAATTTAACCCTCAACTGCAGTCTCATTCACCGCACGCGCAACAATCGCCCCATCATGCCCCTCCGCAACTTCATCAGCAGAGCTCAGGCTCGCTGCCCAGCAACTCGCTCAATTACCCTGGTGTGGCACCTGGAGGATACGCGACTGCTCAGCGAGGCTCATTCAATCCCAGCCAGAATCCGCAGCATTTTATGCAGCAGACGTCAGCTGCGCAGCAAGCGAATCCCGGATGGGCTCCTTCAGCCCCGGGATCTCATGGGCAACAACCCTGGCCGGGCTACTGAAGCATCTCCGAGATTCGGGTCTAAATGGTTGTCATCCGAAAGCTTTCTTGAATCTTATACGTCAAGCTCGCAACCTTGGAAATGTTTGCTGTTAAAGACCCGGTCTTCGAAGCTCTATTTTTCTAATTACCTCCCCTCCCGTGTCCTTCTTGATTTCCGGCAAGACCGACTCGAAGAACTTTCTACTAGCCGCCGACAAAGAGCTTTGTCTGCGGTTTTGGAATAATTTTTTTCACCCTGAGGCTATGTCAGACAGACATGAAGGTGGTGAACAGGGTGATGCACGGTACCTTCTTTCATGCAACCGTCGTCTTGACCTCTGATGGCTTTGCTCTTTTGTTCAGGACTCTGCGTGCATTATCACTCTATGACTTTTTCTCTTCGCTCAACACAGACTCCTCCATACCTCCCTTGTGCATCAATGCACCCCTTCGACCATTCTTATCACGCCTTCATCGCCTGTGGGATCCAAGGCTGTCTGGCTAACTGCCAGACAATGCATTTACCATTTTTCCCACATCGGCAGCCCGCACGCAGTTGGCGGGCCTGATCTTCTGGAAACGATGACTTCAAAAGGAGTCACTTCGAAAGCATCCTAATTGAATGGGTCTACCCTGACGAACTTCGAAAAGTCAGCAGGAAATGGCGTAGGGATTACTTATTTTACAATTTTTTTCAATCTGAAATTGTTCTCGTTTTGTTGGGGTTCTTCTTTTTTACGTATGACTTTTGCCTCCTTCTTCCTCTTCTTCTTTTTGTCTTCTTCTTCTTCGACCCGTCAACAGGCTTTTTTCTCAGGTTATGCAACTGGCGGTCTCTTGTGCCATCAAGATCGAATGGGTAAACAGAAGCACGGGCTGGAGCAATCGGCAGTCTTCAGTTCCTTTCACTACACTTCTTTTCACTTTGCTTCTTGACGCCAATCGTCTAATTTTCATGTTCGTCTATCAATGTGCCAGTCCGTCTTCCCTGCCATCCCTCAATGAAGTTACTCTGCGGGTCTTTCCTCTGTCGCGTCATGCCCATTTGCTACCTTTCCTCTTTTCTACAATGAGCAAGAGTAGATCGACTGCAAATGGATATTCGCGACTCAGACACGAAAGAGGATTCTTAGATTGGATGCGGAACAGTCTTGGCAATAGACCGGGGAAATGATCCTTGAGCTCAGTTCAGGTCTACGAAGATGCACCAGCTTGGTTGATTATTGAGAAATATTGTTACTTCAAGTCTTTTATACTTTTCCTCCTCCGCCGGATACTTTCACACATCTTTATTGCTCTTGCTGCGTACTTTTGCTTATCCTTTCGGGTTATATCTTTTCCACTCATTGTCTTTGACTCTTTTTTTTTCCTCTCAAATCTCTCTCTCTATGAGTCTACCCGCTCTCATCCTGTTGATGTCTATATTCTATGTATGGGTGCACTTTTTGTTTGCTTGCTTGTTCATGGAATTTACTCTTTAAGATTGTTCTCTGTTCCTTTCTATTTTACTTTCCTTTATCTCCTAGTTACCCCTCTATAGTTAGTCTTGCTACAAGTTATACTTTTCTTTCTTAAGCAAATCCACGCAATAACGATCTGCCTCTCCGTCTCTCTTCTGCCAGCGGCAACACATAGGCATACCCACTTCCGTTTCCATCTCCTGCCTAATTAAACCCCACCTACCCTAAAACTTCTTTTCCGGTATGTTTCCGTGGATATCTACATCCGGTCACAATGATGCTATAATCTTCGGTGAGATGGTGAACCACCTTATAAACTATGACTTGTATTGTTCCGGCTTAAAAGTAGGCGTATGAACACATCCGAGTGTGGTGTTCATGATGCACCTGCAGTATACAAATCGTTGCTTTTTCTGCGTCCCAGAGATGTTTATTTCAGGATGTGTCCATGTCCACTAGATAAGTAGCTAACTTTTTTGTCTAAAGAACTTGCCCTCTGGCCTGTTTGCTTGGTCTGACTGGTTCAACAAGTAGTCACTACTACTGACTCTCCTATACTAAACTGGATTATGTGATACTGTTTGGTCCTTGTTTTGTTATTCTGTTCTACACGGGTTTATTTATTTTTATTTTCTTTTTATTAATTTTGTTTTCGTTTCGTCTCGTTTCGTTTCGTTGATCAGTGCTTTCCTTTGGAAGTAAATTCATACAATAATACAAAAGCATAGAGAGACAGTATGTATAATGCAGCCTTTTTCATCGGCAATCAATATTACTTCGGGGGAAGGAAAAATCCAGAAGCATTGGAAGACCCAATGACAAGGCGAAAAGAATTGCAAATTTAGTCCCAAAGGCTAGCAGATAAGCTCACGCTCAGAAATGGAGAGAAGAAAGAAAAGGAAAAACGAGCCAGACATAAAGGGCCGCAAAACGGGACCATATTTCTACAAGATTCAGCACGGGAACACATCCTGGAATGCAAAAGAAGAACAGAGGGAAAAAATTCTTAAAGCTTGCAAATTTTGAAATAGACAATTAGATTTTCATTAAGGTGTTCTCTCATTGATGAATGAGAAGGGTATCTGGAGAATTAAACGGCTCCCAATTCGACAGAACAGCTCATGGAGGCAGACTGCAACGAGTTGATTAAAGGCACCGGAGAACGCAATAACCATCCAAATTTCATATTGGCCGTGTCCAAAATCACACCGCCCAATAGCTCGTAAACGGGACCTTTGGTCCCAGTAGCTCAGCGCTATTGGAAACGAAACCAAGACAATAAGGAGATAAATAAAAAAGCAGAAGGAAAAAATTAATCGTTAAAATCAATCATACATGTGCGTGATATCCCTCTCGTCTATGGCTTGAAAATCCCCAAAGGAAAATAGGTATAAAATGAATAAAAATGTTGAAACATGTTACAATCCATAAGAAGTATCTTGCATGAAGAATATATGAGGGCGACCCAGCCAATTAATCTAATCAGAAATCTTCCGGTCCTTGATTGGTAAAAATGTAGTTTCGTGGCTTGTGAGGAGACATTCGAGGAGGTGGCGGAGCCTTGTGGGTCGGGGTATATTGATGGAAGAGAAGCTCTGGGGCAGGCTTATTATTGGTAGTATTCTTCCCAGCAGAAGTGCGCTCAGTTGTCTGGGACGTTCGATTCTCATTCCCGCGATGATTTGCTTGCTCCGTCTCCTCGGTCACAATTGGCGACATGTAGGTAGGCTGAGGCATGTGGATTGCCGTCGGGAAAGATGTAAAAGTAGGAGAGGTTATTGGGCCCTCGCCCATCCCATAAGGCATCTGAAGTCCTGCAGATTGTGGGGGTGATTGATGATTGAGAGCATACCGCTGGAATCTGGCTTGAAGCTCAAGCTCAAGGGGAGTAGATGGCGGTGATACGAGACTAGTCTCCAGGTCTAGCGCCGGATGGACCATACTGCTGGAGTATCCATGACCAAGTACCAACGGTTGGTTCCCATCCATGGTCACTATTCCATATTCGGGTCGTGCAGCACCATTTCTAGAAGGTGACCTTGGCGTTGGCGGCGCAAAACTACCTGTAGGAGTGGGCATCGGGTTGGAGGTCGTCGGCGTCCGCCCCGAGAAGTAGCCTCTTTCAAATGCACCAGCATCCGCAAAAGTAGAAAAAGGAAGAGGGGAGCGTTGCGCTGAACCTGGCAAGTTTTTTTGGATGCGACCTCGCAAGAGACTGATATTGTTGGTAGATCGAATACGCCGCATCGGCGCGTTGGAGCCAAGAAAAGAGCCCTTGCCAGCAGGAGAAGCAGGCGTCGTGCCCGAATACGAATGTGTCCTTAGCGCAGCATGTCCTAGGGCTGCCGGTCGCGGTCGTTTTCTGCGAGCCGCGAGATCCAATGACACCTCCGACTCTCTGGACGGCGGGCTCAAAGTCGTATCTGGCTCTATCCCAACGGCGTTGAAAGTGCTGATGAGGTCGGACGGCGAATTTCTTCCCGAAAAAATTTCGGGATGTGCTATGACAATGGATCCGTCGGCATCGAACGTCCCGTCGGCAGCCAAAACAGGTTGGAAGTGTTGAGTCTGTCCCTGTGGCAAATGGCTATGGTAGATTAATTGTTGCTCTTGCTGGTGCAGCGGTTCACCCGAAGCCGTCTGGTACTGGAAGCTGGCAGTGTGAAAAGCCTGCTGTAGTTGGTTGATTTCAGTCGGGTTCTGAAAATTAGCATAGCATTCCTGTTCAACCGAGTCTCTCGATAAAGAGGAATTGCTACTGAGCTGCTCAAGCTGCGGAATTGAGTCCGTAAAGTCGAATGGGTCATCAATCTGCTGAGCAGGGGTCCATGTGACTGACGAGTTCCTACTGCTGCCATAATCCGAAAAGGCAGATGGAGGGAAGCCCGCTGATGTTGAGTGGTTTGCATGCAGGCCATGCATGTACAACATATTCTTCTCTTGCGTGGGCGAGGAAGTTTCGCTCGCGGCAAAGCTGGCGTACCCGCTGTGATCACTAAGATAAGGCAAAGACATATTGGAATGCTGGGTAAGGAAGCCATAGTCAAGTTCGGCGGGCGAGCCAAGTTGGCAGGGGCTGGTCAACCCAGTTGCTTGATCATCCAACTGGCCGCCATGTTGCCATGTAGGAGTCAAGTCAAGCTCTGGTGGCATTTCAATAGGGGTGAAAATATCAGGGCCATGGCTGGCACCATAGCCAGGGCTCGTCAGGCCACTGGCCGCCTGAAGCAGCTTGAATTCTCCCTGCTTCCTCTGCTGCTTGGCTTTTGCTCGCCGATTCTGGAACCAATTCTAGAGCACACATGATTAGTGTTACGGCCAAAGCATCGGGTATTGGAGAGATATATATAAGACGTACTGCGACACGAGGGAGGGACAGGCCAGCCTCCTCGGCCAGCCGACGCTTGATGTCGCTGCTTGGCTTCGGATGTATCTGAAATTGTTTTTCCAGCATCCAGACTTGCTCTCGAGTCAGACGAGGGCGAGATGATGTATCCGCATCATCATGTTCCTCGGCTCCATTGGGTTTCGTTGCCATTCCCTGGGCCTTTTCTGGCATCATGCTCATATAAGCCATATCTTTCCCGGGTCCGGGTTTTTCCCAATGAGAGAGAATTATCCGCTGGTCAGCAGAGGGTGATGCCAACAGGTGAACAGCGGTATGGCTATGCAAGCCGAGTTGAAGAGCGAACTGCGCGTCTTTACAAGATGGAGGAGAGTATTCGCAAGGAGCAGGTAAGAAGCGGGACCCGACTTATGTGAGCTTGTGCTTTATCGAGATCCAGTTTCGCTTCCACGAGATGCTTCAATTTCGTCGCAGATGATTACACAACAAACACAAATGAAACGTTTTCGCAATTTCGTGCTCGGGGACCACCGGTTGTGTCCACTGCGGTCAAGATGGCGGAGATTTCAAGAGGTGGTGTTCAAAACGACAAGAACGAGGTCAAGAAAAGTACATGCTGGATTTGCCACCTAAAAAAGAGAGAGAGAATTTCAAGGACCAGAATGATCAAATCTCGAGAACAAGATGAAGGGCAAAGGGGGGGAAGGGACATCGGCTTTTTAGTGTTTCTGAATGGGTCGGCATCATTACACCCGCGTCTGCAGGCTGGCTTAGTTTTTGTGCCTTTGTAGAGCGGCCGCCAGAATGGTTGGGCCAAGAGATGGTGTACCGCATCTGATTGCACCACCTGGTCGCTGCGGACCTTGAATCCTCTCTTTCCCCCCGAGCGCAACACCGCGGCCGAGACCACTGCGGAAAGAGCGTCCGGCCTCAAGACCCCATGCTGGCCTAACCCCCGGGAACCGCCGTCGACAGGATCGGCCACGATCGACAGTTTACTTGGGCACTTTCTGGGGCGAGGGACACTGACTTACTCTAGCTTCTGGGCAAAAGCGGTAGCTACAGAGTACGAGCGTAGAATAGTCAGGTCGATGCTATGCTGGAGCGGATCCATGTCGTGCTGCTTGTTGTTCTCTGAAAACCCCTGTCATGTCTTCATCAAGCACACGCTCCGTGGGGCGATCTCCCACTATCTGCAAGCGACCAAGGCACAAGCGAGAGACGGACGTACAGCGGCTCTCATCCCGACGAGAACCTTGATCCCTCCGCTGTCGGGGCGGGAAGGGGGGTGGGACGAGGGTGACGAGGGGGTGGTGATTTAGAATGGTGGAAAGCATATGGAGCCAACAAAGGAGAACAAGAGAGACGATACGGGATAGGGTGGGGACTCCGGGACGACCGATGGCCGACTTAGCTCTTTCCCCCAATGGAAGTGGGCTTCGCTTGGAGGTGGGGGAAAGGCACCACAGAGAGAGGGGACGAGGGAGAAAAAGAGGGCGAGAGTGTGCGAGCGCGCGCGAAAAAGGACACCAAAGGAGATTGAGTGGAGATGAGGACCCCCAATGTAGGAAGTGTCCCATATGGCGAAGAAACATGGGAAAACAGTTGGGTACACCGACAATCTACTTGCGCATATCTGAAGTATTCACGACGACACACCATGCATAATCACTTGCACGTTCTTGCCCGGAGAGTGCTCAATTGGAAACGTGACGGCTTGGTATCAAAACAGCAGTAGAATTAAAGCAGCGAATCGCGAAAAGATAAAAAAAAAATCCCCTAGGAGGAAAACAACGCAAAATTGGCTTATCTCTTTCCCTTTTTCCCTGTCTCTCGACCTGCGGCAGTTGGAAGCGGGCGTCAAGGCCTACGCTGAGACCGTGGTCCTTGCCTCGAACGACGTTGATCCATCATCGTCGTTCGCCTGTCAAAGTTCCGTCGGACCATGATGTCTAACGGCCTTAAAAGAGACTAGCACCAGGGACGAGGCGACCTGAGCGTTCATCGTCATTAGTTCAGGTCAGACCAGCCGTGTCAAATCATGGCGCACTGGTCGAATCATACAACGTCCCGAGCGAGCCACGGCGTCAGCGAGGGATGCTATTTGGGATGACACTAGGGCCCTTTTAAAAAAGGAACGGGTAACTAGACCCCTGAGCCACAACCAGAGAGGCCAGAGCTCGGCCCCCAACTGATTAGGATTTCTTCATGTCCATCACCACACCACTGGGCTACCTCAGGAAGAGTATTGCAATTCAATGTTACCGCGGTGCTCCGTGACATCCCTCTTGATTTCTTCGACTGTTTTTTTCCGAATAGTGCCGGTGTGGCATCCCTTTCCAAGAGCTCTTTTGGCAAAAGAGCTTCAAAGTGGCAGTATTATGCGCTGTGCAGTACGTCACCGGCGTCGAGCAATCAAAGTATCTCTTGTGACCAGTGTTCGGCAGAAGCCTTCAGCGCTGGTATCTCCGTAGAATGTGTGCTTTCTCCATGCGCACATCTGTTCTCTTCTGTGTCTTCTAGGTATACCGTACCTCATCTCGCATACTGCACTTAGCGTTACCTTGGAAGTGGGACCGTGGGACCGTGGGACCGTGGGACCGTGGGACCGTGGGACCTCAGGACCTCAGGACCTCAGGACCAGTTCGTCCTTGTTTTCTTCGTATCTGCTTCTGTCTCGATACAAGGCCGCTCCGACGGGCTGGAGTGGCAGGTACTCGCTAATGCACTGACCTCGCTACCTACGTTCTACTCTTACCTGACATTTGAGATAAGTGCTCCACTCGATATATTTCACATTCTCCTTGACTCCTGGGGCATTGCGCATGAATGGGGAAAGAGGAGAGAAGCTTACCGGCGGTTGAGATCGAGTAGAAAGAGGCACACGCCTTCTATTCTTCCATTCCCTACATGCACGAAAATGGCGGCCCAAGGTCGCTCAGAAAATGGTATTAGATCTCGTCAGCAGGTATGCGTCAATGGGGCGCTGGACGACAAATCAGCTTGCAGCAAATGAACATGCTTTGGTGAGTTAGCTGGCAGAGGTAATGATTTGGTGGTGAGTTGTCCCGCCTCTGACCTCTGTTCCTTCCACAATTTCCCACTTCGCATCTACCTTTCCCCATCGGTCGAAATTGCCCCGGGAGGCGGGAGACCGACTCTGCGGAGCAACACCTCACAGACCCCAAAGTGGATATGGAGCTGAGAGCCAGCTCTTGTCTGGGTTAGACCAGGTGCACCACCGCAGACGCGACGAGCACTCATCCAACGCTAGAGGTTGGCACATCCCTGACCGCAGAGCCACAAACTCCAAGTCCAATTCCGCGTCGTGAGTGCATCGAAGGGAGTTGATCGGGGGTTCCCCGTTTAACCGCTCCCCACTTTTCCCCTCCTGGACCAATTGGCATCATCATCTGTTCAGCAAAAAGTCCTAGCGATGATGCGAATCTTAGGCAGGTAGGTGTTAGAGACTAACCCCATCGTTGACAATGTACAGTATAATTCGTAGGTAACACTCTTGCCTGTTATATAGACAGCCATGGATTATTATTGATGCCGCACAATTAGACACTGAAAACATGGGCTTTTTGCTCCACCACGTAACGTCAGAGTAGAGCTTACAGTTGACACATTTGCCTAAAGTTTCATGATTTCGATGTAATGGCTCCAAAATGGAGTCGAAAATCACGAGATACAATCAGATGTACGGAGATATCTGACACATGCATACGGAGGAGCACGCCTTCGGCGGGGTGTCTCGGGAGTTCAAGGGACGATATCGTCGCCCTTGCGCCTAGAGCAGACATCAGTGTACCTTGGCGCTCTTGATGTTGTGTACAACTCCATGCAAGCTCTTTTTAGATATGATAGGTGCCTAAAACTTTGCATGCCTTGTACGAGCTGGCCATGATCCCAACCAGGCGTATTCGCCATCGTCTCCGGGAGAGGTAATAGACCATGGCATGGCGCTGCTTTATCGCCCTCTAACTGCCGGCTGGAAGAGCGGCCCGCTGGCTGTAAAGCTCTAGCCGCTTAGGAATGATGATCGAAGTGGTAGACCACATAGAAGCCGTCTGGACTGCAGCACAAGATGCCCTCGAGCAGTCAAGCCATGATCAACTACTGCGGTAGATGCATGCATAGCATCTTCAGAACATGGCTAGCTTCCCAAACCTTTATGATTCAGGAGGAATAGTAGGCATGGATTGTCCGGAAATGAATCTTGTGTGGTCAAGCGTTGAGGACTTTTTTTTTTTTTTTTTTTTTTCGCTACTTCGTCCTTTCTTTGTTCTGAGTCAGTATTGTATTGACCGCACAAGAGGCATGACACTTCTGATTATGCATGATGCCTGCCATTATTTTGTGCCCACAAGATTGCTCGTCAAAATTCGCTCAATCACTTGGTTGTGTTTTCCCCGTACAATGGCTTTGTTTCGCCAAGGCAGATTTGGTTCGAGCGCGAGATTGTTCTGCGGGCCGGTCCGATCGATAGATACTCGACCGTCCTGTGCAAAGGCGCACTCCTTTTTTTCTCGCGCCATCTGTGGCGAAGACACAAGTCCCTTGTCTGTCATCCCACCCTAGCCAAGTAATCCCTACAACCTCGACCATGGCGGAGATCATGATTTGCAGCTCGCTTCTGGACAAGCCTTCGCCAGACCCTCTTTAACTGTCTCTTCAACGTTATGGGCATCATTTGCTAGGCTCATCCTTGTAACCCGCCGTTCGTTCCACAATTGCGTTCGGGTGATTCTTCCATCTTGGCTTAGAACATTTTCGAGTCCATGTTCCCACTTTACGGAGTGCACGCCTTCATCTACTTTTTGCCTTCCTCTCTTGCAATTCGTCTGAACCTGTGTGGCATCTAATTCTAAAATTCTACCTATGTGGGTAATCTACCCCTCTTTCCCCTGGCCCGTTCATTTCCCTCTCCCTGCCCCTCAGATAATGCGTTGCACCAACCAAAGTGGCTCGATGCAAGTAAATGGATCTTCGAGGGAAATACGGATGGTACTGACCCATCGACGTGTATAGTGGAGAGACTTCAAACTTGTTGGAGAGGGAGTGGTGGTCTGGGCGTGACCGTTGACTGATCCATTGCCTCACTCACTCTTCTAACTAGACTCAGTCTAGCTCAACAGGAAATGTTTGATTTCTAGGTGCAAATCACCGGTATCCTTGTCTTGGCCTAGGAAAGTGATGCTGCGCAAATCTGGAATAATCCAGTCTGCACCTGCCTCCCTAACCTGTTGGGCAGAATGCGTCGTGGTTAATCCGACGACTTGACAGCCGGCCGCTTTGCCAGCACGAATCCCGGCCGGTGCATCTTCTATGACTAGGGTGGCGGCTTCTGCTGAGAGTCCAAGGCGTGCACGGCCAAGTCGATAACAGGCTGGATCAGGTTTACCATTCTCAACATCTTCAGCCACTACCACGTGCTTAGGCTGCGCGATTCGAAGCACGTCCAACCAGCCTTGAACTAATGGTCGAGTACCCGAGGTCACAATTGCCCACGATGCTCCAGCCTCGTTCAATAGAGCGATCAGATTTCGCGCTCCAGGGATCATTTCTGCGTCCCGTCCAAACCTTTTAGGAATTTGGGCTTCAACCTGCGCAACGCCTGTCCACAAATCGTATGAGCGCTGAAATAGGGTCGTTCAATGCTTTGGTGATCCACATACGCTCTGGGGTGGCCATAGACGGATCGTAAATCTTCAGCACGTCTATGGATCTTCTGCCATGAGAAGTTGCCAAAATAACGTTGGGGTCTACACCCAGTTCCTTGCCCATTCTATAGGTTTCATTAGAAGATAAAAGAAGTCATAAATTTTGTCATATTCGGGTCCTCACTCATGCCAATGCTTGACAATGGCGTTCGTTGAGTCGATAATGGTGCCATCCATGTCGAAGAGCAGACCTTTGCAGGTATATCGCTTCACCATTTCAGTGTTTTGACATTGCGCTGCTATTCCCGACATAGTTTACAGATATGTATATGCAAACTATTATGAGCGAAATCTCACCGAACATATGCACTGTACTCGCAAGTATTTATAGTCATAGCTGTGATCGTACGTGCTCGTTTGTGAGAACCTATGACTCTGCACAGACAGTAGCTCAGCCCATCATTGGCTGTTTCAATCTGTAAAATCCCTCGCTCGTTGTTTGTTGCAACACTTGGATGTCGGCAACTGCCTATAAAGGGATGGGTGGGGCGGAAATAACCATATTGGGCTATACACCGCTCAGTAACTAAGAATGGCTAGGGCAAGGTGAAGACGGCCAATAATCTTGTCGCGGACGTAGAAGAAAAGACCTAAGTTAAGCATTAGTTGAATTTTCTAAAATGTACAAAATGCCAGCAGAACCACGCATATGTGGTAGCTGCGTGCAGTTTGCAAGGGAACAAGACGAGTTTTGAATGATATTTGTGATATTTTGTAACCTCATGCATCGTTCACCTTAATGCCAAGTTCCTAGTCCTACATTAAGTAATTCACCAATTACTTTCTCCCCTACTGGAGCTTTTCATATTTACTGTCAAAAAAAAGTAGTGTCTTTGAGAAAAGTAAATATCTTTCCAGAGTCAGGCTCAAAAGAAAAATAAGAAGCAAGTATTTGTTCTATAATGTACTGTTTAGCAGATTTTGACTTGCGAATAAGTATGCTTATGCAGCATTGAAATTCTGGATCAAATCATGGTCAAATCATAATCAAGTTCTATGAAATTCTGCCTAATACCGCCAAGATATTATGTTCGTTGATATGCATAAATTCATTCTGTCAAATGCTAGGCAAAAATTGGGGGGGGAGGGGGAAAGCCTACTTTTTGGTTGGTACAAAATTCAAACCAGGTCAGAATTGATAATTGTGCAGAAATTGTGGTCAACTATTCTTTCTTTCCATTAGAGGAAGCCAATGTACACCGTAGACAAGTGGACTTGGCAGATGGAGCGAGGTGAAATGTCTTTCACAACTTGGGGCGAGCCAGAGCGAGTCGCGCCTGTCTCGTTTAAGTTACCACATGCTCGGATCATCTTCGGTTTTTCGGCGAAACTGCGAAATCTTCTACCCAACCGGCAACTTTTTATTGTCAGGATTTTAGATAGCATCAACCACCTGCTATCGTCATTAAAAAATGGTCAGGCCAAGTAAGTGCTCGCTTCTTTTCGAACTTATACAAGTATCTGGATTGACAAAACGAAAATCAGAGCGCCAGTCGAAGCGGACACCGGTCCGTTTGCGCCACAAGATTGAGAAAGCGAGCGCAGCAAAACAACGGAAACAGCGAAAGGAAGCCAAAAATGTAATTGCCGTCTCACATACCAATCTGCATCAAACACTTTGGGCTTATAATACCTTTAGAACCCGCAATGGAGGTCGCGTCTCAAGAAAGACCCCGGAATCCCGAACTTGTTTCCATACAAGGATAAACTTCTTCACGACATTGAAGAAAAGAAAAGATTAAAAGAGGAGGAGATTGCCAGGAAACGAGAGGAGGCTAAAGCTCGCAGACAAGGCCTGGCTGAAAATGCTGAGGAAGTTGGAGAGGAAATGGATGATGAGCCTATGGCTGAAGAGGACGAGGCGTTCTCTGCGGACGAGATGATCGAGGATGACGATGTAAGGCAAATCTTACTGCTCTCATGTCATTTTGCTAATTTATTATCAAAAGGGCGATTCCAATCCAATGGCCGCGCTTCTTGCGTCTGCTAAAGCGCGTGCGGCTGAGTACGTGCAGGACCACGGCATCGATGATGCGAGTGAAATGGACGAAGACGAGGAAGCCGGATGGGATGGCCTCGGATATGATGACGATGGAGCACCGGTCATGTCAGCACCTGCGACAAGGAAAGATTCGTCACGCAGAGCATTTGACAAGGTATTCAAACAAGTTGTTGAGGCAGCTGACGTTGTGCTCTACGTTCTTGATGCACGCGATCCAGAGGGTACCCGATCAAAGGAAGTAGAACGCATGGTTATGGCTGCCGAAGGAGGAGAGAAACGCCTCATTCTCATCATGAACAAGATTGATCTTATTCCACCAAATGTACTGAAAGCATGGATGACCCATCTACGACGATATTTCCCAACGCTCCCTCTCCGCGCTTCGAATCCCGCACCTAATGCGCACACGTTCAATCACAAACAGCTTACTGTCAAAGGAACTTCGGAAGCCCTTTTCAAGGCCCTGAAGTCCTACTCCAACTCGAAGCAATTGAAACGTTCTATTTCAGTTGGCGTTATCGGATATCCCAATGTTGGAAAATCCTCGGTAATCAACGCCCTCACTTCGCGTTTGGGCGCAAGGGCGTCCGCGTGCCCAACAGGTGCTGAGGCAGGAGTCACAACCAGTCTGCGCGAAGTAAAGCTTGATAGCAAACTTAAGCTGCTCGACTCCCCTGGAATAGTGTTTCCATCCTCTACTGAAGCATCCAAGGCTTCGAAGGTCGATGAGCAGGCTCGCCTTGTGCTCTTGAACGCGGTGCCTCCAAAGCAGATTGAAGACCCTGTGCCAGCTGTCTCTTTGTTGCTTCGCAGGCTGTCTTCGTCGCAAGAACTTTTCCAGAAGCTCCTTGACGTGTATGGTTTACCTCCTTTGATGAGCTTTGGCGGCGACGTTACGACAGATTTCTTAACCCAAGTTGCGCGAAAACGGGGACGTCTCGGTAAAGGCGGGATTCCGAACTTGAACAGCGCTGCAACCACGGTGATCACCGACTGGAGAGATGGTAGAATTCAAGGATGGATCGAAGCACCCACCCTTCAAATGGTCGCTGCCCCTCCTGCCGGCTCGGAGATTAAGGAAGGTCAGGCTGATGAAGTCGTTCCTGACCAGAAGGAGATTGTCACTGAGTGGGCTAAAGAGTTTCAGCTTGAGGGACTGTGGGGCGATGGCGATGGTAATAGTGCAGAAGAGACGATGCAGTGATAAAATGCGAGATTCTACAAGATGCACTTTTTCGGGCGTTAGGCGTGGTGGGCAGAGGTCATCCGAACCGAACTGAAGGCTGATGTGAATAGCTAGGGCAAGACTAAACAGATTGTTTTATGACTAGATAATTGTTCGTCGAATGTATACCGCCAGGCAAATTAATGCTATACCTCTGGTCTCTCACGTGCCATTTCTTTTTGGGGGAAAAATGAAAATAAAAGCTCAAGCACTACTGATGACCACGCGGTTTTGCGAAGGCTACATCGCTGATTTGACAGAGCAAGGAAATCTTGAAATTGACGATCATCAAAAAAGAACTGGAAGGGTTTCGACTCAATAGTCGTAGTAATGTGCGCTTGAAAAAAAGGAAATTTATGGGGGGCTTTGAATTCTCAGTCATTCATAAATGCAGGAGCTAAGCCAGTATTTTTGCATTTTTGTGTAAATTTTATTTTTGATTTCTTTCTCCTATAACAAGGCACATCTGAGGATCTTCTCCCAAGCTCAGTCGACGGACATCAGATCTTAGAGGAGGTTGTGATAGGATGGTATCGGTTCGTAAAACAACAATGTCGGAAGGTATTTGGTTGTCTACGGTTATCCTCGCCAGTGTTTTGTTTCCCGCACGGGATCCACAATCGCGCAGATATCTCGCCCTCTCCCATCCGGTTGAACCCCCCGGCCCAGCACCGAGCTTATCCAAGGTTAGCCGATTGTTTGCTATCTGATCGCCCATCGGTCCGACGCAAGCCGAACTAGACTACAATTGCCTTGCATACGGAATACCTACTACTCGATGACAGATAAAGCTCGCCTGAAGCGGACGAGGCAGAGACGGCGTCACATATCAATTAAAAGGATTGGCACTGCTCGAAAAGAAGAACAATTATTGAGTCCCTAACTTTAAGACAGCTATTCAACTGCTTCTGCGACGGTCCTCATGGTTCTACCGAGATCGGCTCTTTCTGGCGGCCTTGGTCGCAGTGTGACTGCCTTGCAACAATATACCATTCGTTCAGCTGTTGGATGCAAGCCTCATGGTCATGCAGTTGCAACATTAGCTACTTTCAGTGTCCCCAACGTGTCCAACGAACCGAATGTTTGCTTTCTCCGACCCCAATCTCCGCATATTGTAACATCACGTTAATTGTGAAAATAGAAACATTATGCCAAAGGGTCGACCGAGCGAGAACAATTAGCCTCCGCAGTAAAATCCTTCAAGAGGAAAGCGCCGCTTGAGGTTCCCATTGTGGTTGGTGGTAAGGAGGTATGTAAGGCTTGTTTGAATATGTTACAAATAGCTCCTTGCTAAAGATGGCATGCAGGTGAACAATAAATCCGTCCTAACTCAGTTCAATCCTGCGTCTCATGCGGACGCAGTTGCAAAATATTCAAACGCCAGCGCCGAAGAAGTTTCCCAGGCTATCGACTCGGCTCTGAAAGCCAAGGCATCATGGGAGTCACTTCCTTTCGCCGATCGAGCTGCAGTCTTTCTGAAGGCCGCGGATTTGATATCTGGAAAATACCGCTATGAGCTCATGGCAGCGACGATGGTGGGCCAAGGAAAGAACGCCTTTCAGGCCGAAATTGATGCTGCAGCAGAGACATGTGACTTCTTAAGGTAGAATGAACTGCCCCGAGACTTTGCGCTTGTCATTGATCTGACGCATGACAGATTTAACGTAAAGTATGCCGAAGAGCTTTATGCTCAGCAACCTGTTCACAACTCGCCAGGTGTTTGGAAGTAAGGCAAAACTGCATTTCAATAACCCCATACAATCTGAACATAAATACTGACTGGAAGTTAGCCGTGTCGAGTATCGTGCTTTAGAGGGCTTTGTCTACGCAATTAGTCCTTTCAACTTCACCGCCATTGCTGCCAACCTTCCGGCCATTCCTGCTTTGTTGGGAAATGTTGTCCTTTGGAAGCCATCTCCATCAGCAATTGCATCGAACTGGTTGCTCTATCAGATTCTCCTTGAAGCTGGCCTGCCGCGTGACGTGGTGCAATTTGTTCCTGGGGATGCTGAAGAAGTCACGAAGGTCGTCCTCTCCCACCGTGAATTCGCGGCCTTACACTATACTGGTAGCACTGCTGTTTTCCGCTCTCTCTACGGGAAGATTGCGTCCAATGTTGCAGAAGGTAAGTATCAAGGGTATCCGCGCATCGTAGGCGAGACAGGCGGGAAGAACTTCCATTTGCTGCACCCCAGCGCCGACGTCGAGAATGCCGTTATTAACACGGTTCGCGGCGCTTTCGAATTTCAAGGCCAGAAGTGCAGTGCTACATCGCGTGCTTATGTCCCTGCTTCGCTCTGGCCCGCCGTCAAGTCGCGCCTTATTGAAGAGACAGAGAAGCTCAAGATTGGAGACTCCGAAGCGTTTGAAAATTTCATTGGCCCAGTCATCCACGAACCATCGTTTAAGAAGCTTTCGGGTGTCATTGATGCGGCCAAGGATGACAATGAGTTGGAGCTCCTTGTCGGCGGTAAATATGATGGCTCCAAGGGCTACTTCATTCATCCGACTATCTATGTCACGAGCAACCCTGCACATGCCCTGATGTCAAAGGAGCTTTTCGGCCCCATTCTTGTGGTCTATGTCTACGACGACTCCAGTAGCGAGTCTTTCGGTGATATCTGCCGCGTCATTGATGCTGCCACTGACTACGCTTTGACCGGCTCCATCTTTGCTCGCGACAGGCATGCCATCAGGTTCGCTGAGGAGGCTTTACGAAATTCAGCTGGCAATTTCTACGTGAATTGCAAGAGCACGGGTGCTGTTGTAGGCCAGCAGCCTTTCGGAGGCGCGCGTGCCAGTGGCACCAACGACAAAGCAGGCAGCCAAAACATTCTTGCACGATTCGTGAGCATGCGGTCCATCAAAGAAGACTTTATCGGCAGTTATGAAGTACCATACCCCAGCAATCAGATTTGAGATACTTATTTATTTTTGAAGCAAAGCGGGAGTTCTAAAAGGGTTTTGATATTTTAAGGGTCAACATTCTGGAATTGGTTCAATAGCAATTTCTTCCCCCTTCAAATCTTGCAATGAAATCATCTCATGTACCTATAACCTGGTCAAGTTGTTAGAGTCAAGGTCACAGTGACACGCGTTTGGGCCGGTGAATCTATTCTGTAGTCCCTCATTTACGCAAGTAAATCCCTATTTCTGCCCCTTTCCACCCTCTTTCTGACTTCTTGCCTACATTAGGTAGAGCTTAAAAATGAGTCGTTCAAACAGAAAAACTTTACAATAGGCAGTTAGCCCCTCGAATTATACACATGCCGCCCCCGGTCTTCCAACTCACCATCGAGTCGCCAAAGGAAATGACGAACCGTAAATGCGGTGGAATGCAAATATTGGATGCTCATCATAGGGAAGTGATTTATCTCCTTCGCATATACAGCGTTGCAATGCATAAATTTACTCTGGCTCCTATTCAAGATTATTTGTACTATAGAAGCTTCGTTTTTGCTATAGTATAAATACATTAGCACCTGCGTCTCTATTTGTCGGCGAACTGGGACCTCGTGTTCTGCAACAGGTCATACTCCAAAGCAAAGTTAAATGGTTCTAGCGAGCCTCTCAAATATCCATGCACTTTAAAATGCCTAGGAAAGGGCTATGACGTCCTCTCACCGAAATAAGCTCCTTTATTTGCTTTATCAAATCGACTATCTGCTCGACTTAGCCCAAATGGGTGCAAACTTATGCTGACTTAGTGAAGCAGAAATTCGTCTTAGTTAGAGTCGTCCTCAGAATCAACATGGAGATAACTTTTGTCCCATACTAGCGTTTGAGACATTGCTACGTTTAAGATCCAGTCTGCACTAACGATCCTTGGAGTGCTCCCCTGTTTACGAGCCAGATCCTCAAACCTATTCCAAAGCCGCTTCTCTTCCGGACTAGGGTCGCTTATAAGATAGGAATAAGCCAACTCGCCTTCGATGCCATTGGATTCAATTCCCTGCGCTGCTTTCCGCAAAGGGGCAGTTGCACCTGCTCTAGCACGGTATAGTTGGCAATGACCCCCATTCGCTTCGATAATATTCTTGTAAGTGCCGAATCCGCCATGTACATTTTCAGTGCAGTATATTGTTCGGCCCCTTAAAAGACCCCTTTTGTTGGACTTTGCGCGCGAAATTGCATCTTTTAGCTTGAAATCGAAGAGGCGCTCCTTCTCTGGATCGTTCAACAAGAAGGCTTCTGGAGATAGCAGCTCGCCGTTTTCTAGGCAATGGTCAACGAAGTCGGTAGAGATTACCGTAGGCCCGCTTGCTATCGAACAGATAAACTTTTGAGTTCGCAGAATTTGCGGGGCTGCAAGGTGTGTGCACGTAGCTGGATCCTGAATAATTAAAATACCTAAGTCTCGGAGGCGCCTCTTAAAGGCCATTAGTATGAATTTGAGGGAAAATCGACTGACTTCAAACTCACTCGATCCTCATCCTCCTTTCTAGGATGTTCCACCCATCTCTTGTACCCAGTAATGAGCAAGCGAATTGTGGCTGCTGGCCTGCCCTTCTTCGGTCGCTTTGGATCATGCTTTTCAGCATTTGTCATATCTGGTTCAAACTCGCTGCTTGCAGTTCTCTTCCTAGATGAATCCTGGTCGCTCATTCTTCTGCCTCCAAATATAACGCCTCCTTGCCTCCTTTTCTCCTTTTCGTATAGAGCGATATCAGGCGCGAGGTCGTGAAGTCGCGCCACAGCACGATCCTTCGCTCCTCGGCTGCCGACAGTTGAAGGCGTTTCGTTTTCTTTTCCTTCGCCGCCGGTACGGGGTGTTGACGGCGTCAAACCAGTGGCGGCCCTTGCACCCACTCTTCCGTTTCGCATTGGCGTTCCCGCGCGGATTGCCTCATCCTGAGACGACAGCGTATGCACTTTATCTGATGGAAAGGAGTGAGATTTGTCATCTGCATTCAGAGAATTCGAAGACTTCTTTTGCGTCTGGTGTTTTCCAGTTAAGACCTTCCCTGATTCATCCAGTAGGATCCTCTCCGGGCCTCCAGGGAAAAAAAAGTGCTCAATAGCATTCCGATCAATTTCAGTTTGGCCAATGACCTCCCCAAGGTTCGTTCTCGGAGGGAAGCATGTATACCGGGAGGTCGTTAAGCTCTGAACGCGCCATGCAGCATAACTTTCCTCGAGCCAAAGGTGATTAATGACAGGAATGTTCCACTCTCTCGCTGCTATGCATTTCTCGCTGACAGTATGAGCCGAGATGAGATGTGTGTTATCCTGATTGAGCGTCTTCGTGAACTCGCCACCTGCTGCTTTGATGAGGTTTTCGAGGTATATACGGGCCTCGCCATTATAGTTCGACAAGCTCACACGGTAGCCTTTGAAACCTGGCAGTCCAGTTTTGGCTAGCGGATAGTGAAGAAGCCTGCGCATTGGGGATGTCCAACTATTATGCGCTATGAGGTGATAGAGCCACGGAAGGTTGCCAACGTCTTTGCCAGCCCGGGAAGCGATCACATAGTCTTTCCCCTCTCGGTAATGACAGACAAGAATATCGGCATTGTAGATGCTTCCAGTAACCAAGCCGCCACCTCGAGTAATCAGATCTTCAATTGTCCCTCGAAGGTGGCCTCCAATACCCAGGTCCTGTGATAGCATTACCTTCTTTCCTTGGAACACTGTTAACTCGCGACGCTGGACACCAACCGAGCCCGTCGGAGTTGGCAGACGTCCGGCATGAGGTGAGGAAGCACCATAGATATCTGTATTTTCTAAAATTCGCACAGGCTCCTCCGGACCTTTCAGGAGAACCTCGGGATTAGGAAGCATGTATGGCCGCTCGTCAATTCTTCGACCGAGTTTAAGACAATCATCGAACCTGTCCACAAGTAAGCATTCAAATAGAGAAAGTGCTGTTGGGACTCTGGCTACCAGTGTGGCAAAACCGTCTTGCATTTGAGGCGTTTGGCTTGAGCTATCCGACATTTATCGTTGTTTTCCGTTAAAGCTACGATATGGGTGACCAGTTTGGTGACTTGATTCGAATATAGGCCTCCTGTAGCCAGGACGCCGCCTATTATAGCATCTTTATCACCTGTAGGAATATCCGCACAGCAGATTGTAACCCCTGAGAGAAAAAGACGGGGATCAGGGCTGTATTGCCTAGGATTCGAGAGTTTCTTCTTAGCTAGGCAGGCGTGAACCCACTCTGGTTTGACCACGGAAATTAGGCGATCAATCGCGGCAAAATATTCTGGAAAATCGGAGGTCGAGGAGATGATATGTGTTATGTGCTCAAGCCGCATTTGTTCTCCGATTTGAAAAGGCGAAGTGCAAATCCCGCCATTCTGCTCCATTGTTCGTCTGAGCTAGCAGAAAAGTCAGCCTAGAAATTTGGCCAAGGGAACAGATTCAAGACCTCGTCCATCCAACCCGCATTGGAGCCGTGGTCATATACGATCCCAAATCGAACTTGTGCAAAGATCCCTTCTGGCTTCCCTTCCACGGGCACCAAACCTTTTATACTCTCGTCTGCCATGGTGTGTCATATGTGAAGTAGCAAGAGTCGATGGGCCTTGGACAACGTGGGCCACAAGATTGTATGTTGCGGAGTGTTGCGGAGAATTGTTGAAGAGTCAACTCTAAATCATTGCAGTATGCGACTTTGTAAGTTTGATTAACTTGATTCACCCTTGTATAGCCGGTGTCGTTATCCTTACTTGCTTAGTGAGTGGACCATGTCCATGCAACGCGAACAGAGAGCGAAGGTGTTCGCGTCACTATACGGGACGCGTCTTGCCTACATTTGGGTGCTCAGCTTCGCCTCGCCTATGTTAAGTGCAATCAAAATTCCGCTTTGGGAAAGCGAATTCTCAGAAGTAAGTTTATATAAACAGAACTCTTTAGGCAGCAGAAATCTCGCGGGAGGAGAGAAACTCTACCAAAAATGGCTCTTCGGTTTTGAGGGGATGCTTCTGAGTTGTCTGATTTCAAGATTACGCTGGAAGGTGTGATTCGCCCATTCAATGACTGTGTAGAACCTATTCAGGGAACTGTACAGACACGGTTCTGTGGCATGCTGGTGTCTGCCGCAGACCTCGGCTATAGCACTTTGGAAGTGTGTATGTGTGGCATTGTGAGTATCCCTGGTATCCACCTATATAAAATAGAGATGAAATTGATAAATATTTCTCATAATCAGCGAAGAGCCAGTTAATAAGCTTGAATGGAACTTCGAGGCGACCATCTCTCTGTATCTTCTGAACTCCAACGTTTCTCGACCACGGTGTTTGGTCAAGGCTCATCTTAAACGTACTTGTTTGCCCGCCATTTTCCTTCCAGCCATGTCCTCATCTTCATTCGTTGTTCATAAGCATGAAGTCCCATGTCAGCATATCAGGGAGTATCCGCGTGCCACCTCAAATGCTCAGGAAGATATGCTGCACTTGGTGGTAAAGCAATACTGCCCTCGCAATAATTTGTCCCCCAAACCTGGCGATGTCACCATCCTTGCTGCGCACGGAAATGGCTTTCCAAAGGTGCCTACTTAACAGATTTCTTCACTTTACATTATTCACCATATTCTCCACCCTCTTCGCCGCCATATTTTGTTTCAGTAATGCTAGTTATTAAGGCTACTCTTAGGAACTTTTTGAGCCTATGTGGGATGAACTTCTCCATAAATCAAGCGACAATGGCTTCAACATAAGGGGCATTTGGATAGCCGATGTCTCTAATCAAGGCGAGAGCGGAATCTTGAACGAGGATAAAATAGGAGATGATAGTAAGACTGCGGCCTGACAAAGCTAGCCAGGGCCAGCGTCCTTGATATTCTAACTTTGCCAGCTTCGTGGGATGATCATTCTCGTGATCTTCTTCATATGATAAACCTCTTCCGTGATCAAATGCCGCGGCCTTTGATTGGAATAGGTCATAGTATGGGTGCTTGTCAACTGTATCAGATATGCTTCTTGATATTTGGAGATCGGGCTAATGTGTTTCCAGCGGACGTCTCTCTCTACTTCACCCACGACTACTCTCAAGCTTGATCCTGCTAGATCCAACCATATTGCCTCCGCATGGTTTCCCTCAAAGTGCGACGATCGCTCTTGCTCAAGCATCCACTTTTCGTCGTGACCTGTGGCCGTCCCATGAAGACGCGGCTGCTGCAATTGCAAAAAATCGATTCTTTCAGCAATGGGACGCCAGAGTATTGAAATTGTTTTTGGAGCATGGATTGCGAGAACTTCCCACGAAATTATATCCACACGATTCCTCGGCTCTAGGGCGCACACCGGTGACCCTGACGACCACCAAACATCAGGAATCCTTTACTTATCTCCGTCCTCAATTTTCAGATTCCCGAGATTCTAGCCCTTCTACTCGACTGATGAAACATAATAGACATGGTTTATATCGGCCAGAGCCACTTTATATGTACGAAAATCTCCCATTCCTTCGTCCAAGTGTGCTTTTTGTCTTCGGCGGAAAGTCGGTCATGTCTTCCCCAAAATCTCGCGCCGAGATGATGGAACTCACAGGCACCGGTTTAGAAGGAAGCGGCGGGGCGAAAAAGGGTAAGGTTGAGAATATTGTCCTAGAGAATTTTGGTCATCTCCTTCCAATGGAAGCCGTGGAAAGCTGCGCAGAAATATCATATAAGTGGATAAACAAAGAGCTACGCCAATGGAGAGAACAGGAGGAAGAGTTCGGAAGAATGTGGTATTCTAAAGTAAAGGGGGAGAAATCGTCGATAAGTTCTGAGTGGATAAAGGTGATTGGGAGACTGCCACCTAAGTCTGGAATTGATATTGCTAAGCTATGATCTTCAAATTTGCGGTATCTCACTAATCCATGATGGTGCATCACATTCCGTACACAGTATCGGTCCCTGTCATTGCAAGTTCCGTTCAACACTTCGTCTTGGGGTAGACTTCTGTATTTGTAATCAGATCGCAACGCAGTCAATCATTTGGATTTTTCCTTCTTAGTGATAGTACCATCATGGAAGGCCGGCTCGTGCTCCCTTCGAAGTATTTCCGGAAGAACGTACAGACGGGGCCAGTACATCATATACTCTTCCTGTCGACCATTGAGGCAGTGTCGTAGCCAGATGCCCCAAACAATGTAGAAGTAGGCCCCGATGCCAGTCATAAGATGCCTACCATTCAATAAGTATCATGATCAAGCAAGGAGTGGGCGTGACCTACCACCATCCATGGCCTTCCAAAAGAATGCCCCAAGGGAGACCAATCTGTCTCCTCCACCTTCTTAAGCTGGAACAATATTCATTATCTAATGTCCAGATCGCAAATCCTCCCAGAAATATGGAGAGACCAGAAGCAATCATGGTCCACATATCCTTCAGGATCACTTCGTCCCTGCGATCCTTTCTATCCTGTTCCTGAATTGTCTCACGACTGAGCGAGCCTTCAATTTCTTCTTTTTTATGATTTGCCTCCCTTCGACGTAGTGAGGGTCGGATGCTAATCTCCATGACGTACATACTTCGCAGGAGGACTACTGCCGTGAGAATGGCGTATGCATTCTGATGAAACGCTGGATCCTGAAGGTAGTGATAGTACAATGTGATGAAAAGAGCAAGTGAAACAAGGGCAATGGCGAGAATAAAGGCGTATAAACGAGTCTTTGCGTAGGAAAAAGTCGCATAGCACATCAGGCACGTCGTATATATCATCGAGAGCTCATCAACAAGTTGCATTGGGTCTGTATCCGCGCGAAAGTGAGAGTCAGTGTCTGCTCCCAGCCCTTAGTAGTGTAGACTGGCCAAGTGACGTACATTTCAAGGTGGCGTGGAAAAGAAAGCTGCCGGCACCCACTAACAAATAACCTACGAAGGTTACCAGAAAGATGCTGTCATGTCCTTGAGTCCAACAGTTCGAGATCCCTTTATATGCTAGGTAGAGAAATAGAAGATTCGTAAGGGTATTAATAACTTCTGCAGCGTAAATGGTGGCATAATAATCCTGCAGCTCTGGTTATCTTCCGCCCGGGCTAGAAAGGACGGTCAACATACCTCTTCGCACCAATTGATTGTTGATGTCACCGGATGCCAGTATCCGCGGCTCGAGGGAGGATACGGTAGTGAAGGTAGCCATGAGGGCATTTTCCAGAGGCTTCGAGCTGTGGATCAAATCGAGTGATTCAGAAATTGCCTAGCGGATATAAATAACCGTTATATATCCGAACGCGAGGATATCGGGATAAGACCACAGCGCGAGTATTGCACTTTTGAAGAATGAAGGAGGAGCACACTTCGAGATGCATGCGACACCAGAAAGGGGCCCCGCCACAATCAGTACGCTGGATGCAGCGGAGTGGAAGCTTTTATGCTTGGCCAGAGCTTAAAGGCCGTTTCTTTTAAAGGGTTCCTGAGTGGGCGGCCTGGCGGATGACGGCACGGCTGTTTCGCCTGGGCCACCTGGATCGGAGCTTAGATCAACTAAGTTAACTCTCGGCTTTTCCGACGCCTATGTTAATACTCAGTATTCCTTGATCCCCCTGTCCAAAGGCTCGGGATATCGCTGTACAGTAATATTAACTCATATTCCGCACTTGGCTGTTTTTACGGGATCCGCCAATTTGCCTTCCGCAGAAAAATATTTCATCTGGGAGGTTGGTCACCCGCTCTGTTTTGCAGCATCATGTTTTCAATATTCTGCCCCTACCATCAGGCCTGTCCCTGGCCAACATTGCTACAAGTCCTCAACAATCACTTACATAGCAGAGCATTTAACGCTAACTTGGAGCTTAGTCCTCGAAAGTCGTGCATAGACATTCTACCTAGACGTTCGGAATTCCTCTCTTTTCAATCCTTCTTTTTATGCGGTTATCAGCAACTACCACAAAAGAATTGATCTTCCGTGCCACAACCACATTCGGACCACTTTTGTGATTACATTATGTCAATTCCGCCGGAAGCTTTACAAAAGGCAGGTTGAGATCCTTGCGCCGTACCATTTTTCTGTCGGCCGAAGCGGACTGACGTGATGTGGTGCTTCACAGTTGGCTCAGGAAATTGAAACGCGGGCTGTTGTTTCGCAACAACAGATCGGCATTGTCCGAACCCAGATTGCTGCCAAGCAAAGGGATGTGCGGCTACAAGAGCTTACGGCGAATGAAGCAACCACACTGCCTAAGGATACAAAGGTTTATGAAGGGGTTGGCAAAATGTATGCAATTACACTCAATTCTAGAAACGATTTTCTAAAGAGCATCTACAGGTTCGTACTTACCCCGTTAGAGAATGTGAAGGATCGACTGGCGGCAGAGAAGGAGGAGTTGAAATCCGATATCAACAACCTGGAAAAGAAGCTCCAGTATTTGGAGACAACACACAAAAACAGTCGAGATCATATTGAGCATATGTTGAAAGCAACCGGTCGATCCTAACCAGACGAAGGTTTGGGCTGTTGCCGACTCTTTTTAGAGCCGTAATTTTCTCTATTCCAACATCTGTCTATTTATATCATTTCTTTCCGTTTTTCCTTTTCAGCTAGCGTGCTTTTCTTAACCAAACTTTCTGGGATTCTCGAAAATGCATGAATCAAGAAATGATCGAAACTTATACTACTACCTGATGGGAATGGCTCATCATTTTGGCGCAGTGGATAGACTACGACATGAAAAAGAAAAAGCAGATACGGACTTCACTTATAAGATGATATCACTGAAGATAAAAATACTTTCCGAATTAAAGCTCCATCGATGTTTTGTCACCTACCTAAGTGAATTGGGTTGAATATGTTCGCTTCCCTGGCTTTCTCTTCCTAATCAGACCCCATCTTATGTTTGCCCCGTCCAAAGGAACGATAGTAAAGGTATGTACCATTCATGGGCTTCTTGTAGAGGCACTGGGATACCTTAGGTAGCTTTCTCGAATCTTCATCGGCAAAACTTGTCCGGATGTCACACGCGTAAGATCTCTTCTTTTCCATGGTATTAACCCAAATATGGTAATCTGAAATCTGGCACCTGCGTTACTATGATAACGATCGATTGATGATGGAAAATTTCAAGTTAAAGACTTGAAACTTGGGAAAGCTTTGGGGATGGTATCCAGGGAACAGTAGTACTGCTGCTGGCAAGACCCCCCCCCCAGAGTAACGGTTTCACCGTCTGAGGCGTCTGGGTCTTTTTGGGTTTGGCGTTGGTGCAATTGTGCACCATGCGACACTAATAGTCCTCTATGAACAAACTCATTTGATAGCAGCGAACGACTGCCCGAAACACCAGAGCAAAGTCAGTTTATCAATAAAACACTAAATACGCTAGCTTTGAGATAGCGAAACGGAGGAATTATATAAGTCGTTTGCACGGTCAATTAGATACCATAAAGATGTACGACTGCAGACAGATAAACCCCTTGGGGTGACGGACATTAACTGCCAAAGAAGTCAGGGCTGGAGGCAGGCTGAGAATCAGGCCTCGACGTCTTGGGTCTAGTCAGGCGTCAGTCATTTTCCAAGTAGATCCCAAACCACCCAATGACACTGAGGGTGCGCATCGTTATTGCTTGATTGTCCCACTATCAAGCCGCAATCATTGGATACGTCCGTGCCGCATGGGGATGCATGACCAGCGCAACAGGGGTGTGACCGCGGGGACTTCCCTTTCACTACTGCGCACGCTCCATTAGGCGGCATGACTTGGGTCTTCTCTGCGAAATGTAGGATCTGGCGCGATGGCGGGCGGCTATATTACTCCCACGCATGCTCGTGCTTACATACTGCTTTAAAAAGAGGCTTTCCTCTAACGACCCGTTTACATTTAATCTATTTCCTTTCCGGTTGAATGCTATCGCTCATTACTACAGGCTCCGTGTTGATCTGTTAGCAACCTTCATTTTCTCTTTCTTCTTGTTCGCGGAACCGCATATTCCTTTAGTCTGCTATTATCTCGTCTTCTATCTGCGACCCACGGCCATGGATATCAGAGGGGGGTATGACTATGTTGAAGGACCCCGCGGCGGCCCTCCGGTTCGCAACCATTCGCGGCTTCGCAGCGAACATTACAACCGCGAACCCGCGTATTACTATACTGGACCGTCCGGCCCGCTTCTGACCCCTGGCATTACTAACATGCGCCGCTCAAGCTCAATTGGCCGTGGTCCTGCGCCGCCGACTCAGGTCATCATAAATAATACCCAGAGAGAGGAATCTCCCCGGCGAGCACGGTCACGGGGCAGGCCTCGCAGTGCTTTTGGGCCAGACTTTGATTTTGATGACGATGACTGGGATGAGCGCGCGCATAGCCCTGTTCGCTGGCGGGAGCATTCTCGGTCACGTTCCCGTATGAGAATACAATACCCTGGCTCGCGTGATCCATCCCCGCTCTATTGGGAATATCAGCAGGCCAAGAAGGAGCTCGATGAAATCAAGAAAAAGGAAGAAGAGGAAGCGAAGGAGAAAAGGATTAAGGATGAATTGCTATTACAGCAAGCCAAGGAAGAAAAGGCGCGAAAAGAAGCAGCCGAGAAGGAAGATGCGGTCAAGAAAAAGGCCATTGAAGAATTCAAGGAAAGGCAAAAGGAGCAGCAGGAGAAGGAGAAAGCTGCAAAAGCAAGCGCGGAGAAAGAATATCTGGAACGTGTCCGCAAAGACTTGACAAACTTTGGAGTGTCTGACGATCAAATTACTGCCATTGTTAACCACGACAAACGGCCTGCTCTTGTAGATTTGTCCAAGCAAACTTGGGTGAAAGTCCATCGGGCGCATCTTTTAGTGGAGACATTGGACTATTACCAATTGCCATGGGAATATGATGCAGTAAGTCTTAGTATACTCATACTGCTGGTGCCCCATGCTGAATCAATTTTTCTAGTTCAATCCAGATTACATCGTGATCAAACAGTGGGTCCCAGAGCATGAGCAAGAAGTCTTGTTTGACCACACGCGGAGACTTAGGGAAGAAAAGGAAATATTGGAAATACATAAAACCCATATTCAGGAAATCCGGACTACCCCCAAGCCTGTGGTCGTGAAGAAAAAGGCCCCAGTCAGAGTTAGCTTTTTCGATGTTTTCAGGTAGGTATCAATTATTCCCCTGCTAGAGCATTTACATTGCGACATGCTCATGGCCTTTCGATATTGCCTTGCTTAAGTATCAGTCGTGCTATCAATCTTTGAAGTCACATTTTTTTCCAGTCAAATTCTACGCAGATGCACCTCATGTTGCAGTTGAATTAGCATTGCCATTTTATCAGACACGCTTTCTTTGCCTCGATGCAATAGGGGTGGGTGGACCATCGAGGACATGGTTCGCTAGAGTTACTTTCAGGTAATTTCAAAGCCATGAATAGTAGAACAAACGATTCCAAGTTTCCTAGAGTGAAGAGAACCTTGAAATTAGGACTGAATCTAATCTGAAAAGACTTTCTAGTCAAATATTTACATCTGCCAAAATTTTTTCATTTAGGAAAAGACAAGTATAAGGCGCTTCCTGGGCCCGGTTTCGGCATCCTTCCTTTTTCAGGAACGTAAGATTGTGGAACGTTGAGCTCAAAGAACATGTTCCTTGGGCTCACGCCATTTTTTACCACCTTGTCGAACCAATTCCTCATATAGAGTCCAAGCTAGTGCTGAGCTGAGAGCTTTTCTGGTCATTCTTAACCCTAATCCATCTAATAAGCTCCTGAAACCTTCCTGTCCGATCATCTTTTTTCCCGCCTTGAGCATGTTGGTGTATTCCTCGGGCATCAATTGTATTCTCGTTTTGATAGCATCGAAAGGATTTGTGATAGTAGTCGCCAGTGCAGCTGCAATGATGCCAGATAGAAAGTTGATGGAGGCAGAGGTGCTTCCCCGCATCCCATCAGCCCCGAGAGCCTGTGACTGATTCGCGGCAACCGATGGTTGAACAAAGAGGCTCAAACGCCGTTTACACTGCTCGTAGAAGAGAACATATAAACCCGCATACGGCGCATCTCTAATGGCCGTAGCACCAAATCCCGAAAAGAAACCTCTTGGTCCCTCTTTGGTAATTATGTCGGAACCGGCGGCCCAAAGAGAGCGGTACGCATAGAGATTACTCTCATACCGAACTTTGATAACCGTGATTGGCATCATAAGAAATCCAGCTGATGTCCTAGCAATAGCTCCAACAGATAAGTTTGCAAGATTGGACAATTTCGGAAGCGATGAAGAATGCCGAAGTACGGAAGGGTTTGCATCGCGATCGGAGCGCGGTGGTGGAAGCTTTGAGTGGGAAAATCCTTGTCTAAGAGCATTCAGAGTTGTAAAGTAAACAGCTGAACCGAAACCAGTGCGTAACGCAGAAGGTATTGTGCCCCGCCACAACTGTTGCAGAGGTTGAGGGCCCTTCGATATTTCCTGAAGAGTAGCGATTAAAGATGCTGAGCGAGATTGCTGAACCCGGGTCTTCAAAAGATCGGCAGGCTGAAGTAACACTGCCGAGAGTAGACCAGAGCCTAGGCCGGCAACAAAGTGAAAGGCTAGAAAGCGTCAGTCTATTGAAACAGGAGATCTTTGAGGCAGGAGCTTACAGGAGGACGGCGAACGAGCATGGTCGCCATCGGACATCTCTTCCTCTCCAACTTTGCTGTTGTTCTGTGATTAATTTGCCAGATCCTGTATGTTAAAACATCTCGCGCGCCATTGAAATGGCCCGCATGAGAAGAAGTGTATGGTTTGAATGGAATATATTTGTGGTAAAATATTCGAGCGCTTATCCATTATCCTTTGGAGAGGTACTGTACTGTACGGAGTACTGTGCTGTACTACTAGGCGGGAATTTACAGTGAAGTCTATGACGCATGCGTGGACGGGAATGAGCGAGACCAGCTAGGGCGAGCAGCCAAGAAAAACAGAGTTCAAGAAACATTCAGCATTATCAGATTGATTCATTATATCTAATTGGGGCCGTTTCAAATGCATATTCTTAGGAGTACATTGCTTTTTTCCGTGGGTATCGAGATCAGATACGTACCGTATATACTTCCAGGCGGGAAGGATTTTGTATCTATCTGCTCCAGAACCGCGAACTGTAAAGATCGTCCAACTTAGCCCGCGAATTGACGAGAGGGTGATGGGCAGGTACAGTATGGGGAAAGGGTGGCAGATAACGAGGGCGGTGCTCAACCATTCTGTCATCCTCCCGAACCAGTTTCGAGCGATAAGATAGTCGCGAAATACCGTCGAACAAAGGAACTGAGTCAACATCCTTAGAAATCCCTCCAGCTAACCAAGCTCTGATTCTCAGCCTTGAATGAGACAACTACTGGGGAAAATGACTCTCGCGGTATGCCTCGTATCATCATTGCTCTGCCGTGGAGCTATGCTTACGTCTTAGCGAAGGCAGTTGGCCAGATTTGTTCGACTGATAGCATGGTACATAACCTGGCACAATGCAGGATTCTCATTCAAAAAGCCGCGGCTACCGGAGCACAGGTTAGTGATCCCAAAGAAAACGGTGAACGGAGCTGTGGCCAACGTTTTGAGGAGGTAGGCCTTATTCTTGCCCGAGGCTAGTGATTATATTGCCTCCTCACCCTCGGAGACAATTTCCCTCGCTCGCTCTGTCTCTGAAAGCGAATTCGTCCGTGGTATCCAAGATGAAGTTCGCAAATTCAAGCTGCCTGTCCACGTGGGAATCCATGAGCCAGCGCAGGATGAAAAGGTCAAAAATACTCTTATCTGGATTGATGAAGGAGGTCGAATTCAGCACCGTTATCAAAAGATACATCTGTTTGACGTAGATATCAAAGGTGGCCCGGTGCTCAAAGAAAGCAGGTATTATCTTCGATAGTTGATGCAGTTCTTACTGGTGCAGCTAACCAGCATCCTCATTCTATTAGGAGTGTCGAAAAAGGTATGAGCATGCCATTGCCATTTCATACTCCGGTCGGCCGTGTCGGCCCCACGATTTGTTTTGACGTGAGTCTTTGATGGAATAAGAATAATACAGATTGTAATGTTCATGGGGCAGTTACGTTTTCCGGAAATCGGTCTCGCACTAAGACGAAAAAATGCCGAAATCATCACGTTTCCCTCAGCATTTACCATTCCAACTGGTCAAGCGCATTGGGAAATACTTATTAGAGCACGCGCAATAGAAACACAGTCGTATGTCATTGCGGCAGCGCAAGTCGGACCACATAATGAGAAGAGGAGCAGTTACGGGCATTCGATGATAGTTAGCCCGTGGGGTGAGATCCTCGCGGAGCTTGATAAAGTGGGAGGCGAGCCTCAGATTGCAACTGCCAATATCGATCTTGGTCTCCTTCATAAGGTCAGAAGTGAAATGCCGCTATTGCGGAGAAAGTAGGTTCTTCACCTCATTCGGCATTGAAGCCCCTGAAGCTGATCCGTACAATTCGTAGTGATTTATACGCTGAAGTCTAAGAGTTATTCTGCGAACATTACTAGGTCACGTTTCCCTGTCTTTTTCGATGACCTTGAAGGAAACAGAATACCCTCTGGTTTCACGGGAATGGAGATCATGATTCTATGAATTAGATGGAGTCGAACTAGAAAGCTTCCCGTGAGAATTGAGTCCTGCTCTTTCTGACAGTAAATTCCTATTAATGTGGTAGCTCACATGTAAAGTCTTCATTGCTTGCCGATTGTTACACATGGTAAATAGATCTGAAATTGGACAAAATCTGCATCCGTGCGGGAAGAAATAGATATTGCTTTGAAATTTTTATTCTGCATTGTTTGAATTGTGTTTACTCCAGTAGTGAGTGTGGGCGCTGCTCGGAACAATTGTCTCCAGGGTCCGCTCTCCTCGCAGACGTTCTGCCAAAACCGTAGTAGGGGAAACGTCATTTAGAAAGCGAGCTCGCTTCTGGCTCTTCTGGTGCGACTTCGGACTAGCTAAGTTTACATCTAACTTACCTCTACCCTTCGCCCTTTTAAATCTCTCCTGCCATTGAGTTGTACGAAGGTGCTGGTCATCAACATAGAGACATTGACCTGATACAGAAAGGAAAATGTCTTTCCTCCCAGGCCTCAAAAATGGCGAGGTCATCGACTTCAGCCAGAGGAGCTTGATAGGTAAAATAAGCAGTTAAGCCTCAAACCTCTTTCGAGTACGGAAGTTAACCAAGGCCGATCCAGTGGCCGCTGCTTCAATCGCGTTCAATCCAATTTTCTGGAAGTTAGTTAAAATCTCAATCCAATTGATGCTGTGGCTGACCTCTTCTCAGTACTGTCGCTCGCCAAGGTACCATGATCTCATCGCCGTCTACGACGCACTGGTCGGTCAAATACTGATTTGCGCTCTGCGCAGAATATCATAGCAAAGTCCTCACCAAATTGTTCAGAGGAAATTCAAAGCTGGGTTGCTATGCGTTAGCAATCACCATTTTCCTTCTCGGGATTTTTAGAGACTCTTTGTATGTGGTACCGAGGACTTGCGAAATGTTGATTGCCAAAATGAAGCTTCACAATGTTGACAACCTTTAGATATGAACGAGCATTGAGAGACCAGCCAACCCACCCCTTCTTCACAGGAGCAGTGTCAAACTTTGCTGCAATAGTCTTGTTCATTGCAGGAAACGTCCTTGTCTTGAGTAGCATGTGGGCATTAGGTGTCACAGGCACATATCTCGGCGATTATTTCGGTATTCTCATGGACCAACGTGTGACTTCTTTCCCTTTCAATGTCACCGATGCGCCTATGTATTATGGCTCTACACTATCATTCTTGGGAACCGCATTGTGGTTTGGCAAGCCAGCAGGGTTACTGCTTACAGTCGAAGTTCTCGCGGTTTACCTTATTGCCCTGAGATTTGAGGAGTAGGTTCTTTACTCAATAAATTATGCACCTTTTACATGCTGACATTCCACAGTCCATTCACGGCCGAAATATATGTCAGAAGAGAGCATGAACAAAAGGCAGCAAAGAAGGCCACGTAGTGGGCAAAATTCGTCATATATACTCAATATAACCAACTTCTGCATCAACATAAATTAGAAGCTTATTATTCAACATAATCCACGTATCTCCAAAATTTTAGAATAGATCAGGGCAGTCCGCAAGTCTTTAGATATTTTGCATTAGATTCACCATGAATTTTTACGTCAGACAATTATTCATAACGCCAAACATACCAGCATGCCTAATTACTCCCTATTATGAAGTTCCCCAGCAAGATGCTCTAGCACAAACGGGCCCTGCGCCTCTAATGTTGAGAGCCACCTCCAACGACTCGCCACTTAGGCCCTTCGGCCTCTCGTTTTCTTTCCTTGATTGGCAGAGTCATCGTCATCTTCCCCATGACCTTTTTTCAAATCATCCTCTAAATCCCATTCTTCCTTGTCGTACCAGTCCTCTCCATCACTCATTTCTCCTACGTGAGCTTCCGCCTTTGACCAGCTCAATACCAGTTTTCTCATCCGATCAGCTCGTAAAAGTCCGCTGTAGAGCTTTTCTGCTCCCCTGCAAATTTCTTCTTGTTTCTGAACGTAGAGGAGTAACAAACGTCGGGTATCTTCTGCTTCGCCAGGCGGCAAGCCAAAATCTCGATCAGGGAGAGCATCGGGGGCAACAATGAATAATGGATGTATAAATGAAGAGGGAGCTGGCGACGACGAGAGAGACAGCGCCGGCGTTGACGGATTTTTCTCTGAAGCCGCTTGAGCCTGCGCCCGGGTTGTCATTCTATGTAGCGCAGGTTGGGAATCTGCATCCACCTCCATTTCATCCTCGCTGATCGCAGCAGAAACCTCCTTCTCACGATTATTATCGAGTTCACCTTTCAAGGACTCGTTTGTTCCCTCATGCCCGGCTAGTAGATCCGTTTCAGGCTTTTGTGCAAAGTCTTTGTGGGAGGGTTCTGGATCAGCTGAGTGCGATTTATTGTCCTCAGCACTGAGATCTGAAGGCTTTTCGGCATTTATCTGCCTTTGTGACAAGTGCTCACTGGATGAACATGAAATGAGTTCCTTTGCTGCCTCTTTCGAGCTAGATTCGTTATTTCCGGGCATCTGAAGCCCGCCATGTTCTTCAGCTTGCTCCGTCTTAGATGTACCATATGCTTGATCGGAACCGCCGTTCCAGCCTGCGAAAGATGTGACTTTATCTCCCAGAGATTCTTCCAGCGAACTAGCTTTCGAGTGTGAGTTTTCCCCAGGAGCAGTCATTCCATCGATCCCGTGAGATGGATCACCGATAATGCTTCGCTCAGCACCATGTAGGGCTCCTGATTGACTGTTGAGTGTCCCAATTGGAAGCTCCTCAGAAGCCATTTGACTGCTAACTTCACCTTTGGTTTGCTCAATTTTGAGCGATGAACCGAATAGTGAGAAGTCATTGTCAGCTTGAAGATTGCCGCAAGGTATCCAGGTCTCATCCCCTCTAAACTTAGTCATTATCTGCTGGATCCTTGCCAATGAAGCGTTTTCCTTGTGAAATATCTGGCACGCTTCCTGTGCCAATTCCGTCAGAGTGTTGGACAAATAGGGTATCGAAAGCGAAGGATGATGTGGTAAATCTGCTGCGGACGTCAAAGGTGCTAGAAGGTCTGATAGGCAGAACGCATTAGTTAAATCATTGATTTGTTCGGCTTGGGCCATTTTTGGCGTACATTCGAGCCTGATGTCACTGTATGGATTCTCCTCCGCCGCATTGGCGTCCGCTTGCTCATCGACGTCGTCATCGTCTAGCTCATCACCGTCCTCGTCAAAGCGAGGAGGATTGCGGTTTATTATATACCGCTCATAACCTGCGTGCTCGATTTTCTTGTTCAAAGACCTGTTAGCAGATAGGATCTTTGCCTCGTAGTTCTGGGAGTGGAACATATGCTAATAAATCCAGTATGATATGGAGGCAAGCTTACTCGTCGGTACACCCTAGGTCCATTCGGCAAACTCAATTGCCCTTCATGAACATATCTTGCTTTGCGCTTGAGCTTATTGCCTCGATTGGTAGGCTGATGGACTGAATCGTCGGAGTCAGACGCTAAAGGAGGTTAATCAAGCTGATAAAGACTTAAAATGGCATTATCTTTTGCTTCAAATCTTACCATCGTCGCCCCTGGCCACAGCTTTCTTCATACCCGCAATGGTCTCAGCAATGAGTACCGCCTGTGCTGCCATCGCTGCAACTATTGTCTTCGTTTCTAATTGGTAAAGGCTTCTCGGCGATGCTCTCGAATCCGATTCCTCTTGTTGCCGTATAAGTGATGAGCACCGCCGGACTTGAAATCGATATTCCCTTCTGAAAATATAACGTGCACTCTTACCTCTCAGTAAGAAAGGTAGGCACGGTTGAAGCTGTCGGGTCCTAAGGAAGCAATGGTGCCAATATCGACAAATCGGCCAGCCAACGGTATCTACCCAAAGTGCGACAAGTAGAGGCTCTCCAGTCCGCGGTAGCCAACCGATAGAAGGACCTTGTACGCGTTAGGCCGATATGGGAGCTGTATTTATGAATTTAAATGGACCGTTGCATACGCCAACGACACCTTCACGCATGTTCTGAGCATTAGCCTTCCGCATCCCTCTTTATGAAGATGCTGGGTGTCTACAGACTACGGAGTATATAGGGCCGACCGGTCCCACGTCGGTTCCGTTCACCATGCTCCATGCGCATCTGGCTCGCTGTCCAATGCGGTCAAGTACTCAGTACCTTACCTGCCTTACCTGGCTAACTTGCCCAACCTCTTCTCATGATTACCTAGCGCCGTGCACAGCTTGGGGACCGAGCGACGGTGTCGGCCGAGCACAATTACAACTAGTCTGATACGGTAGGCTGCTCTGGATCATTGCGCAAAACATTGGGATATCCTCGATATCCAATCCATAATTCTGAGGAGACACAGAATGAGGATCACTCCTGAACATTTTCTTCGCGCCGTTCCTTGATTCGTTATTCGCTCTCAAATATACAGTTAACACGTACATAATGCTCCGCAACCATTGCTAGAAAAGATACTCTCTCTCCTCGGGTGATGAGCTTGCGTAAATAGACCGCGCAGCTGCCATTTCGAGTGTCATGGATGCATATCCAGGCGATTATGTCGCCCATAATGTCCCATTCGTCATACTGTCTGGGCTTGGCTCTCGGATATCCTCCAGCGAAGACCTACCCGAAACTCTGTTTCAAGATGGTGGAATAAAGATTCAATCAAAATTACCACCAGTAACCGGCCCAGGTGCGGAACAACTGCTTGCATCCTTTCTCGACGCCGACCGTCACAATAGTCATTTGAGCGCCGCTACTAGCTTAGAGAAGCCTTATTTTGCTTTTAAGGTTATAGGGCGAGTGCGTCGAGTCCATATGCGTGATGACGCGGTGAGCCCGCTGACACTGAAGAAAGGATATCATTTTACCTGCCAGAAAAGCTAAGCCGCCAGCCGGTCTCACAACATCGTCGTCAGTATCGACTACGGCAGCATTTTCGGGTCGATCTTCTTCTCTTCCAATTCTTCACTCGCCCATCTCACCACTCTCTTTTGGTTCCCCTACTTATCCCGACGGGATCTTAACATCTTTATGGGCAACGAAACATCAGCGATTACTTCCCGCGGCTTTTGTTTCCTTCTATTCTCTTTTGAGAGATCCAGATCAACCCATTGGAGGCGATGATTCTTTGGAGCGTGAGATTTGCGAAACCAAGCAAGCGTTTGAATCATCTGGTCAGAGAACCAAATTTATTGTTGTCCTTCTTGGTGACGACCTTCCCCATGATGGGGGCCTGGAGGAACGATTCACTCATATCCGTCGTGCGGCAGGACTGGATAGTAAAAGCTTTTTCTATATTGCTGCTCTAGATACCTTGTTGTCAGAAGACAAGGGTTTAGTGGCGAACATTTTATCCACATTGCACACCACATGTATGGACTATTATCGCGATCTTTCGAAGCATGCCAGGCGCAAAAAGAACCGGGCCGTCATCCCTCCTCCGACATTGCCACCAACTTCCGGTACATCACAGATCCTTTCAGCCCAAGGATGGGGCGCACGGTATGACTTCAAGCTTGGCATATTCGCCGAGTTTCGCCGAGACTTGGATGCTGCGGGTCGAAATTATGAATCTGCGTATGAAGGTCTTCTGAGTCCGGATGTTTTCGAAGCAATTGCATCGTGGAGCCCGAGATTTAATGAGGCAAGGATGCTCGCAGATGTGATCGCAATCCGTATTCTCCGCTGTCTTCTCTGGACTAGGCAAACGACGTCTGCCGCTCGTTCGTGGGGCAATCATCGGGCCAGGCTGCGAGAATTGGTTGATAGAAAAGGCAAAGGGTCATCAAACTATGGTTGGGAGGCTTGGGAGGCGACCTGGGCAAGGGTTATGGCAGAACTCGTGCAAGGCGCAAACTTGTCTATTTTTGAGGTCCCCTCTTCCTCTCTGAGCTTCCGGGATAAACCGGACGCAGTATTGGAAATCTTTTCCGGCCCCGAGAAGGGTATATCCTGGAGTGACGTTCTTCCTTTCGAGCATTTACATCATTCTGGGTATTGGATGAAACTTTCGGCTGCGCGTCTTGGTCTGCGAAAACTCCTGGCGGAGAAAATCCCAAAGGAAGATCGATTGCCACCACAGTCCCCCATGTCAAAAGCTAGCCGGACCACCTTTACCTACGATGATTATCTTTGCAATGAGCCGCATGTAGAAGCTACATTATCCGGCTGCGGTGGTGTCGATCATTCAGCGTTAATCTTGGATGCTCTTGGTCAGTGCCTCCCTGAATTCAGCAAGCGGCACCAAGTGAGGGCAGCGGAGGAAATACAATTTTCAATGGCAAGGGAGCTTTTACTGCAGGAGAATTACGAGCCTGCGCACCAAATTTTGAAACCTCTGTATTCTCGCATGTCATGGCGGCAGGAGGGTTGGTGGGAAATGGTGTTGGAGGTTGGGTTGATGCTCCAAAAATGTGCAAAGCGGGTTGGTGACTCTGAAAGCATCATCATTCCAGAATTTGAACTTTGTCATCGTGGTGAGTATAGCCCAATTGTTAGGATTGCTTTATCTCAATATGTGTTCTGATACCATTTGTTCACCTAAGTATTCGATCTCACCAGCGTGGCGGCGGATTTCCGCCCTAACGTTTCTCTTTGTCTGAAGGGCATGCCCCCTGAGCCGAGACCAGTCATTTCTATTGGTTCCCGGGATATTGTTTCATTTAGTAAGTCTACATGATATGAGAGAATTCGTCCTGGTCTAATTGATTTGCAGTGTCGACGGCCTTCGCTTTTGCGTGCGCAGAAGGACACGTTGGTGAGCCCTTGTGCTCACAGTTGACGATTCATTCCAGTGCCAATCCCAAGACGCCGTCGATAGTACTTTCCGAGATCATTGTGAACTTCCTGGGAGGTATCAAGGCATTCAGGATTCGACATCGAGCCGAAGAGGGCCGGGATCAATGTCAAATGAACACTAGCGCAAATGCCATTGACGTTGTCCTCAGCCCACAAGATCATGGGAAAATTTACACTCAAAGGGCATCATCTTCTGTGCAAGCCCCACTTTGCTTCTACGGTCATGCCGACCTGACTCTCGGTCCAGGCGAGACGAAGGTTTTGGAGATGAAAAGTTTTCTCCGTGAGGCCGGGACCGTCTCGGCCTCTTCAATAATCCTTTGTCTCTGCGAGGAAAACTTTCAAGTGAATCATGTTTTCTCTTTAGAGGAGAGATATGGTCCAATGTTATGGTGGACCAAGGGACTGGCGGGTCTTACCAGCAAAGCAATCATGCGTTCTAATCCCGGCGTTGTCAAAATATTGCCCCGGCCCCCAAAAATGGAGCTTCGTGTTGATGGCCTTCACGGGGAATTTTATACCGACGAATCCATCGTTGTCGGTATATCTGTGCTGAATGAGGAGGAGGAAGACGCAGAAGTGGCCCTAGAAGTGCGCCTCCTCGGGCGCTCGGGGGTTGTCCCTGGATTCAGTTGGCTTGCATCACAGACCCCAGAGATTGAGTCTGAGTCAAAGCCAGCTCTATCGTCTCTCGAGCTTCCCCTGCATCGGATCGGACGACTTTCCGCGTCTGCGAGTGCTATTGAGAAAATCGAAATCGCTCCATTTTGCGATCCCGGGGAGTATGTTTTCGAAATCAAGGTGGTCTATCGACTAGTTTCAAATCTAGAAACACCCATTTCCAAAATATTGCCAACATCTTTCACCGTTTCGAGACCGTTTGAGGCTAATTATGATTTCATGCCGAGGATTCACCCGGGCCCCTGGCCAAATTACTTCGCGGGCGATGGTGGCCTAATGGGATCCGTGGAGTCATCCGTCCATCAATCAAATGGACTGGTACAGAGATGGCATTTGGCAGCTAAGGTTGCATCGTTCGCCAAGCAGGCCCTTTTTATAGAAGGTTCAGACCTCGCGGACATTGGCACTGGTGGGCAGGCCAGCGTGTGCAGTATTTCTACGCTAGGTCCGGCCATAGCGTCGACCTCCGTCAAGCCTGGGGGCTTCCTTGTCTGCGAATTTGTGGCCGATGTTGCGGAAAGGAGCTTGGAGGATCGGCGTAGCCAATTTCTGGATTTTGAGTTAAAGATATATTGGAAGAGGAGCCAGTGCGACGGCGAAGAGAACTGCACCGCCTTGGCTGTTCCTCGAATGCAGATTCCTTTTGGTGAGCCTCGCGTTATTGTGACTGCTCGACCAACTTTCGCACCTACGCCTCTGATACACGTCGAATACACCATAGAAAATCCTTCGATGCATTTTTTGACATTTACAGCGACAATGGAGGCAAGTGAGGAATTTGCTTTCAGTGGGCCAAAAACAAGTACTGTCCAATTGGTGCCAATTAGCAGGTCAACAATCAAATACCGAATCTTTCCTTTTATCAACCGTGGATGGATCAGACCACGGCTACACGTTGTAGACCGTTATTTCAATAAACTCTTGAAGATGAGCGGCAATGAAGGCGTTCGATCAGATAAAGGGGGCTTACTAGTAGCTACTGGTATAGGAGATAGTATGCACTAGCTGAAATGTTCAGCAAAGAAAATGTATTTTATACTTATAATACTCTATTCGTATTTTTTTATTGGATGAAATATGATACTATCATATATGGTTCTTATTAGCTACATTTAATTATAAATTTATATGATATTTAATATATAATTTAAATTATAATATTATAATCAAATTAAATTTAAAAATAAAATTTGAACTTTAATGCTTCACATATTGCAAATAAATTATTTAAAAGGATATTATATATTTTTTAATATTATTTAATTTAATAAAAAAATTAATAGATATTAAATTAAACTATAAAAAGAATTATTATTATTATTAATATTTTAAAATTTATAAATTAAATGTATAATAAAATATAAAAAATTATTAGTATAAATATTAAAAAACAACTATTAAAATATAATATAGCAAATAATTGTTACTGTAAGAACTGTAACTGAAGGGAGAATAGAAGCTTGATTCTCTAAGTGAGCTCTTGCTCTGAGCTATATACTATGATGATGCTCCTTCTATATCTGGAGGTCTATGCTATAAGCTACACATAACATGTGTACACTCTATACTAGTGGCATAACAATTGCCTGCCACAGAAAAACCATTGTCTGTGATGGGAGAAGCAATAAAGCAAAAGGATATATCTATATGTAAATGCCATGTAAGCAAAGTAAAGCAAAGCAAAGCAAAGATAAAAATAACTAGTCATGAATGTTGTGATGGTTTTTGAAGTTGATTAGAAGTTCTTGTCCACCATGTTCATTAACATAAGGCTTGTTATGCCACTTGTCTTGCTCAGGCCAGTGGTTCCCTTGATAGTGAATGAGATACAATCTTTGGGGCTGCCTTCTACATAACCTCTTGGTGTTAAGTATATGAGAGATTTCTTGGATGGTGGGTTGGTTGGTTGTCTTGTATTCTCTAGGCTGGACTGGTTCTGGTTCTTGTAGCATGTCACAATTGAATGGATCACTGCCAGGAGCTGGTGCTAGTACTAAATGCACTGTAGAGATTACTGGATGGATAAGAATCAAAGCTGGTAGCTTGAGTTTGAACACAACCCCTTTCCCAACTTTCTAAAGAATCTTGAATGGACCAACTTGTTGTGGCCCTAGTTTGGCTTTCCTCACAGAAGGTAGGCAATACTCTCTAAGTCTTAGCATAGCCCATCCTGACTTGAAGTCTGTCTCTGGATCACAATGCCTTTGGTTGTGGTAGTAGGACATAGCATGCTTTGCCAAGGTGATAGAATTGGTGGCTGATCTTTAAGTAATCTTGTGAAGGTCCAGTCAGTCAGCTGGAAAATGTAGGTTTGCTCCCAACTTGTCCACTAAGATGTTGTAAACTTGTCTTGTTATAACACTATAGAGTATTTCATTTGGTGTGCTTTCAGTTGTGGAAGAGGGGGAGTTATTGATTTGGCCCTCTATAGTTGGGAGCTAGTTGCCCTAGTTCCCTTGCACTGCATCTACAAAGTATCTCAAGGTAATCTTGATCATTTGATTTACCTGCTCATCTTGTCCATTAGCACTTGTATGTATAGTGGTTGTACTTATGGAATGTGTTCTGGCATGTGTAAACATTGCATTCCAGAATCCCTCTAGAAAGTGTCTGTCCCTGTTGGTGACTATGATGAAGGGGATACCTCATTGTGTAACAACTAAATCCCAAAACAAAAAAGCCTATGTTATCACTAAGTAGTCTTTGTAACTGGGTATGAGTTGCATGGCCTTAGTAAATTTGTCAATGACTGTTAAGATTGTATCAATGGCATTTGGGGCATGGAGAGACTCAGTCTCTGGGAGATCAGTAACAAAGTCTAAAGACAAGGTATGAAAAGGCTCTGGTAGGAAATCTATAGGTCTGAGTGTTGAGTATGATTGTAGGTAATGTGTGTGATTTCTCAGGCAGTTTGGACAGTGATGTATATAGTGCTTGATGGTCTACTACATCTTAGGCCAGAAATATTTGGAGGTAAGCTGAATGTATGTCCTTTTCAACCCATGATAAGATTGATGGTTGTGGGTAAGCTTGAGGAACCTCTTATGCAAGGCCTTAGATAAAGTAACATAAAGTTAGTAATCAATGGGGTCTTCAAAGAATAACATGTCATTGTGTATAACATATTGACTTAGGTAGGTTCTTAAACAGCCATCTTCAGGGTTGAGTTCACCATGTGTTTGTACTATGCTCTTTGCATTATTTAAAACTCTGTCATTCAAAATCCTTTGCAAGAGTTCTTGCTTTAGGGATTCTCATATCTCTACCATAACTACTAGAAATGTCTTGTCTTTGGCATTTGGCCATCATGATAGTGCATCAGGCACTGGCATATCTTTGCCTTGTTGATAAACCAGGGATAGTTTATCCCAGTATTGGGAGAGAAATACAGCCCAGTTAACCAATTAGTTATTCATCTTTGTAGGAGATTTGGTACTTAGCAATTTCATTTTGACTATTGCTTTGTTAGCATAGTGGTCTGTCAGTATGATGACATGAGGAACTTGTTTAACAAAAGGAATTGCTTTTTTCATTGTCCAAATCACTCTAGACATTTCTAGCTCAGTTGGCCAGTATCTCCATTTAGCAGTAGTTGCTTCTTGACTTAGAAAGAAAACAGGTCACAATGAAGTTGAGGGAGGTATATGTATAACATCCTCTAGCTCTGTCTTGCTGTCCATGACTTGATACACTCCAATGCCAAACCTGTACTCCTTTGAAGCATCTACAAAGAGATACATGTGTTTGTCAAGGTCAAAATGGTTGACAGCAGCTATTGTGACTGCATCCTTGAGGTCCTCAAAAGCAAGCCTCTGTTTTTCATCTAGTGTTATGCTAGTAGCCATTGCTGCTGCATGTCTTCTACCTTTTGCTAGTGTATCCATGTTGATTTCCCTTAACTTGTTGGCTTTCAGTTGTGATAACAATTTCACTCTTTGGGAGTAATACAGGATGAGATGGTGATGCCATCCAGTGGTACCCAGGAAATGTTCAAGACATTTGAGAGAGTTGTACTGCTCTGGGTGCCATGTGTGTATAGCCTTGACTTTCTCTTCTGTAGTTGCTAGGCCAAGCCTATCCACCTTTTGTCCAAGCACTGTAATAGACTAATACATGAGATTGCATTTCTTTGCTTTCAATGTAATACTAGCATCAGAGAGAATGTACATAACCTCATCAAGATGGAGGAGATGCTCCTTGAACATTTTGCTATAGACAATTGTATCATTGACATAACAAGCAACAAAATGCCAGCTTATATCCTTGAATTTTCAATCCATGAACTTTTGCTAATGTACTACTGATGTTTTGTTTCCCATGGTGGTTACTGCCATCATGTAGTGCCCAAGGTGGGTAACAAACATGGTTTAGTACCTATCATCCAGATGAATAACTTGTTGATAGTATGCTAATGCCATGTCTAAAATACTGATGAACTATGTACCATGTAGAGTGTCCAGGATCTGGTCTTGATGAGGAAGTAGATAACTGTCCTCTCTTTGCATTGCATTCAGAGGTCTTATATCCATTACAGGGCATGGTTTCTTTCCCATGATAATGAAGACTTGTATAGTGTAGGGTAAACCTTCTAGACCCACTGGTATAACATGTCTGGTTTTGATCAATGGTATGACTGTCTGCTTGATATATTTTCTAGCATTTACACTTACATTAAATAATACTCTTGTCTTCATTGTAGCTTCCAAGGCTGGGTTAACTTGTATTCATAGCTACTCCTTAGGATCTTCCTGTACAATGCCAAGTTGGTCATTGAATAGTGTCTTGTGCTAGGTATAGAGTAATTCCAATGCATCCTTTTGCTTGGTTGTTAGATCAGGGTTGATGTCAACCTGCTTGTATGTTGTAGATGTTGGATCAGGCAGCTCAATCTCTGCTAGAGTGGGATACTTGTACTGGGGCTGATACTCCTTGTTGAGCCATGAAACATATAGCATTCCTGACAGCATTGTTCCTTTTGTTGCAGCAATAGAAGTATCATCAGGTACTGGTACATTGACACTCAGGTCAACATCTTGAGATAGAAAACCTATCCTGGCCTCTTGAAGTACCTCAGAGAGGCTGCTACTAAGCAGCCCAATGGATGGAGGTTTGCTCTGGGTAGTGATTAGAATATATAGGACCAGATTTCTAGAGCTGCCTGGAATATTTGCTGCAAGCTCCCTGTTTTCCTGTAGTTCCAGTTGGAGGGAGTGTAGAGGAGATTTAAGTTGACTTGTGTTTACTTCTGGTTCTTGTGTTGGCTTTTCAATACTTGGCATTTGGGCTGCCAACATCACTACCAATGTGGTTGTGGTAGACACTACTATGTCTTTTAGCATTGTAGAATGCATAAAATACACCATTGTTTCCTGGCTAGCTTCTGCCCATAGAGTAGCAATGCTGGTTATTAGGCTATAAATGGTGCTAACAACATAATTTCTTGCCAGCATGCATTTTTCATTGGAAAAATTTGTATAGTACACATGTGTTTGGTCTACTGACAAAATCATGTGTAGGGATGAGGTGTCAGCTGTTATGGTGGTGCTCACTAAAACAAACTCATAATCTTGTCTTAGCTCTACTCTTTTTGCAAACTTGATAGGTATAGCTTGTGTGGTCTAGGCAGGGATCTTAGTCACTCTTGTAACTTGTATAGGAACATTTTTATAGTTCCAGTTACATCTAATATACATAGGCACAATCATGTTTTTACAACTATGAACAAGTAGAACACTTTGGCTTGGGTCTGCAACCATGCCCTCCATGTCTATGATGTCTACAGTGATCAACATATTGGTACCAAGATTTGGCATGATGAAGAATGAACATGTCATCACCCCAACCTGCTTGTGATCTCTTGAACACATAAAAAATTTAATGAGGGTATGCTTTGTAGACTGTGTACATCCCAAACCTACTCTTTACATGTCTCTTGTAAAAGAGAGGTCTTGGATTTAAATGTTCTTAGGTAGAATGAGCTTTATAAACTCTTTGTCCATGCTTGAGCTGCCATAGCCTGTATCTACCACTGTCATGTAGATGTTAGACATTTGAGAATTAAAAGAAATGTTGACTTCCATGTAGGTATAAGAGACTAAGTCAAGCCTGGAGACTTGCTTGGCAGGTGGTGCTGATGACTCAATGACAGTTATCTCCTTAGCCCTTTTAGAAATCTTCTCTTTATGCTTTGCCTTGTCTAGATGTTTGTATAAGGCATTGTGTGTAAGGAATTTTGTGTAGCATTTTGTACACTCTAATTCCTCTTGAACAAAGTATGTAGTGTCTTGCTTGTTAACAATTTCAGCTTGATTGTCATTGTCCTCCAAAACATCAAAATCTTCTTTAGCACTTAGCATGACCAAAGAGACATTGTTGTTGGGGAGATTGTCTGCATCATCTGCATGGAATGCTTGACACTTGTCTTTGGGCATCAAGGTATTTTCTCTTTTTACTTACAGGTACTAGTTGTGTGCATTGCAGGTATCCTTGGGATTAGATGTTACCAATGCATGATCTTTATCCCAATGCTCTTTATTACAATACTTGCAAGGATGTATGCCATAGCCCACATCTCTAGCATCTCTCCATGAGATTCCAGCCTGCATCATGTCCTGCCATGACCTGTATTTTCTTGGTCTTGGCCTGTTTCTGTTGGGTCTTGAAGAGGACAGAGTGCTGGAGTACAATCTTGAAGAAGACACAGGTATGGTAGTCCTAGAGACTTGCTATTCTTGTCTAGATGAGGACTCCTTGTGTCCATACTCTCAAATTAGTACTTCTTGGATGCTAGCTAGTTTAGTATTATATGTTCTAATCATGTTGCTGGATGGTCTCATGATGTTGTCCATTTGTAGAAACACTAATGCTTCTCTGCTAAAGGAGTTATGCACTTGTTGGACTATTTCACTCTTGTCACTTATTCTAGCCAGGTGTAGGAGGTGAATTTTTTTAGTAATGTGTTCTGTAGGTTTGATGCCATTGTTCCAAGAGAAATGCAAAGCTTTAGCATCAATTCTAAGTTCTTCCTCTAAGGGCATGAACTTTGCATAGATTTAGGTGTACTATGCAATAATACTTCTGCTCATTATGGCTCTATTGTCTTTTGATAGAGAGTACAGCCAGTCATGACCAAAGTCAAAAGTAACACACTTGTGGACTGAATGCAACACTCTCTCCTTGCCATAACTATTGACAGCATCTTTGAGGTTATCAATGAAGGTTTGAGCCACATAAGTGTCTGGGGTGTTGGTTGGACAAAACTCTCCAATGGAGTCTGTCTTGAGCTCACAAGTATCACTGGTAGTGTTCTGTGTCAATTGCTGTTGTAGCAGGTTGTTTTGTGACATTAACAAAGACATCATTTAATTCCAGTCTGGCTGCCCACTTGGATAGTAGCCACCTGATGGATTGGCTGGGTTTATTAGTAGGGGAGGAGGAGGTGGCATCCTACTACTGGCACCCATTGGTGTAGGTATGGGATATGCTGCCAGTGGTATGCTGGTATGTGTTTGTAGTTGCTGATATTGATTTTGTACTTAGGGATACAACCCTGGTAGGGGTATTCCCAAGTTCTCCAGGACTGTTTGTTCTATTGCATGGTCAGACTGTGAATTTCATCTAGACTCAGGCACTTGATAATCTAGCATGTTGATGTCACTGTTACTTGACTTAATCAACAACAAACTATTGGTAATGTCTTCTGTTAAGAACAGTGGCAAACCTTGGTTCACCAGTCCTGTTGAGGGCTTGGGCAGTAGGAGGTAATATGCAATCTCTTAATCTGCCAAAGACTCCTCAGGAGTTTCTTGTAATGCTATTGTAGTATTTGTATAGCCTGGTTGGTCTACCAGCAAAAGAGATTGTATTGTTCTCTTGCTTGGACCTGGTGTTGCAGGACCAATTCCTAGGGAATTGGCAGCAACTAACAATCCTTCTTGGTAGTAGAGTGAAGGATGCTCACAACTCTCTGGTGCTCATACCAAATCAGTAGAGGCAGGGACTAGAGCTAAATTATTGTCTGATCTTTGAGGATTGGTTGTGCCACTCTCAGTGGTGTTGGTTGGAGGAGTATTGATGTATTCTAGCCTGCCATCAACACAGTGTCATGTTGGTTGGCTCCAACTCCTCCCTGAACTTGAAGATTGTTTGGACTTCCCTTTACACTATAATGAAGCCATGGTGAACATTGCTGTTTGTATGCTGATGGATTAGCATACAAGGCAACCTTTTGTACAAGAGGAAGGTATTAGGAGGTATCTTGTAGGTACTGGTACTTTGACCTTTGGTAGAGCTTGTTGCTCAGCCTAAATATTGCTAGTAGCTAGAAGTACCTTGGAGACTTGCAAGTTGCTCTTGCAACAAAGCTTGGGCAGTTATGTCAATTGATGGGGTGGATATGAGGATTTTGAGGTCTGTAAAGGGATAGTATGGAAAAGTGTCAGAAACACTAGATTTCTGATATACTACTCAATATCACAATTTTTCTATTGTTCCTTACACAAGATTCCCAGGAGGAAGCTCAAGAGCAATACAACTCTGAATGAGAGAGTAAGTCATGGAAAGTTAGAGTGCTGTTTGGCCACTCTACCACTCCAAGGAGAATGAGCAATGTATACCAGGGAATCTAGGTACTGTTTTCCTGATGCCAGCTAAGCTCAGAAAATGTAATGAGATTCTATTGTTTGTGCAATAGGTTCAAAGGTTAGTTCTAACAACATCATGATGCTTGGTGTCTTGATGATCAGAACTTCACCATCACCACAGTGAAATATGAATCATCAATGAAAGAGAACACAAAAAAATGGCTGCTGGGAAACCAAGTCAGCCTGGCTGGCCCAGAGGACCAAAGGACACTTTTGATAGTGTTGTTACCAATTGTAAGAACTGTAACTGAAGGGAGAATAGAAGCTTGATTCTCTAAGTGAGCTCTTGCTCTGAGCTATATACTATGACAACACTCCTTCCATATCTGGAGGTCTATGCTATAAGCTACATGTAACATACATACACTCTATACTAGTGGCATAACAGTTATAGTTACTTTATATTTCTACTTATGTTATGTATTAATTAACATATTCTATTATATAGAGTCTTGATAACTATTAAATAACTTTATTTTTTAACTATCTATTTATTTATTTTATTTCCAGGCCTTTACTTACAATAATAATAAAAATAAAATTTATTATAAAATAATAGAATTTTATTTATTATTATTAAAATTTAATTTAATATTAATAATTATAAATATTTTTAAAATGAATTTCATTAATTATTGATAATTATAAATTATTACAAGGTAATAAAATTATATTTAGTTTTAAAATTTAAGCTAGTACTTAATATATTTTACAGATAAATTAATTATTATAAATAAATAAATTAAATATAATTTTTATATAAAAATATAATTTTATAAAATCTATATTCTAATAATAATTAAAGTGTTTAAATAACTATTTTTTCTATATAATTTAAAAAAATATACTAATTAGCTATTTTTTAAAAAAGAGTTATTTAAATTTTTAATTAAATTTTTTTTATATATTGTTTTTAATATTAAATATATAGAGTATAAAATATAAAATATAAAAATATTTAAATGATTTTAAAATAACTATAATGTATAAATATATTCTTAAAAAATAAAAATATTTAATAATTATTTAAAATAATAAAATTAAAATAATACTTTTTTGTATATAATTTTTATTTAATTAATCTATTTAAATAACTAATATACTTGTAAAATATATAATTTATTTAATTAAAGTTTATACAATATTTTATTTTTATATTTATATAATTTTTTTTAATAATTTATTTATTAGTTTTTTTATTATAATTATAATTATAATTATAATTGTTATTTATATATAGATAGTATTGATTTTTAAATTATATAAAATATATTAATACTACTATAAAGTACTATTTACATGCAGATAGTATAAATTTTTAATTTATTTAAAATTATTGTTTATTTAAAAAATATTTCTTAATTAAAACACTTAATATTTTATATTATATAAATAAATTTAAATTATTAATCTAATACTACTAATTTTAAATAATTTTAAATTTTTTCAAAATAATTTTAAATTAATTTAAATAATTTAAATATAATGAAAAATAAAAAAATTTAAAAATTTAAAAAAATAATTATAAGAATTTATTTCCTATTTGGGACTAGCTTACTTTATAAACTAGTCTAACTTCAGAGCTCAATATTATACCATTGAGCTAGAAGTACTTTTTTTTTTAAAAATAGTTTAAAATAAAAAATATATATAGTAGAAAAAAATAAAAAAAAATAAAAAAAAAAGATTTCTCAGCTAGAGATTGAACTCAGGTACTTAAGTACTTACAATATTCATATATTTTTTAATTAGGAAATAGCTTCTCAAATAGTATATTTTTTAAAATAAATTTTTTTATATGTCTTTTTATTTTTATTTTTTCTTATTTTTAAAATAATTTTATACTATTTTAAATTAATTAAAAATTATTTTTAAAAAGTTTTAAATTTTTAAATTATTTTAAAAATATTTTATAACATTTAATAAAATTTAATATTATTATAAAGTTTTTAAAATTTTTAAATATAAATATAAATAATTAAAGTATATTTAAAATTATTAAATATAAAACTTTATATAAAAATTATATTTAATTATTTTAAATAAAATAAATACAATTATTAAATTAATATAAATTAGTTTAAATATATAAATATTTAAAATATTTTAAATTTAATTTTAATATAAAAATATATTTTATATAATTTAAAAATTTATACTATCTGTATATAAGTACTATTTTACTAATATTTATTATTAATATCTATAATAAAGCTTAACAAAATACTATTTTTTTCTATAGATAATAAAAAAACTATTATATAATATATAACTATGGCCCAGAATACTTATTTATAAAAATTTCAATATATATTATATATAATAAAACTCTATAAAAACTACTTTTATTAGAATAAATATACTAGTTATATAACAATCTAACTTGTAAGCCTAAGATATTATTTTAATACCTATCTAACTTATATAACTCAAACTATATTTATAAGTAGTCTAGAATTAAGTTAATTCTACTTAAAACCTTGATCTAACTACTTAAAATTATAAATAAATATATAAAAATCTTTATAAATATTACTATAACTAGCATTAATACTTATTTACAAGTTAATAATATATATTATATTAGCTAAGTAATTAAATTATAAATTAACAAATATAAAATTATTTATTATAGCTACAATTATATAAATTTTAAATAGTAATTAAGATATTAAATAATATAAATTATTTTATTCTTGAACAATTATAATTTTTTGTCTTTATATAAATAAATATATAATATATATATACTAACTAGTAAGTAATATAGTATATAAAATTCTTGTTTTTTAGATACTTTTATTTATAATTTTTATCTCTATTTATATCTTGT